CAAAATGTGGCACTGTGATTCAACAATCCAACATATGACAAACGCTTGCTTCATGTTTCTATCCTTTGGGGAGCCTCAGTGAGCCTGATGGTCAAGTAACAAGTTTCACGACATAGAATCTTGAACATGTGGATGTCATTTCATCCAGACCTGCTAATTTCCTTCGCGACGGCCGATTCAGCAAGCTAATGTTTGCGGTGGGGTTTCTATTTTCAGCAAAGAGATCGATGAGGACCCAGTTTACTGCCCCGAGGATAGAGGGCCGCAAGCAGAGAATACTGTGGTTTCTGACAGCATGGGGTCATTTCAGTCGGCCTCACCGAAGCCTGTCCCAGATTTTGATTTCTCCTAGACTATTCCTGCCAAGTAGTTACTGCATTTTGGACTGAATATCCTATAACGGCTTACTTGTTTCTTCCGCCTTGATGCTGATCAGAACAGTAACTGACGTGGCCAAGAGAACCAAGGTATCTCCCATTTCACCGCCTTCAAGCTCCATCATTGCAACAATATCACATTGAAAGGAGATCGGCCCAACAAGTTCCCAGAATAACTGATACCATCATCAGGAAAGAGATAATCTCAAAAAAAAAAAAAAAGGGAACACAAGATCATCCGTTCGCGATCCATTCTATGGGTCTTCTCTGGGTAAACTGAGGATCAACTAACGGCGCTCAACGATTTTGTTCCATGGTGCGGGAATGCAGCTGTAAAAGTATGAACGACAGGTGGCTGGGACTTGTTTTTTCTTTTAGTATTTGATTTTTTTCATTTTTTTAGGGGGGACGGGGCTAGATTGACGAGATGACAGCAGGTATGCTGGATCTGACGCGTTTCCCAGCGTTTCTTAGGTTTATGGACCGCATATGTTGGGCAGTTGGGGTTGCACCGAAAACTCCGTAGCTAGTGTATCTATCTCAGTCACACTGGATCTGCAGATTTCATTTTCGGCAGTTTAATACTATCTCCAATTGTATGGCTGCCGAGAAACAGACGTTCAACTCGTTTGGCGCGTTTTGGAGGTGTAATTCCCCCATTTGTACTACTATTCTGCTCTTCGACCTCTCTAGCGCTCTGCAGAGCATGACCTAGAGCGTGATATAATTTTCCCTGGCTGGTCATGCGGTTCGACCCTGAAACACTAAACGCACAAACCCTTCGAGCAACGGGGCCACATACTCCACAGCAAGTTTCTGGCTCTCCAAGGAACGCACAGTGCACGATGGTATGCATGGGCTTAAGACCAAACAGGGATATGCTCTAAGCGCAACAGCAAATAGATCTCTTCTCGGCGTTTTCTCCACCGACTTTTCTTTCTTCGACGACCTGGGCGATCCCATTGCGATTCCCGGGTTCGTGGGACGATAATATGCCGTGATTTGCCCCTGTGTACGGAGTAGGTACAGACGGAACGGAAAGGGAGGTTTTGATGCATTGGGGATGGCCTTAACCAGATCATCTGAGAAAGTCGCAGTGTTCCGCTCCCTGAGCTCATAGGTAGCTATTTTGTATACATAAACCTCCAGAAGTCATCAGCCTTAACCTGCCCCATACCAACTAATACGTTGCAGATACGAATTGCCCACCTGTCGCACCCCAGACACGCAACGGCTTTGGGCGACCCCCAAACGCGCCCCTTCGCGGCCCCTTGCTCCATAAGACTTCGGCCCGGCGACGATCCGTTTAGCGTTGAGCTTGTCGAGCTTGTTTCGACTTGAGTTTTGACTGGGTCCGCTATCAGAATCAAGAAGTTACATAGTCGCCCAGACTTGTTTGCCAGCGAATCCACATTTGTGCCTGGTTGAGCATCAGAAACACTCGGTAACTTGAGAGACACCGGACTTTCAAACCAGGCGGATAGTTAGTTATGCAGCCAAGAGGCTGGGTGTCAAACATCCGCTCCCGAAGCCCCCAGAGCTACTCCGTACATGTCGTCCCGCAGCAAACATCTAGCTCCTGCAGCTGGTTGGCCATGATTCTATGCCTGCATTGCGCCGTATTCAATTTTAATTTGTGCCGCTGTCCCGTTGACCTGGTACTCTGGCTCCAGCTCTAAAAATACGAGCTGTCACTTAGATCTTCGACACCTTGACACTCCAGACACCAACCCACGGGGCCATGCAGTATTCGCTTTTAGCAATGATCGGTGTGCTTCGAGTGAAGGGTTGTTGCTGTTCCAGTCTAGATGCAGCGCGAATCCTTTTAGTGCCGGATCAGCAGCGGATGCATAAAATCCAGCGACGGGTTAGAAGTCTACTCAACCGCTAGGGATGATCGGAAGCCCGTGCGGTTGGCTTCAACCTGCTCGTTAATCAAAGCAATGCCTACTACTATGTCTAAGTGTGCACAGAATCGAAAGCCTCATTTTTGTGCAAAGATCGCGACTCCACAAACGGTGATCCGATCATCCAAAGTGAGAGCACAGTTTTGCCCTCCCCAAGTGGAGAGTTATTGGGCGCCGTGCAAGGGCCCACGATGCCCTAAAAGGGAATATACTATTGTTTATATGATAGGCCACTGTTCACTCCTCTCTGGCAATACTCTACCCATCACATTTCCTTACATGTGTCTCCGGCTTATAGGCCTGTAAACTTACCGACAGGTTGTCTCGATATCGGTCTGACAGAGAAAAAGAGTCCAAGGGAGTGTATCATTGAGCCACCAACAGCCTAAGTAAACATTGGTTGGTTATCCAAGGAGATGTAAGGGATATTGACAAGAGAATGACGAATCTCTAACAAAGTGGCCACGAAAATACATCGGAGCCCAGCAAGTTCGCTAGGACTACTGAGTCAACTGAGAATTTTCACTGGTCCCCTGGTATTTTTTATGGATTCCGAAGCAGACCGCTTAACCTTGGAGACGCTTAGGCGCACACATAATGGAACTTCTCTATAGGGTATTCCCTATGGAGCAGTTTCCCCTCTTTTTCTCCATTGTCCCTTCAAAAATCAGAGCTCAAGGAGCTCAAACTGGCAAAAGGAAGCATAATTTTATTGTGCTTATTGACAGCAGAGTCTTCTTATGGCTGGCTGTATGTTTCCGGCTCAAGGTACGGAGTATAAAGTGATAAATGCAATAATGTGCAAACGGCCTGTGTGGACTGCATATCGGTGTTTGTGCTGATGCTAGAGAGGGAAAATTGCCAGTGAGAAGCATATCGAGGCATTCAACTCTGCCACTTATCGAACAGTATCCCAATAATAATAGAGTTTCACAGGTTATGCCCATCCACACATTCAGTGCAAGAGTCACTACATTCCAGCTACTTGTTGCCCATACCCGGTTAGGCAGTTGAGTCATTGTTTGGTATACAATAAGGCGATCTATGCCACCAATTACAACAACCACAAGGTATCGAGGAAGCGGTGATTTAATTTTCATCGTCTGGCGTTGCACCTTGTGTAACTCGGAAAAGGGGGCAATCCGTGGCGGTGACGGAGACCAGAATAACGGTCTAGAGAGGCTTCACAGAGATAGGACGAAGGGTTACCGCCTTGCTGCGCTGGAGATAATACAGTTGTCATGCGGGGTTCCACACTCAGCTCTGGCCGGCACGTTTCTTGTACACCTGTCATAGCACTTAAGCCTAGAAGCGTTGAGGGCTGAGGCGGATGGGCCTGCCACTATCGCTGTGTAACTAAAGTAGATATTATCTTTGAAAATTTGTGCAGAAGGCATATTGAGATTCATTCGATCAACATAGAAGGGTGGGTATGTTAGCAATAAGCTTGTTGACTATTGTTGGTATTCTCCGTACATGGCAAAGTTGTCACTCAAGGACAAAAATATGAGAATCGATCACTGAAAACAGCTGCTCTGAGCTCAGGCGTAGAATCATTCTTGACACGTGTTAGTCGAGATAGCCAGTTGTACGATAGATTCCACCTATATATTCTTCGCGACACTAGTTAAACAGGGGAAAAAGGATCATAACCCAGCTCATATTGCGTGGATACACTGCCATAAATATCTCGTGGCATTTTCAACATCTGTTAATTGTGGCATCTTGTCGACAATTTGCGAAAGAATTGCGACTTTGCGTATCACAACATTCTACTCCATAGGTAGTAGCAGCAATGCCGTTTCTCCGAGACCAGCTTCCATAAAAAGGGCTGAAGCCCGTTCCTGGATGATTGGCCATTCAAATCTCATCACAAGATGCAGGAAAAAAGACACAAGTGTCGCATGGGGCCAAGCATGGTGCCGTCGCATGAGAGGCTTGGGCTCTGAATTATCATAGATACCAGCTCATTCAGCAAGGCTTGGTTCGCGGCTCTAATAAATGACGAACTTCACATATCCTGCCCCCATAGCAGTCGGTCTCCCAAAGAGGAAAGACAATACTCCTGTTGGGTGCACAGGGTATCAAGGTCGGACATAGCCTATTCTTCGAAAAGGAATATCTGGCAATTTGAGCTGCAATGAGAAAAGAGAAGTTCGGGCACGTGCAAACGAGTTGAGAATTGAAACGGATGGTAGAAGTGGTCACTGAGGGTAGTCAGTTTCTGTAGGATAGTAAACTCACATTGAGCCGGAGCAGAAACCTTATATGTTTTAATATCCAAAATATAGTTGACTCCCAAGCATTTCCTAGAAAGCGACAAAAATTTCGGTAGAGAATATATGCAATTGCTGTGTATGTACAGATGCTTGACGACTACCACCGAGGACATCAGATATATTTCCAATTCATACAACAGTAGAAACGCCAGGGAAAGTTGCAAACAAAAATTATGGTCTACCCAGGTGATGCAAAAAGCCCATGCGAAATGAAATCAGATAGAACAGCACTTTGTGTATGTAGTTGTAGTTAATGCTTGATTCTTTGTCACCAAGCGTATGCAGAGGGAATATGTATGAATGAAAAAGAGAAGAGAAACCAAAAATAAACTTTGCAAAAACGGGTATCAAGGCAAAAAAGGCAATCTAACATTGCTCGAGAATGCTAGAAAGCAACATGAGAAGAAAGCCTTTAGAATTTATTCACTAGTAGAGTACTACTGAGTGTTCTGCATTGAAAACTCCCTCTCCCTTCGCCGTCGATCCTCCTGATCTGGAGTCATGCTCTTCACCGGGCCGGGAACAGGAGCATCCGGAGACCGTCGACCCATCAATTTAGGGCTTGGGTGTAATTTCTGTACAGGTGGAAGGACAGAAGTACTGCCAATGTTTGGCGAAAATGAAGGTGGAGCACGTGGAGGCGAGTGCTTTCTAGGACTAAGGCCAGATGTTGCAACTGGTTGAGCGTAGTTTGGGGGAGGGGTGTGAGAAAATGAGGCATGCGGCGTTGCAGAAAAGGACGCAGAAGGCGTTTGGTTAAGATAAGGCGAGGTGCCGGTATGTGGTCGATTATAATTGAAAGGGGTGCTGGGTATGGCGTTGTTTGAGGGAGTTGGCTGGGGAGGAAAGCCGGCCAATGGCCCTACGTCACGATTCCCTTGAGTTGGAGACATTGAAGGGCGATTCTGAATAGGAGAAGGATAGGTTTGAGCCGAATAAGAGGGTGATTGACGATGGGAATTGAATGAAGAGTTGTTTGAGAGAGGTCCAGTTGTGGGTGGTAGGTGTTGGATGAATTTCAGTTGTGTCTCCGGATGTCCTCCAGCAGGTCGTTGTGGAAATATTGTTGACGAGGGCTGTTGGATAGCCATAGGAGTGAGTTGCTGTGGCTGGCGCGTTGGATAAAAAGTGCCGTTTTGCGATAGAGGGCGTGCTGGTTGAAAGCCATTCGCAACTGGGTGGGCTGTAGGGCGATACTGATGGTATGAGCCTGGGGCATCTCTCATGGTAGGAGAAACTCCAGAACCGGGTTTCGGTTGCGATTCTGATACTTGCATGGGCGGAATTGAAGCGGCGGGAAACGGCGGTGGAATATTAACGGGCGCTGGGGGTATTTCACTACCTTGCTGCTTCGCTTTCTCTCCATTGACATGGGATGGCCCAGCAGAATGAGGCGACAATGAGGTTGGGATGCGAAATTTTAAAGGGGGGATTTTTGGACGCTTGGCGTCTTCAATGCGTTGCTTGCAATCGGCACAAATAAAGTGGAAATCGTCCCTTTCCGCCTCCTCTTTGGGGATCTTGAGACATTGACTATGTTGCCAAACATTGCACTTTTCACAAGCAACGCTGTGAGACCCATCATCCAGGTTTTCACCATGGACCCCACAAACTGAGCAGTCAAACACCCATGGTTCTTCTGCTTGAAGAGCCTCTAGGTCTTGCTTGCCTTTCTCCATCATTGCTTTAAGCTGTCTCTCGGATATTCTTGCCTCCCCAGTCTCTAACTTCTTGGCCTGCTCTTCCATGTCCGCAAGGTGTTGTTCATGTTGCCGTCTCTTCTCCTCCCGATCCTTGAGTCGCTGTTCTCGCGTCATCAGTCTGTAGAGCCGGTCCTTTTCAATCTTTTCCTGTAATTGCTGCTGCTTTTTGGTGGAGATACGCTCGGCTTCTCGCTTCTTAGCTTCTTCAGCAGCAAATGTTTCTTGGCGTTCCTTCTCTTGTCTGCTTGCAATTCTACTTGACCTTTTTGCTGTTGCAAGTTTCTGCAGATTGACCAATTCTTTTTCTTTGCGTTGTATCTTTTTCTGCTGCGCTTCCTCTGCCTTCTCTATAGTAGGTATGACTTGATCGACAAGACGGTCACGGAGAATTTGTTCGTCTGGATCCTTAGACTTTCGTAGTCTCTCAACGAAAGATCTATATTCAACCAGCGTAATGGCTATGCATTCCCATTTGTGCGCTATTGGCGGGTCGTTGGCGCCACCGTTTGCCTGCTCCCGATCCTCATCCTTCGTCTCAGCTTCGGCGAGCTTTCTACGTTTTGCTGCTCTAGCAGCAGCTCGGCCTTTTTTGGATGTTGCTTTGGGCTTACTTGGCACTGGAGGTGGAATAGGAGGGTCGGTCCGGCGGTATAATCTGTTATCATCAAGCAAGTAGTAGAGGCGCTCATCGCGATCATACCCCAGTTCTTCAACACGCTGTAGTAGTCATGTTCAGTGAGTCATTCTGGATTTTATTTTGACCAAATACTCACCCATTGTGTCTGGTCTGTTTCCTTTTGTTCTGGCATTCTTTCACGGAACTTTTCAGGGTTCCATAGAGTCCATGCCGCCAGTTGCTGCAATACGCGTAGTTTTTCGAAAAGATCAAACTCGTGGAATTTCACTGGGTCTTCTCCATCACCAAAAGGGTTTCGGCTGGGGGCCTTTGCGCTGTACTGTCGACGGGTATACTCTTCAAAATTATCTCGGCTATCGGATGACGATATTTTAGTATACGAAGGCAGCACTCAGGAATCGGGACGGCAAGTCAGCAAACGTACTTTAAGCCACGATGCGAGGAAATAAATTTTAAAAGGCACAGGCCAATCTCAAGTAATGTTTCGGAAGACTCTGGTTTTAAGCATTCCGTTTCCAAATCCTATGAAATACGTAGTTTAGCATAAGGAATAGTAAAAAGCCGAAGCCTCCAGAGAAACGCAGAACGGCGCGACATATAGAACGGACAAAAGCATACCTCAATGTCAAAATCATCATTTATTTTCATGGCCTTGCCGAACATGTATATATATTGAACTAGATTCGCAAATTCCCATGAATTGCGCAGCCGATGGAGGAGCCCGCCATGTTCTTCCTGGACGCTAGAATCAGCGACAGATGCAGAGCGGTTTTCCGTTTCCTGTCTGGTACGCTTGCGCGATACCATGCTCGAAGGTTGTTAAGATGTGAGGGGAACGGCAATTTACGGGTGACCCTAGACGCGGGTCCGATGATATGGGGATACTGGGAAGCGGATCTGGAGGGAGGAGTCTGAACGTAGGGACGGAAATATTGGCAGCAAAAAGACGTGGCGGTTAGGCGGAATAGAAATTAGAGAGCACCTGGAGCAAAAGAGGTCTTCAATCAAAGTGCTGGCGGTGAATTTTGTCTTCGATGCTTCATGAATTTTGAGCTTCGAGTCCAAGGCAAGTTCACGCCAAGCACGAACTAGGCCCAACCTGGCCGTCGCGTTTCGCCAAGACGCTATAGCCTATATATGGACTAGCGAGAAATATATGACATCATCTCGTTGCCACAGTCACGCGATTGCTTACCTTATCATGCTGGTCACGTGTATATATTGGATGTCGACGACTATGGTGGCTTGAAGTTAAAGAGGAGCGTCCATCCACTGTAAGAGCATTAAAAAATCCAGATGAGTGAACAGACAGTTAGACTTCCTGAACTTATATCAACCTCCAGCAACATGTTTGTTGTGTCACATTAATTTTTCAGTGTGCAGATAGTGTGGATTAAGGTATAGCCGGATTCGTTGTTTAGAAACGCAATTAGATATGACCAGTCTGTAGTATTGGAGTGGGACTAGATTAAAAGCTTTTTTATGGTGAAAAGGAGGTAGTGAACATGGGCCAAGTAGACTTCCAGCAAAGCAAATAGAGGGTCTCAGCTGACGTAGCTACTCATAACCTTCAATCATGTGGTGATAGTATAAACACGGAGTGTATAGATTCTCGGTGGCTTAATTCAATATATAACACCCGATCAAATAGAATGCATTGCAAATAGGACAAGTTGGACACACAAGACAATCGGTATCATGAGCCAGACAAAACAACAGAATGGAGAGACAAATTGTCCCCACGCAAACATATTCTAGCCTTGAGCTCTACTTACTCTATACCTGAAGATCTTGCAGTGGTTCTGATTGTTGACATACGCGAAGAAATGCATCGCATAGAGATTTTCGCTCAAGGGTAAATTATCTTTATTGTTTACTTTCGAGCCTCGAGGGCGTGTTGAATAGCTATTAACACCAATGATATTAGCCACCTACCAGTCTAAGTGGAACCAAAAGGGCAGAACATACCATCACATGAAGTCTTCGCATCACCAAAAAGCATCTTGGTTCCTGGCATGTAGAACATAGGATTCGGTACGTCGGCTATAAAGTGAAATGTACATGTCAGTAATACGAACATAAAGAAAACCCATCAGCACATACCATAGCCACTGGACATCCCGCGTTTCATGACGATAACTTCCTTGCTCTTCCACACATTGAGAACAGGCATGCCAGCAATGGGCGAGCCGGGTTCAAGTGCAATGGGATTGACTGTATCATTTGCCCCAATTACAAGGGTAACATCAGTGTCACCAAAGTCATCGTTAATTTCATCCATTTCCAGGACAACTGAATTTGCATGTTAGCTATCAATCAATTTGTTGAATGAAACAATGCACTCACTATCATAGGGAACGGCAGCTTCAGCAAGAAGAACATTGCACTGTCCAGGCATTCTTCCAGCGACTGGATGAATGGCAAACCGCACCTTAACACCTTTAGCACGGAGCATCCGCGTGATCTCAGATATCGCATATTGGGCTTTAGCAACAGCCATCCCGTACCCAACAACCTAGTCCATATCAGTGACAAGTTTGCCTAGAAAAAGCAGAGCACGCACAATAATAACACTTTCTGCGTTTAAAAGGGTATCAGCAGTATCATCAACAGAAGTCTTTGTAATCTGGCCTTCAATTTTATGTTCAGTTTGGGTCGGAGAAGAAATTCCGCCAAATAAAACATTTGTCAATGAACGGTTCATTGCGACACACTAGAACTTATTAGCTTGACCGACAATGGCAGGAGAAATATAGTACCATGATGTATGACAAAATCGAGCCGCTGACACCAATCAGTGATCCAACAGTAGTGAGCAAAGGATTGTTCAACATAAATCCTTCTGCAACAAGGGCGAAGCCAGAGTACGCGTTAAGCACGGTGATGACGACAGCTAACCAGTCCCAGGATACGTCAGTATTGATCCTGATTCTTACAAAATACATAAGAACCTACGCATATCCGCGCCGCCGATCGCAGCTGTAGTAGTATATCCCTTCAAGAAACTCAGGACAGTATTCGTCCCTAAGCATGCGGCAGCAATTGCAGGAGAACCTGGAGCCATGGTGATGAAAGCACCCATGAGTGCCATATTGCTGCCAAGTAGAGAGGAATTTATCAAGTGTTTCCCTGGAAGGTTCAAAGGTCTCGAGGCCATCTTGCCAGCAAGTTTAAGGAACGCTACGATTGAGCCGGTAAAAGTAACACCGCCTGGGAGAAAGGCAGCCGTTAGCGAACATATAGGAAATTGGATGGATTTTTGAAGCCATACCGATGAGGACGCCCAAGTACGCGGTAACAAGGTGCAGAGTAGAAATAGACCCGACATCTGCAAGTACGCTACCAATACTAGTCAAGACTGCTGCTAGGCCGACAACAGAGTGTAAGGCAGCGACCATCTGTGGAAGCTCAGTTGGAGTGATACGACGGCCGATAACGGCACCTATCAAAGATTTATCAAAAAGCGCACTTGATATTCGAGTCACCTGTTACTCACCAAGAATACTACCAATTCCGGCAACACCAACGAATTGGGCGAGAACCTCAACTGGGAAGCCAACAGCAGCCAACGATGCAAGTATACCGGAGCCAACACCCAGAATACCGAGCATATTTCCTTTTCGGGCAGTTGTTTGGGAAGCAAGCCCGGAAAGCGAGCTGATACACAGGACACTGCTAACGAGATAGCCTGCTTGTACGAGGCCGGCCATACCAGTGCTCACAGCGGCGACATAGCCTCCACCAAAAAGTAGGCCGGGAATGGCATAAAGCCAAGGGTATTCCGGAGGGTCAGTAGGGCCTAAGACAGTATTTAGTTGGTTAAAAAATTATCATTAGATAATTCATAGGCACCATACGTTTAAACATATCGAGCATTCGCTTGGTAATCACAAATCCGCCAGATACGTTCACAAAAGCCAGGAGGACCGATAAGGCGCCCAGAGCCTGTGGTATGGTACCCGGTAGATATCCTCCACCCATAATGAACAGGCCTCCCACTCCCACCATTCCTGAAAGAGAAAGAATCAGATAAGGAGACTTGATCTGTATTTCCAAGGTTAAGATATCTCACCTGAGATAGCATTCGTGACACTCATCAACGGTGAGTGCAAGGCCGGAGTCACGCCCCAGACAACTCGATATCCAATCAGACCGGCAAGGCCAGCCGTGAACATATTACCCATGAATAACGGACCGGTAAATTTTCCCAGTGCCAGGGCTGATCCCATTCCAGTTGTCACAGTCGCAACTTCACGAGATACTTTCTGGAATGGCGTTAGGGCCAGCTCAGCGGACTCCTTAGAGACTTCCGTAGGAGCGGCCTTTGACTGTGGAGTTGGTGGCGGTGCTGGCCGTGGGGCGGGAGGGAGGATTTGGCCATCGTGAGTGACAATTGAGCCTCGTACGACTTCATCCGCGGGGTCGACTGCAAAGTGTTTCTCTTCGGGCGTCATCGAGAGCAAGAACTTGGTGATATTGTTCGAGTATAGAGTCGATGATTGTGTAGGAAGCCGGGATGGAAGATCCGTGTATCCTATAGAGGGCATAAATACTCTGTATATTCGTCAATATCATGGAAAAGGCTGCATACCAATGATAGTCACCCCGTTCCGCGTCACAAGCTGCCCTGGAACTGTCAGGGTGCAATTTCCACCAGCTTCAGCGGCTAGATCGACAATCACAGACCCAGGCTTCATAGCTGAAACCATCTAGATCGGATGGTTAGCTTGAAATTCAGAAGATAAATTGACTCCAGGAGTTGGAGTTTACCTCATCAGTAATCAATTTCGGCGCAGGTTTCCCTGGGATCAAGGCTGTCGTGACGATAATATCCACCTCGCGCGCTTGCTCCAGAAATAATTTCATCTCAGCTTCAATAAATTCCTTTGACATTTCTTTTGCATATCCACCAGCGCCAGAGCCATCTTCCTTGAAATCGACTTCAATAAATTCGGCGCCTAAGGACTGAACTTGTTCGCGTACTGCAGGCCGAGTGTCGAACCCACGAACAATTGCTCCCATCCGGCGTGCCTGAGAGGTTAGAATTAACAAGCCAAGTTGACAAAGGCAAACCTACCGCAGAAATCGCACTGAGACCTGCAACACCGGCTCCAATAACAAGAACCTTACCAGGAGGTATCTAAGTACAAAGTTAACGCTCCCGATATACAAGAAAAGTAATTGAGCCGCACCTTGCTATAACAAAGGTTGATTAGCTTCATTTCAGCTAAAATGATATTGACTCAGAGCTTACCCAGCTGCGGTGACTTGACCTGGTAAAAATCTGCCGAAATGATTGGATGCCTCTAAAATAGCTTTGTATCCAGCAATATTTGCCATAGAGCTGCATTGTGATCGATGATGAGCTTCCCCTACACTTGTCTGATACATAGCTAGACAAGGAAAATGTACGAACGCACCTCAGGACATCAAACACTTGCGCGCGCGAAATACGCGGAATCATATCCATAGCAAACGAGGTGACATGGCGAGCAGCTAATGATTCTACGATGTTCTTATTCTGCGCTGGATACAGGAACGATAACAGCGTCGAGCCTTCGCGCATCTGGCGGACCTCATTGATATCGCCTTCAATCATGGGACTGCGAACCTTGAGCAGAATATCACTATCCGCCCAGAGCTGGGAGCGGTCCACCACGATGGCGCCAGCATTCTGGTATGCTTGATCTGTAAATTTTGCCTCTGATCCGGCACCACGCTCGACAAGGACGCGGCTGAACCCCTTTTTGAGAAGAAGGGCGGCATTCTGGGGCGTAAGGGCAACGCGGCGCTCGTTTAGGTACGTTTCGAGAGGAATACCGACAGTAAGCGCAGAGTAGGGAACAGAGGTGATGAGGCTGGGCGGGGACTGCTGTTGCTTCTCCTCTTGCCGCTTCGCAGTGTAGGAGAACGTGCGCGATTGGAAAACTGCGAGTCACAGTTGTACTGTTAGTTTCGGCCGGTCATAAGATAGTGAAAACCTACCCGAGAGGGCGATCACCAATCGTCTCCTAAGCCCTGCACGGGTACTAGCCTGGCATGAGGGGAAAGGCTTCACTGTCGCCAACATTTTCGCGGGGTCAACAAGCGGAGACGATGCCTATACGGGATCGAAGCACGAAGAAGGGTTACCATCCGCTGGGCACATCGATGGAGTATGTAGAGCTGCGGTTACCCAAAGGTGCTGCTGCGACACGTCTAACCAGTTGAATGGCGACAGGTCAAGGAACGTGAGGTATACCAGAAGTCTGGAGGCCCAGGGTCGATTGCATGTAGCTATAGTGGAAGCATGTAGTTATGTACACGGCAAATGCTCTCGGGTGCGCAAAAAGAGGTGCCACCTCACCCAGGCCTAATGACAACCACAGCCCGCGGACAGGATGCAGTAGGCCAATACTGTTCTCTTTGCTTTCAATAATGTATATGTATCAAGCAACGCGGCGGGCAGAGCAACCCGGGCCAGGGTGGTATCGTGAGCGTGCGTGCGGGGGTGGCCAAGGGATGTACGGAATAGTTAGTGATGTAGGGATTGGCAGTCTGAGACGCAAGAGCTGGCCACGGACCCTGCTAACGAAAGAACGACGAGACCTCCAGCTGCTCTATGTGTGCGAAAGAGAAGAATCGACAGTCGAGATATACAACAAGTAGATGATGCTTTTAGAGACCAAGCTGCCCCTGGTGCGGAGCCGGCGATGACTCGAAGTTGGCGGGCAATCAGAGTTTGCCGGCTGCGGGGGGAGCCCCCTAACTAGTTCTCATGGCAAAGCCAAATCTTGAGAACTGGGATAGTATCACGGCCAGGAGGCGAGAGTCAAAATGGGCTCGGCATTCCTTAAAACACGGCTACCCACCACGAGATTTTCCCCGCTGTCCAGCAGCAGCCTTCATTGCGCGGAATATCCTTGTGTCAAACAATCGATACGTTCAAGAGCTGTATATGGTTGCACATACTTAAATATTTACAATGATGTTGACACTGCTCTCGAGAGGAAAGATCCTTATTGTCTGTAGCTTTCTGAACTCTTGCTATATAGAAGGGCTTCCAGCATGTCTTCGTTCATTGGGCCAGAGTGTGTCTGCAAAGGGTGCACCAGCATTTACCTGGTGATGGCTCTCATCTAAGAATTGAACAGTGAGCACTTTATGTCTATGTGAATCAATCCATCTATCTTTTCTTATTGATGACCAAAAGGTCTCTGTATCCTCTCTACACGAGTTGACGGCTACAATGAGTTCTGTGCACAGTATTTAAGTCGAGGTCATTCGTTGAACTAAGCATCGCTCCGATTAATTTCTTCAGCAGGCAGTAATTTCCCAGATTATCCGGCATTATTCTCGCTGAGCATATTCGTACTCCTAAATTCGCCGTTCCCAGGTATCTTCACGCTTTGATTTCGTCATGGTTGGCATGTCCCATACTTGGAAGTCTACCAAAGCGGCCTCAGTAAGCACTTCTGATATAATATGATCTGAGTGAGCTTCCATTTCCCATATTTGTCAATAACTTGGAGCAAATGTCCGACTCCTATCCACTCAGACTCGACGGAGATCGAGTACCTGCCACAGTGATGTTGAGAAAGTGCTGCCATTTGACAATGTAGCCTCTAAGGCAGACCCTTGTGATTTCGAATTGTCAGCAGGCTATTTTGCTACTTATCGAATTGCAACAACTGGGGCATGTGTTTGTGAAATCATAGAATGGAGAATACAAGAATGCATCCGAAATAACCCGCAATGTCAAAGATACGGTGAAGCACATGGACATAGCTGGAGACGATAAGATCAGTAGGGATAGCGTGAACTGGGGTATGTTTTTATAGTCATTGATGTGGGTAGTAGGATACGGGAAATTAATTTCGGACTTTGCCGACTGCTGGGTCAATTTGACTTGCAGCTTCAATTCTATGCTGGCAACGATATTGAAAACATCTTCAACTACGGAGTAAGGTAGTGAGTGATCTGTCTTGGGTGAGGTAAGCCTGATATCTTCAATGCTGGCGTCTTCGTATATGCTGGTGGAGCCCAAGTCAAGTGTACGGAGAAGTATGCATATTGTTGTTATTGTTCCTGCATGTTCGTCTCCATATCAAGCAGGGCACCATTGTATGAACATGGTCTACGGTTCGGGCGGCTACCAAGCTTTCGAAGCCGCGGAAGGGCCGGGTGCTGACGAAGAAGGATGAAAGGAAAACGATACGACGCCTGTCCACAAGACCAAGTCAGTTCTCCGTAACGGGTGAAGGAATAATGTTTACGGAGAAGATGTTTCAGATTTACCATCCAGACCCGCGTCTTCCACGTTTAGAAAAGCGATATCGGAGGCCGCATACGGCGATTGCGCGACATGATTTGTTAGGTTCGGAAGCATGTGGAGATCTGGCGTGAGGAACACTAAGCACAAAAAGGTTGACAGTCAGGGGAACAAAAAAAATTAGAATAATATAATGAGCTCCCGCCCAAATCTTGCCATTGAAACAGCGAGTTCTGGCGGTCTGGCAGCGCGTTGGCTCAGCCGTAACTGCGCAATCGATGGTGGGTGTTGCTTCACACTCGCTGTGATCGCGGCTGAACATGCACATCGACAGCCAGAGTGACTTCATCACGAGCCCCGGAAATGACGGCGCGACGCGACTTGTCCGGAACTTGCATGAACCGCCACTGAGTGCGTGCCGCGCAGGTACCGGGCAGGTATCGCGCGACAGTCCAGAGCGGCCTAGCGCGACCCGCCATGGCGCCGCGGCCGCGGCATTGGCCAACCAGCGTGTGCGGAGCGGTATGAGTCACACTTAGACTCTGCAAGGGCCGCGCTAGGCCGTGTCGGGACAGGCGCGCCGGTCGGAGGGACCGTTTGGGGAAGGCGCGCGCAGGCGGTTCAGCTGCGCACAGGAAGGAGCGCCCTTCCGCACGCTGGAGCCGCAGCCAAGCCTCCTCGTGCTGATGTAAGCCCGGCGTATTTAGCGGCTGCTGTGCCTCGCCCGCTCTTCTTCGTCTTTTTCTCTCGCTTCCTCACCCACAATCTCGACTTCATTCACAACAACCGCAACATCTGCCACGTACGGAGTACAGCTGCACTTCCCACTCTTTGACTTAAGGGCTTGTCCATAATGGCCTCCCTTTAGGCTTCTGGCTAGTCTTCGTCCCGTTTTCTCTGCCCCGGGAGAAACACCGTAACAATACTTTCCTCTACCCCTCCCCACTCAACTTCGTCCCCTTCACCAGAGTCTCCTTTTAAAGGACCTCTGAACTTCAGCCTCGCCTCGTGCAGCTCAAGTTCCTCGTTCTCGAGAACAATTTCCCCGTTCGACACCACGTCGTTCACCACGGATACCCTACAGTCAACATGGCCCCTTCAACCCCCCTCATCGCAGCCTCAGGCTTCAGCCATTTCGGTGCTTCCCCCACAGAGCGACTTTGTCCTCTTTCCTGCTCCCGCCCGCCCAGTTCCTCAGCACTGGAACTCTCGCCCAGTGAACTCCCTTAGAGTTGCTCACCAATCGCCCCCCGTGCAGGGCGTCCATCTCAGTCGTCGTTCCTACCATCCATATCGGAAGCCGCTTGCTCAGTCTCTCCGTGCTTCGATTGCCCAGGATTCTAGAGCGACCAGTCTAGTCAACCAACCTCAAGGGTTTGCCCGTTATTCCACTCGGCCTCATTCTTTTCCCGGCGCGACAGCACCGCCTGCCCAGCGTATACTCGGTCTCTCGGCTTCGGCCAATTCTTCACCGTCTTTACGCCCCCCAGTTCCGCTTTTTCCAGGCACGGAAAACATCCAACTACAGTATCAATTAGCTCGATCTCAAGCACTTCGTCGCAAAATGTCGCCTGCCGACCTTTCACACGGTATGGCAATTTGCTCCAAGTTGATCTGTAGACCACTTTCTAACATGTCTATAGATCTCGGGGCGCTCCTGGACTTCTCCGCGGAAACTTACGCGGAAGGTTTCAGGTCTCCTGAAGATTGTGATTTGTTTGATTCACCCAAAGTTATGAACTTTGCATCTGTCAACACTGTCTCGACTACGGTGTCTCCGAAAGATTTGATGCTGGATTCGTCTGCTCCACCATCAGCTTCTTTCACTGACTTGAGCACCCCGTCGTTTGATTCTCCTGGCTATTTCAGCCAAGATACTTCTCCGCTCTTCGGCATGGAAGAACTCGGCCCTGGTCATGAAAACTGGGAGTCCTTGTTTCCGGCCGACTCTGTACTTGCAAAGATGGACACGAAGGTGGAAGACAAACCTGCAATGGCTCCGGCCTCCGCTCCACCTATGACTCGTACCCCGTCCTCACCAGGAGCGTCTCCTAAAGCCGGTCGAGTCTCCACTCGCCCCTCGTCCATCTCTGGAGTAAAACCTCGCAATCGGGACAAACCTCTTCCACCAATTGTTTTCGACACTGCTGACCCAATTGCTGCTAAGCGGGCAAGGAATACCGAGGCTGCTCGGAAATCTCGTGCTCGCAAAGTCGAAGCTCAGGACAAAATGGAGCGTCGTATTGCAGAGCTGGAAAAGGATTTGGCCGAATGCCAGCAGCGTGAAGCCTACTGGAAGTCTGTTGCAGAAGCTCGACAGTGATTGAATCATTTTTATGCTTACTATTTTGCTTGTTATTTTGCTTGAATTGCTCGTGCGATACTGTAGTCTGCGATGATGGGCGGTTCGGGCCATGTTTCGATCGAACCACTACCGAGAACATTTTTCCTATTATTGGAAAAGCAGTTTACGGTCGGTCAAAAAAAAGTTGTGAATGTTTTTTTAAGTATTGCTGTGCCGTTTGATCACTCTTTCGATCTTTTCCAACCACCTATTCTTTTATTTCCCACATTTTCTCTTTTGATATCTTGCCTGAGATGTTTTGCTTCGGCCGGTTCTGATGTCTCCTGGGCCTCGTCCTAAGGATCGACTCGTGGCCTTGATTACGTTATCTCTGCACAATCTCCTTTTCGACCTTCTTATAGTCCTAAGTTATTCTATTCTAAATAGGTGAAATCCCTGGAAATGACAATCTTTTACATTTCCTAACTGTCGACTAAAAATACATGAGTTCTGTAGTTTCACAAGATTCCAAGCTCCTCCGCGCATCCTGTCACGTATACTTTTTAACATGTCGGCTTCTAGATGCCGCTCTTTGAATTTTACAATTCCACGCCACTTCTACTCTGTAGGTAATTTGGCCTTACGGTGAGTACCTTGGACGAATCCTGCAGGACTGTGCCACCATGCAAGGGCAATAATAGCTCCGTGCAAGGTAGTCAACGAGGTGGGTTAATCCCACCGCCCATCAGTTCTGTATTGGCCACACATTCACCTGCAGAGATGGAGCACACGGAGTACAAGTGGGCGAACCAGATCAGACTTGAAATGCTGAAGATTTAAAAAAAGACTTTGGCCTTCCGCACAGACCCGATCCTTCAATAAAGAAAAAAAAATCTGTCCCTCCACCCACCTATTATTCCATATACATGGAGCCTTCATACAGTGAGGCAAGGTTTTGGCAACGCTTCATCTTGGGTTTTGCCCCTCTGGATGGGCCGGCCGCGACCGGAGCCACACAACCCACCCTCCTTGGTGAGCTCAGTATTAGCTCATAGAGGCTATTTTCCGCGGTTGGTTTGGGTGGATGCTAGTAAGTTCTGAGTGCGTTGAGTAGCGATTCGGAACTCGGTACGGAGTTAGTAAAGAGATGTAACAGAGATATAGTATCTTGAACCCCATTGAAACTCTGTTGGGATAGATCTCTGATATCATCGGCATGTTTTCTCCATGACAGCCGTTCAGAGAGAACGGGAGAAAAGGGGTAAATAGGAAACCTGCAGAGTCGTCGAATATTAGATAAAGTATCTCATAGAGTCCTCGCTGTTAACGACCAAATAGCTTTCATAGATACCTGCTGATTATCTGTGATTATAGGAATGCACTAGAGTTTGAGGAGCATCAAACTCTACATAAACGTTTGTATATCCTCTGCAAAAATATAATAATATGATATGACTAACTTGAAATCTACCAGTACCCCACAGCACAAGGCTCATGGTGTGTCTGGAATCTGCTTTTGGGTTAAAAAAAATCACGGTGAATAGTGAAGGCTTTGTCCCTTGTAAAACTGAAACTTGCAGAAAGTAAGAAAGCATAGGCAACGCAAGCAGAGAGAGAGCGGGGGGATAAGGGAATCAAATACATATGCCTTTTATATCAAAAGCTTTCAGTCAAAAATCCAAAACCATATGTTATGTAAGTGCATACTGAACAGAAATACAGGTACAAAGGAAAGAAACAAATAAGCCAACGGACAGAATGCCTCCTCGAGAGCAAAAGTATTCTTCTTTTTGAACAGCATCCCGTATATCGCCCGCACACCGATGCATTTGCCTGCACGGTCAACCAAATCGCCATGGATTCCCCTCACGCCTGGATCGTTAAAAAAGAAGAAAAATAAGAGACACCAGAAGAAAATATGCAGGTACTTAGGTGGTAAGGATAGATGCAGAGTGGTGATAGAAAGGCACAAAAAGAAATCATTTCAGCAAAGACAAATCTGCGAAGAAAAAAGACAAGGCAGATATAAAAGATTTGGTACATGATAGCTTCCATAGTCGTTGCCATGTTTCCTCAGGTCTCCCAAATGCCGAACAAGCAAACAAAAAAGATGATACCGGTCAATTTTTTTTCTCATCTGCCACTGGGTTATGGCGTTGATTATGTTACTGTATTATATCGCTAAGTATTTTTTTCTTAGTTCGTAATAAATGTCGCGTGTATTACATAGCGGGGAGGTTGCCAGCCGGGGCCTCGACATTATCGGAAAGATTGATCAGCAACTGAGCAAGGCATCGCTTAGTGGCGGCATCGTCACGAAGGACTGATGAAAAGGTAGCATCGCGCAATGGTTCGGGAAGGCACTGCCGAAGAGCCTCGCGAGCCCGGTTATTGTCGCTGAGCCTGGCTACGGTTAGCAAGGGGTATCAAAAGTAAGAAATTGACTAATGAAAGGTGCCACTTACCGAAGGAAGCATCGAACGACATGCTTCAATAGTCGCACAGTTTGCTGTTCGACGAGCTGGGTTACCATATTGCTTAAGACGGAGCCTACCGCATAGAAACGCTCATATGTAGCACATATGTATGCCAAGCCAACGTCATCTAGTAGGATCTTTTGCACGATGAAAATAGCAACAGTCTTGCTCAGTTCAGAACCGGTTTCCATGATACGAAGGCAAAGAGGAATGATTTCAGTTGTCAAAAGGAAATTAATGACGTCGGACGAATCATTTTTCACCAAAGCACCGATAACACCGAGAGAGGTAAGACGGAGATATTCAAACGGGCGCGATTTCGAGGTGGTATTAAGAAAAGGGTAAAGGAAAAGCGGGATGTGAGCTGTGGCAGATGTCATTAGAGGCCTGGCATATCGGAATAATAATGTAGAATGCATACCGTTGAGGAAGAGAGACCTGGTCTCGTTATGCGACGCAACACACTGTAGGAGAGCAAGTGCGTTGCAAACACGATTTGATGCCGCGGCAGTCAACTGTGACGGGTTGAGTAGCGGATAGACGGAAATAATCTCTTGCAACAAGGATGTCATAACGCCTATTCCCCGGCCGTTAGCAATTCATTCACAGATATAGCAGGACTATACGATGTGGTACACATACCGAATGAATGCCAGATAATAAGAGCCAACTCAGGCACTTGCTCTCGCTTCTTGCTCAGCTCCATTAGGGCCGTCTCTCTCCTACCCGGCTCTAACAGCTCTGCGACCCACACCAACACCTTGCGGTTCTCCTCGCTTATCATACTTTCTAAGTTCGCAGTAGATCCAGTAGCGGTGGTATCTGCGCCTCCAGAAGGGGCCTGAGAGTTGCTGGGAGTCGAGTTATTGAGTGCAAGGCGATTGTAGTGCGGGTTTTGCTGTGGCTGCGACTGCTGCTGCTGCGCTTGTTGCTGTTGCTGGTGTGGATGCTGCTGTTGTTGCTGAGCTACGGCTGCGGCAACGTGCTGGGCTTGTGCATGCTGTGCGGCAACGAGAGAGGACTGATGCTGATGCTGGGCGGACTGCTGTTGCTGCTGCTGCTGCTGTTGCTGTTGGAAGTGCGTCTGGTGCGTCTGGTGCTGCTGGTGCTGGAGCCAGGTGGTATCGGCCTGGGGGTATTGGTGCTGGTGGGAAAACAGGTGTTGGGACTGAGCCTGCAACATCGTGCCAGGTTATTTGTTCCGTGGGTTGACGTCTCTTTTTGACTTCGTGTTCGGACCGGTGGGGGAAGGCAGCCCCGGCTGGAAGCCTGGAAGCGCAGAGGCCAGAGAGGGAAACGGCTCAGAGCAGGAATCCGGCTGAGCAGAGACAAAGCGCGCAGTCGATGGGTATCACAGCGGCGGGAATGGCACGGAGAGAGCAGGTGAGCAGTCAATGCGGTTCGAGTGAGACTGGGCCGCGAGGTCAAGAGAGCGAGAGAAAGGCGCGATGACTAAGCGGGAAAGGTGGCGGTGGTAAGATCACCGTTGAGCAGTGAAGCGACAATGTGAGGGCGAGGTGAAGAGAAGGGCGAGACGACAGAGCTGGCGGTGGTTGAGGTTAGGTTGGATGGAGGTCTGCCTGACGAATCCTGGAGACCCGAAACCGACGCGGTCTGGCGGCGCCGAGACGGAGATCAGGGCGATGATACGCCGGGCGACGCCAGGGGGCCACGATCACAGCCCGCCACGAAGATCGCGCGCAAGGCTTGTGTGAGAAGAATCAAATGAGCACCATCCTAACCTCCAAATAAAATATTACTATTGATCATCTTCTCAATTCTCGATGCTATCTATCTGACCTCCCTCTTCCAACCCATCCAGTCTCGTTGTCTCGTTCATCATCACCGCCACAGCCCAAGGTATGTTCCATCACAATTCCACCAAGTGTGGGTGAATGTATCTATGTACATGAATTCAGAATCAGACCTAACTCCAAACGACGCCATGACTAGGAAACTAAATGCCATTTTCTGAAAATCCGTCCAGATCCCAGTCCCTCGAAGCTGTCCACCGATATTGCATCGTATTAAATCATTATTCTCATGGATAATTAAACACAAAGGAAAGCGCACATGTTCAATTTCACTCGTCGCCCCGCGCATCGCGAACGCTGGCATGGCGACCAGGGAAATATCCAGAAGCAGGTCCACGCCCAGGTGGGGGCCGGTTTTCGGGCTCAACCCAGTTATGTCCAAGATGGCTGCTGGAGCTGCTACTTGAGGTATAATAGGTGGTATTATATGCCGTCGATTTTTCAGACTCATCTCGCCGTCTTCGCAAGCCCAGGCATAAAGCAATAGCGCCGATAATTCCCAACACAGGAGCCCATTTGCTCAACCCAGATGACTGGGGTGGTGGCCTTGGGTGAGAATGGGGACGCCCCTGCGCGCCGGAAACCGACTGCGACATAGAGGATTCGGAGTATGAATTTCTGCGGCGCCGACCTCCACAGCAGAGTCCACGCAGACGATTGGCAGCGCCACCGACACAGCAGCAGAGACAAAGCAGCAGAAGAATGAAGGCACCGGCCAGAGACCCAATGACGATACCCGCGATGGCTCCGCCGCTCAAGTGGCTGCCTCCTCCACCCCCCGGAGCCGGGCCGATCAAGGTCGTACCATCTGTACTGACGGCGGGAATAAAACCAACAGTCGTTGTCACTGGCACTGTGGCGGTAATAGTTGACCCACTGGTTGGGCGCACCGGCGGGCTGGCTGAAGGGCCCGGAATGGTCTCCCAAGGCGAGCCTCCGGCTTGAATGCAGACACCCTTCCCGTTACACATCTGTGCGGCCGTGCAGCAGATGCCCCCGCACGGGGTCTCGCCCAGATTTGTTTTGCACTGGCTGTTTCCGGGCGCCGTTGCCGCAACATATCGGCTACCCGTCGATGTTACTACAACCAGATCCGTCCGTGTAAATGTAGTCGTGAAGGGTTCCCAGGAACCGTTGTCGCCGCCGCCTGCTCGACATGCGGCCTGGTTGTTGGCGTCGGTGTAACATTGCTGGTTGGCTTCGCAGCAGACCTGCTTGTAGAAACCGCACGGATTGGGGCAATTTCGCGGAATGAGGATGTTGTCGTTGCTGGGCGGTGGCATGGGAAACGGCGAAGCGTATGTGAGGAGAGGCGTTGAGAGCAGCGAAAGGATCGAGAGGATCGCGGATCGCATGGTGGGAGGGCGTCGATAATCGACCGGACGAGGAATGGATAAAGAAGTCAAGCTGGACCAGAGCACGCTCGAAATACGGACAATGACAGTGTAAACACGAATGCCCGCAAGCGGCCGAAGCACACGGCGAGGGTGGTCTGCCCAGTGTTTTGAAGCTTCACAAGCTCCGTTGCTGGGGAGGCCGCGAGCCGCGTTGTCTCGGAGTCAACCACCAGCGAGCGAGCGACGAGCAGAAGCAACGCGAGGATTGTCGAAGATCAAGAGATTGACAAATATGAAGGAAGAGGAATAATAATAATAGAAGAGGAACTGGGCGGTCGAAGGCTGGGTATTTCACGGCGCTGGGAAATGCTCTCCCAGCCTCCCCGCCAGTGTTGCCCAACCACCGCCTTTTTTCTTGGTCGCAACGGGCGGGCGGCAATGGCTTGCGACCCCCCGCGTAAAAATAGCCTGGCAGACAAACAGACACCCTGATAGCCTGCGGCTGTTCCGATGATGGCTGTCGCCCTGGCGCGATGAGGCTGCCGCCACCGCTTGTTGGGCTGGTGCGGGGGATCAACATCGCGATGGCTTCGACTGCAGGGAATCAGTCGTGCAGATCGAATCGCACTCCCAACCAACTCTATGGCGTAACCACATTCACTGTTCTATATCGCAGGACAGCAAGCAAGAAATCTGCGAAGCCCAATCTCGTCGGATTTCCACTTCTAATGCTTTTTGCGGGTTTTTGGCAGCGGCTGCCACTGAGCAGTGAGAGCTGTTTGTCATGGTGATGTACTCCGTACATGCCGTCTACTAACCGAAGAAAGAAATGTTTCTTCAACGCGGCGACGACTGGGAATAGCGAAGAGCGATCCTGTTTCTAGTCTTTGCTCTCTTCTTTCTCTCTTTTTTTTATCGGCCGGAGACACCATTTTTAACAGACGTGACTCTTGTTCTATGCCGGCATGCCCTTCTATTTTACACGTTGCCTTCTATAGAACCGTATACCCGTGAAACTTCATTTCAAGGTTTCTTGTTCTATAGCTGTTCATCTTTTGGCATCAAGTCATGGAAGTGATTTTATATTCCGGGGGGTTTAGACCCTAAGCTCTTTTGTTCACGTAGGAGGCTCGCTACCCCCTATGCGGCCCAGGATTTCCAACACAGAAGCATGGTTTTAGATGGCGACGAGCCCGATGTCATTTGATTTCTAAGAATGCAGACTCAGATAACAGATCCCCTTTCCACTCAAAGCAATCTTACAGCCCACCCCTAGTAGACCTTTTTTCTGGCTATATTACCACAATCTCGTCGTCCTTCTCCTCCATTGCTCACAGCTCTCCTGTCATGTTGAAGGTTTCTTTTTGATGTTAATTGTGGATAAGTTATGACATATGATCCACTATCTAATATCAAGTGATCAGATTGAAACGAGAATGGCTCTGTGGCGAGAATTCATCCTGGAGATTTTATTTCTACCAAAATACTACCAGTTCAAAGCGAGCCAATAATCAGGAACTCTTTATTCCGTGCCTATCAGGGTCTCCCCGTCTGTTTTGATGAAAGAAAACCGTCCTGAGTGCTTCTCCTTAATTTTCTCGTGCAGTTCTCCTAGGTAACCAGGTTGTTTGGGATGGCTGAACACATGCCGAATTAACGGAGGATTGGAGATAGCCTCCATGCACTTCAGCTCCCCAAAGTTTTATATGCTCGTTTATCCTCACGGCATGCTCGAGCCCACATATGATATCCGCGACCGATCTCTGCCGGGTTTTTGAATTATATGGCCACATTTCTCCATATGTGTGAATACACAGTCGGAACTTGCGCCAGTATATACCTGATTTAATGGTTGTATTTTCGTAAGGAAAATTCTGCGACGATGGACCCTGATATCTGGGATAATGTGAGGCTCTTACCTTCAGGCCTCGCTGCCGCTGCTGCGACATTCATCCTTTCAATGATTCTCAATTCTTCGTAGAGAGAGTATGACCTCGGAACTGTTACCCTCAAACACTGCAACTAATAAATCTCACATAGATACTGCAAATGATGGCTCATAGCCCGCTGTCACTGCCGGGTTTCCTCTGTACTCCGTATATGGCTTCCCTTTGCAAGATGCTACAGCCCAGGATATGGCTTCTCTTTCTTGGACAATACATTCGCACCATCAGATCATGACATGTCGCAGCTGCCATGATTATATGAGCTAATATTGTATGCATTGGCTATGTAAATATACGCTGGCTGAGCTATATTTGTTTCTTCATCGCCAAAGAAATATTTAAACTAGAAACAAGCAGTTAAACTATAGCTACTATCATCCGAAATGGCCACATCAAACCCTTAGCTATCATCAGGTCGTGGTATAGTAATTTGTGCTTACTGAGAAGTCCTGTCCCGACCCCGCCTCGGTGGATGTGCTTTGATAGTGAGTCATTGAACGTAGTCGATTGTACTCGCTCTGAATGATAGGGAGATAGCTTGCAGGCTTCTCCTCGCTCGCGCATGTTGGGAGGCACTTTATCAGAGACGTAGGATCTGGCGATACGAAAAATGGAATGGAAAAGCGCTCTCGAACGATGCGGTCCGCACCCTCGTAACGGTCAGGAAGAGGGGGTAGCGTGACCCGGTGGGGAGTGGAACGAAGCTGATCTATGAAGAGTTAAATTTAAAAGAAGCCATGAGTTTGGGGGTTGGATTAGAAACAATGTGTGTACCATTGCTCCACCTCTGCAAGAGATCCCCAACATTCATGACGATGGCGTCTTTCATAGGGGTTGCAGGTATAAATTGCCCCTTATTATGGATATCTTCGACCTCCAGCCCACCGCATTCATCTTGAAATAAGAAAGTGATTGTGGACCAGTCTGTATGTGATGGCATGCGCGCATATTTGGCATGCTCCAGCAAGTATGCCGGGATAGGAGGGTAACGTAGCAATCGCAGTTGATTGTTATACCCGGAATGGAATTTTAGTAGATAGTCTTGGTCATCTATGCCGATCCCAAGCGTAATTGCTCTTAGGATATTCTTCGCGACCTGAAAACAATCACAGTAGAACTGCGTCATGAACTTCCGGAATCCGGGAAGCATTTCGTCAGGTATCCATACATTGGGCTGCATCTGATTCTCATCGCTGCCCATGTCGTAGCTTTCCTATCAAAGGAAATAAATTTTATATAAGCTACATTACCCCAGCACATGATATGTGTTCAAACAGAGGGGATTGCTGTTGGTCACCTTGTAGTCAATCACTTCTCGCAACTTTTTTGCAAGTTCGGCATCCTCTCTGTCGCTCGTAGCCTGTGAGACCTTCTCTAATCCCGGACATGAGTATCCACGGTGGACTGAAGCACCGCTCGGATGAGGAGCTTTCTGTTTATCTTCTAGGGACAAGTGAAAGAATCTCTTCGACCAAGCGAATGCCTCAGTCAATCTCTCCGGCGTGATGCCGTGGTTGAGGATATACACGAAGCCAACAGTCTTGCAAGCTGAAACGAGCTCGTTGGCGACACTGTCTCGCTCTTCAGCTGACCCGTCCGGCCTCCATTTGGCAAAATCGACGACAGGTATCTCTGTGGGAGAGCAGTCTAGCTGGCTATCGCTGGAATCCGTATCCATTATTTGCACAAAGTAAATGATGTCAAGCGTTTTAGACTTGAATCCAAACAAAACAACGAAACAATGTAGCTATACCCAACTGCGGCAGGAGGCGGTTCAAGTCACTGAAAATGCCGTATGGTAGAGTTCCCCGGAATTCATGATCGATGAGGGGTTAGCCAGACTAGGTACCGGTACCGCCATGCCGCACAGTGTACGAGGCGGCGAGTACCTGGACATCACCAGTCCAGAGGCGAATCTTGGGCGTGGATGTGTAATAGGATTCACGGTCGCACTGCAAGGAGTCAGTCGAGTAGCTAGCGAGCTACCGCGCACTCCTACACAACACGGCGATTCACAGCAAGCGTCAAGTCTAGCCGCAGGCAAACATGCATGAAACAGGGCCGGCGCCAGCGTCGACGCCGGCGAGGCGCAGAGTCTGGTGGTTTGTTGACACGCGCGCGTTGCCGTGGCAGTGGGTGGGCGGCAGGGATGCTGGGCGGGCGGACGGGCGGTTGGCGGCCTGACGACGGTCTCACATCCTGGCTGGCGAGCCTGCGAACTTCCCGGCCTCTGTCTTTTCTGGTTCGATGGATGCTGAGGACCTTCTGATGACTATCGCTGCTGCTGTAGGAGTCGCTTCGGGTTGAAAGTTCCGGCCCAAGAATTGCTTGTTTGCGGCGATTCGCCCTCTCGTCTGGCGGCGCGTGTACTGGGTAAGTGGACAGGCCAACTGTCGATTGCTTGTTGGCTGGCGATTGATGCTAACAGAGATATATTTGCAGCCATATATACGCCTCATTGCGGACGACACGCCTATTCCCGTCCCCTGCCCTATACGGGTTCATATCGCCAACTATGCGAATATCAATATTCATCCTGCTCCCCGTCCTCGCGCGGGCGTCTGCCGCCGAAACCCTCTCGCCTTTCTCTCATCCTCTCGTTGACGGGTCCGATATCATAGCACGCGATGGAACCGAGGCCCTATCAATACTAAAACGACAAAACGGCTGTCCGGCCGGTTTCAACTCGTGCGCGTTTCTAGGAGCCGCTGGCGCATGCTGCCAAAGGGATACCATCTGCTCTCGAGATGCCTCGAATCACATTGCATGCTGCCCAACGGGTGCCGCTTGTACTGGTGTTCTAGCGCGTAAGTGATAGCTGTTCGCTATCAAAAACAGGAAGAGAAACAGAGACTGACAAGAAAACGTATAGCGACCGCCACATCGTCTGGATTCATGTTCCCTCAGCCAGGAAGCCCTACAGTAACGAACCAGCCAACTCTAACCGGTAGTACGGTTCCAAACGCTCCATTTCCCTTTGTTTATATCACAACAAGTTTCAGGAATCAAGAAGACTGCGTACGCGCATACTCCGGCTGCGCATCGCAGTTCCAGGTCTGCACGAGGTCCCTGGGGGGCGTCAACGGCGTGACAATAAATGCCGGCAACGGTGTCGGCACCACGGTTCAGGGAGTGGTGGCAACGGGGAATCCTCAAGCTGTTTGTTCCAGTTTAAGTCGTGAGGCTTGCTTTGGACTGCAGGAGGGCTACTGTACTGCATTCCGAAATGGTAATTCTGGAGGCTCACCACCTTCAAGGAGAAATTCACAATTCTACGAGATACTGACCGGCCTTGGAATTGCGCTTGCGGGCATGATAGCTTGAATCACACCAGGTGCTTTTATATTTCTTTATGATACCTGTTTGCGATGAAGATCGGGAGCAACTTGCACATGAATATTTGCGTTTTTATTGCGGATTCAAAGACATTGAGTGTATATATGAGTTGACCATAGTACGCAGAGTGCGTACCTTTTTGTTAATGATTGCCACATCTGCTTTCCAATTCATCTCCGCAATGGCGTTTTCTTTCGGGCCACCCCGGCCTGTTCACTTCCAATTCGCAGCCACTTTATCTCGACCTATAGCTTCAATAAAATGTTGCCTTATTGCCACACCCTTCAGTGTATTTATCCATTTCTTCGTCCAAGCGTTTTTGTTCGAAGTACTTTTGTGAATGTACCCCATGACATCATATCGGACCCGGAGAATATACCTCCCGTTTATTTAACAACATCACTTATGTAACTAATCAGTGGCTAGTTTCGCTACATCCTAAAGTGTACGGAGTGTCGATTTCATGATCAGTTTCACGATCCTATTAGAAACGATGTTGCAATACAAAGGCCTCAATTGCATCGCTGTCCTTGCACTCCATGTGAGGAACTCCCCAACCATCAACGCTGTTTCTATTCTCCGTACTACCCACCCTTGCCCATTCGACTGAGAGGTCCGCCGAACATCTGATCGATTGCCGCAAATAATCGAAGCAATGGTCTATGTGCTGATGCACTAGAAAGCTCTCATTGGCTTGGTTGCGTAGCTTATTCGTGTGAACATGGCTTGTGAGCTCTGATTTGTGATAAAAGGTCTCGCGAATGCTGGCCTAGGAATAATATTTGAGCGAATTTGCAGGCCTCGCGAAAAGCGGGATGGGCTATAACGTACCAGGCAATGCAGCTGATGATACATGCTTAACCCGTATCTCTCAGCACCCGGCCTCGCTGGTACTCCAAGGGGCAAGCCGTACTTTCGAGGGTCTTCTATGACAATCGAATGGGTAAAGCCATTTTGAATCTCCTCCTTCCAGAGATCTGCAGACCCAGGGCTGGAGGCCGCCCAGCGATCGTCCTCTTGAAAAATCACTGGCTCGTCTGTTAAAGGTACTATGCTGTTTTAGTCTTCATTCCTGGAAAATCCCTTAAGCTACGGATACATACTGAGCGGAACCGGTCCTGTTTTCTTCACACGCTCCCCAGGTTGACTAAGTCCATACAAATAGACCGCCTCGAGCAAAATTAAGATAATTGTAAAAGTGGAAAACAGCGCACCGCCCGATACACCATTAGTGAAATACCTGTTCTTTGCAAAAGAAAGATCTAACATGTTGCATGCCCGTACCCCTCATCCTATGATACCGAATATACGTTAATAGAGGATTTGGGACAATTGAAGAGGGAAAAGTTCTATGCGGATCTACATACTGGGGATGAACAAAGAGCAATATCTGTTGGCAGCACAGCATGTTGTACTGCTCCATGGGATCACAGGATATCAGCCAAACAGCTGCTGCTGTCGCAACACAATTTCTTTGTGAACATTCTTCGAGACGAGGAGATATCCGCGTCGACGGTCAGTTATGTTGGTTTATTTGCATTTCTTGGGGAAAGAAACATTCAACAATTTTGACAATAAACTTACGGGACGGTGCCATTCTCAAGTAGCTAAGCATATTGGCTGTATGAGATAAGAAATTGAGTTACTTTAACATGCTGACCGGAAAAAAACACGACTTTAGGCCGAGCTAGCGCTGGCGCGCCGAAAAGAAGGATCTGCTGGGAGCTTGTGCAAGCCGGCAAAGAATATTTTGTTGTGTTGTTGTTGTTGCCCAATCCATGCTGCAATAGTTACCCCGAAACAAACACCCAGAGCTTGCTGCTGCGTCCTTAAATGCATCTTCCTCTTTTACGAACGGGCCGTTCAACGACGCCGGTGCAGACATGGCAATCGGTGTAAGTAAGACAAAGAGAATTGTTGAAGCAAGGGGGGTGCGAGCAGCGTCGTTTCTGCAGATGGTTGGTGTTATCCGAAGATTGCGGCTCATCTACATCGCTACCCTCTAGTGGTGTGAGTGAATCAAGTTTCGCCTTGATCAGCTTCGTCATGTTATCGTCGGTAGCAAGCTTGATCTCCCCGTCGATTTCGATGACATATCCGCCGTACTTCGGTATCACCATAGAGTCTAGAAATTTGGCTGCTTCCGTGTGGTATTCAACCCACGTAGTCACGATGATTGCGGTCTTCGGGAGCTCGATGGTATAGTTGGCTGTTGACATGGTTGCCAGCAGAAATTGTATAAATACAAATAAACTGAGGCCTGCGCGCGTTAGCTTGATTTCAGACAATCGATACGTCTAAAGGAGAAACAATATACCTAGCATTTGGTGGGTCGATCGTGGATGACGCTGGAAGTTGAGAAGGTGGTAGGTTGGAGAGGGCTTTACTTGGAACGGAAGGCGGCTCACGAGGCTTCTACTATGTGCTGTGGTTTGGACGCATCAAAAGGGCCTGCCAGGAGCGAGTTTTTATAATTGAGCAAACTAACCGCAGCAGCTCACCAGCATCCATATTCAGCATCCGAATTTTGTGCCTCACAGCCGATGAACTGCCGCCGCCCTCCACGGCAATGTTCCATTCTGGTGCTGAAACATGGAATCTACTAACCCGGAGGGGCATTGGGGAAGCACAACGCGGGATCAAACATTATATTTACGGTCTAAACGCAATGGGCGGAGTTTCACTGACTCTCTGTTGCTTATTGGATCATCGAACATACGATATTCATCCTTGGCCTGGACAAAGTAGGAGCGGCGATTAATGAAGTGAGACTTGGGGAAGGCCATATTCGCGTCAAATATTCGGCATTTTGTTAAGATATTTCTCAATAATGCTTTATCGACATACCGAATGAAGCCTGGACGCTACATTTCATTTCCAAACCGGTGACCACGAATCTCTGCTATTGTTAGCATATACTCCGTACCCGGTGCTCTTCCGATATCACAGGCCATACTCCATATGTGAAATTGACAACGTACCCCACCAAGTTTGCCTTGGGTATGTTATGTTCTCTTAAAGTTCCTTTCCTACCACTCCTAGAGGCTCTGCTCGCTAGGATTACCAGTTAGTTTTAGATAACATCATGTGCCAGTTGTTGTCGGAATGAGCAAGCATTGATAACGTGGGACTTTCCCTCTGGATTCTGCCTTTAGCTGGTACAACATACCACCGTGAGATACACACACTGCATATTCCCGTGGGAATTGGACGATCACAGTTGTAGATCGCCCATATCTATAGTTGGCATTTGCTTTTCTCAGTCATCATATCATGTTCAGAGCGTCACGCGGTGCTCTGCCCCTTTACTTGAAGGCGAATATCAAAATCTGTTGATGGGTTGGACAGTGAAACATTGAATACGTCATGTCCATTTGATATGCTGCATACAGTAGAGCTATATCTCTGTATTATCTCCTAGGTACTCCGTACAGCGCCTCTCTGTTTCTACCCCATAAATCAAGCAAAAATAAGGTTGCGGCTCATCCATCACGTGCACATCTCTTCCGGCCGCTTTATCGGGCCGAAACCAGATTTGCGCCGGCGAAAAGGCGATGAGAGGCGGGCGTGACAGCGAGACGGAGATGGACACGAATTGCGATGCACGGGCTGCGCTGGTATATGTATCGGACTCGATGAGCCTGCTGGCCGTTTGTTAACGACAAAACCTTGCCAATTCGAGGCCATGACGACATGATTTTGCGGCTCGTTTAGCGTCCAGACTCTGAATCACGACCTCACAAACCTCCGTAGTGCCTGCAAAAAATATAATGCTCCTCCTCAGCCATTTTAGTGACGAAGATTCATTACGTTCTGGCACTTTCTAAACGGGCGTTTCATGATATAGGCAGAGGCACTGCTCGTGGATCGAGTAGACAAGCATGTCGAATGGCTCTCCATCGACGGTGCAGTTGAGAAGCTCTCCCGGTACGGTGTCGCCCAGTTTTCAGATCCCTATCGTACGCGTTGTGAATAACTAGAAATTATAGTTACTTCGTTCTCTAAACCAGGCTTTCACTTCGCTGCCGGCCTGCTCTCCGGTCTCACGTCCTCCATCCTACTCCAGCCGGCCGACCTTCTCAAAACACGCGTCCAGCAATCGAGCAAAACGGCTGCCCTCCTTCCTACTATCCGTAATATTCTTGCATCTCCACATCCTATTCGAGGATTATGGCGTGGAACTCTTCCTTCTGCTCTGAGGACGGGGTTTGGCTCGGCGTTATACTTCACCAGTTTGAATACCTTGAGAACAGCAGTTGCAACAAATGCTCCGGAGCATATGTTTCAGGGCGGTAAAGGCAATTCCCAGAGCAATGGTATGACCAGAACGTCAGCATTGCCTAAATTGTCACATACAGCAAACCTAGTCACTGGTGCTGTCGCACGGGTCTCCGCAGGGTTTGTGATGATGCCAGTAACGATTCTTAAAGTACGCTATGAATCTGATTACTACACCTATCGAAGCCTATGGGGCGCTGCCAAGGACATCATCCGTCATGAGGGAGTACGAGGTCTATTCTCTGGCTTTGGAGCTACTGCCATTCGCGATGCGCCGTATGCAGGCCTATACGTTGTCTTCTACGAACATTCCAAGCGCACACTTGCCACTCTTCTCGGTCCTACCAACCCTTCCTCCTTATCTTCTTCAGGCACTGCCGCTGAATCAGCATCTCGAGCGCCACCTTCAACGGCATCAATAAACTTCTTCTCCGGTGCACTTGCTGCAGGCCTAGCTACGACCATTACGAACCCTTTCGACGTCGTGAAAACCCGCGTTCAATTGATGCCTTCTAAATATCGAAATATGGTTCGTGCAACGAAATTAATGTTGAGGGAGGATGGGATGAGGAGCCTATTTGGTGGGCTGGGATTGCGAATGGGAAGAAAGGCGTTGAGCTCGGCGTTGGCGTGGACGGTATATGAGGAGTTGATCATGTGGGCAGAGAAACGATGGGCAGAAGAACAAAAAGAGCTTGATCCGGTGTTGTAAGCCCGTGTTTGACGTTGTAAGGTCTGGGAGCATTTCATGGTTGTGGCTCTGGTCGTTTTATCGTGCTAGGGGCCGGCGAAAGTATGGTTCTAGCAACATTATTATTATAGGCGAACTGATGATATGTAGTGTATATTATATTGCACAAGTCGGTGTATGGCGTTATATAGTTATGCATTACATAGAGCGATAAGCAATCTCCTCTTCAGGGAATGGCTCTGACGATCTGAGCAAACTGGCTAAATGTGTATCAGGCAAAGACAGACATGCAAGTCGCAGAGGTAAATACAGATATGGAAAACATATTCATCTTGAAATTCATCAATAAATCAAATCATTGGTCATAAAAGCATTGCCATAAGCATCGGGTCGTCCAGATGTTAGTGGTCTTTTCAACGCAAGAGGTTGAACAAGAACAGCGCGGGCCCAAGAAAATATGAAATTTAGAAATGAAAGCAAATCACTGATGTGGCGAAACAAAAAATAAATCAAAGCTTGATCAGAAGGAAAAGAAAAGAAAAGGGGCGGGAGCCAGTATGCCGCCTTGACGTTTTAACGAGGAACCAGAACAGTTTTCTTCGGCTTCTTCCTCACCAAGAAAAATTTGTCTCGCTTCTTATCGTTCACTCTCATTTCAATAAACTCATCTGGCACTGCGGGGCCAGCAGTGATCAACTGGGTCTCTCGTTGTCGGCGGGAGTGTTCAAAGAGCTCTTCCTGGAGCTGATGGGGCACAAAACAGTTGACGAGGATGTAATCTGCATCATACTACAAGAAGAAATCGAAAAGTTAGTGCCATAGCAAAGGCTATTAAGGAAGTAGGGCAACACTAACGGGATCCCATTCCCAAGGAAGGCCGTATGCATCCAGCGAGGCCGGTCCAATGAAGCGGCGGTGGACCTGATAAGAAGTAATAATAATGATTAGCTTACATAGAACATTTTAGGTACCAAAGGGGCCGAGTAAGATAGTCATACCTTCATGCAGTGAGAATTCGAGCCACCAGCAGGCACTATTTCTGTAACCTCTTTGACCTCTTTAATTTCCGTAACCTCTTTGCATTCTTTCTTGGAATGGTGTAGAAAGTCTTTCATCTCCGCCTCGGTCGTACCAAATTCACAGAGCATCTTACTGAGTCGCTCGTTGAATTCTTTCTCAGCCTTCTCTTCAGCTTCACGACGCTTCAGTTCCTTTTCCGCCTCCCTTTTCTGGAACTCCGCAATTGCATCTTCTCTCAGCTTCTTCTCGTAATTTGCACGCTCCAGCCGGTCTGCATCCGCCTTATCCTGCTCGGCCTTTATCTTTGCTCGGATCTTATCTTCATGCTCCTTTGCCTTCTTCTCCTCTTCCATGGCTTGCGCGCGTGCTACTAGAAATGCATCTTCAACGTGTCGTTTATTTGCCTGGTCTTGCTTGATCCTGCGTAGTTCCTCATGGGAGAGTTCATTCTGTATCTCTTCGCGGGTCCAGCATTGGTCTCTTCTCTCCCTACTCCAGCTTCGGTCTTCGCGGAGCATTCGGGCCCATTCACGGTCCCAGTTACGTTGTCTTTCATATTCGCGCTGGCGCTCTACCTCTCGTTCCTTCTCAAGTTCCAGTTTATGCTTCTCAGTCTCTCGAAAGAGCTCATCAAGCTGCTTTTTGCGATATCGATACTTTTCTTCTTCTTCTCTAGATGAATTGTCACGGTGTTTACCGTTGATCAACTCATCCAGTTTCATCCTTTGTATCTGTATCTGAGTTTCAAGGTCAAGCCTTTGTGCATCCTGCACTTCTTTACGTTGGCGTTCCTTTTCCTTTTCGCATTCCCGCCTAACTTCTTCTTTAATTCTCTGTCGGGTAAGAAAGTCGTGTTGGTCTTTTAGAATGGATTGCTCCACAGAGTCCCACTCGCTCTTCCGCTGGCGGGAATACGAACGAGCCCGTCCACGTTCGGGTGACGGGGAGCTGCGTCGGGTCTGTTCGTTGTTGATGTCGATGTAAATCTTCGGGTCCATGCGACTAACAGACGATGCTCGCTCACGACCCTTTTCGGTAATATGAACAAAGCGAGATTTCTCTATGGGACGTCGATGGACACGAATTTTCCGTCGGTAAGAGTCCTCCTTTATAAATGAGTCTGAGTCCGAGGAATCATATTCGTAAATTTTATCTCGCACCATGTTTAATACCAGCCTCCGCTTCTTTTATTCTCTAATAAGCTGTAAGGTGCGAAAAAGAACGCACACCACCCGAGAGTAAATGTAGATTTGGACGTAACCGGAAATAAAGCGCAAACTCCCAAAAAACAAGACTTTAGGAATTAATGCGTAGACTGAAGATAGTAGAACGACAGTGCGTTCTGTGAACCGGCGGGGAAAGTTTTGAGGCAGGATACCACCAGGTCGTAAAATGACAAAACTGTCGCCGCGGGCTGTTATCGGGACTTCGCTTAATTTGCGGTACCTGAGGCCCTCGTGGCCAGGTGATGACTTGTCACTGTCGTAGAAAGCTGAAGGCTGAAAGGTGGGAGAGAGTGGGAAAACGAGCAACGGGAAACATCCGGGCTTTAATAGCGGCCTACGATAGGGCGGATTATAGGGCGGCTGCCGGAACACGACGAGCCGCTGGCAAGGTCCTGCACTCAACAGCCAGGATCTGGCTGTGGGCGGGAGTCGAGGGCGGCCAGTTGAATGGAGAGGCTGCACCAGCGGCGGGGCAGCCAAGGGGTTAGGCAGCGTCTTCGACAGACGGAGTCCGGATCCGTTGGATCGCTGCCTAAGGAGGACGTTCAGGCAGAAACAGTGGAAGTGTCTCGAGGCTGGGAGCGGGAGGGTCGCTGTGGGCAGGGAGATGGGATGGGCTCTTTAACGGTCCCCAGCCCCCTCTTCTTGTATCTTCCTCTGGCGTCTGTCACGCCGTGCGGGTGGAGCAGGCCGTGATCCTGGCTGACGCCAGAGTGCGTCGCAATACACGGCTCCCCAATCACATCGCCGCGTGTCATCCTTTGTCGCTGATCACGAGCAGGGGATACGCCGCCTGAACACCGTCATACCGCATGCTGGCCCTGTTTCCTGGCTCGCTAAAGACCCGAGCCGCCGACTGAACGAAGTTCGTTTTAGTGCGTGCCGAGAGCGATGTCGTCGAGGGTGCAGCAGACAGAGACCTTCTTTGCCCCAGCAGGGAATCAGCGGCCAAGGACGAGACTCCTCCGAAGCTCGACGGGTCTTCTCGTGGTTCCAAGGCACTGGCGCACCGACGATAGTGAGACGCCCGAAGGAGCCAGGGCAATTGATCGCCAGGGCCACAGCCGCCAGTTGGGCGCCCAACTCTTCGAGATTGGGCTTCGAGGCGGCAACAAGACGTTTCGGCGGTCTCCACTTGCTGTCAAAAGGCGGGCTAACCCTGAACTTAGCCGTGAAGCTACCGGTTGTTGGGGGCGCAGTGCTTGTCAACGTTGGGCTTTGGAGCCGTGGAATCGCGTGTCGTTCGGCGGAAGAAGAAAACGAAGGGCAACGGGGGAGGAAAACTGCCAATGCGGAATCTGCCGCCTGCCCGCAGGAGGCGCCTTTTGAGCCATGGAAACACTACGAGTGGTGGTCAAGCATTTTTAAGCTACCAGCGTGTTGAGAGTTCGCTACTTACCGTGGCCACCAGGGCTGCATTTGACGCGGCGTTCTCCCTCGCGAGCCCTTTTGAGTCCCCGTTGCAAGTTTGGGTGGTCGGGTTGATATTCTAGATTATATATGCATCATACTAGTAGCATGTCCATGTGTACATCTACCACTTGATCCAGTGTGTGATCAGTACCAGGGGCGAATGCATATTGAGACAATATTGGCTTTCATATAGACCGGCCCATTAAATTAAAGTCACGGCCGTCTTATAGAATCTTTCCTCTAGGCAAGACATGCAAATATTATGACTTTTGAAGCATCCATTCCCGGCATGTAACCTGTCATTCATCACGCTTTTGAAGCCCTGGTCCACCGTACCAGAGCTTAGGGCCCGGTTCCACGAAATGTAGTGGATAGGCACTCGCAAACCAAAAGGGGGCCCTTTCTTCTGGAAATTGACCCGAACGCCGAGCTCCATGCACAATGCTTTTTATCCCTCACTGTCCTTGGTACATTTCAATTCTCGTCCTCCCTCACCACCCGATATAAAACAGCAGTGTCATGATCTGCCACCACTTCGGAAGATCTGCTCCATCTGTGCCCGGCTGTTCTTAAACGTTGTCTCCAGATAGTGTAATCTTTTTTCTAGATTTGCTAAATCCGTTTTCAGCCCTTTCTGTTCATCCGATAACCGTTTTTTCACGTCGCCTATAGGTGTTGTGACAAACCTGCGTAACACTATGTTAGCCCTCTTCGATAATACTACAGTAGAAAATTTGATGCACATTTTACCAACGCCTTCGTAGACGTTTGTGTTCGGGGGGACTTGGCCAAGCTCGTTCGACGTCAGCTCTGAGAGGCGCATATCTCGCTGTTTCGCCGTGATTTGTGATTTAACAAGACCGATTTGCTGCTGCGAGGCAATGGCCTGGGCTTCAATTTCTTGGACAAGCTATGCCGGACAGCCGATGCGTTAGCAAGCCATTGTTCGGAGCGAGAAACGGGGGCAGGTCTTAGCTGAATCCCACCTTCTGGAGCGCCTCGTTTGGAATCGCCATTTTGAATGGCAGAATATTGGTGTAACAGTGTTAGGAGAGAGTTATACGCCGAGATCTGGTAGGATTAGTAGTGTACTGCGGGTCAATTGATCACTTCCTCGTGACGGCGCATTCATTGCTCAAAATGTGATGACAACGCAACAAGATACCTGATTGGCCTGAGTATCGGAGTCGTGTTATTAATATTCCGGCTTGGCGTTTGGCGGGGTTGCGGAGTGGGCAAAACCTTCATCCGATTATGCTTTGGGCGCCTAAAAACTTACACGGAATGTCCTCTTATAAAATCGCCCGTCAAGTTCAGAACCTCGACTCTATATACAAACAACGTTGAGCTTTCCTAATCAAAATATCCAAAAATAGAAAGATTCAGCAATTTGGCTTTTGGTCTAGTATAATTGGCGTGACTCTAAAAACATTGGATAGGCTCCACTTGGCTGCTGAACCAAAACGGACATTTAGGATAAACGCCAGACAGACAAGTCATATATCCAGAAAGATCATAAAAATTGGAGCGGATCGAGATACAGAACAAGGAAAATAGATCTAGGCCATTGAGCATGGCCAGCTGAAGACCTTTGCTATCTACGGCGGAAGTGATATGATGCCAACACACCAAGCAATCCATATTTCTTGGGTCTGGTGAGAGCAGAAGCCTCTTGAGTCATTATGTTGAATAAACAAAAGGGTGAGGTCCCGCAACCGATAAATTCAGAGCTTTGCCTTCCCAGACTAGCTCCTATGAATGTAGGTTGCGATGAACACAATATAGTGTTGATCAGAAGTTAACTGTGATTCTGTGAATAGGTGGAAGAAGTAAGGGTGCAGCACATTGGCCAAATTCAAGAATGGAAAGGCGCAACCAAAAATAGGATGCATTTTGCCAGAATAATAATTGAAACGTCATGCGAGTCACAGTAGGGCTTGAGATGAGAAACTGACATCTAGAAGCCAAAAGGACAAATAGGGTCAGAATGAGAGCCTCAAAAGTAGATTCCTTTCTGTCCAGTGTAGGTAACAGCCTTGCACCGAAATTATTCACCGTAGTTTCCCAGTAGGAAGAATTCTTTTGTATTTATATATATGAGGCTGTGAAGCCTGTAGAAGTCCTGGGAATTCAAGGAATAATTGAATTGCTGCTAGGACAGAAAATCTCCAATATCCTGCTTCCCTGATAAGCTTCGTCAGAATCCCATGGTGGATCACATTTCAAAATCGGCACGGTTGAAGAGAGGAATAATAATTGGGGAGAGACTCGACTGCCGGGTACGGAGTAAGCAACTCTACTCCATACTCCGTATTTATGTCGTCAAAGTTTGGGTGGTATTTGCTTTTTGTTATTAGCATAATGGAAAATTTTTCAGGGTCAAAAGCATGGAGGACCATACAATCGCACCAACAAGGCACACTTCTAGCCTGCATCCATCGGCCCCCCAGATGGGGCACATTTGAATGCGCCCACCGCAATAATGAACGTTCGCCTGATTTCTTGGACCCTTCCACTCTTCCGATGGCCTTTAGGGCCAAAGAAAAGCCAATTCGGCTCCATTTAGGCGCACTGGTACCGGCTTGGCGGAGTCAATTTCTTCGATCATTCTCACGCCTGACGACCAGGCAGCCGTGAATCTGATACGAAGTGGCGAAGGTGGCTATCGGTGCGAATTCTGCTTTCTCGAGCCATGGGCCATTCAAACTCAGTATATGGTGTTCCTGGGAGAGAGCGCTTCAAAGAACGCCTGATGGATGCGGTGATTGGTGAGGCATTATCGCCCGGACCCGGACAAAGCCGAACTTGGAGAGTTAATTCGCATTCTCAAAATAGAGATTCCGGGGTTAAGAAGTAGCATGCTGGGCCTTCGCAGTGTTTTTTGCTAGCAAAGCCGCGTGCTGGGTAGGGCCCGACATAGCCCCCAGGCTGGACTGGCGCGTAGCCGGCCAACCAGCGCGGCTGGGCGTCAGCGGGTGGCGGCAGGCCCGGCTGCAAAGCGCTTGGCGGCGCAGAGTTGCCTGATCGGGGGAGCCACGGGTGACAGCAAACCTTGGGGGGGGCGCCGCCGCGCCTCTCCTCCCCTTTTCGGCCTTTTTTGCTGCCTACGCTTCTTCGTTTCTTCATTTCTCTCTTCTTCGTTTCTATGTCTGCCCGTTCTCTGCGACACGCCGTTCGTTGCATTCCCTGCCTATTCTATTCTTAGTGTGGCAGTTCACCCCGAACACGGTTTGAGTTAGAACTGTGTACGTCACAGGTCTCATCCCACCTTACCACCCTTCGGGGCTCCGGTCGGCACACCAGAGCCTACGTATCTTTCCATCGGTCACTCGCTCGCTTTTCAATTTGTTGCTCTGTCACCTTCTTTCACAAGTTTCGAATAGCTTCTCGAGCATTTCGGTTAACAACCATGTTCCATATTCCTTACCCACCCTCTAGGGATGGATACTGGAGCCCCGTTACGTCGACGCTCAATTGGTGCGAAGAGGTATGCCTCAATAGCAAAGTCTCTAACGGTGTCTTCCACTGACCCGTCCTTCAAAAAGGACTACTATGCCACCATATATGCAGCTGAAATCGTCAATACGGTGACCAATCTTTTATTCCTCTTCCTTGGTATCAAAGGCATTCGCAGCTGTCAGAAACACGGCCATGATTTTATCTTCCAGATAGCATTCATGGGCTATTTCATCGTGGGGCTTGGAAGTCTCCTCTTCCATTCCACCCTGAAATGTATGTGTTACCGTACTCCGCGGAAACTAGTAACTCAATCTAATCGTCTTTTTTGTCACCAGATCCTATGCAGCTTGTCGACGAACTGTCTATGATTTACACCACCTGCCTGATGTGCTATGCCACCTTCTCCTTCTCAAAGTCTACAAGAAGTCGTTCGATACTCGGTCTTAGCCTGCTCGGACTATCCGTCTTCATCACGGCATACTATCATTATCTACAGGACCCGAGATTCCACCAGAATGCATATGCAATTCTAACAATTGTGGTTGTTCTTCGAAGTATGTGGCTGATGGAGGTTACTCTACGAGCAAAATGGCGCAGAGCGCGAGCCCTCAGCAACACACCGGTGGATGAATCAGTTACCGGTGTTTCCAGAGACATCCAACTGTCCCAAAACACAAGAGATCTAAGAATCTTGAATACAATGTGGGCTATGGTCGTTTGTGGCTTGATCTCTTTTCTTGGAGGTTTTGCGATTTGGAACCTGGACAATATGTATTGCTCAACAATCCGAGGATGGCGACGGAGTGTTGGTCTTCCGTGGGGTATCATTTTGGAAGGTCACGGATGGTGGTACGTATTTCTAACTCTCCTTTATTAGTACATTTCTAATATGTCTCGAGTAGGCATCTTTTGACCGGAATTGGGGCGTATATGTATATCATCTGGGGTATCTGGCTTCGCCACTGCCTGAATGGCCGTCAGGACGACTATGAACTTTACTGGCCGCGGTTCTACACTTGGCCAGATGTTGTGCGTGTGGAGAAGGAGATTCCGAAGCCAGTACATCTCAATGGAACAGCTGCAATCAAGGCGCATTAGAGTACTGGATTACTCTTGTTTATTTCTTTCGTTGGGTGTTAAGAGGTTGGTCTTTAGTTGGTTTTACTCTCAGCATTGCTGTTGGTTGAATTGCAGTCGTTATACTCTCTTCTTTTGCAGTGACAGACCTTCTGTCAGGTTGTTTACATCCATATAGACTCATTTTCCAAGTATTCTATTATGCCACGCCAAGAATCCATTTTCCGCATATCTGAATGTGTTGTTGAGTAACGAGGGAACACGAATTTGAACACCATGAACCAATTATACTATTAGCGGTGCTGATAGTGGAAAAACATGTCGTCTCCGGTATCTAATACTGCAGAGTTAACATGGCTTCCTCAATAGCCTTTAAGTTCGGCAAAAAGGTCTGCTGAGGTAGCAATCTATATTAGAGAATATAGTGCATATATACATATATGGGCTAATATTGCCATAAAACGCCCGAGCACTCCATGTACAGCGAACACACCTCAAATGAAACCAGACTTTTAACCTGAGGTTAATGGATCCAAATTATAACTTCGTGCCGGTAGTCTGTTTCTTCCCATTTCCCCTCGTCGGGGGTGGCCCAATATTCTTCTTCCATTCGTCATCAATTGTCATCTTTTCCACCTTGCTTTTTTTATCCCATTCCTTTCTAAAAGCTTCCTCTTCAAGTCTCCATCTTTCTAACTCCTTCCCGATCCACGACGCAGAAAGCTCTGCCGAAAGACCTACGGCCTCCATTGGAACCATATGACCTACTTGTTTCAGCACATGCGCATCCACCCTGCCCTCTTTCACACCACCACTGCCACCCGCACCCATACCCGTGATTTCGAGTTTCTCTTGACAGAATTCGGGGAGACTCATGTCGGAGAGCTCGCCGAAGATATAGAGGGTGCTAGGGCGGAGGTAGGGAAGGAGGGAGAATATGCGCGGCGGTTCAGGGCGGTAGAAGCGATGGTCAGAGGAAACATTGGGTTCCTGGTCTGGGTGGGTGAGACGAGTGGTTGGAGCGCCGTTTGGCGCATAGTTGGGACGAGAGAAGGTGAACACTTCTTGATGGTGGGTCGTTGTAAGCGTCACTGGGCGTTCGGATTCCAAGGAAGGGTCAAGTGAGTGAATGGCAGTAGGAAGGTCACGAAGGCCGTATTGTATCCAGCGCGTGAAGACGCGAGGATCCCAAGTTTGGTAGAATTTGCTTTTTCCCAGGAGATCAGCGGCGTCAGTGCGGGACGGCCAGACGTCACGTCTGTAGGTGGAAGCTAGGGTGGTGATTGGGACCTTATTAAAGCCCGAGTGGAAGGTATTGGTGTCAGTATACGATTTGAGATTGTGGATTGCCGGGTCCAACAGTATAAGAGACGTGAACAATCGCGGGTGGGCGAGAGACAGCGCTACACTAGGAGTGGAGTCAGCCCTGTGCTTGAGGAGGTTCAGGGTCGACGAACAGATGTCCCCCTCCCATACTATGACCGATACCAACTATGGGGCGAGGCATTTCGGCTCTCTTCAAATTAATTAGGTGCAAGAGATCCCGGGGATGATCAAACCACGAAGCTGTAAGCAGCGTTAGCAACAACCTGGATGGCTATTGGGGTACTGGGCGTGTACATACGATCGTTGCCTAAGGCATGCTCGTTCAAGACGCTGCTATGTCCTTGATGGGCGACGTCAGCAATCCAGATTGCCCGGATCCGGAACCCACTAGCCTTCGACCGGGCGAGGAGGTCTTCCCATAGGGGTTCATATAATTCCTACACAGTCAGAGGACGGCGTCGAAGCGCGGTAGTGATGCTATTCACCTTCGGAAAGGCATTGGCATGAGCTCCAATGATCGTCACATCTCCGGCCTGCGGGTTGGGGTTGTCCAGCGGGATGTACTGCTTTACCGATAAGCAGAGCGTCTCCTCCTGGATGGTACTTGTTGCACGGGGATATTCTCTGATATGTTGGCCGGGAACGAGATGCTCAACGATGCGGAACGGGAAAGGGGTAGACGAAGTCATTGTGAACTGCTGCAAGCTGCCTCTCGATGCCCGGCCTGTCGAAGCCTTGTGACGTTGTCCAGGCCATGGTGCCGTTCTGTACTTGCACCTGGGCTTTGCCGCCTACGAGCCGCTGATCTCCAACCGAGGTCAAACCCGAAACGACCAGCCTGCGCGCTTGGCACTTGATCACCTGATCTGGCGTTCACCTGACGCGTGTGGTCGCGCGCCTCAGCGAAAGACCACCAACACGTCGCCTGATGCTTGCCACGCTGACCATTTTGCCTTTTGTCTCCAATTAGCATTGCGTGTCGTTTGTTACCTATCTTTTGTTTAGAAATATGGCAGATGGTCCTTCTTCCCGCGAGGGGGGCCTATTCTCTCAGACTAGAGTTTGCATCATCCACTCCCACGAGCTCGATAAACACTTCGCCTCTCAGGTACACTTACAGCCACCATTGCTGAAGACATGTGCCTAACAGATTTACTATAGTTATCATCGTCGATTGAAGAGCACGGCGGAGAATCTGTAATCCATAGGTCGCCTGCTCCACTACCACCCTGTAACGAATTCACGCATGTCATCTCATCCACTATTGATTTTCCCGGCCATGAAGCCCTCTGTGACTTGTTGATACCCGTTGTCAAACCACAATGGGTTCAAGCGTCTATTGCGAAGAGAAAGCTGGCCAACCCGCGGCAGTATAATCCCGACCCGAGACTCTTCCTAAATGACGTGGTCGTCAATTGTTGTGATATACCAGAAGGCGACAAAGATGCTATCATTGGAGGCGTTCTAGCTATGGGAGGACTCTATACACCGCGAATTTCTAGCAGCACGACTCACGTTGTTGCGCTGAGCGTAGACGAGGAAAAGTGTAGGGCCACATGCGCAAAGCTGAAGAATTTGAAAATCGTACTTCCTCATTGGTAAGGAGTGTCACCTTTCGACTTCGCGAAGTCTATATTTAACCTTTGCAGGTTTGACGATTGTTTAAAGCTGGGCAAGAGGATAGACGAAGGACCATATATGCTGCCTCACCCTGAAATCCTCCAGCCCTACTACGACGCACCTGTTAAGATGACGGCAAACCCAGAGATTATTGGCGCATCTACTCCACAACCAAAAGATTTATATTCCTTGAACAATGCACGCGAAGATTTAAATGTTTTTGACGGGAAAACTTTGATGATATCAGAAGACTTGATGATTGGAGAACGTATGTTACAGTGCCTTGAAACGGTAATAACTGATGGAGGTGGAAAAACCACGTATGATGTTAATAGAACGGACATATATATCTGTCGTTACCGCGAGGGAGACGACTATCGAACTGCCTCGAGACTTGGAAAGGACGTTGGAAATTTGTCGTGGCTTTACCATCTCATCGTCCACAACACTTGGATTTCACCACTGCGCCGACTCCTTCACTATCCACTTTCCAGAGAAGGTATTCCGGGGTTCAAGGACTTTAAGATAAGTCTGTCGAATTACGCAGGAGAGGCGCGAATATACCTCGAAAACCTTGTCCAGGCTGCTGGTGGTGAAGCTACAAAAACACTAAAACAGGAGAACACACATCTAATTACCGCTCATTCAAATAGTGAAAAATGCACGGCAGCGCGAGAATGGAATCTTCATATTGTGAACCATCTGTGGCTAGAAGAAAGCTATGCAAAGTGGCAGCTAAAGCCAGTGTCTGATCCTCGATACACACATTTTCCACAAAGAACCAACCTGGGGGAAATTGTTGGCCAAACGAGGATAGATAAGTTCGCCATTGAAGAGCATTTCTTCCCGCCTGAATATAATACTACCCCTGAAGGGATTGAACCATCAACTGCTATGAAACAAAAAGATAGTAATATCCCCCCAACTAGTTCTGCAGTTGATACTTCTACGGAGGAATGGAAGAAATCGAAATTCAAGAAACCGACGCCTGTCCCTAAGACTAATGCACCACGATCCACCAAAGAACCACAATCTACAACGAAAGATTGTGCCTCTACTCAAACGCCCGTCATGTCGCGATTTCACAGAGAAGGTAAAGAAAACGACACCCCCTCTACCACCGGAAGTAGGAAGTCCAAAGATCTTGCCACTGCACGGCTACACCAAATTGCTCCAGATATCTCGCTCTATGAAAAGGAGAAACGACGAGCTGGTGGTGTTGTTTATGGTGGGAGGAGGAAGAGCGACGATCAAGTAGCGGTCTCGCGAAAGCGGTCGGTTGAGCCCGAAGAAACAACAGATCCTGATATGAAGAAACAAAAAAAGGGCAGGCCTGCAACGACTATGTATCTGATCATCACTGGATATACACCATGGGTAGGGGAGTCTAGACGGGAAGACTCTGATAGGGTACGTCTTTAAATTTGTTACTTACATTCTAAATTGCTTGTGACTGACTATTGCTTTACAGCGCCGCCTGCGCGATCTTGGAATCATGGTGGTCCAGGATGCGTCCAAATGTACTCATCTTGCTGCTCCATCTATTTTGAGAACCCATAAATTCGTCAACGCCCTTGCATACGCGCCAAAAATCCTCAACTGTGAGTTTGTCACGGATTGCCTTAAGCAGGAGAAACTCCTAGACCCAGCAAAATATCTACTGCGCGACAAGAAGTCGGAGAAAAAGTTTAACATTTGCCTCGAAAAGGCGCGAAATAGAGCGGAGAAGAACAAGAATACACTGCTTCAAGGCCGCACAATATTTTGCGTTGAAACAATTCACGGGGGCTTTGATGTATTCAAATCTATCATCGAGACGAACGGAGGGCAATGTGCCTTGTACCGTGGGCGACCTCTCATGATTTCCAACCGTCGCAGCGGAAATGAAGACGAAGGCGATAATAGCAAGGATGAAGTGTACCTTATCAGTGGGACGGACAAAGCACATCAGAAGTTGTGGCCCAAGTTCCGTACCATGGCCGAAAATGCGAAGAAGACACCGAGAATCATGCGCTCCGACTGGTTATTGGAGCTCGCCATGGCGCAGGAATGGCGGTGGAAGCCTGAACTGGAACTGAAGGAGAACGACATCAAGACAGATGGAGATTGTTAGGATTGATTGGCTGTATCTTTTGGTTATCGTGTCAGTGTATATGGGCTGAGTGATCGAAATCTTCATCTAAATGTGATATGAATGGCATGTAGAGAGCGGCATAATCGCCGCGTCATGAACAGGGACGAACAAGATCTCGCTATGCTTCTTAGGTCGTTCATGGCTCAAAAAAACTTGATACCCCGCTGGTCTTCGTTCCCGAATACTTGCGCTTTTCCTCGTTTCACCAGTACCTGCAGAGATTTCTGCAGGACATCCGGGTCCATGCCGTGGAACTCTTTGGATACCGTAGCCTCACCCTCTGTTAGTTCGTAGAGAGTAAGAACCGTATTCTTCTGGGCAGTCTCCTCGACCTACGTCAATAGCACATAGTTAGCCTCGGTCCCTTCCCCAAGACGATCCCCATGGCACCCATCTCACCCAATCCGCTATCATGGCCGCCCACTCCTCGGGCGTCCTCCACCAAATCCAGGCCACGCTCTTCCCGGCGGCATCCCCGCCCACCCACTCCGCTCTCACGCCCCCTTCGGCACCACACATCCAGTCCACAATTCTGCGCGCATCTTCCAAGCTCAGCCGTTTCCGGATCTCCTTGTTGTGGAAGAGCGGCGAGTCAACGGCATCGACGAGCGAGAGGCGGTACAGTCGGCGGTGGCGACAGTACGATTGGATCAGGGCGGACCACTTCTGGAACTGCGAGAGCCGCGTCTGGGTGTTTGGCTGCAGAGTGAAGAAGGGCGGGAACGAGTAGGCTGCGGGGAAAGGGAAGGCCGGTGGTGGGATGGCGCTGTCATGGCTCATGGCTGCGACGGCGAGAGGTGGTGGTCTGGGTTGGTGACATGCCTGTGTGCGGGCTCGTCATTTAACTACGGAGTATCTCTCGATTTCAACCTCATCCTCCATGACGCAAGACAGCAAACCGTCCAGATTGATTGGCCTGCCCTTCCACCAGCTCTACATGTCAGTCTCAGAGGTGGGCTGTGTTCCACTTGGCATCGCGCACCTCGCAGATCCTCCAGATTTCAAATGCCCGCGATTCTTATCTGCTCCCGGGGCTATATCAGAGCGTGTTTCCCAGGAGTCGAGCTCTGGTTTTGTGCTCTCTCCCCATCACTGCTGGACTCGGTTACGCCAAGTGTCGACTGGCCGGCTCTTCGCTTCGTATCGTCTCCCAAGGCTGGAAATCCACGCAGCTACCAAGGTCCCCTGGGCGCTTGATCCAACTCGTTATAAGAACTCTCGGAGAATTTGCAGGGCTGCTGAAAATGACCCCTACCGCGCCCTGCTGCTCGTGGCTTGTATCAGCACTTGAACCTGAACACAGCGATTATGATTCCCCCACGCCTATGGTTCCACATTGGAGTAATCACCGCAGCCGTTGTGCTGGCGATGGTGATGCCGGGCAGGAAGTGGCTGCTATCGTCTGCTACCGAGCAGGTACATGTGTCAAAATTTACAACAGAGGTACGGTTCTGAATGAGTGTCTCCACCACCCTAGCATTCTCGACTGGGAAATCCCTATTGATGGCCGTTACTTTGCCAGGCCAATTCAACTCCTTCTACCCTAAGTAGCCGCCACCAGGATGCAAAGCAGCATCTACTTCACCAGCTACAGCGGCCGGAAGGCGAATTTAGTCAATACCATCCTCGATACCGACTGCTAGCTGCTCTTCATGGGTTTTATCGGTACCGCACAATCGCTCTGAACGATTTGAACACCATCAAAGATAGATACAACAGCATATCTAAAGAACAGCAAGGGGTATGGCGGATAGACCTACACAGTAAATCTCTGCTAGGCTTTATTATCTCTCTATTCTAGCTTCTGCTATATTAGCCTGAGTCCTGACTGAATTTGCGCGCTGAATTAGTTGATTGAGAATTCTATAAAATACAACGAAAAGATTCGGCGGACGGAGCAACTCATCGATGAAAATGACAAAGTCGCTCAGAAAATTGTTGACTATGGCCTTGAGTATTACAACATCAATTTCTCCGAGCTTCAGAGTTTCATCAACGATGTCGAATCTGGAGGCCATTCTGCAGAACGCGTTAGTGTCTTGCAGGCGCTGAAGCATTATGTTCGAGACTGGGCGCCGGAAGGCGAACATGAACGGATCAGTTCCTTTCCTCAGATACTGGGCACCCTCGAAATGCTGTATCCGGAACGGAATGCTTCAAACCCCCTTCAAGTCCTGGTCCCGGGCTCTGGCCTTGGACGACTAGCTCACGATATAGCTGGTCTAAACGGTACTATAGCCCTACTCCTTTTAATCCTATAATTTGTAGGGATTTTATAAACACCAAACTCCGCTAACTATATTAAACAGGCTTTGAAGTGATTGCCAATGAATGGTCCACATTTATGAATCTTGCCTACCGCTACGTTACGTCTCCTAAGGCGGCAGTCGCCAATTCTTCTACAGTTTACCCCTATATCGATTGGTGGTCTCACCAGCCGACAACAGAAGAGTTGTTTCGGCCGGTTACATTTCCGGCCGTGTCAATAGACCCCTCTTCCGTCGTTCTCGTGGAAGGTGATTTCACCAGGGAGTTCGAGAAACCTTGCGATAATGGCAAGTTTGATGTCATAGTTACCTTATTTTTCATTGACACAGCCCGGAATATTCTCACCTATATTGAGACCATTCACCGTTTGTTGAAGCCAGGTAGGCATAAAAAAATGCTTCCCAATAGTACTATAATCCGGCATGAGAGTTCTGACACCATTCCTCGCAGGTGGAATATGGATCAACCTCGGACCATTTCTCTATGGATCTGCACCCTACCTCCAGCTGTCCTTAGATGAGACCATCAGCGTCGCTGAAGCAGCCGGTTTTGAGTTTAAGGACACAGACTCGCAGTATGGAGAGCTGAGCCTTCCCAACAAGAAAGCCCGTCAAATGGAAGCGCCGTACGGATTTAACAACAATACATTGTCCAAAAATGCATATCGGGCGCAATTCTGGGTGGCTTCTCGTCGGTAATCATCTTCACATTTGGTAGTTCTCTTGTGTCGTACCACAGATGGACCGTATGTAGGTGTGGCCCGGCGGGAAAAACTTTGTTTTAGCTGTATTTATAGGATAGGATGAATACCCCTAGAAACTTGTATTGCAGTTTATTGTTTCAAATTTGCAAAGGAGACCTCTGTAGGGAGCACTGATGTGAATGTTTTCATGGCTGGTTACAAGGTTTGATGGTGCTCCTCCTCATTGTGTGCGCAAAGAAAATTGGCGCATGATGAGGGGATGCCACTTGCTGATCAACCTTACATACCGTAGCTCATGTGACAAATAACTAATAAGTTTTTACCCCTTTTTATCGAACAGTACACCACAATGCTCCACCATATCGTCAAGCCATCAAGAGATCTTGACTCGAATTTCTCAGCTATCATCTGTGTACAATATGCTTTGTGAAGAGGGGCATGATTAGTTAAGCTCAGCACCATTGTGTGCTGAGTCGGAATAGGAGACGCGGGGTCTATATTTATTGCCACAGTCACCATTTATACGGCCTAGAATCGGTCTTACCTACTCACAATCTACCAGCCATTAATGCTTAACTACGGACTCTAAAAAGCAAATGGAAAAAATTATCAGTTCGGAAAAGACCCCATTTCAATATGCAAGCTGTAAGATCTCTACTATATAAAGTGCATCCGCATTCTAAGGTACCTGTGGATCCTAAGACGAAAGGCTATACTCTCGAGAAGCAAGAATGGCTGGAGGCTGATGTCTGGGAGGTGTGGAGAGTCAACCCCACCAATACGACGGGTAGCAGTCTCTGCAAGATCGGCGTTGATTCTCAGGACCAAAGGCTCTGCGTGTTTAATGCCAGCAACACTTCGGATAAGTTCCCGGAAGATGCGAAGCTGAAGTTGCGTGACATTTTGATGGGAATATGGGTAGAGGGGTCAGGGAAACAGCCGGAAGATTTGCGCAGCATTCTTTATCAAAATGCTTCGAGAGAAGATGTGAAGCGAATATCTGCTGAGGTACACAGCCTGATGAAGCAGCCGGATAAGACCGTGCCTCTATTGGTCAAGGCAGAAGGTAATACCATCGAGGAGAAAGCCGCATTCAATAGACTAAAAGATGACAACCCTTTTGGTAGCGGAGTGCAGAAGATGCTGCATGAATATAAAGGGATGAAGGGTAAGACGATCAAAGAATTTGTTTTGGCGCAGCCAGAACACCAGAACCTGCAGATGGAGATAAGGATAGGCAGTGTTTGATCAATTAATAAATTGGAGGTTGGTAACTACGGACTATGGTTGAGTTGAAACTCAGCGGAGAGTTTCGTACGATGGGTTGGTGTTTCCAGAGCTCAAGTCATCTCAAAATCTGCATATATTACGCTGAGATATTTCCAAATTCTAAATATTGACAAAGTAGTTAACTATACAACGAAGTGAAAAAACAACTCATCATGATCAGCGACAACGATAATTTAAAAAGCGCTACCACTCTTCGCCTTCCCCCTGTCCAACCCCAGCATTTGTCAAACAGCTGGCTTAACGGAGCCTGGCCTCGATAGCAACTAGCTGGCTCACCAGCTTTCCATCCCGGTTGGTAAGGGGGACATCCACGGTGCATTCCACGTCCATCACCTTTGCGCATGTGTTTGTTCGGTCAGCGAACTGACGGCACCTTCGTCCCCATGATTGATAGTCGCAAAGATTCCAGTCACCGCGGCAACCCGCCCATGGCTGTTGCCTGCATGTGCCAGTGAGCCTGAGCATATAAGTCCATGTTTCAAGGCGACATTCGTGGTTAGGAGGGCAAGTCGAGGTGTGCTTGACTGAGGTTGTTTGAACGTCTGAGTTTATCTTGCTGCCCGAATACGCAGCGGAGAGGTGCACCTTCGATGTCGGGACATACGTGTCGATCCTTGCGGCAATACTCCAGTTATGTGTTACAACTCTGGCCTTTGCTCGAGAGTGGTGGACCTCCATGGGGAAGGGGTGGGTGCCGTAGTTGCGTCGGCCGATCTCAACCGTCTTGTCTGCCTCGATCGTACAACGTTTGACCTCCCTCAGGGTGCCACGTTTAAAGAATGTTACCCGGGGACAGCTGCCCCAGAGCCTAAAGCAGGTAGGCTGGTTTGAGTGGTCGGTATCTTGCGTTGGTCGCAGTTCCCCGAATGTGATTCGGTGGGCGACGTCCTGCCCGAGAATGTCAATCAAGGTACGGTGGTCTGGCTTGATCGAGCTTCGTTTTTCGATTGTATTGATCCCAAAGTCCTGGATAACGGTGATTTTTTCGGGTGCCAGGGCCTCGCCCTTTGGGATCTCCGACAGCGACGGTGCTGTCCGGCCATAGGCCTGCGCAACACACAAGAACAAAAGAAGAATGGAGAACATTGCGCCAAAAAGCAAAGTCGATGCGATGAATTGGTAGTGAAGGCGAGATGTTTGAAGTGGACGGGTTAAGATTACAACCTCAAGGACCCAGGACCTCCCTTATATATGTATAGACCTACTACATCTCCGCCGCGCGGCGTTCACCGAATCAACTGCTGAGAAACAGCAGTAGGGCTGTCGACGACTTCTCCATGAAGCGGAGCGAAAAAGGGTGTGCGGCAGTCGAAAGCGCATCGACGGTAACATTGATAGTGGAATCCTCTGGAGACCTCCCCGCAGAAGGAGCGCTGATTGCTCTGTCTATCGAACTTTCACAGAGCTTGGATTGGAATGGGCCTGTGCAGGATCCAACCGCCCCAAGACGTCAAGCTAATAATACCCGGCCAAGCACCGGCGCGGCGAACTGATGCATATAGGAAGTGGATCTCCATCATGCCGCCTAGCATCCCAAGCCCCTAAATCAACCGAACATTCTCCTCTACGGAGTATGTAAACAGTACTCCGTCAGTGTCACCGTTCCGTGCCATGTGGAGTTGGTTGCTGCAAACCTCGTGTGGTCGGCAATTGCCGCCGTCGACTAGCTCACTAGCTCAGGGGAATGTCTTCTGCCGGCTTGTAAGGACGGAGTAGCTATGTACTCCGTAGCTCGGTACCTTTTTCGCTCTGGGTGCTCATACCCCAAAGTGATCCACTATTCCTCGTGGCAATGGAGAACAGTTGATCTTCTTTCTCGCCGTTGCTATTATTATTATTATTGATTCCAACGCCTCTTACAAAGCTACCCGTGCTTCTAACGGTTGTGCCTGAAAGGGTGGATTTTCTCCATAACTTGCTCAAAGTAGCGCCAAGTCCCTGGCGAAGACGATAGCTGCCCCGAGAGCCGTTAACCGTGCTACATACGAGAGATCCTTCACGTCGTACGAGCCAATCTTCCTTTGGGTTTAGGTGGCAAGGTGGTACATGTCTGTTGGGACCTATTCTTATAGAGCAGGTTCGAGGCGTAGTGGTGGCTAGATAAGTATAGAAATAGAACGAGTTTCGATATCGGTACATCAATAAACGCGGTCCACCAGCTTTCATTGCTCACGAGCTATGGAACCACTTTGAAATCTTGAAGGCCCTTGCAGTTGGTAGTAAACGCCCCCCAATGCCATGTATTGTCTTCCGAATGCCAAAAGTCTTGATTGAGGCCAATATTCTTGTTGGAACCGGGCCGCCCTAGTCTCCGGCTTCTCCTATACATATGATTACAGTCCCAATCCTCCTAAACGTGTTTGGTAGGAAATACCCACCCAGAATCCTAGAGAGCAAGTAATGCACGTAAAGGAGAAGCGTATCCGAATATTAATTTATCAACTCTTGCTGAAAAAGAAAAGTCCGGATCCCTCCCAAAGGACATTGGCTGATCTACGCCAGAGAAGAGCTCTGACCTGCTTAGGGACGGTGGATGGGGAACCGAATGGGGGCCATGCTTTACACCAGGTCTGGGATCCATAGTGTAGCACGGTCGTTGTAGCTTGCAAGAACGACATCACTGAGATATACCATATATATACAGGCCAACGAAAGCAAGAATTGACCCGAATATATCCCAAAAGGCAGCGTTTTGAAAATAGGTTCGAGAATTCCGGTAGATAGCGTAGTGTGCTTAGTCGATTTTCAGCACAGAAAGTTATGAGAGAGTCTGAGTGCAGAAGGAAGGGCGCTCCTACATGGCATGGGATTTTTCGATCTTGGCTTGACTCTAGAAAAGACAGCCCGATTTGTTCAAGTAAATGTTGAAATCAGCCTTAGCAGAAGCGAGCCAGAAGCTCTCGATGCCCACCACACGCCACAAAAGAAGGACCAGTGATAAATATAGCATAAAAAGCAATCGCACACCGGCTTGTTCCAAGGGATCTGGCCGAGGTGGCTAACTAGTTGCAATCCTTTCTGGCCCGTCGCCCGAAACAGGGGTACCCTTGTGGTAGTACACATTTGGTACCTGTTCACGGAAACCGAAGCAAGAATTGCCCGCCTCCAGTCGATAGGACAAAAATACTTTGTATTTTGAATGGCCCCTAAAAAAAAAAAAAAATTGAAAAAAAAAAATAGCGCAATTGACAGACGAGATTCACCACGAGCTGGAGAGAGGAGTTTGGAGAAATCGTCTTCCAAATCCACGCGTAGTAGAAAGTTGGCAACCTAGGTGAGGTTGCAGCTTGAATACTGTCGATGGAGGCTGCGTATATGTACAACGCCAGCGTTGCAGAAAATACATGGCGGGCAGTGAGAGGTTGCCTAAAAAGAGGGCATCCAAAAGGGCACAAGATTGAAGTCCAATTAAGAAGAGGCTTCAAAGCAAGCCTCTACCTTCAATATTCGAGAGCGTTGTCTGCCAAAAGGAAACTAAATTCCGTAGGGCTGATAGTCGCAGCCCATCAGGCAGCATGGTACAATTCAAGCCCTTGGTAGAAGTCCTCCGCTCGTAGTCCCGCAAGGACAAGCTGGCATTTTGTGTCAAGACAAGCCCCGATGGAGACTCCAAGTTGTGCATACAAAGCGGAGCATGTTTCAAATGCAATGTAGTAGAAATCATCAGCCACAGCTCAAGCAAAAACTGCTTTTGAAGAAAGGGACGGACACGGTTCGGATATGATGATAAATGTTCACAAAGGCGGAGGCTAAAGTGGTGGAAGAACAAGTTTTTGTACCCTTGAGAAAATCCAAACTTCTGATCTCAACTTTGCTTTGGCCTTGCTAACTACACAAACGGCAAACGAACATCTTCTACAAGCGCCAGTTCACAATTGCCTACAACATCTACTCCTAAGAATTAAGGGCAACTGTTGCTCCCACCCCATTCGCTTGTTCCCCCAGCGTAATGTCCGACCCGCCACCGAAACGCCAGAAGCGCAATGACTTCCGCAAGAAAATGGAAGCGCAGCATGGCGGCCCAGTCCAGATGCCAAAAAAAAGGCTGTATCGGCAGCGCGCTCATGCGAACCCCTTCTCCGACCACCAGCTGAGCTAGTCAGTAACCACCGGTGTGCCTAAAACCATTCATAAGGGCCAGCACGCATCTAACCGTGATAAGTCATGAACAGTCCTATTAGCCCAGATCATATGGATTGGTCCGTCCATTTTCCTGCCTACATCGATCCGAACCCCAATAGCACGAATGCTGTAGGTGCGCGGAAGTTATTGAAGGACGTCGAAGTTGCAGATATAGGATGCGGTTTTGGGGGCTTACTGGTTGCATTGGCACCTGTGATGCCGGATACATTGATGGTTGGTATGTGGGATCTATTACCACCCTTTTCAGCTGGCACATTTCTCTAATACCTTACTATCAGGCATGGAAATACGTCTTCAAGTCCTCGACTACGTCCAAGCTCGGATTCGGGCACTCCGGTCTCAGTCGTCTAATTCCGAGGCACCCCAGGACACCTTTCCATGCGAAGAGGACACTGAATCCACGTCTATACCACGTGGACCCCATTCTATTTCCACGGCTGCGTCGACCGCCTCGTACCAAAACATATCAGCTCTTCGGACGAATACTATGAAGTTCCTCCCCAACTTCTTCTCACATCATCAGCTTTCATCTATATTCATCTGCTTCCCAGACCCCCATTTCAAGGCGAGGAAACATAAAGCCCGCATTGTATCTACTTCACTTAACGCAGAATATGCATATGTGCTGAAACCAGGGGGAAAACTGTATACTATTACTGATGTTGAGGACTTACATCTGTGGATGGTAAGTCATTTCGACGGAACAGCGGACAACACGATACGTGATGATAGGGCAGGAGTCAGCGAACTGTGGGAGAGAGTGAACGACGAGGATCTTGAAAAGGATGCGTGTGTACGGATTATGAGGGAGGAGACAGAAGAAGGGAAGAAAGTGACCCGAAATGGGGGCCGAAAGTTCGTTGCGGTATGGAGAAGAAATGAAGACCCTCAGTGGACCGCTTAAGCACATACCTTCATATCAACCTTGGCAGTCACATTCAAGTCGAGACTACACAACATGTCTTGGATCAGTAAAAATTGCTGTGCTACGAACGAGAGTCTTTTCCCAACCAAAAAATTGTTGTATTTCCGTAAAAACAAAACGGAGATATTATTCTGCTTTAGAAGCGAACGCTCAACGAAAAAAAAAAAGAAAAAAAAAACTTAAGCTGGCTATTCTTGTGTATGCGAAATTCCCAAACTCCAAACCAAAATGAGATCACTGGCCATAGATCACTCCATCTCCTTTCTAATGCTTCAACGCCAAAGCAATGAATTCAAGCCTTCAGCCTCCTTGCCTCGCAGGCTTCACACGCTGCCGTATCTACCGGACCCCCAATCTGTCTTCCTTTCGCCGTAAACCTCGCTTTCCCTTGCCGGACAAAGAATCGCCCTTCTGGCCCAAACCCTCCTCCACATTCGCAACACACAAAGCACTTCTCGTGCCACTGGCCCCCGAGCGCTGTCACAATTACTTCTTCTAGTACCGGCAATTTGCATGCTCGGCATTTATCCGCAGTTCGACGAGAGTGACACCGCACACACCATGCATAGCCCTCTTTCTCAATAAACGGCGTCTGCGGCGTAAACGGATCCCCACACTCAGCGCAGAAGAAATGACCAACGTGCCATTCTGCGCCGCACGCGACAATGACTTCTCCCTCGATGGGAGTTTTGCAACTCTTACACCGCGGAGAGAAGAGTTCATGAAAGTCCAGGTGGCAGTAGAAGCGGGGGTTGGTTGCATCCAAATCACCATCGTCCGAGTTAGCGAGTCGATCTGCACGGTTTGTTTCGGGTTCCTGATAAAAAGCAACGCATTCAAGGGGTGTGTTGCAGTGGTCGCAGGTGAAGCATTCTGGGTGAAGACGATTCTTACAAGCTGTTACTATTCTGCCGGATATTGGCAAACTGCAGGCGGCACAGGTGGCTGTAGGTCCATTGGTATTTGTTGGCGTAATGTGGTTGTAACGGTTCTGGGTCGCTGCAGATTTTTTTGCCCGTTGCTGCTGAGAGTACTTTTTGGGGTCAGGAAGCTCTCGAGGTTTCTGCACTTGCTGAGGTGTCATGGCAGAAATAGGAGGCCCTAATTCTGATATTACTATTGATGGGCCAGCCGATTCTTCACCGGCGATGTTAATCGCTGGAATATCGGAGAACTGGCGGTCTTCTCCATTGATTGTACTCGGGCCTGTCGTTTTTGGAGAAGAGGAAGTCTCAATCGCGAACTGTGGAGACGACTCACCGGCGGAGTGTCCAACGCCTCTTGAATCGGAGAGGGCTTCCTTCTCTGGAGCTTTCCAGTCAGGGTCAAAACTAACAATGGGGCGACCGGGCGCATCACTGACAGCTGAGGGCATAGGGAGTTTGGAACTCCGATCCTTGAGCTTCATGCTCGTAGCAGCACGTATATCATCACCACGAATTTCTAGTCCTTCCTTCATGGGTGTCGTGTCTTCTTTCTCTTGTATAGATGGAGTAACGGGAAACGAGTTTGTCTTATAAAGGGGATTTTTTGATTGGACCAAGGGGCTTTTGTAGCGGTCGAATACGGATTTAGCCTCACTTCCAGTGGTATTAAATCGTCCAGGAAGGGGCCGGGCACCGCGAGGAAGAGAATTCTTTGGCTTCGGCCTCAATGCTGAGGTGGTTGACGACAATGCATTCGTTGTCTTTTCATTTTGAGAATCTGACTGTTCTGGTTCTTCGTAGATTTGATCTTCTGGATTTCTGAATAACCCCCTTGTAAAACGAGTACCAGATGTTTTCGGGTTTACTTTTGACTGTAATGCATCATGTCGTTCGTCTCTTCTAGCAGCAATTTTCAGGTTTTGTCGAGCTGACAATGTTGTATCACTATCGCCTATTTTTTTACCATTGGGCGCCCTAAATGGGTCCTCAAGGGCAGTTGCCGGACTGGTCACGACAGGGTTCTCCGATTCGGACTGATGCAATTCAAGCTTCCCTACTGTAGGGCTTCGATTTTGAAAATGACGTTGGAATGGATTTGGGCGTTTCATATCTGGATTGTGGTACGGAGCAAGAGGGTTTTCTTCTGGAAATCCATATTTTTGGTGTTGCAATACCAGCTCAACGGCTTCTTCTTGCGCTGCATCAAAGAGTCGCCTTTCTTCATCTTGGAGGTCCATTTCTTCTAGAGCGTTCCGTAGTGAGCGTGCTTCCTGTTTTTCTATCAATCTATGCCCATTTTCCCGGTAATACCCGCTGGGCGACGTGACTGAAGGTACTGTTGAAGCAAAGGACACATTTCTCCGGATCTCTGATACCTCATCCTCCGGAATACCGTGAAATTCGCTTGTGTCATTTTGAGGCGATAGCTCCGAGGTATGCCGGCGATGGGACAGAGCACTGGAAGAACGGGGAAAGGGTGAATTTCCTCTGGACATTTCAGATGGTCTGGACATTGACAGAGCAGAAGATGCTCTTGGTGGGGCCTCCCTTGGGTCCGGTGTCAAGGCATCGCCTTTCGTGGGCAGCGGCCGTGAGCCATTCGGGCGAGATGGGCGGTTATTTCGTAGATCTTGAAGATATTGAGCTGCAGAGTAAAAATTCGTTAATCAAAAGCTCGATCCCCCTCTAGACACGCCCACTGCTTTAAAATGGCTCAATCTTTTCCCCTAGAGTGACATATCATCTTACGAATCCACTTACCTAGTTGCTCGTCATTCATGAAGGTAGCTTGGGGCGGGGACACCTTTCGGGCCCCGGACTTGAATCGAACTGGATGCACCATAGCTTAATATGTATGCAGCTTAAGCACAAAGACAGACGATAATCTACCAATCGGCCAATTAAACCTCGAGATTGCTTTGGAATTGTTAAGGTTGCTCAGCGAGCAATTAATGAGATGCGAAGCAAAGAAGGGCCACTAAGGTGAGAATAAACCGACTCCAGAGCCAAGGATATGGGAACTTCAAAGTGCAGACTGCTTGGGTCTTATTATAACTCTCTTTGAGAGTGTTGACGAAAGCTTCACGTATCACCGAGCGCCAACACACTGGGTGTGGTGTGACGTATCAGGGGACGGGGTTTGTTTACGCCGAGTCACCTGATTACCGTTGCGAGGCCAACCATTCGCCGCGCGCTAGTATGCTTTCAGCCGACGAGGGCCAGACCCTACGGGCGCCGAAAATAGATGAGTACGGACCACTGAGGATCAGATAGCTCACGGTCGCGTTTTCAGGCATCCGACCCCGTAGAAAAAGCTTCGCATCTGAGCATTCAATGCTTATAGCATGCATGCAACATGAGAGTCAGTAACTTTCGGGTCCAAGGTACACGGTGCCGCAATCTTTATCGTGAGCCTCAAAAAGAAATTTGCATCACGGGTTTCCACGTGGTAGCACCTTGACTTCAACGACATGTCATCGCCACGCTTTCTTTCCCTTAACGGCATCGGGCGTCCTGTTCTTTATCTTTTGCGACAAGCAAATGCTGGTTTTGCTCCTACTTTTCGTCAGCTTCTGGTGTTGGTCTGCCAATTGGCTAGATGCATCCGATGACAAGCCACCCCGGGTCATGCTGGACTCGTGGCCGGCGTCTGTTTTCATCCAGGCGCTGACGGCTTCGATTTTGCGGTGATCTTCTCCCAAAATGCTTACAGAAGAGCTTCGGTAGAGAACAAGGGACGCCTGCTTTATCGTGCGCCGGAACAGTTGGCCTATCGTCGCGAATTGAGTTCCATGAGCCCGGGTCAGTCGGCACCAAGTACCCGAAGCTAACAGCGACTTCGGGCAAAACCAAGGGCATGGGATACGGATCCCCCACATTTTGGGCATTTGATGACCAATTGCTTCCTCAACACCAGCATCTCGGCGATGTAGTGTTGTTCTGGGGAAATGTTGGAATTTCCCCAAAAACCTTCAAATCCTCGCGGGGCTCCGAATTTTGCGCTACGTTGCGCGATACCTAGGTCTCTCGGCAACCCCAATTACTATACTTCTCGGCGTTTTTCAGGGTGCTGGCCGCCTTTGATCCGGGTCTCAACGCCGGTTTCAACTAGCTGAGAACAGTGTGCAGGTCGGTTAACCAAAGAAATCCATCCTCAAATCTCATCAGGTCATCGTGGTGATCGGAATTTGTAAGCCCGTTCATGTCTCAACCTAGCCGGCTATATTCCTAGACATGTGTTGTGGTGCCTTCCGCACATCTCTTTTTTCTTCATTTTCCCACTTTCCTTCCCAGCTTTTTTAAATGCTTGGCTCTACTGGCGCTGTCTTGGAAAACTCATTTCCACAATAATTGCCCCCTGGAAAATTTAGTATATGCCGGCTGTGGGGTTTTCGAGACTCTATACTAAGCATCATGAACAAGAAGGCGCCCATACCTGGTTTACACACAGACATAGGCCAAGAAACGTTGAATGAGGGCAAGACTGGGGGTATTGGAAATATTGAACCCACACATAAAGCGACCCCATCTTCTGACGGATCAGAAGGTATCCCACAGAAGGATATACCTCCTGATGGCGGCTATGGCTGGGTGTGTGTGGCATGTGCAGCTTTCATTAATGGAAACACATGGGGTGTGAACAGTGTATGGGATCATTTACAAAAATGCTTTGCTGGTGTCATACATCGCTGACTCTCTGTGTGTAGTCATATGGCGTTTTTCTATCCTACTATCTTTCTCACGATATATTCCCCAATATGAGTCCTATTGCGTACGCTTTTACTGGTGGTTTGAGCATGTCTTGTGCTCTCTTGATATCCCCCTTGGTCACGCACTTAATCCATCTCTACGGAAATCGAATTATTTTAAATATAGGGGTCTGCCTTCAAACTATTTCCTTCATCGGAGCATCTTTTGCCAAAGAGCAATGGCATCTGTTTCTCAGCCAAGGAGTATGCTTTGGCCTAGGAATGGGATGTATCTTCATTGGTTCCGTCGGAATTACTCCCCAGTGGTTCTATAAGAAACGAAGCGTGGCCAATGCGATTGCAGCAGCCGGCTCCGGCCTTGGAGGTTTAGCATATTCTCTCGGAGCTGGTGCCATGATCCCCCGCTTGGGCCTCGGATGGACTTTTCGTGTTTTAGGAATTACAACTTTTGTTATTAATATTACAGCATGCAACTTACTAAGGGATCGGAACAAGGCGGTAGGGAGTCGTTATCGGGCATTCCACTTTCCTCTGCTTAAACGACCAGAGTTTATTTTTCTCCAATTATGGGGAATTTTCAGCCTCCTTGGATACGTCGTTGTTCTTTTCAGCCTTCCAAATTTTGCCCTGTCAATCGGACTTTCTGCTCACCAGGGAAGCATTGTCGGTGCCCTTCTCAATTTAGGCCAAGGGCTGGGCCGGCCGGTTGTCGGCCTTGTCAGTGACCGTCTTGGTCGGATAAATATGGCTACTGCGTTCACACTTTTCTGTGGTTTACTTTGCTTCGCTGTTTGGATTCCGTCTTTCAACATGGGAGTACTGAGCTTTTTTGCTATAATTGTCGGTACTGTTGCTGGCACATTCTGGACTACTGTTGTCCCGGTGTGTGCAGAGGTTATTGGCATGCAAGAGCTGCCAGCTGGATTAAGCATTTCTTGGGTTCTCCTTGTTCCACCAACCACTATTGCCGAACCGATTGCCGTCTTACTCAAGAGTGACTCGAAACAAGATTGGATATATCTATATGCACAGATTTTCGCTGGCTTGACGTATGTTATAGCTGGCATTAGCTTATGGCTTGTTCGAGGTTGGAAAGTTGGTGAAATGGAGATGATGAATAAAGTCTCTAATCTCGCAGCCAACACGCCTCCAGTGCTACAGGCTACTGTTGGAAACGCCAAAAACACCGCTCCTCATAGTGTTCAACTTCCAGAGAACAAATCACAACATCAAAACCGCATTGGCACGGCTACACATACTGCATCCGCATCTCCAACTCAGTTAGATACCCGACTATGGTCTCCCGCCTCTTTGTTCCCTAGAATGCTAGTCCGGAGACATGTTTAGGTTTTACACCCATTGATTCCTATTTAATGTTAGAATGAGTGTTCATACCATCACCCCCTCAACCTATATATTTTTCAATTCGACGACGCGTGCTAAATTGTCAAAATTTAACTGCCCAAACCTTTATTTGTCAAAGGCCCAGAACGCTTACGATGGGTGCATGCAAAGCGCTACTACCTAAAATATAATGATGCTACCCGATTCTATGGTATTAATTTCATTACTATCCTGCTTCTGTTTATACGCTAAGCCCCCCCTTTACTCTCAATTTTTTTTGGAGCGATGTTCAGTTTGCATTCTGTCATAACGTACACCTAGAGCATAGTTTCAGTTTTCAAACGTTTATTTTGAGGGAAGTATGTATATACGGTTATCGCGGCTGAGAAAGAGAAATAGAAAATGAACATGGATTTCTAGAGCTTTTTGGGCTGTTTGAAAATATCATATATCTAATTCCTCTCCTTGACGGACATTTCTGAGAAAAAAATTCGTAGCCAAGCATCACGCCTTTCCGAGTATCAAAATCCGAACTCTCCGTTTTCCTGCGCCCCGAACCCCTTCTTCCTTCACAGAGCTCACATTCACTTTGACTTTATCAAACAGATTGACCAAAAATTTGCCCCTATCAGTCTCCCCAGCACCATCTTCTTCATGCTGCTTCTCCGATACCTGTAAAGAATACTCTTCCGGATCGAATTCGCTCTCTCTTCTAGCGGCAACTTGCTTTCCGCCCTTCGCCCCAATCTTCTGAGGATCCTGGCCAGGGAGCACGAAATCTTCCAGCCGTACTACACCCTCAATCCCAAACCTAGGCACGAAAACAACCACTCCATTATCGAAGACACGCATCACATATCCTTCTTCGTCGACTCCTGCAGCTGTGCCAGCCCCAGTTCCTGATTTTGCTGCCTCCATTTCACCACGGGCCTTGAGCGCCTGACCGACATAATATTCGATGCTCGCACGGCTCGCAAACTGCGCATTTCGGTGTCTATGGTTAATATTCTTACATATATCTTCTAATTTACTACGGACTGTTAAGCCCTCGCCCAACGATGCGCCAGGTCCTTCGTACCCAATTGCAGCGGCGAGCTGCCGGTGAACGACGAGGTCAGCATAGCGACGAATAGGAGACGTAAAATGCGTGTAAATAGGTGAAGCGAGACCATAATGACGAAATTCTGATTCGGCGTGTGCTCCCGCGCAGAAGTATTCGGCCGATGTCATACACCGGGTAGCAAGGATACGAATTAACGTGTTGAAGAAGGGATTTGACGTGTCGACACACTTATCGAGGGAGTTTGCGAGGGCAAGGGAGCTGGATATATCGAGGGTAAAATTGCGTTTCTTGGAGAGTTGGGCAATGAGTTGTTCGAAATTTTGAGATGGCGGAGTAGCATGGCGGCGAAGGAGGGCAGTTTGGGGAAACGTTTGAAAGATGCGTGAGGCAACAGTGGTATTTGCAAGAAGCATGAATTCCTCGACAAGACTGTTAGTCGCAAGTAGAGCTTTGGTTTTAACATCAGCGACTGGGTCATTCAGCTCAGAATCCGCTTCAATACGGACTTCTGGAGACGCTAGATTAAGGGCGCCAGCATCCATACGCTTTTGCTTAAGAATTTTGGACAAACTGAGTAACGTGCGCATGCTTTTAGTAAGGTCATCTTGTTTTGAATTATCATCAATTCTTAACTGAGCTTGTTCATAGCTGAAAGCGTCTTTAGAAAAGATAACTGATTTGGTGAAATTGGCAGATATGATTTCTGCTTCAGGGGTAATTTCCCAAATAACAGAAAATGCAAACCGTTCGACATGTGGCTTAAGAGAGCATAAATCAGTGCCCAGAAGCATCGGTAGCATGTCAATTCGCTTATCAACCAAGTATACAGTAGTTCCTCTCATGCTGGCTTCAGTGTCCATTGCATTGTTAGGCCGAACAAAGTGAGAAACGTCGGCGATATGAACACCAACTTCAAAGTTGCCATTGGGAAGCGGCCTTGAATGTAACGCATCGTCTATATCTTGGCACCCTGGAGGGTCAATGCTACAAACCAGGAGTTCTCTTAAATCTTTCCGATCTTTCCATAATGGATCTTCCAAGTTTTTGGGGACTTTCCAGTTATGACCCTCGGAGGGTAGGCAATTGAGAACTGCTTGAGAGAAGGGCTTATATTGGACGTCGTACTCAAGTAGTAGAGCTTCTGTTTCAGCGCCCTTTGTTTCTAACTCACCCAATGATCGGACGAAATGTCCCATTGGATAACGAGAATCACGGTCCCAAGTATCTATTGTTATTAATATCCGCTGGCCCAATAATCCACTTGCTTGTCGAGTTCGTATCTTAATTTTTGGGGTTCGTTTATCCATAGGAATCACAAACACTGTCTGCTGACGCCTGCCAGATGAGGCTTCGAGAGCAAAAGAGCCGCTATCGACATTACCCACATATTGGCGCCAGTTTCTTTTGATAACACCGACAACACGGGCTGTAGGCTGGGGTCGTCCTTCTGTACTTATCCCGTGAGCTTTCCTCACTTCTTCTTGAAGCGCCTTACGTTCCTTTTCCGATACCAGTGCCTCAGCTGTTTCAGGTTCCGGGTTATCATCTTTTGTCAATGCCTCCTCTTCAATGATTTTTGTTGAAGGAGCCTTCCATTGATCTTTCGGTAGGATTTCAACAACAACAAGATCCCCAGCCACAGACCTGTTGCTATTCTCACGACCAAGTATGAGAAGCGATTTGTCAAATGCAGCCACTTTAACGGAGCCTTCAAGGTAGTTATACGGGGAAACGTTGAATACTCCCTGGTGAAGAGTCCCTGCACGGATCCCTGTCATCATCTTCGACATCGAGTAGTATTCTGGATAAATTAGCTGCCCTCTCTGGGATTTCTCACTATGCAACGATCTTGACTCATTCACCATGTCAAGTAGCTTATCCGCATCCTCGAGACCCGACACGTAATCGAGCAACGACAGAGCAGAAACATTATCCTCCTTCGCCTTACAAATATTAGCTTTGTCATCAGTGATGACTACTATAGAAGGAGCCGTGCAGTCTTTTCTGCTTTTCTTCACAATTTCATTGAGATGATCAGAATACCATTTTGCTGCCCTTCGAACTGCTCTGTCATTGCGGTCATTTATACTCTCGTCTGCTCCCCGCCGTATGTGCGTTTCCATTCGAAATTCGTTGAAAAACAGATAGTATCGCTTTTCCTCGCTTCGAATTAATGATATTAATCGGTTATATAATGGGAGGGATTGGTTTTTAAGCTCTTCCAGCACGGTCTGTAAGATAATAACGTCGTAAAATGCGCTTCGTTCTTCGAAGAGGTCCATTCCATTGAGAAGCGCATTGGTGTCGGGCATCAGGTAGTGTCCTTTAGGAAACGAGTTCGTACCGGCCGGGTGTTCGGATAGCACAAAGGGGGCAACTTAAATGGCGTGTTAACATATCTGTATAATTATAAATGACAATCTTTACCCACCATTTCCATTCGCGTCAGTGGGCGCATATGAAAGACAGAGAGAGCATAGCTTAGAAGAGCACGGAATGTCTTGTCTAAGATACAACTCTCGTACAATCTTCTGAACCTTTCCGCTTTTTGTTGTTCGCACGAAGACCTTGCTCGAAACGTTTGCAGCATGCGGGTGGGAAGAGCGGTCTCTCCGCAGGCTTTTCATCCTGAAACAAAATTTCCAGAGCTGCTATAAAGTTGAGGTAATAATAAATTAGCGAAGATTAAGAGAATAGAGCAATACCGGGCTGTCCTTACTTCGTCGAAGGATTGCGAGTATATCCGCCACTATTTTATCGACTGTGATGGTCTTTGTTAAAATATAGGGTATTTCATTGCCAGTGATGTGAGCGTAGATTGATCCTTTTGTATTCCAATTGCGCGCTCATCCCCCTTCACACTGGTGTCGTTATTTGAAGCTCAAGCCGATTGATTTCGATTCTTTACCTGGACGCCAAGCCTGATATCACGAGACGGCGGGCGGCTTAAAGTGGAAGGTCAAGCGACCGTGGGCCCAATTAATCACAATTACCTTGCACTGCGGATTGGACAGGGAAGTTGGTACCGCATCCAACCGTAGAAGATGGGCGTCTTATTGCGCATCCACTGAGTATGCATTCTTTCTTTCGATAGGTCAACCAACATTGGCTATCTTTTTACAATAGGCTAGTTACACGATGACAAGAGCAGTAAAGATCATGCTTCACTCAACTATCAAATATTCTGCTAATTTACTCCTAGGCAGTTGGCCAGCTATGCTCCACAGCGAGCATGGCGCATAATTTGTTCCAAAGTCAGATACTTGTACAAAAGGCCGTCGCCGCTGGCGCTAAGGTGGTACCCAAAAGTGCTCTTGTTGTCAAAATATGGGTGACCTGATGGGGTAGTGCATAGGCATTGTTTCTCCCCGAAGCATCTGATTATGTTCCTGCATCTCCCACTGAGTCACTCTTTCTTGCCCGACCTCTTCAGGAAAACGATTTTGTTCTAGGACTACAAAAAGAGGCAAGGCTAGCAAGAATACCTATCAACGTGGGTGTGCATGAGCCTGCCCCATCAGGGCAAAAAGTAAGAAATGTATTGATATGGATTGATGAGAATGGTAAAATAACACAAAAATACCAAAAAATACATCTTTTTGATGTTGAAATTCCAGGTGGGCCTGTTCTAAAAGAAAGCAGGTGAGGTGCCGTCGGGGAGCATCAATTTCGGGGTTTTGCAAGCATCCTGATTATTTTAAGGAAAGCTGCTAACGGTTCCATCTGGATTTTCTGTTCCAGAGGCGTCGAAAAAGGAATGGAGATTATTCCTCCTTTCGACACACCGATTGGACGCCTCGGGCTAAGTATCTGCTTCGATGTAAGCTGTCACTTGTTTGCTGACTGTATTTTTGTTGAAAAATCAGCTTCTCCGTACGATTCTGACTTTTGCTCGAATATTATGGCATTAATTACTCTAGCTTCGATTTCCAGAACTTAGCCTAGCACTACGGCGACAAGGTTGTCACGTCATCACGTATCCTTCCGCATTCACAGTACCAACAGGCCGAGCTCACTGGGAAATTCTATTGCGCGCCCGAGCTATCGAGACACAGTCATATGTTGTCGCCGCCGCCCAATGTGGAAAGCATAACAGTAAGCGCACCAGTTATGGGCACTCAATGATTGTGAACCCATGGGGGGAGGTCATTGCTAGATTGGGTGCAGAAAGTGACCAGCCAGAAATTGCTGTGGCGAATATTGATTTGAATATCCTGGAGAAAGTACGGAGTGAAATGCCACTTTTAAGAAGAACAGACATCTACCCCGAGTTATAAGGGTAAAGAGACAGAAATTATTGAATTCGTATCTTTCGTTTTCTGTGTATATAGCAATAGCACTCCATGGATTCAAGCTATCTTGTCAGCATAATCTTCTCCAGTTTGACGCTGCCATCTTCGTGCACGGGAACCATCGCAGAACTCTAACCATAAAATAACAGTAGGAGCAAACTGCAAATACACCGTTCAAGTCAAATAAGCCACAACAGAAACGTGCTTAGCAATTATTGTCACCGGTCTAAAGTGAGATAAAAAGCCTTGTGTGATACATCTTTTCGGTCCCGCATAGGGGAAGATTCTATGTACAGTAGGCACAGTTGGAAAGGGTCATGTTCACGAGGAAATAAATAGGTTACTTCTTCTGTACATTATCTGGGTCTTCAAGAATACCCTCTTGTTCGAGTCGCCGTCTTGCTTCTTCCAAAGCCCACGTTTGTATCCTAAGTGGAAAGCTATCAATCAGCATTTTGTGATAAAGAAAAGAAGAATAAAAACCAAATTAAAAGGTTTGAAATTAAAGTCAACGTCCCACCAAGGGCTAACACAGAGAGTCGCAGGTTGAGGAGAGAACGTACGAAGTATCTGGCTTAAAAGCATATGCAATCCCCGCAACAACAAGACTCCCCACAAATCCATACGTCCATAGTCCTTCCCATCCTTCTTTTACGTATTTATGGCCTGGTTTAACGCCAAAGAGCCAGCCAGTCGGTGGGTCATAATGTGGCTCGTGGGCGCCGCAGAGGGCGCTTCGCGTCGAGAACGCCTGGCGCTGGGCATGCTGTTGGCTGCGAAGTAAGCAGCGTGAACGAGCAGAAAGAGAAATAGGCCGTGCAGGCATGGCCAGCGACAGCCGTTGGGCAAAGAATCGGGTGCGTGGGGGACAAATTCGGGAGCGGGTAAGGGTTTTCGGGGAGATGAGGCGCAAGCGACAGGCGAATTGCGACACAAGTAGGATGCTCTCGGCGGGAGCGGTCGACAGAGTCTCTTGTGACCAATGAACAAAGTAACAGCAACGAATGAGCTGGAGAGGAGTTTGCAGATGACGCTGAGCTGGTGTTGCGGGATCGAGGGTTTGATATGAGGTGGTGGCTATCGGCTAACTAACTAACTAGTTACAATCTGGCCGTGTCACTGGATCTTGCGGCGCCTGGGAACGCCACTAGCAAGGAAGGTGGAGCGAACAAGACCTCAATGTCACAAATGCAACGCAAATTCAACATCGTGACCTTCAAAGCAGCATAACACCAGGTTCTAGTCATGCAAGCTACAGTGCCCTAGTTCAATGCTCACCTCATTTATGCTGCTCTGCCACCATTTTACGTAAAACAATCACTTATAAAATACACCACAAATATTCCCTACATGACTACAAACACCAACCAACAGTTCTATACCAACACCCTGCCACATTCTACCATGGCATACACCACAGAATAGGCTACTATGCCGTGCAGTCATGATGTTACATACACAGTGCTTATGTGTCGCGGTGCGGTTCGATACGTTACACAAGATAGTTAATGGCGGTGCGACGCCCGTCGCTGCCTATTCTCTAAATCTCACTGAAAGAGCAAAATGCGCTTTATACCCTCGGAAAGAAGACTAAATTCGTATCTTAAAACGGATACTGGACTAATTCCAGTATTGTCTCTGTTTTATATTAGTAGATGTTTGAATAATTATGCGGTTAGACACCTTTCAAGCAACTGCTAAGGCACCAATAAGTCTAGGAAGGAGGTTTTAACATAGAGAAAGAAGATCGTTATAAACGTGGACATATGTATAGGAAGATGGAGCCTGGCTGCTGTGCAAAATGCTGCTCTCTAGGATGCACTTGCAAAGAGGTCATTGCCATAGTATCATAGTATGACGGGCCTCCCCTGCTCCACATTTATCCTTCCGACTCTCAAAGCTCACTTAATCTCCATCGGGGCCTTTCTAGAATCATGGGTGATTAAGGAGAAAAGCTTGACCGAAAATTGTTCACTATTCAATGACGAAAGATATACACTTCCTTGGTTCCTGCCATATTTTTTCGTTGTCCAACAATAAACTGGATATTCATGCTACATCCAGTAAACGCTCCGGTGTCAGGGTACTTCTTGTTGATACGAGTTTGGCAAGCAGCCCGAACTTTTTTTTAATGGCGAAATGACTTTCGGCGAGAGTTTACTGTTTGCGAAATCGCCGATGGAATAAAGTCCCATATCAGATTGTGGCGTATAAAAACTATGATCTTCTTAATATTTCATACAGCATTCTTGAGCACGAGGAGACTTGGGTCTAGTTAGCCAAACCTACTAATTCAGTATGCAGGGCTTTAACCTGTTTACTTTCTTGTGCTGTACTTTCTTTCTTAACTCTTTATTCTCAAGGCGCTTCTTTACCTTGGCTCGATCTGGAAATCTCAAGACATTTCCACGCGCAGCACAGGCACCTTATCCACCTTCACTAAAATATCATTGGAAGAGGGCAGAGGACAGCAAAGATGGTGCGGCGGGAGCCAAAACGGTCTGTGTGCCTCCAATAGGGCCACCACTAGTAAGGGAGACTTGGCCATCATAACGCATATGAGATTGTTTTGCTAATATCGCCCTTCAGGAATCCAGTAGTGATAGACCCAAACGGTCAAAGAAAGCCGTTGTTCAGCGCCGTGAGGAGCTAAGATGCCATGGCTTAAAAACAAACAAATACATCAATAAAGATCGTCTACAGAAGATTATGGAAGATGAATTTTGTACCGATGCCTTTGCCCAGGGTGAAGTGGATAAAGAAAAATGTGTCATTACTGGTCGACTTGACAAAGATTCAGGTTCAATAGCAAGAACCTATTTACAAGGCACAGTAGAAGAATTTGATATTGCTCTAGACTTCAAGCCAGGGTACTTCCCAGTGATGAATGTTACGGAGTGTAAGGGAACATTCACCTATCAGCTCATTGATGGGTGCGACGAAAAGAACGGCGAGAACCCACTGGACTGGAAAGCAGGCGGTGTCTATAATTCTGGAACAGTCGCCTACCGTATCGACCCAAAAATCGAGCGGCGTCCAGCTCCCAAAGTTCCTACAGCTGGATGTCAGAAGTTTAAAGGAATCATATGGGGCCGTGGTTTTGGAGGCGGTGACTGGGGGAAGCTATTGCTAAATTGGCTGGAGGAATGTAATGGTCACCATCGTATAAACCTTTACCCCCAGTTTAAGTACTTCTTTGATCGCGGAGAGAGAGAATGGGAGCTGCGAGTTAAGAAGAACAAGCAGACCGCTGGGTGCGTGGGACATGCGATTAAAATGGCCGGCGGCCCTGCCAATGCGGGTTGCGACTTTTGGCAAGGTGGCTGGTAGTTCGGTCCGCTCCTCTCCGCTCCTCTCCCCGCGCTTCCTTGGTTCAAATGCTAGTCTAGTATTCCGATTGGTGCGGGCAATACACCGTGTGCTGATGACGTATTCCAATCTCCGGACTCCCTCCGAGCCCGGCTTATATAATCCATCCCGAATTATTTTGGCGCTTATATAATCTGCTCAGCAGCCGGACCTCGGCTGGTTCCCAATCGGGTGACTGCGGCGCTTTCTGTCGCGTACCCGGCAACTCGTGAGTCGTGATTGGATTTCTTTATATTCGCCTTTCGTCCCCAGCCGAGCTTCTTCTTTTTCTTCCTTTCTCCCTTCCTTAGCATTCTGTTCTGTCTTCTTCCTCATTATTTACTTCTTATTGTTCTTCATTATGTCTTCTGCTCCAGATTGGGTAAAAAAGTTGAAGCCTTCCGGCCCTCAGGGCTCGGAGTTGCTTGAACAGGAGCGGGCAAAGTCAAAGTTATCTGTAGACAAACTGGCAGAACTTATTCACACGAAGGAGACCTTGCAAAAACAAGCTCGCCTTCTTAGTATCATGGAAAACGAGCCTGCCTTCGACAAATCACAGAACCACAGTCTTGGTCGGGTTGAGCGCTTGAAGAAATCTCTAGGGAAGGCCAAACGTCTCCAGAATTTGAGAACACAGCATGGGTGGTCTCAAGATGAGTTCATGATGGCAAACGATTTACTCGGCGAGCCCACTCCCTATGGACTTCATGCAAGCATGTTCTTGGTAAGCCCAAGCATTCTGTCAACTGCCGATGGATCTTCAAGGCTGAAATTCGGATCTTATAGGTTACTCTCAGAGAGCAGGGTACTCCAGAGCAGCATAAGCGTTTCCTTGAGCCGGCCGAGAAGTACGAATATATTGGCTGTTATGCACAGACGGAACTCGGACACGGCTCCAATGTCCGAGGTCTCGAAACGACCGCCACCTGGGACCCAACTGATAAGACCTTCGTCATTCATTCGCCGTACTTGACAGCTTCGAAGTGGTGGATTGGCTCCCTTGGCCGAACGGCCAACCATGCTGTTGTTATGGCCCAATTGATCATTAACGGCAAAAGCTTTGGCCCTCATCCCTTCGTTGTCCAGGTTCGTGACTTGAAGACCCATGAGCCTTTGGAAAACGTTCATGTTGGAGATATTGGCCCGAAGTTTGGTTACAAGTACGTGAGAAATAGATCTTTCATGCCTGACCTCAGAGACTAATTGTTTTCAGTACCATGGATAATGGCTTCTTGCTTTTTAACCACGTCAAGGTCCCCCACCTCAACATGCTTGCCCGCTTCTCTAGGGTTGATCCAGACACCAGCAAATACATTCGTCCAGCATTACCTTCCTTGGTATATGGCACTCTTACCTGGGTGCGATCTACCATTGTCCTCCAGTCTGGCGGAGTCCTCGCTCGCGGTGTCACTATTGCCACCAGATATTGCGCTATCCGGAGACAATTCCAAGACCGTGATGCTCCAGAATCGGAACTCGGAGAAAACCAGGTCATTAATTACAAAATGGTGCAAATTCGTTTGCTACCGCTTCTGGCAGCCACCTTCGCCTTGCACTTCACTGGACGAGGCATGATGGCTTTATACGAACAGAACCAGAGCCTCATGAAGGCTACTGAGACCGGAAGCAAGAATAGGGGTGCCGGTCCCGAGCAACTGAACCCGGGAGCCGACTTACTCGCTGACCTTCATGCTACCTCTTGTGGCTTAAAGGCTTTGGGAAGTACCATTGCTGTTGAGGGTTTGGAAGCTTGCCGTCGTGCCTGTGGCGGACACGGATACAGCAGCTACAGTGGTATTGGCCCCTGGTACTCCGACTATCTCCCCACCGTGACTTGGGAAGGTGACAACTACATGTTGACACAGCAAGTGGCTCGTTACGTATGTGTTTCCGAGGAAACAAGGTACCTTTAACTTTCATATGCTGACTAGACACTAGCTTCTTAAATCCGCTCGTGCTGTCGTTGCTGGTAAAGCAGCAAATAATGACACTTGCCGCGTTCTCAAGAACTACCTCGCTCGCCGAGACACCGGTGCCGCATTCGACATTCTCGACAACGATAAGGATATTGTGGATGCATTCGCCTGGCGTACTGCATACTTGACTTTCGAGGCTCTTAAGCACCGAGATGTTGAAAAGAGATCCTGGAACAGCCTCCTTGTTGACTTCTGGCGCCTCTCTACCGCCCACTCCCAATACCTTATTGTCAAGAATTTCTATGAGGCGGTGTCCTCGCCTGCCACTGCTGCTGCCCTTGACCCCGAGACCACTCCCATCTTGCACAAACTTTTCCGCCTACACGCTCTGCACACTCTCGAACGCGACGCCGCCGATTTCTTTACCGCTGGAGCTGTGACAACAAGGCAGATTGTCCTCACTCGCACCAAGGCAGTGATGACCCTCTTAGAAGAAATTCGGCCTCATGCCCTACGCCTTGTTGACGCATGGAAGTTCCCGGATTGGCAGCTCGACAGCTCGTTGGGTAGATACGACGGCAAGGTTTATGAAGACCTTTTCCACCGGGCAAGCGAGTTGAACCCGGTCAATGCAATGACTTTCGATCCATATCCAAGCAATGAGGCCCTCCTGAAGAACGAGAGAGCCAGCAAGCTCTAAGTATTTTCCCCTGTATTTTTTCTTCGGAATATTCTTACAATCTAGTACATTTCTTTTTGGCATTTTCCTAGGGATTGACGGCGATTTTGCTCTTTTTTCTGTGGTGGATTTTTGGCATAGACGCACATGATATATAGAAAGACTTGTTAGATCTTAGACAAAAGGTGCGGGTAACTGCTAGAGTATAGATTAGACACAATAAACACCTGATAGAATTCGAACCTGCTCTAGTAAATCCATTGGTTCTATTTGATCTCAACTTGAAAGTATGTACATTTATCATGTCCTCATTAGCTCATTTTTACGTGTCTACACCACAAAACCTCAAGAGACAAGAAAAATTCGTAAAATCATGCCCTCCTAGGAGCTGGTGATGAATGCATGTGAAAGGCATGTGCAAAACTGCCCCAAGCTCTGGGAATAAACTTCAATCCATCAGCTCAAACCCTTCATCAAAACCACCCCACCACAACCAGAGCTCCGACAGCTCCAGCCCAAAAGTACCTCGGCTCCGCCAGGCTCCCAAGAACACCCGCATGTAACCTCCGCCCTCCGCTCTGGGGCGGAACCTTCGCAACCACTGCTTCGCCCGACGGAGTTGGGCCCTCCCCCGTCGTGCGGGGAGCACGCGTGCAGCTCTCCCGTCCGCAGCGAAAACCGTCCGGACAGCAGCCTCCGCCGACATCGGCGCCACACGATGCCCAGCCACCGGCGCATTGGCGCGCTGGTGGAGTCGCTGTGGCCGGGACAGAAACGACAACGGTGACGCCGTTGGTGTCTACTGTGGTGTACGGCGTGAGCGGCGGACAGGACGTGGGATTGCAGTCTCGGCCAGTGCGGCAGCAGCCGCCGGGGTAGTAGGCGGCGTTGCAGGCGTAGAACCCCGTCGGGCAGATGTCGGGGATTTCAGAGGTGCTGGTGCTAGTGGGCGCAGGGCTGACGGTGGCAGTCGTGACGGGGTTCGAAGTCGGGCGGGTCGGCGGGCTTATCTGCGTGCTGGACGCTGAGGATGTTGATGTGGAGGTGCTGGAGGGCGTCGAGGCCGTGACGGTGACGGTGGTGGTGGAGACGAACAGACAGCCGTTGGAAACACACGAATAGCCTGGGATGCAGCACCCGCCGCCAGGGAAGCCGGCGCAGTTCGCGTATCCGTCTGGACAGGACTTGATCTGTCCAGAGCACGTCGTACTGCTTCCAGGGCAGCAGCCCACGTCTCCCAGCCCTGTGTTTGGGATGATCTGGCATGTCGTTCCCAGTGCGCAGCAGCTGTTTGGTCGCGATATGGACGTGCATGGCTGCGTGTTTGTTGGGCAGTTGAAGCCCCGTTTGGAGAAGACTCTCGATGATTGCAAATACTTCATGATCGCCAGCTCTCTTCCAAACCAAACATGCCGCTGGGCCCCGTGCACAGGATATGCGGGCTGCAGCATAGTCTCATTTCTGAGCTCCCGGCCACCGCGCTGTATATCTTCAACATCCCGATTCCCATTGTATTTCACATCAAAGCCCCAATAGCCCATCCAGAATTTCTCCCCTTCGTCATCAGTCATCTTCCGCACAGCGGTGGGCTGCTCGATGCGCAGCCTACGTGCGACAGAGGCGTCGCGCCGGAGGACATGGCCCCATGATATCGAGTCTTCGGGGTAGGTATCGTTTATTTGCAAGTGATGAAGCTGTGAACCATGCGCTGGAAAGGCAATCAAGAGCAGGACGGCGAGCAGCGAGTTGGTCGGCGAAAAGAACGGCGTCAAGGGTGGCATTGAAGGCACACGGCGGGGAGGCAGCGACGGCAGTTGGCAGAGTCTAGATAGTCAGCGACCGAACAGAAAGCTATTCAAAACTGGCCTAAAACGATTTCAGTTGAGCGTTGTTCTATATCTTGGGCCACGCCGGCGACAGCTGGGCCGTTGAGATTGGCTTGCTGATCCCAGCCACCCAAGGCTTGTTCCTGGCATGGCTGGCGGTTGAGATGCGGAGCCAAACGCGACGTCAGCGACCGAGTGCGGTTCTTACCACTGGTTACTTGAGCGGCTACTCCGTACAGAGCATCGCTGCCCTTTAATAGAGAGCAAAATAAATGGTTTAATCTCCTCTTGATTTATGTTGCTCAAAACTAATTGCAAAAGCAGCAACCAGACGCTGGCATTTCATTTTTCAAAGACATTGCAACATGGGGACGGACGTTTCATTTATAGATAGACATAACAGGGCTGGGGTGCTAGGAGCCAGTGGTTTGAATTAACTGATGAAGTAGTAGAACTGGCAGGGAGAAAGGGGGGAAAGCGGCGGCGAGGAGGGCCTAAAGGAAAAGAGAAAATAATTATAAGCATTAGGATAGTTATAACATCATAGCATGGCAAACACAGTCCCATCAAACGCCTTCCAATGTCTCCAAGAACACCTACGCTCATAGTCATAAAAAGAATCCAACACAAAAACCCAAAATGAACCACACTAACCAGCGCCGTAAAGAAAATCCAAACCAATGTTAGGGCAAGTGTACGGAAGGAATTAAGTGCAGAACCTGGTAATAATCAAAAGGGGTAGCATCACAGTCGTTATGGAGAAAACAGTGATCCAAGCCAGGAGGAGTGTTTCTTCCGCGAGGCTGTACACAACTTTCGTATTAGCCACTTCAGTGTGCCTGTTCATCGCCCACAGACGTACCAGAAGCATCAGGCGAAGACGCAGCTACACCCGAGCCACGCCTCGGGGTTTCAGCCATCCCTTCAGGGGCTGCTGGACCAGCGACATTGTCCTTAGCTTTGGTGTTATCCGGCTCCTTGTCCTGTTCCCCTGTTGGGGCTTCTGCCTCTTCTTTCTGGTCCTCTTCTGAGGCCTTCTCCGCCTCGGTATTATTCGTATTTTGCATACGCTCCCACACCTCTTTTCGCATCTTTTCATCTTTCGCCATTCTCCGCCGCTCTGCTTCTTCAATCCCTCCGCTTTTCTTGAGTTTCCCCTCCTGTACAAAAGCCCCGAGTTCTTTCTGAAACTTGCCAACGCGGCGACTCTCTAGCTCCTTTTGTCTCGCTTTTTCAGCTCGCTCAATCGCCTCCACGCGATTTTCGTGGTTCGGCTGCAGCGCCCGTACTTCTCCCAGTAGGCTGTCTTTGGCTTTCACGAGATCCATGCCGGAGTCCACAGGAAGCGATCGAGATGGTATTCGAAAACCAACACCAGAAGCAGTGTTTGTGCCATTAGAGGATTGGAGGGCTTGCTGCTTGGTAGCCTGTTCAACCAACGCGAATGTCTGTGTGGCTTTCTCGAGGTCGTCCTCCAGATCAACGGCGAGATCTTCTTGCATCGTCAGCTGATCACGTTCTTCACAAACTTGCTGCAATTCCTTTTCCCAAATCTTCGTCCAGATGGGTTTCTCGCGTTTGAGGAAGTCCTGCATCTTCTTCAGCTCCTTGGTGACGGCACTGATATCTCGACCGACGGCTTCTAGCTGCCTTGGTAATGGCCGCACTCCACGAGTCACAACGTCCTTTCGAAGATCTTCCACAAGATCCTGGAGGTCATCCACACGAGCGACAAGTTTCTCCGACTCGTCGCTAAGTTCCTTCTTGCCAGAGGTGATGCGAGCCCGACCGGCATCGCCTTCGTAAGATGGTACAGTGACGTCAACTGCTGCTGTTTTCACAGCACCAGCTTTCGTTCGAACATTATTCATAGACGCTGAAATATCCGACGAGAAGGTAGAGTAAGTCTGTCGTAAGACGGCGATATCGCGACGGAGACCCTGGATCTCCACCTCATACCCACTTCGCCCGGAAACAGACAATGATCGACCATTAGCAGATGCCACAGATCCCGGGGCAGCGGTTAAACGAGCAATTTCCTTGGCGGCATCTTGCTGGCGGTCAGTCAATAGTTGAATTGATGTGGCCTGGCCGTCCATCGTATCTCGAACTCCTTCAATGAGACGGCGAATTCCGCCAACGCTTTCATCAATGTGCTTTTTCACTTCATCGAGGGCTTCCACGTTTAGGACAAGTACTGACCGATCCTTAACGTCGCCGAGATCCTCTAGCTCATGGCGAACACCGGAGATTGGATCCTGTATGTAAATTTCTGGTAGATCAGCGCCGTTACTGTGTGTATTCCAAGCAAATTTCTCAATAAAGGCGAGTTGAAGTCTCCCGATAGTAAGACTAGCATATCCCTCTGGGAGAACATATTTTTTGATTTTTGATCTATACTGAAGAAATAAAGTAAGTTCTTTACTCGATGGCGCAGGCGACATTTCAGGTGTAAACTGTGTAGGCCGCGAATCGGCCGAATCCATTGAAACGGTTTTCAATTCTCCACCTTCAGCTCCGCTAGTATCGGTCTTGCTCGCTTGATCCACATCTTCCTGGAGCGAATCTCGTTCCGGAATCTGTGGTAGAGGCGGGGCCGGCTTTTCTAAAATGTAAATATCCTTGTGTTCGGTATCTCGAGAAACCCCAGTTGTATCTGCAGGCATTTTCGCCATTGGGCTATCTTCTAGTACGGGTTCAGGGGTTGCTTCCGTTTTTGCTCTCAGATTAGATTTAGGGGTCGCTGGTAATTTGCTATTCTCCGCCATTTGTCGACTGCTTGATTTCTGTCGACTTTGAGGAGTACCCCGAAGCCTTACAGCGTTCATAGATTCACGCACATCACGGCCTCTACTGGAAACCTGGGATGTCTGTGACGATGGGAGCATTGAAACGCCATTTGTAATACCAAGGTGCTTCTGTACCTGATAGGCAGAAAACCGTCGGGAGGCTCTGCGTTCGAGCTCACCACTTCGCTGAAGCATGCCAATCGCGTCGTTAGTTTTTGGCGGCGGGGGTGGTGGGTGTGGAAAAACATGGGTTTGGCTCTGGCCAGCGGAGGATTGTGAGCGAGTAGTGGACGAGTCTTTTTCGTATGGTTGAAGAACGGGCATGCTCTGCATTGTCGAGCTGGTAAGGGACGACGACGACATGGATGGTCCCATCGATCGCTGGGCGTCCCTCTTCATTGCCTCCCTTTCAGAAAACGATCCAGCCTGACGGCTAGCTGACAAATTCGACGAAGCATTCCTTGCAAGCGAAGATGACTGATCCTCGGTAAACGGTGCGGCTTGCCTCGCGTCCTGAAGCCGCTTCTGCGGAGATGGTACGGGGACCTCTTCAGCGGGAGGTGGGATGGCAGTCTCCCCACTGGCTGCACTTCCTTGACTTCCCTGACGCGGCGGAACATTTCTGGCCTGCCTTGACCGCAACTTTGCTTGTTTACGCTTTAATCCATGAAGTAGATTTATTATTATGTCACGTATGCGCGGTAAATACCGATCGAGGCTCTGAGGAGAAGCATCTTGGCTCAGAGTATCTTCAAGAATCGTTCGAAGTAGGTCGGGTACAGGACCGAGATCTGTTGTATCGACTCCGATGGCGTTGAAAGCGCGACATGCGAGGTTAAATTCGTAGCCGAGGCGAACGTACACGTCGGAGACGTCTCCTTCAGTGGACTGACCCCTTGACCACTGAGTCAGGGTCTCAAGAAGTTCTTTTGTGGCAACAAGGAGATGGGTAACACTCTTTTCGATTAGGGAGAGTTGTTTATCAGGCTATGGAAGCAAGCATGAGTCAGTAGAAAGCCACAATGCACGCTCTCAGGGATTTGCTCGGCATTCACAGATAATAACACTTACTGTTGTGCGTGTTGATGAGGATTTAGTAGATCCTGATGAGGTCCGGCCGCCAACAGCCTCCCCACCTGCACCACCTGCCATTCCTAAGTTACTGCTTCCTGAAGCACCAGGTGGCTGTGATTGATTCTGTTCGGAACTTGCAGCGCGCCGTTGGGGTGACCGCTGGTACCTTGCAAAGGGGTCCATACTAGGGACAACCAAGACAATCAAATCTGACAAGCCAGGGTTTGCATGGCGGGAGCCACAAGTCAGTGCACAGTAATAGTGGTGACAAGGACGATGACTCTGTTTGGGTTGGTAGGATGGGAGTGTGGTCTGTTGAGTTGGCGGTGATGAGTGGCCAGCCTTAGCGCCATCTCACACTGTTCAAACCCCCCAGTTTGGTTTTAGCGTGCGATGGCTTGCTGGCGCCCAGCCAATTCAGTCATGGTGCTGCGTCCACTTCACGTTCTAGATGCAAAGCAACCAGACGTGCAGCTGCTGATCAGAGCTAGATTCACAGGCTATACACTGGCCTGGTGTGTTCAGATGATGGTCAAGAGTGACCTCTGTGCCGGGTGCATTGTGGAAAGTACCTTGTGTCCAGTCGCAGTGCATGTTCACTTAACCGCTGGTGTTTACAAAGACCAGAACAACATCAGATGAGAAAAGTGCTTTACCGCCTGTTTCATAGTAGGCCAAAGCTTCTACCATTAATACTTCAATTTGTTGGCTAACTAGATATTCTCACTGGCTGGTTCTAGATGTCTAGCGAAAAGTGGCGCTCGATGCTGCTTTGGAGTATCCAGCGCGTACAAATTCCATTGGATGCGGGTAGATTGAAATGAGCCAGCAGTGCCAGTATGGCGCCTACAATGCCCGTCATATGTATTTCCATCTCAATACCAGAATATTCGTTATCTGGAGCGCGCGTGAGACAGCCGGGCAGGCTATAGAAGGATGGGGGCAACATAACCTTATGCCAGAAGCTTAACTTATTCATCTGACATCACTATTTGTTTGTTCGCCCCCAGCGTCACTATTTTTTTCTTTTTTTTTTTTTTTTGGGTGCAGGTAGCATGGGGGAAGAGCGAGGACCAGGCCAGATGGCTGGCATGGGCTTCTCTTCCGCAGCCCTTCCGCCGTCCGCTGAGACTGCCAAACGAAACATCGTACTCCGTACTCCATAGTATTTACACTGTGTCAGATCTGTAACTCTGCGCCCAATACGAGCCCGGACGGCTAGTGTATGGAGCCGACCACTCAGAGAGCTTCCTGGCGGTAATTCTCGTCATTCCTCTCACGTGTGGCTTGTCACGCTTTACCATACGTGACGGCTCCCGCTTGGCACATGCCTCACCCACTGGCCAGCCAGCTGCCAGTCAGCCAATCAGAGCGCGCGGGAGCCAGCCCTGTAACAAAACGCCCCGGATAGCATGACAGCACCGTACGCACCCGTAATTACCCCAACTCCGCCCACCCTCGCGCTCGCTCTCCTCGTTGTCGTTGTCTGCTTTTTTGCTGTGCGGCCTCTTCTTATTACTCCCTCTGTTCTCCCCCCTCATTGTGATACTGCATTCCACCTCCCTCTTCCTTTTTCTTTCTCATATTTGATCTTCTCTTCGCCCTCCCCCCTTTTTCTGTGACATAATTGATTTGCACCCTTTCCCTCCCTTCACCAACTGTGCTCAAAGCTTCTCTTTTTTTTCCGCCGGGCGGTGGGTGGCCGCTTCTGCCCTTCATTCTTCCTCCTCTTTTTCTCTGTCAACTCAACTCGCAGCAGGACTCTTTCAACGCCTCACAGCCGCTGCTAGTCTATGAGTTGAACAACCGTGAATACTTTACCTCAATCGAAACAGGACCGTGATGTCACAGCACACGACCGGTACCAGAGGTCCAGTGAGGCCAAACCTGGGTCTTAAGGAGGGAGGTCGTCGGCAGTCCGGGAGTCCTGTTGATGGCACTCAGAGGTGAGCCAGCTCTTCCTATCGCCATTCTTACTGCCACTTGCTTCTTACTGCCATATGGGATGTCGTTCCTGTTTTCCCAAGATATTTCCATTTCAGGAAGCTCACACCACACGCTGCCACCTTCCCCACCACATCCCCCAAGCGCAGCCATTTCCCCCACATTCACTCTTCTGCTTTCCCCCTTCTCCATGCTTCACTGTCCCATTTCACTTAGTTGTTCAGTTCTTCACATTGTTGCTCTGGAAAAGCCCGTTTCAATCACTATGCTGACCACCATGACTTGTGATCACAGGCGCAATAACACCCCCCGAGCCTGGATGCAGAATACAAACCCCGTTGCCAGGAAGGACGGTGGCCCCAACTCGCAACAGAATGGTGCCTCTAGGAAATTTAATATGTCCCCCAAGCCATCCGCTAGCAAAGAGTCTAGCACCCCTGATATGCATGCCCATGATCGCTTGATCTTCCTGATGACTGCATTCATTGTAAGCTAGCACTCCCTGTGTTATGATGTTTAGTACTCAAACCTTTTAGGGCGCCAACACAATAATTACTACCAAAAGCGGAGAGAAGTATTCAGGAATCTTTTCTGGCTCTGTCCTTGAGTCTAACGAGACGTCGTTTGTCTTGAAAATGACACGACTTTTCTCCCTTGAACAGGATTCGGTTCAACCGAATGGCACGAGCAACCACACTTCCCCCTATGTCGGTCCCGGGCCGGATCATAAAATGGTTTTTGATGCACAGGATGTAGCGGACGTTGCTGTGGAAGGCGTTTCTACATCCGGCATGGTGCCAAAGGAGCAGAACGGTGAGTCGTGATGGTAATCATTGATGTTGACTTTTTCTGACACCACTCGAGGTTCAGCTTTCCGCACCGATACCGACATCTCCGGAAACCAGCCAGGACGTGAGAGAGAACTTCAGCGGTGGGAACCCGGGACAGATGCCGTTGTGGAAATGTCCCTTGAGGCTTCAGGTTCAGCCGGAACATGGGATCAGTTCGAGACCAATGCCCGCCTTTTTGGAGCTACTTCTAGCTACGACGAGAATTTGTATACCACACGGATCGACCGCAGCGACCCTTCCTATAAACGGAAGGAGGCTGAAGCTGCTCGAATTGCTCGCGAAATCGAATCCACCGACACCGATAACATCCATATTCGCGAAGAGCGCAACCTGATTCATCCCCAGGATGATATGGGTGAAGAGGACAAATATAGCGGTGTCCGTCGTGGTGATTTCCCACCATTGCAGACTGGCGGGCCCAATAAATATACCCCACCCGCGCGAAGACCGCCAATGGGTCATCCCACAGTCCCAGGTGCTCCTGTTGATCCTGCTATTATTTCAGCTCAAGTTGCACAACCGAGATTAGCTCCTACCAAATCAGCTAGTCATACCTACAGAGAAGCTGAGCAAAAGCTGCCTGATAAACCAACGGATGTTGTAACCTCGAAGGATACAAGTCCTGATGCGAATAAACCGACAGATCTTCCGAAGCCAGCATCAACTTCTGAGCTTCCTGACACTGAGGGTAAGCATACAGCTGTTAAACCTATGCCAAATTTGACTATTCCCCCCAAGCGTACCAATATGGAAAATGCAGCCACCAACGTCGAGACAGAGGTCCTCGACCAATTCCGTCAATTTGCTAACAGCGAGAAATTGAAATTACAAGAACGTCGCCGGAACCAAGCCCAGTATGACAGAACTATTAAACTTAATGAACTTGTGAAATTCAGCAAGAATTTCAAATTGGGCACCCCAGTCCCGAAAGATTTGGTACCAATTCTAGCCAAGGACCCGAACAAGCAAGAAGAGATTGTGCAAAAAGCCAGAAAACAGCACGAGGAGAAGCTGGCGAGCGAAGCTGCTGCAAGGGCGGCTGCCGTCGCTTCAGCTTCTGCGACTGCGGTAACAGCAACAACAACAACCTCTTCCACCCTTACAGAACAAAAGCAAGCTACTCGCCAAACCGGACCCACTGGCAATTCTAGGTATGACGTGGCTCCCACATCCGCGACACAAACACTTGATCGTCCAATGTATCCACGCGGGCGCCAGGGCTATCCGCCTGTCGGGCCTCAAAGCGGCCGCCCTGCATCCCATTTACCCTCCCATCCAGGCCGTGCTGGATCAGGAATGCTCAGTCATCGTCTAGCAGATATTCAGCAGCAACGCAAAGGCGCGGCGATGGGTAATGTTCCCGCAGCTCTTCCTATTAATGAGTCTCGCGCGCCGCCTAGCGGCCCAACGAATAACGGAGACCAGGTTAATGTCCAGAAATCCGCTCCGCCTCCCAGCTCAGCTGTTTCCACCAAGTTTAATGCTCAAGCCCTTGAGTTTAAACCTAACCCCACTGCCCATACATTTACTCCCGCCACGACATCAGCTGTTTCTTCTAGCCCAGCGTCTAATGTTCGAACTGGCTCTATTTCTCGTGCAGCGAGCCCCTCTGCATTCTTTGGCAGCAAAAAGCTTACTCCTGCCGCAGAGAGACCGAGCCTTGATGATCATTTTAATCCAGTCAAAAGGGCGAAGAAGGACGCCACAGAACAAAGCGTAAAGGATTTTGCATTCAACGGTGGTATCCCACCAGCATATAAAACACCACCGACATGGGAAGTTACATCTATTAATCAAGAGAAGACCTACGTCGACATGTTCAAAGCATCGACCAGCGCACCTTCAGCCTCACCACAGACACGCTCGGCCTCAAATCCACAAATCCAACCCCATCAAAACCCAATGCCTTTCCATCTTCAGCAAGGCAACCAAAACACTGCACCCAATAATGGACCTCCTCACGGCCCTCATCATCATCTTCTTCCTCCGCAACACCATCAAGGAGGACAGCCTCACTATGAAGACCATCGCATGCAGCCATCTGCCTCGGCTTCTCATGCATACCCTTCACCTCGGCTTCAGCACTCCCATATGCCCTATCAGTCACCAATGGCTCCCCATGCCCAGTTGGTAATTGGACAAGGCATGCCTCAGTTTTATGTTGGGCAAGGTCCTCAACCTCCACATATGAGACACTATCCTGGCGCTCCGCAATTTGTCAACCCCCAGAATGGTATGGGGGCTCCCATGATGGTTCATCAGCCATCTAATGGCCCTTACATGGGTATACCGCAAGGTATGGGGGCTCCATATAATCCACAGATGCAAATGTATTCCCCAAGCCCAGCCCATGCCTACCCCCAACATGTGCAACCTCCTCCACAACCGCATAGTGGCTATCCAAGCCCCAGCCGTGGCGCACCTATGATGATTCATCAAGGTTCCCAGCAAGGGCAGCCGCCCCAACCTGTGATGTCAATGAATCCCGGACAGCATGGGCAGCCGTTTTACCCTCCTCAACAGCCAGGTCATAGTAAGTTTGGCGAACGCTATTTTTACAATACCCAATGCTAACCCCCAGTAGTACCTGGAGGTCGTCCTGGTCATCCTCAGCAACACCCCCATTTCGCCTCCAGCCCGAACCAGACACACCACTACCCACACCACCAATACCGAGCGCCTAGTTCCAATCACAGTTACATGCCACATATCCCTCCGCCACACATGCATTCCCAAGGCCCACCGCAGGGGCCTACATCTAACGTGCATAATAGTGAAGCGAATGAAGAAGTCAAATGAACGATGCTTGAACGAATCAGCCCAATCCCCAAACAATATCTTAGCCAATGACTTTCGTACGACTACTTGTCTTGCTTTGATACATTCGCGGCACGACAGGAGTGAATAACGATTTGAACCGGATATCGTTTCGGTTTCCCGTTAATTTTCTTTTTAGTATATGCCTTATTCCCAATTCCTATGGTACGCATACTTTAGGGCATTTGGTGCTGCCTGCAGCACACATTGACCCTATCTCACGCTGCCACTGTGGGTTCCCCCTGATAACAAAACTATTTCGTGGCTCTAATTCATCATTATAGCGTGTGCAGCATGGGTCCAGAAATGGGTATTTATAAACTATCGGATTTTGACCCCGGTATCTTAAGCGGACACTACCCGAACTCCAGTGTGGGAAACCAAGTAGCACGGCGTTTACCTTGCAGCTACTAGCACTATGTACCTTATCCAAAACACGATACGAATCTTGACGCTTCTTCTCTAAAGTGGTATTTAGATGGGATATCCGCAAGTTCCTTCTAGATACAACATGGGAATCTCAAGCACTACAGAGATATGAGTTCATGAGTTGTGAAGAGGATGTTGGTTGAACAAGATTGACAAGCTTTTAATAGGTTTTTCTCCTTGGTAGTCTAGTAGCCACGTTTTAGGGTTTGATGTGATTTAAACTATTGAAAAATAGTATGGTGAAAGCACAGAATGCTAGGGCGAGGATTAGTGGGCAGCGGGATGTGAATTTCATTTACTTTGCTTGGTTTGGTAGTTGTCTTTGAGGATATTGAACAGTAGTAGTTTTAAGGATTCCGGTTACGGGGTATGGAGAGACATTATGATGTAAATTGCAAAATTGACATTAGTTGTTCCCCTAAGCTACCCACCTACACATACCTACCGCTGGCACACATTGATCAAAGCAACCAGAAGTCCTATGACACCCGTAAGTAAGCTTTCTTTCATTCTTTATTGGAAGGGATCCTTGAGAGGAGGGTGGGGGGCGCAAAGCAAGACAAGAAAATACAAAATTGACAGGCATTGACACAAGCTTTCTCGAAGGAGAATCGTGTTTTGAGACTCATGCGAGATGACAAGTCCTCAGGTCTTTTCAGTTTATATTGGTCGTCATACAACCCAGAATCAAATGTTGCAGGTCACAAGGGTTATCGCTTTTCAAAGTTGGCGAGAATCAGTTCCAGCCGCTCGACGATATCATAGAGCCGCAAAAGAAATCCACTCGCATTTCGGTCGTTCAATCCCTGGGAAGGAAACAAAGAAAGTTATGAAGGCTGTTGGCCACCGCCTTTAGCCCTTGTGTCCTCATGGGGCAAAGCGGACGAAAAGCTCCAAGATAGGTGGCCTATTATCTTTAAATTTGCACCAGGAATACTAAGGAATGCCACTTGTTGAAGTTTGATAGAGCAGACCTTTCTTGCCTACTGGTATTGTGTTTTTTCCCAGGAAAAGAGTCATCGTCGTTAAAAAATCAACGATTCTATGCGGGGATCTCAATTTGCAGCCTGATACCATTGATATTGACTTTAAACTGATAGCCAACGTCTGAAATGCCTATAGAACCCTAAGACCGAGCAATATCTTCATCTGGTGTCGTTGTTGTCTGACCTTTTACCAGTTGATCATCATCAGACTTTGGCGAGATGGATCAGGCCGTACAGACCGCGTAGAAATAGGGGAGAAACGAGCAATAAAAAGAGAAACTACACTGAACATTATGTAAATCAGATTCTCAAAAGTGCGGGGCTCGTGCTGAAGCCCATGCAGGTCGCAAAAATCGAATCAGGGTATCTAGGATGTGGTACGGTGCTGCATTCTGATTAGAGAGCCTTCCTAAGTAAGCAACGAAGAGATATATATTATTCAGAAATGGGTAACCTATTAGCCTAGCTCATGGGAATCAACAGTGCCTAAGTCGTTAAGAATCACCAATACATTTCATGTTTCCAAACATCGACTTGAAAACGGATCGAGTCCGACGTTGATTTAATGGAAGTAGTATTCAAATGGAAATCCATATTCTTTGGAGGGTATGTACTCTGTATCGGGTAGACTACCTAGTCTGAGCTGGCAAGAGATGTGTTTCACAAAGCTGAGGAACAATAAAAGAAGAGGGTTTTGACGCAAAGAAACTAACTAACTACTCGTGACCTTGCCAAGCCACACCTAATTTGCTAGTAAGTGGACCTGCTTACATAACTAGTTAACTGGTCAATCTACGCGTTGTGGACGGGAGACAGATTGCGGGACGAAAAGCTTCCAGCGATATATATAACACCATCTCGGGGATTTTTGGAATACAGCATTATTCTACTCCTCTACGAACAGCTTACAGACCGAGACTTGGAGTCATCAAAGCTCAACCGGGTCAATATCCGCCAATAGCCCCCTTTCTACATAAGTTCCCGGAGGCTACATATGCAAATGCGCACTGTACGGCGGAGCCAATCCGTTTCTTCTCACCTACTGGCGATTATTGGGCTATGGATTTTTTGAAGTCTGCCGTTGCCTCTGCTATTTCGAAAGGCAGCGCATTGCCCTACTCCTTTGGGGATCGGGTTGATCAAGGCGAGTCCATTTGGACACTACACAATGGCACGAAACGGGTACGGGTCTAGGCTTATTGCTGTCATGTCGGTTGCTTATACTTCTGGTTCAAATCTTAGGAAGATGGCTCTTCATGTTCCATATTCACGTTTGAGATCGCCCCAAACAGGTCACGGCTGCCACTTGCGAGGAACGCGTTGCGCAAACTAAGGACGTTGCGCCATCCTGGGGTCTTGAAGGTGCTGGATACTGTTGAGGTAAGATTTTCGTATAATATTTGAGAATATAATACCTGAAGTCAAGAAGGAAGATTAACAAAGTGCACATAGACCGAAACACAGATTTTTATCGTGACCGAGAGAGTCACACCATTATCCTGGAAGGTAAAGCGACGAAGCCTATCAGAAGAAACAGCAAAATGGGGTCTATATTCTATTGCGGTGAGTACTTTCTGTCCGTATACTCGTAAGTCCCTGTTTAATTCGTAATTGTGTATTGTTAGGCAACCGTCAAGTTCATAAATGAAGATGCTACCTCTGTTCATGGTGCTCTCCGAGTGTCGTCTATCTATACAAGCGAAAGTGGAGAGTGGAAACTTGGTGGCTTTGATCTTCTTAGCTCCATGAAAGAAGATGACCCAGTAATATACGTAAGTCGGCTACCAATACTAAATCTTGGCACTAAACCTTTGTTGACCCTGAGCAGCAATATGGTAGCATTTTGCCTGACTCGAATCGCTATGCGCCCCCAGAGATCTCAAAAGGGGGCTGGGAAGTGATTAAGAGTAATCCTGTGTTCGCAGCGGATTCGTACAATTTTGGAGCCTTGATTTTTGAAATATTTAACAGTAGTTTTCAGAATGGCCAAGCTGGTCAGACCTCAAATATCCCTCCTAGCATGCACCAAAGCTACAAAAAGTTAGTAAATATGAATCCGAAATTAAGGCTGAGCGTCGCGCATTTCATCGAAATGGGACGGCGAGCTGGAGGATTCTTCGACTCCGCCCTCATTCGATTAACGGAAGACATTGAAAGCCTAGGGTTAAAAAGCAATGAAGAGCGGGAGGAATTCATCAAGTATGCTTTCTTTTTTAGTTTTTCACTCATGAACTCGCGTTTATACTTGAATGGAGGCTAATTATAGCAGTGAACTGGATGATTTATCTGATGACTTCCCAGAGGATTTCTTCAAAATGAAAATTATGCCTGAGTTGTTGAAATCTGTGGAATTTGGCGGTGGAGGTCCCAAAGTTCTTAAGACGGTTCTGAAGATTGGTACCAAACTTACCGACGACGAATATAGCCAGAAGCTCACGCCTGCTGTGGTACGCTTATTTGCAAACCCAGATCGTGCAATCCGTGTTTGTTTGCTGGACAATCTACCACTAATGATAGATCGATTGCCACAAAAAGTAGTGAATGATAAGATCTTCCCGCAAATGGTATGAATCTAGATTGAAATGAAGTGCAGCTGCTAATCGGATTAAATCCTAGGTGACTGGCTTTACCGATATTGCTCCCGCAGTGAGGGAACAAACTGTCAAGGCCGTTCTTACAGTGATAGGGAAGCTCTCAGACCGAACCATCGATGGCGACCTGTTAAGATATCTCGCAAAAACTGCAAACGATGAACAGCCAGGTATCCGTACAAATACCACAATATGTCTAGGGAAAATAGCCAGGAACCTGGGTAAAAGCGTACGAACTCTTATTCCTTAAGAAACGTTATTACTGACAGGCTCTAGTCAAGGGCGAAAGTCCTCGTCGCTGCATTTTCGCGGTCTCTAAGAGACCCCTTTGTCCATGCTAGAAATGCATCGCTGTTGGCTTTTGCAGCAACTATAGATGTCTTCAGCGAGGAAGACTGCGCTACAAAAGTTATACCAGCTATTAGTCCAGCACTTATAGATAAGGAAAAGTAAGTTGCCAAGATGGATGAGGCTGGAATTCTGCTAATATATACAAGAATCGTTCGAGACCAGGCAAGCAAAACATTTGATGCCTACCTTGAACGAATCCGACAATTTGCATCTACTATGGCCGATACAGCCCTACCACCGCAGGTGGCTCTAGATGCATCTTCGTCTGGTGGTGTCAAAGCGGCAGTAACAAACGGAGCATCATGGGCTGGATGGGCCATATCCTCATTCACAAATAAACCTACGAGTACTAAAGGCGAGATCCAGCAGAGCACTACTCATATAGTATCCGACAGCTCAAACCGGTCATCCTCTCTATTGCGAACCAACGAGAAGCAGCCCACGCGGCCTTTGAACACAACAGCAGTATCATGCCCTAATGTACGTTCCATAAATCGAATACAGACTGAGCAAGCATCAGAGCAAGCTGCCGCCGAAGATGACGGCTTTGAGACCTGGGGCGATATGGATGATCAACATAAAGACCCGGAGCAAGAGGAAGCAGACACGTTTTTTGAATCCCGAGGCTCACCTGCTCCCACTCCATCAATGACCACGCCATCTGTACCATTTGATGACGGTGGAGAACCAGATTTTGCAGGGTGGCTAGCTGCACAGTCAAAGGCGAAGACCAAAAAGGCTCTTCCCAAAGGTTTGGCTAAATCCACCACGTCAATTGGTACAACAAACAAAGCTTCCACCTTACGATCGACAACCTCAAAACCGATTATTTCTGGGGCTGGGACGGCGTCGAAGCCGAAACGGATAGTCCAACCTGCGAAAAAGGCGACTGAGATCAAGCCAAAGCCTGAGCCAACGGCTGCGGAGGATGATGACTGGGGTAACGATTGGGATTAAGGCGATGCATTTGTCGCTTCTCTCTATGCCACATTTGGCAGCTACGGCAACTGTTCACTCCCTCCCAACCTACGATGGAATTCCTCCGAATCACCAATGGCGATTTAATTAGTCTTCTATCCGCAACATGTCTTGCTTGCACCAGTGGAATCGGTACCGCAAACTTTGCCGTACTTAAAAAGAAAATGTTGCGCCTTTCACCCCTATATTTGGTGATTTTTTAGTTCTAAATCTCCAGATCTCATTCACGATCACACTTTTGCCGCAAGTTGAACCTATTAACTGTCAGTCTTGCCCAGTGCATAACCATATCAATTTGCGTATGTATGAACCCAGTACCTACATACATATTCTACAATGTGTGGGCAAATCTGGGGAGGGGGGCACAATGCTTGGCGATTGGCGGTATCTATAGGCTGTCCTGAGTCAGGATTTTGAAGCTTTATTTTGGCTAAGCATTATCGCTGAAGCTTAGTTGTTGAAGAGTATTAAAACACCCCTGAAAAGCTTCCACCACAACAGTCTTTACACAGTTCGAGTCCCTTTCTAATATATGAAGTATAGTGCTCCATGCTTCTTATATGTTTGTGCGGTCCACTCCATATGCACGTACCTACATACACACAGGTCCTGATCTACGGAGTACAGAGTAGTATAACCAGCATCTTGGGCTCACAAGACTCAATTTCCCCCATAACGTGTAGTAAATCCTTTTACGGGGTAATGCTGCGATTTTACTTATTTAGACTTCTTTGTCGGACTGTACTAGCCTACGAGGGGTGTAAATATGCAGGAAAACCCATGTCCGCCATCACCATATTATTGATCGAGCTAACAGGGTAAGCACCAATGAGGCATGCAGCATATCAGCAGGCAGTGCATTTGATATGTGCCCAACACTTGACGCTACAAAGGCTTTATGAATGGCGGGGTGTTCGCTTCTGCCTAGCCTTATGATTTTAACTCAGAGTTCTCCATTTTATCCGTAAACGCTCACAAGGACCGCCGCCAGCGAAACAGAGCCATAAAACAGGGAAAGGAGGCAATGAAATTAGGAAAGACACACGTCGATGAGCCAGGGGAAAATCCGAGCCATAATAACGATCCAATTGTTCAAAGCGACGAGCAAAACCCTGAATCGTATAATGCAACCGTCCACGAGGCAATCGCAGTGAATGCGAAGACCGCTCGTCAGCTTTCCTTATCCGCAAATGCTCACAAGAATATGCGCGAGAAGAACAAAGCAGCAAAGCAAAAGGAGCTAATGGAGATGGGTGCAGCGAGGAGCGGTATTAAAAACGGGGGAGTAGCTGATAAAAGCTCTCCGAATTTTGGCTCTCAGTTTGATAAAACAAAATAATTCCAAGTATTGCGGTGACTTTGTTCAAGATGAAATTCAGATATGCAGAAGCAGTCGAACGAGGCGTCAGGGGTCTTTGGATCAGGGGTCTGGGTTGTTTTCTGGATAATCCGTTGGCTGGACATCAAACTCTTCCTGAAGCTGTTTATCGTAGGCAGCTTTGTCTTCTATTTTTTGTTGAACAAAAGAATTCATATCTGCTGCCCAGTATGCTGAAAGTTTATTAAGAAAGTCTCCATCTTCCCGGTGTTCTTCCGGAAACCCCAATAAAAGGTGGTCATGAAGCATATGATAAAGTCCAGTGGGGTTTGTCAAAGCGATTGAATACCAGAACGCACCAGAATTCCACCCTTGCTCTACAATGCTAGATAATGGTTCTCCAAAAACAGAGGTATGGAGCCGGCGTTCTTCTTCTTTGAAAGCGCTCATGAACTCTTGGCGAGTGGCCTCATAATTTGATCTATCGACCTCTTCGATTTCGTGACCTGAAATCCATTGAGGTGGATGCAACATTTCTATGGGCTTTGAGCAGCACCATTCCAAGTCAATGACACACGTAATATTCCAATTATCAAATATTGCTCGGATGAAGGTCATTCAGCATTACAGTAAATGGCCCATGGTTAAGCTGGCGATTAAAGAAATGCGGCAAAAGAATTCTCATCATGGTCAAAGTGGCCATCTGGTGCAGACAATCCCATTTGTCATTTGCACCGTTAGGCTGGTACCGTAAGCGATTGTCATGAAGAGCCAGAATATCATGGGCGTATGCAAGTGAGGTAGAGTATGTCGCATCCCGTGGAATTCCCACAGGAATGTGCTCATTTTCCATCTGCTGGATTTCTATTGTCAAAGGTCTATTGTTAAGATTCAGAAAGCCATTATGGTCAATTGTAAAAGACCCAATTCGAGGGACCGGTACCCGTGCAATTGTAAGCAAAATTCGCGATAGGCTTCTAAAAAAATTCATTCGAAGGTTTTGATCATCGCGTTTATCTTTCCAAGTTTTCGACAACATGCTACCATTTTCGATTCTCTCAACAAGAAGGTAGCCAGTCTTCCAAGCATCCAAGCAGGGCCCAGTGTAAGGAACGTATTTTGTCACTGGGAAACCAAACATTCTGAGTATAAAACAACGAACGGACTGAACACAACGTGCTATTAACGGCATATTTTCGATGGCGGTAAACTGTAGAAAATAATTAGTATAGTCTATAGGGCAGTAGTGCTCAACATCACCCATACACTCTGGCCTGTTGAGAAAGCAAACCCATACAACCTGGGGATTGGTATGGATGGGCAGTTCTGTTGCAGCCATGTATAAGTTCCCGCCTCGCAACGAAGCTTCTCATCAGAATTCCCCGGTCTGAATGATTCGCCGACACGGTGCGGCAGCGGGAATCGCATTAACACGGATTTTTGTGTGTCAATGACAATTGGAATGCAAACATTAAAACTCCCAAAAAGCCATTGCGTCACCAAAGCCACTTCGCATCTCTCCGGGTTGACACCCAGATGGTGGGCAGCGGCCTGCTTAAGGAGATTTTCATGGCGATACAAGTGAAGGAAAAAGTCGTACAGCTTGCCGTAGTATCCCAAAGACACCAGCATGTTGGTTTCATTTGTTTTGGCTGAAGAGTATGTGATTTCGCGCCGCATCAAGCGGCGTGTCTTGACCATGATTGCCACCCCAACTCTCCTCTATAGACCCTACCGTCCATTGAGTGTGTGTTCAGTCTAAAGGCCTTACGTCAAAAATCGACGTCAGGGGTCTGCAGGGGCGGCGTTGGAATGTGGCTGGGAAAAGCAATTCGTCGCCGGTGCCCAAGTTTAGTAGAAGCACGACTGCAAGCTGGAACAAAGAGACCCAGAGACATAACTACCTAGAGCGAGGATAGCGAGAGGATAGCATGCATAGGGTCTGCCTCTGGGTAACTAAAACTAGGGAACGGAACATGGCGGAAGGATGAGAGAGAGAGAACCCAACCAGGCAGCTTGGAGGCACGCTGAGAGCGGTGGCGTCTGCTTACGGCGGTTTAACCCCAACTGAAGCGCATGGCTAGCTATCCAACTCTGCAGAATCCGCGATCTGGGTGTGGCGTCTAGGCAGACGCGTTTTCTGGCATCCAAAAGAGAAAAGAGTTGCGAAGTTAGAGCGGGCGTTGCGTTGGCTGAGCGTTATTGTGCTGCCTGGTCGGCGGCCGGATACGAGTCGAACCCAGACTTAAAGGCTGGAATGCCCGCCTGAAGGATCTTTATTCACTCGAACCCACACAGTTCATAGGATTCGTCTTGACTGTGCCATCGTCGCCATGACCTTGAGAAAGGCAAACCCAGACGACGCGCCGCCGCCGTACACGCCGACGGATCCGCTTACACCCGCGTCGAGCAGCGTCTCTGCTAACGGAGAGCTGCCGGCACCGCCAACCACAGACCCAGCTCTAGTTCCAGCTCCAGCAGCAGTATCAGAGCCAGAGCCGGTGCCAGAGTACGAGCATGTTTCGCAGCCAACAGACAACTTCATCTCTGCGGTGCCGTTCTTCGCCGAACGCCCTCCCACTCTTCCACACAGCCCACACGAAGAAGTACTCCAGCATACAATCATCATCTATAGCAGAAGCCAGGCCAGGGACTACTCTCGGTTCCCGCGCTGCTGGCGATCTCGCTCCGAGGAGGTCACGGACAATGACTGGCGTACGTTTCTGAACTATCTACTACCGTCTCACCTGGGTCCTGCGTCACATCATCCAGGTCTCCCACACAAACTCCGCCAGGAGATCGAAAGAGACCACAGAGACTGCTCTCAAGAATCCGACGACCAACGTAGGGCCAGGATTGCCACCGTTGTCGAGGAATGGAATCACCACTTCTTTCGTCCAAGGGCCATGGCTGTGTCCTATTGCTTTGCTCCTGAGGCCAAAACTGAAACAATCTCTCCCCTTTGCCCGAGGTGCTACCCATCGACTGTGAGATCAATGCCCATAAGACATGGCTCTGGGTCGAATCTCTCAAGAAGCCAAACAGCGCCACCAGAAGCCCTGAATTCCATTCCCCGGAAGCCCGTCGGGACAAACACGACACAACCTTCTGTCGGGCAGTCTCAATCAGGGAGAAATGAACCTAATGGTACCCAGTCAGATGGACCCCAGAACTTTGGAAACCAGTCCTATATAGGCTCTTGGGCCTCTGCAATTCAGAACTGGGCTACTAACTTGTCAGAACAAGCTCAGATATATGGAGACACCATCGAACGGCAGGCCAATGAGCGTGGAAGGCAGTTCGAAGCCAGAGCTGAAGCTTTTGGTCGGATGATGGAAGCTAGAGGCAATGCACTGGAGAACTATTTTGAGCAGCAGGAAAAAAGATTTGAGGGCAGAAGCGCAAGATGCGAACCATCTTGCGAAAGCCGTTCGTCGTGGCAGCACCCCTGGACCCCTTCTGGGCCCCGGGCTAGGGGTGCTGGCTGTGGTCATCGCGGTGCCTTTGGTCCCCAATACCGTGGTCGTGGACGAGGACGTCCAGGCTGGAATGGCTCCAGTTGGAACCGCTGGGATCAGCCCACGAGCTCCCAACGGCCTCGAAGCGCATCTATATCCTCGCTCTCGTCCTCACTGTCATCGTCCTCTTCCAGCTCTGATTCATTGTCTTCCCATTCCTCAGAAGATGATCAAGGATCTTCTGTAGCAGATGCTCTTCGCCAGCAGCGCATTCAAGCCCGCCACCTTTCTACAGAGCATCATGCGAGGACTGCCGCTTTACGCCATGAGATGTGCGCTCTGAGAGCTGCCCACAAAGAACTACGGTCTTCATGCAATCGACGCGGGGGGGCGGACCATGAAGAATACTCGTTTGACAAAGTTGCTGAAGCCCAGGCTATCAAAGTCGAAGTGGGGAATCTGAAGCAGGAATACAAGAATACTAGAAATGAATTCCGCCAGGAGAGAAAACAACTGCGAAAGGTCAGGAGGGATTTGAGAAAGGAGCGGAGAAAGGAGATCAAGGCAGAGAAGAAACAGAGAAAAAACAAAGGCAAGGGTATGCATGATTCTTTTATTGCCAGTTATGAAGCTGAATATTATTTGCTGATTTTAAAAGGACCCGTACAAGGCCTACCCCAAGCTTCTTCTGGTCTTATCCCTGTCGAAAACCCGCCGCCTCCGGTAGCTCCACCAACGGTGCCCGTGGAGCCACCCTCGTCAACAGTACCAGCGAACCAATACCCTCCCATCCCTGAGACTTCAGATATACCACTCGATGCAGCCGCAGAAATCCGAGCTCACACCGCACCATCCCCAACACAGATCCAGCAGGAAAAGTCAAAGCTCGAGGCTAAATCAAAAGCAAAAGAGAAAACTAGCTCTAGCGATGCTGTCCCCAAATCAATGACTTGGGGGTGGACGCGGGGCGCAGGCTCTAAAGCAAGCTCCCGGAAAAAGGCGAAAGAAGGCGAGCCACAGAATATGCAGTGGTCGGGTGATGGCCAGCAGGAGAATGGGGTGCTCATTGTGGGTGGCGACGGCCGGGAGCGAGCAGAGATGGACGGGGCACCACAGCCACCGAATCAAGCATAAGATTTGTGTATTCTTCGCTGCTCTTAAATTCTTTTCTCGATCTATTTCTCAATGGCGTTTTGTTTCCTTTTCTCGTTACCTGTTGCTTGGCGCTTGGTGGATGGATATTTTTTCCCAAGCTCGGGTGTACGATTTAATGATGGCATGATGGAATACCTGGGAATGCCAACATAACGATTTTTTGGCTTTCCCTCTAGCATTTCTTCTCCCCGCCCCCCCCCTTTTTTTGGGTTTGCTTTTGAATACTGGGCAATACTTCATATACACCTCAGAACCATATAACGCTTGAAGTTGCCATGCTTCGACCTAAGGGGACCGGCGCACGAAGTCAACTGTTATATATGCAGAAGTTCGCCCATAGAACCTTAACCACAGTAGCATCGAAGACCCAAGAATCTGCCCCAGATCCTCCTGAGCAGTTTTCACCGCACCGCCTCATTCCTTTCGACCAAATCCCCTACCCCCAGCGCCCTTCCAATCTTTACCTTAACCATCCTCTCCCCATCCTCCTTCTTCCCCATACTGCCCACCTCGTCACCTTCGTCTTGAGCATCATCATCATCACCATCTCCAACAGCAGCCTTCTTCTTCTCTGAGTTATCGCCTGCAGCAGCTTTGATATTTCCCCGTTCTCTATCCTGTTTGGCCCAGAGGCTACGCAGGTCCATGCGCATGGCATACGCATCCTCACCGTCGGCGTAGTATTTCGATTCGACTTTTTCAACCTCGAAACCAAGAGTGTCACGGTAAAGATGCAGGGCAGCCATGTTAGAAATGCGGACGTGTAACGAGACGTAGTGTGCGCGGTGGGATTCGGCCATGGCCCGCTCTAGTAGATGCCCTTATTAGTCCATCGGCTATCAAAATTGGCAATGAAAGATCCGATCATACGACTCATTCTCATCAGCCTCTCTGCAATTCCCAGCCGCCTATGCGTTCTCATCACGCTCAAACTCGTAATATGTCCATGGGCTAACCCATCCGTAGGCTCCTCCTCCATTTTGGCCAGCACGTATCCCACCACCTTGGGGTGTTCTCCATGCTTGTTCTTACTACCATTGGAAGACGATCTGACAACGGCAATAAAGCTAAGCTGAGGCCAAGAAAGGGCATGGTACAAGTAGTACTTTAGGAAGTAGTTTTCGGGGAGATTTGTGATGTTGCAAGTCTGGACGGAGGGGAGAAGATCGATGTATGACGGGTAGGAGCAAAGAGGGACGATGTCGACCATGGTGGGCGAGAATCACCGATGTTTGCTTCAGGTGATTTGAAGGTGAAACCCAATCCTCAATCCTCAGAAGCTGCGGAGTCCGAGGTCGTTTGTGAGGCACGCCTTGGATTGGTTTGCTGTCCAGACAAACAAATTTGAAGCTTTTGCGTTGAGCGCGGAGGGCACATAGTTAACTATTTCTGGGTTCTTGCCAAGCTTGGTCAACAACAACTGACATAGCGGGATCGCCATATACTAATTCTCTCCGGCGGATAGATTTGCGGCATTTGCCTATTACTTTCCTAAATAGTGCTACGAGGAATGAGACATTCCACTTGACTTTTAATATTAACCACCGAAGCTATGGACAACATTCGTCATGGCGAACTAATTCTTCTCTCAGTCCAAATTACTCAAGGATTCCAGAGCCAACCTAGCCCCGAACTGTACGGAGTATACACCCTGTACTCTGTACTACATACAACCACCTGTGGGTAAATATTTTCCCCCTCTCATCTCTCAAGGCATGTAACAAGGCCTGCTGCAGGTTCGAATCCAGACTGGGTGAAAAGAATAGACATTATGGAGCACTCTAAGAGAATCTCCTAATATTCTTTCTAAGGGGAATCTAGTTACTTACACTGAAATACTGTGGATAGACAAGGTAAAATCATCGGTGTCTAAAGGTCTAGCTATGAGACGTCAAAATTGTGCAAGGTATATCTGAATCCTAGCAAGACCTATCCCTTATGAACAAGGGCGAAAAATTCGTCTCTAGCCTCCGAGCTCGATTGCATGCACCCGAGCATGTAGCTAGTAGTGGTAGTACTTCCAACCTTCTCCACACCCCGCATGGCCATGCAAAGATGAGAGGATTCCATGATGACTCCAACGCCACGGGGCCTAAGCACATTGAAAATGGCCAGGGCAACCTGTTTGGTCAAGCGTTCCTGAATCTGGAGTCTGCGAGAGAACATCTCGGCTAAACGGGCCACTTTTGAAAGGCCCAAGATGCGACCATCTGGAATATACCCTACATGTATCTGCATACATCGATAAGTTAATAGTTATGTACCAGAAATGAATATAGGCACTCTACCTTTCCAGTGAAGGGAATCAAGTGATGTTCGCAAAGAGAGAAAATATCAATATTTCTCACAATAACGAGTTCGCTGGCGTTCTCGTTGAAAACTGCTCCATTAACCAGACTTTGAACATTCTCTGAATATCCCTTGGTGAAATAAAGTAAGGCTTTGGCATATCTTTCTGGTGTCGCGCGTAGGCCTTCTCTATCCGGATCTTCTCCGACGCATTCAAGGATTGTGCGTACAGCTTTTTCAAGCCTCTGAATCCGAGCTCCATCTTCTTCTGAAGCCTGTTCCAATTCCTGGAGTGTTTCGGGGCACAGTTTGTAACCTTGTTCGGCCCGGCCTTGTCGAGACGGGTCACTGGAAGGTTGGCGGCTGATCAAGGATTAGAAACCTTGTAGGGGTGGCAGTAAATATACTTATAGCATACCCTAGAGTCACCACCCCATCAACACCCTCGGTTTCCTGAACCATTATGCTAGCAGCGAGCACCCTAAGGGTACGAATGAAGAGTTTGAAGTATAGAGTTGGGATGTAGCTCGCTCTTGAAGGAACTTTCAAGCTACAGATCAGGATATGTGCTCGCTGAAGAATGCCAGAGTAGCTGCGATCCACATGCATATATTTATATCCTGAAAGACAGAAAGAAACTTCCAGTATCAAATTAGAAGGCAAAGCTGTCATGCTTGTTCTGTATTGAAGATCATCTGGAATGAGTGTCTTCCGAAACTGACGGAAAGTTACATATCACAACAATCACGCCCAGTTTCTTCGGCAAATTGCAACATATGTAGATTGTCACTTGCCGCTGCATTTTAAGTAGCTTTCCTCAGATGACAGGCAGTCGCCTAATTTCAAGATAGATAAGTCGTATCATCATTAGGACCTGTAACATACTCCCTACCAGCATTACATTGAACTCCAAACGCACTTGACATGGCGAATCTTGACTCTCTCAAGTGGGCCCTAACGCAAAAGGTGGCCACAGCGGCGCCTTCATCGAAGCAGCCCTTGTCAGACAAACAGTACCAGGATGGCTTCAATAGTTTTATGCAAGGCTCAGGCTGGGCCAACTACCAAGACTTTATTATCCCCCAAATGTCTATGGTATTGACCCCCATCTTCGACTCGCGTGTTTATATCTCAGTGCTAGAAATTGGGCCCGGGCCGAAGAGTGTACTGGGATATCTTCCAGGCCATATGAGACTGAAGATCAAGAAGTATACCGCATTTGAACCTAACCTTCTCTTCGCAACAATGATGGAGAAATGGCTTCGGCCTGACTTACCAATGGAGTCACCGTTTCCTGGCCTAGAGGGTTTTCCCATAATTCATCAAGAGCCATTTAGCATGCATGAAGGTAGAAAGACCCACACAGCTAGCACCACCGGTGGCCCTGATGAGAAATATGACGTGATTCTGTTTTGTCACAGCATGTATGGCCTCAATCCTAAACCGAAGTTCATTGAACGGGCTCTGGAAATGCTTGTCAAACAACCGGAGGGTATGTTGCTAGTTTTTCACCGCGATGGAAATCCGAATTTTGACGAGCTAGTGTGCCATCAAACGACTTCGTTTCCAACCGGGGAGATTTGTGTTCTAAATGACGACAGCACGCTCGATGGCTTTGCTTCTTTTATCGTAGGATTCAAATTTCAAGATAGAGAGGTAGATGAAGCTACCCGGAGAGAGTGGCGCCAGGTTTGCCGTACCCTGGGTCGCCGCACCGAAGCTCAGCCCAACTATCTCTTTTTCAGCTCGCCTGATTTGATGATGGCCTTCACCAAACATTCGACTGCTCTATCCGAGCTGAAAACCAAGGTGCCATTTTTGGAAAGACCCATGCCAGTTAAAAATTGGGAGGCTCGCCTTCACCGCCCTGCATTGATTGCCAGACCAACAGACATTCAACAAATCCAACATTGTATCCAATGGGCTATTGGGCATAAGACTGGCCTCACCGTTGTTGGCGGTGGTCACAGTGCCCACTGTTTACGGCCGAATATCGCCGCGATTGATATGGCTGCGTTTAACAAAATACATCTCTATCAGGCCGGAGATGAGAAAAAAGGCTCCAGTCCAGATCACATTCCCTTAGTCATGGCCGAAGCTGGCTGCAAGGTAGGGGATATTATTCGTAAAACAATGGAAGCCGGACTGACTGTTCCATTGGGTGCACGCCCAAGTGTGGGGGCTGGGCTCTGGCTGCAAGGCGGTATCGGACATCTGTCTAGACTGTACGGGCTCGCATGCGATGCTATAGTCGGTGCCGTTGTCATCAGTGTCAAATCTAGCCAGGTTTTCTGCATTGGCCACGTACCAACTCAACACTGGCCTACGGGCGCTGTCCGTCCAAAAAACGAAATGGATCTCCTATGGGCATTAAGAGGCGCGGGAACTAATATTGGCATAGTAGTCAGTGTAGCCTTCAAGGTGTTTGCTGCACCGGCCTATTTAGTTCGAAAATGGATTGTTCCTTCAACAGATAGCCACGATGCGCAGCTAATGATCAGCAATTTTGAGAGGTTTGCAAAGAAATTGCCCCAAAACTGTTCTGCAGATGCATATTTATACTGTGAAGCTGGAGAGATGCGTCTTGGTATAACGATGTTCGAAACTTCCACACCTAGCTACGACTCGCAGCCCCTTCAGCCCACACCCATACCCCCAGACACGTTTTTGGGCCCAGCAGATAGCCTGGAGTATATGGACGGCGTTGAAGTGTTTGATGCCGAGATGTACGTCTCTGAAATACATGGCGGGCATGGCGGCAGCAAGACATCGTCGTTCAAGAGATGTTTATTTTTGAAGTGCATTGGGCAAAAGGCCACTGAAATACTGATGAAGGCAATTAGAACTCGACCGTCACCACTCTGTTACTTCCATTTGCTTCATGGGGGCGGCGCAGTCCGTAACATAGCAATTAGTGACACTGCTTTTGGTTGTCGGGACTGGAGCTATGCGTGTGTTGTGACTGGCGTGTGGCTCCGAGACCTCGATGGCACCACGATAGCTCAAGATGTCGTGCAATGGGTATACAATGTCGTTAATAGCTTGTTGCCCTTGAGTTGCGGAACTTATAGTGCAGACTTGGGGCCCGATCCAAGAGATATGTCATTATCTGTTAAGGCCTTTGGGCCAAACCGGCAGCGCCTCGCCAAGTTGAAACATGTCGTGGACCCCTTCAACGTATTGAAGTACACTTGCCCACTTCCACGGGCGATGGCAGCGCAGAAACTAATCATTCTGGTCACTGGCGAAAGCTGCGCTGGGAAAGACTACTGCGCCAATGTCTGGGTCTCCGTATTTATGAGGAACACCCATAAACAACTTACTGCACGCGCAGTCAGCATTAGTGATGTCACCAAGCGAGAATATTCAGAAGCTACTGGGGCTGACTTGAAGCGTCTCCTTTCGGATCGAGCATATAAAGAACAGCACCGATCCGCCTTAACAATTTTTTTCCAAAGGCAGGTCCAGCAGCAATATCAGCTTCCAGAACAGCACTTCCTAGATGTAGTACATCATGCTACCGATGTTGATGTGCTCCTAATCACAGGAATGAGGGACGAGGCTCCAGTTGCAACATTTTCACATTTGGTACCAGCCAGCAGACTGCTCGAAGTTCATGTTAGAGCTAGTGGCAAGACCCGCGGGGTTCGGCGAACTGGCACTGAAATCGGCTATAACGCCTGCGACAAAAACACCAAGGACAGCAATCATGGTCTAGCAGACTTAAATCACCGCCCCGAATTCATCTTCGACAACGACACTGATGGAAGGAAGGTAGCAGACAGCTTTGCGCAAAAGTATTTGTTTCCTTTCTTGCACGAAGATCTTCAGCGGCTCTCCAGCATGGTGAATTTGGTATCCGAATTTCCACGACCGACCATTGAGTTTCGTCACGTACTCAACATCTGCCAGCAGCCAGGTGGGTTACATCTGTGCACATCTTTGCTGCAGTCTCATTTTACAGGTAACTGGGCCGGTGTCGATATGATAGTGTGTTGTGAAGCTGGCGGCTTCGTCTATGCCTCAGCGCTCGCGTTACGGGTTGGTGTACCTTTAGCGCTGATCCGTGAGGCGGGAAAGTTGCCCCCGCCTACCATTTCTCTCCCCAGGAGTGCATCGCATATATCGGCATCTGATACTTCCAAGTCAAAACATATTGAGATTGGCTTGGATATCATCCCTAGAGGGGCATCAGTGGTCGTGGTAGATGATGTGCTTGCCACAGGGAACACGCTTTCAACAGTTCTACAGCTTCTAAGTGAAGCTAATGTTATCACCGACGATATCAAAGTTATGGTTGTTGCCGAATTTCCTCTCCATCGTGGTCGGGAATTGTTACGGCAGCGGGGGTTTGGTAGAGTCCATATTCAAAGCCTTTTGGTTTTTGATGGTGCTTAGGAGATACATGGGCTTCTTGCTATTTCCTTATGTCAATTTTTTTACTAGACAGTTAGTTAAGTAGACTAGAAACAGTGAACGAGAATGCTTAGGACTATAGTTACTCCGTATCGCCCATGAAGAGGTTTTGTTGCGCAATCACCATGCCACCCAAAGATTTTAGCTTCAATGAAAGTGTTTGTTATGTTTGCACTCTTCCCGAAATAGGCTGGTTTGTTCTCTCAGGATGAACCTCGAGTCGCAGTCAACCGATCAACTATGGAGTAGTTACGCATTATTACATCAATAATTTTCATGAGGCGGGGAATTCCTTGCCTCGCCCCCCAGCAGTCCGCCGTACGCTGGCCTCTACCTACCATGATTATTGAGCTGCTAGCAAACTTAAACCCCACATATCGTGGACCGCCGATGCCCAACATCTCCCCGAAGAGCCGAATTATGGAGGAGGACGGTGGACCCCAAGAGACCCTGGTGCCTTGTCCGGATGTCTTGTTTTCTAGAGCCCCCGAACGACCGCCACGTCAATACTGATCACAATGGAGCATACACCGGAGAGTGTATCCTCATTGTGCTGATAATTTGTTTTGTTATTTGGGCTAGATAGACCCCATTTGCCTCGATTCTATACCCTGTACAGACTTCCAGAGCAATTTTGCGGCAGAAACTGCGATTACTGATTCCGCGCGTGACCAGTTCTAGGGGGTGCCACACATCGAACCTGCAGCCTGCGAATGGTCTACATGTGTGTACATACGGATGTTTGTACAAACGAGGGCTTCATTTCGTCGCATTCAGAATGCATTTGCCTCAAGGTAGTCAATGATACGTCAGCACTGACGACTTTCCAACTTGTCCATTAAGAATACCTCTCTGGACGATACGAATGCGAAGCAGACATTACCCGTTCGCGACGCAGCAAGTGGGCTTCCGTCCATGACAAAAACAGAATATGCTTCAGGGATGATGTGGGATGGTAGACGTCGTACGGGCAGAAGGCCCGTTCGCACGCAGCAAGTTCAACGGCAAATGCTATGTTGCCGAGCCCTGCCAACTTACGACACTTGCGACACAGGGTTCCAATGTATGGCTCGGAGACAGATGCCAAAATTGAGGCGACTACGGAGTAGAAAATGTCTGGCAACATTATTCCGCTTAAGCAGACGGCGACCCAAGCCATTCATTCCCCTTTGCTCACCACCTGACCCTTTCATTCGGCGCAAGGTTCTTGTGCCAAGCAGGAGGAGGTTCTCAAATGCAGTCGCCGTGCTGGTTGCATTTAACAGAAGCGAATCGAAGGTAAGGTATTCCATCGAGGAAGACTATAGGGCTGGGAACCTGAAAAAACTTTGCTTCCGGCTTTTCTTTTTTCTTCTCACCGTGGCAATATCAGCAAATAAAGCCGTATTATTAGGGTGATCCAGACCAACGACTCCTTGAAAATCTCAATCTTCAAAGCGATGGATCGACCTTGTGTACTCCGTAAAGTTAGCGATACGTATTGTACGAAATGTTCCATAGCCAGTCCTATTTTTACTCTTCCCTCGCCACAGAACTACTCCCTTGCATCGACAGGTGTGGCTATGCAGAACGACAACTTGATACATCGTGAAATGCATCGTCAGCCCGGATGCTCCCAAGGCACATTTCCAGGTTGAGAAATGTGACCCTATGAGCAATAATAATAGGATGTCTCGAATACGAGTAGACGCTCTGGCCTTCTGCTTTCATATTTCGCGAATTTTCTCTGCCAGGTTTATGTTTCCTTCCCGACTGCGTTGCTTTTTTGCTCGCAAAACGACTCCAGTTCTGCGCCTGGTTGGAGAAGCTGGTGTTGCTCGTACCCCGGCGGCGCCGGCCCACTGTCAGCAGCCGGCACGCGAGAGAAATTCGAACACTCGGCTCCCGTTTCACGATCGCCGTTTGATGAGCTATCTGGAAGAATATTCTCATACGTCCAATCTCCCCGGAACCAGCGGGCCCGATAGCCAATTATACCGACCGGCTAGGCTAACGAAATGCCGTGGACGGGTATGGTTTCATCCTGAGCAGCCGCGGATTAGCTAACTAGGCTCCCGGTGCCCCAGAAAAATCAAGACGCGCACCCTGTCGCCAGGCGTTGGGTTTAGCGCTCAGACGCTGCGACTATGTATCCAGCACCCTCGTCGTGCGATTGAAGTGAGAGCGAAGTGTACCTTGCAGCCCGTTTGTCCCTCACTAGACCGCTTAGACTCTGGGCATACGAACCCTTGCATGAGTCGCAAGCAGCTGGGCATCGAGCATCTGGCCATCATCAGCTTCTCAAACACGAGTCTGACCCTTGGCGTCGCATGGCCGGCACCAACAGAAAATCCGTTATGAAACGTCATATTATTATTTTAGCTTGGTCGATGTTTCTCCACGATCGGTACAGTTTGCATCCTTGCGCCAACGCAGATGTCACCTCGGCACAGGGATGGTGAGGTCAATCTTCGGCCCCGAAACATCAATTTCTCGGCCCACCTGCTGATTCACGTTTCACTTTTTTTTTCGATACCCGTTCAGGGCGCTCGTATCGGCGCCTGGGCCCTGTGCCGCCACCTACCTAGCCATGAACTCTGGCCATCTCGGGTCTGACGGCGCTCAATCGGTTACGAAATAGAATCGCAATGCCCGGCGCTTTGATCAAGACAGCGCATTCCGAAGACGCTGGTTGGGTCGCATCGCCCTTTTCGGCCCTGCTGTTTATGCGCTGCGACACCACGCCTTGTCTGCGCAATCTTGCCAAATAGTGATCACCGTTGTCGATCCACCTCTTGATGCAGGGTCTCGCCCCACCGAATCAGCGTTTCTCGTCCAGGGCTGTCAATATTATCCCTGTCATCGACTTTTTTTTACCTATACGGGGTACGGAGTACGCAATATACACTCGACCTGTTTGACCCTGGCGAAGTCGAAGTCGCAACGAGGTGGCAATTCCAACACTGCTTCAGTCTTGAAACGATGTCCGTGCCCCATGCTTCGATTGCGGCAGTGGCCAGTGGACAATCTCACGAAGCAGGGGAGGCCTTGGACTCGAAATCATACATATTCAGGTCCCAGAGCTCCCAACTCGCAGCTGTTTATTTTCTGAGCCTCATATTAACAGAAGAAGTTATCCGAAAATTCCATCCTATACCCCTTCAAGCTATCTGTTACCATATGTGCAGCTGACAGCATTATGCCTGCGCGCACTTTTGACAACGATTCGTCGAGCGACGGACAAAACGGCAGCATGGCTACTGCCGACCTAGGCTATCGCCACAACAGCCATTCCAATGGCATCTCGAATGGCATGACATCCCTCTCACTGGACAACGCTCCTTCGAAAAATAGCACAAATGGCGCCGCCAACGGAAACTCATATTACCATATTAATGGATCCCAAAATGGCAATTCACATCTTATGATTCCTATGACAACCAACAATGCCTCCCCTATCGAAGGCACAAATGGCTTCTCGAACCGTGGCCTGAAAAGCAAATCGAGCCGTTACTTTAACCGTCGCGCCAATGGTGACATGATCATTCACACCAATGGGCATTCTAGTGGAATTCTCGACGATTATGATATAGATGCTGTCCGAGACAGCTTCCCGGGTACGGAGAGTAAGACCATTGCATTGAACAATGCTGGGGGCAGCTTAGTCCACAGGGGTGTAATTGAGTCGTAAGTATTTTTGTCTGGCATTAGAACGATGTTCTTTTTTAACTGAATACGAGTAGCGTTATTCGGTCAATGTCCACAACACAGCTTGACTTACATGGCGGAGACATCAAAAGTGACCATGACCGAGCAGGTCGGGCATCTCGATACAAGGAACTCGCCTCTTTTATGAACGCAGAGCCAGATGAGATTGGTATGTAGTCCTCCCCCCTCCAAATTTCTTTGGCCTTGGAGCTTTACTAATAAGCTATCAGCATTCGGGCCATCAACCACAAGCTTGTTGCGTACCTTGTCGGATTCGCTTCGTCCCTTACTCAACTCAAACTCGGAGATCATTGTTTCAATGCTTTGCCATGAAGGCAATGTCACACCGTGGGTTGCCTTGGCGAACAGCTTAGGTATCACGATCAAGTGGTGGATGCCAGCCGGCGGCCCAGGTAACACAAATGCACAGCTCAGTGTAGAAACTCTGAAGCCCCTCCTTTCACCAAAAACGCGACTAGTCACATGCGGGCATGTGTCCAACATTTTTGGTACTATTCATAAGATCAGAGAAGTCGCCGATCTCGTACATACGATTCCTGGTGCGATGCTCTGCGTCGATGGCGTGGCGTGGGCACCTCACAGACCTATCGATGTGAAGGCCCTCGACGTCGACTTCTATGTCTTCAGCTGGTACAAGGTATTCGGCCCACACCTTGCACAGATGTACGCCCGGCGCGGCATCCAACAACGACATCTTAGCAGTTTACACCACTACCCTTTTCACGCTTCATCCCTTGACCTCAAATTCCACCTTGGTAACAACTGTTTCGAACTCGAAGACTCATTAATACCGATCGTGCGCTATATCAACCAAGTTGGCTGGGACAAGATCATAGCCTTCGAGGAACACATTTCGCGACCATTGGTCGACTATCTCCTGTCTCATCCAGAAGTATACACGTTGTACGGGGAGCAGACACTAGACTCGAATGCGCGTGTTCCATTAATTAGTTTTACCGTTAATGGCATGTCGTCAAAAGCCATCGCCTCCGAGATCCACAACACTTCGAACTTCCGGATTGCAGCTGGGACCTGCTATTCCTTCCGGCCCGTGCACGACATCTTGAGACTAGGGGACGAGGGTGTGTTACGGGTGAGCCCGGCCCACTACAACACTCTGGAAGATGTTGAAGCTTTTGTTGAGGTGCTGGATCAGGTAGTCCGGTCGAAGCTTCGGAATTGTCCGACGCCCTATTAAAAACTGCATGCTTTTCATTTGTGTGTATATTAGTTTAAATATAGAATATGATTTGCTTCGAAAGCTCTTCAGCCCTGTACGAGCTCCGGTGAAGGTTCGTTCGTATCGTAAGACATCAGGCGATGCGCAGACGCAAGCTGTTTCTGGAGGAACGATCTTTGCGGGCTGCGCACCCTGCCAAGCGGCCTTTCATCTCGGTACAGAATAGCTGAGTAGAGACGTGCTCTGATGGGTCGATGTCAGCATCCTCTGAGCAGGAAGGCTACTCACAGGCAGCCACCTGGTTGTGGAGCCCAAGGGGCTTGATATGTAGCCCATGATCTCGCGACTCGTCTGTGTCGACGCAATCAGCTACCGACAAAAAGGGTAAATTTTATGTAGTTATAGGCGTCGGGTGTGGAGATGCGTGGGTTGGCGATGTTTTAGGTGAGGTGGTGATGTTTCATAAGGCTGGCAAACAAGCTCCTTCGAGCCCACGACAGCCAACACGCACGACAGCTCGAGCGCCAGCCTGAGACAGCCACGCCAGCCGTCGTCGAGGCTCTGCACCGCCTGCCAACGCCGCCGACCGGCCAGGCCTCACAAGCCCCGGCCGTCTCCGCCCGGCTAGTTAGTGACGCAGCGGCTCCCGAGTCCTGGGTGTGGCTGCTGTTGGCTCCCGATCGCCACTGACTTCATCGCCGCGATGATCTCTCGACGGACTGTCTCTCGTTAGAGTTGGGCTCTGGTAGATGTGGATCATGATGCATTCTTTTTGCGCCATCTCGCCTTGGAGAGTGCACTCATCGCTATTCAAATAACCAGTTTTGCTGTTCGCTGATTTTGAGCTGCCTCATTTGGTGTATGGAGTAGTGATGTGCCTGTCTCCCTCATCATGCAACGGACTTTACATATCCTCACAGTGATTTCTCTGTTGGGCCTTGGACAATCAGACGAGATTCTCACGCTGACGGGAACAAACATACCATCATCGCTGTCGCTTGCTGGTAATTCTCTTCCAACAGATGCCTCCAGTCTCTATAAAAGCTACACTTCGGTCATCACCGTCAGCGCAACGCGAGACAGATTCGCATCTAGCCCGACAGGAACTTCTTCCTTAACCGCCACAGGTAGCAGCAAGTCAAAATCTGACGACTTCACGCTTTTGGTTGGCAGCAATACAGTAGGGACCCCCAACGGCACAACGCTAATTGGGAATGCTACGGGTACTTCGACCGAATCGGCCGCCGTGCCGACAAATACCCGCCCATGCAATGGATATCCCGAGTTCTGCAACCGGAAATACTCCAATATCACCCAGATTGCAGCTCACAACAGCCCTTTCATACGGCCGGGCAACCTTGGCAGTAACCAAGAGCTTGATGTGACTGTTCAACTCAACGACGGCATTCGTATGCGTCAGTAGCTTATAGTTCTGCTCATTTATTTAATTTCCTTGGGTGTGCTGAAACTGACAGACTTATAGTGCAGTTTCAAACCCATTATGTCAACAATACAATACGTCTCTGCCACTCTTCTTGCGCCCTTCTTGATGTGGGAACCCTCGAGGACTATCTGAGAAAAGTAGTAGACTGGTTGAAAGCCAATCCCTACGATGTCGTTTCGATTCTCATGGGGAACTCGAATTTTATTCGTCCAACAAACTATACCAGACCTATAGAACAGTCTGGTTTGATCGATTATGTTTACACTCCTCCTAAGATACCCATGTCACTAGATGACTGGCCCAATCTGTCGCGGCTCATCTTCTCTAGTCGAAGGGCCATCGTATTTCTAGACTACCGGGCTAACCAGACTGAAGTTCCTTATTTACTTGACGAGTTTTCGCAAATGTGGGAAACCCCGTTCTCCCCAACAAACAGGGATTTTCCTTGCGTCGTCGATCGACCTCCTGGCTTAAATGATGGAGATGCCGAAAAGAGGCTATACATGGCAAACAATAACTTGAATACAGAAGTCTCTCTTGCTGGCAACAAACTTCTGGTGCCGAACACAGTGTTGTTGAACGAAACGAATGCGGTTTCTGGATATGGTAGTGCTGGAGCAATGAGCGGCAACTGTACTGGTAAAGTGTTCTCCTTGAATATCCTTTTACTAAGGCCTAACTATGTCCTCGCCAGAAAAATGGAACCGGCCGCCAAACTTCATCCTTGTCGATTATTATAATATTGGAAACGTCAACGGTTCTATCTTCCAAGTTGCAGCAAAGCTTAATAATGTCACTTATAATGGACGATGTTGTGGCCGAAAGGCATCGGGAGCTTCGTTTGTAGGTTCCAAAAGTGGATCGTTTACGAGTGTACTTGTGATAGTTATGACTACTACTTTGCTACTTTGGGTCTAAGGGTTGTTTTGAGCGCATGGGGTAATCGGCATCGTAAGAATAGCGTTTCGGGAAGTTAAACACTAGATTCAACTAGGCTTATTGACCTGGAAAGCGACACTGTTAATTTGGCGGGTAATAAATATAGAAATAGATACTGATAGACAAGCAAATGGCTTTCATAAAAAACCGCTAAAGCCTAGCTATATCCCCTTTCTTGTTTCATTTCAGATAAACCAACGTATATTCTTAAGCCGCAAATTCTACGTGTCTATCCGCGACTTCTGCTAGGCCGCATACCTCGTCAACGACGGGTGGGGCGAAATTCGTGCGCATATAAGCGATCACCGTGTCAAGACCATTGGCAATTCCAGCTTCACAAGTAGTTGTTAATTTGGGTCTCGGAAAAAGGAGGGCTTTCAGAAGCCTATACTTACCGCTGCACCAAATATTGTCTTCCCTCACATATCTATGGGTGTCATTCCATTTAACTTCAGGAAATCTTTCTCGTAAAATTGGGAGCAATTTCCAAGGCCCAGCAGCTTGCTTTCCATCAAGAATACCCGCATAAGCAGCTACTTGGCTGCCAGTGCAAATGGTAATGATGGTGGTGCCAAACTCGTGATGAGCTCGCACAAAATTTAGAATCTCGTCGCTGGGAACTTCGCTGGGATCGGGGCCGGGGATCAATAGAATGTCTAAATTCCCTGGTGCCACAGATTCAGAGGAGACATGGTCCGTGATGTTCATGGTGATACTGCCGGTCAATTCCGCAGACGAAGATTCGCCGATGTAGCGGATTGTGGACGGCACTGCCTGGTCGAGGACAGATTGCGAGACATCGCATTTGGCGAGATAATCAGGGTGGAGGATGGCAAAGAGGTCGATAACGGCGAGGTCCAAAAGTTGAACGACACCGCAGAGTAAAACTCCAATTTGGAGCGGCTGTTCTTGACTATAAGACATGGCTGCCCAGGTGGTGGATGATTAGGAACCACCTATAAAAAGCTTTAAAAATACTAACAGAGTAAAAAAGGAAAATGTATATGGAATCAACGGTGTAAAGAGGAGAATATATACCCTAGATTTGATGATTTATAATACGGGCCGAAGAGGTTCCCTGATCGACAATTTGAGCCATCGGCAGTTCGGTAACCCCAATCCCCCACCCACGGAGTACCCAGATCGTTTTCCAGGATAACATCGGGGCGTTATTATGGCCATTTCAGGGGCTTAGCTCGGTGGAAAAATCCCTCATCCATAGGGAGCCGTCCAATGAGGAAAGCAGTCAGAAACCCAGAAGATAGGCTTGTGGGCTTGATGAAGTAGATTTTAGACTGGTAGATACTGTAAAGAACCTTGCCGTACCATGCTTAGAAGCCTTGGATGAGGGGCCCCGACTCTATGCGGGGGTCAAGCCTCTGCATTCTCGTATACAAGACATGGCATTTTAGGAGAATAACATGTAACAGGTGATTTTTGGAAACATTTGTATGAATAACAAGGCACGATTATATTTGGTTTGGAATGCACAACAATCGTTATCTGAAAGCCTCACAGCTCTAATCTGCTCTCTCCGAGAACATTGTTGCGCGAAGCTGTCGGTATACGGAGTACAGGAGGTTGCAAACTTGACTGGCGAACGAAGCCCAATCCGAGGCTGCTGATTGGTTTAGTCACAGGCTTGGCAACGGAAGCGGACGGTTTCCGGCCCGACCGCGCGATCTTATCTTATCGATCGCGGGTGGTTTATCTAAGCAACCGCTTGCTCCCAGCCCCCTTGGCGATGACGTCGTTGGGCTCCGCCTGCCTCAGCCGCAGTCACGCAATTCAAGACAAACATATCCAGCCTCAACCAGATGTTCCTACGGCTACGGTAAAACTGCTGCCGACGGTCCTCCCAGAAGCGCTGCTGTAAGCGCCTGGTAGTAGGTCCGACTAGGTTTATCCTGTCGCTACCCTAATGTTGTTTCTATAATAATCCTCTGGTACCCCATACTCCAAGCTATCATAGCCAATCGTCATTGCGACACATGTTCACAATGTGATCGACTCCACTGTGAAACCTTGATCTTCATCTGCTTCGGCCTAAAATTCCGGGCTGGAGAAGTTTGAATCCCTCTTTTGAAGATGTTAACGATCCTCTCTCTTTCCGGATATCTGTTTAACAAATCTGTCATTCCTGTGTCAAACTCTCCAAGAGCGCACTGGCATACCGTTCTCGTTTCGGTTTTGCTGCATCCTCGGTTACTGTTTTTTATCTATCTCGAATTGCACGATGGTGCTTTCCCCCTGGAATCGATCCCTAGAACAAACACCTGCGGACCCTATCAAGTCACGTCGTTCGCCGCTAACACGGCGTGTACTTTATCCCCTTCTATACTTTACAATCCTCATCTTCCTAATTCTCGTTGAAATCGGAAATGTTAGCAACAGAGTTGTACTCCGAGACATCTATTTTCTCAAAATTGATCTTTCGGAAATTATACCTCGTTCTGTACCCGATGCACTCCTCATCAACAGCATTGCCCGTAGCATTGGTCTCCACGACTTTTACCAAGTTGGGCTGTGGAGTTTCTGCGAAGGATATGAAGATGGCACGGGAATTACCGCTTGCTCGAAACCAAAAACACTGTACTTTTTCAATCCTGTAGAAATCCTGCTGAACGAGTTACTTGCAGGAGCAACTAGTATGGATATACCTTAAGCAAGCCCAAATGGCCGTAATAATAATAATCACTGATAAATGATCAATAGTTGCACTGCCTGCCGGGGTAACGAGAGCCCTCGAAATCGCTCGCGTGGCCTCACACTGGATGTTCGGTCTTTTCCTCATGGCTTCCGTCCTCGCTTTCTTCTGTATTTTTGTGACACCGTTCTCCCTCTCCCCTAATACTCCGATGCCCTCCTCCCCAACAGGCAAGAATACACATATCGGCAAAAAGAGATACCTGTTTCCTCTTACGATCCTCACGTTCGCCACATTCTTAACCACTATTGCAGCTAGTGTTTTAGCCACCGCAATGTTCACTATCTTTAAAATTGTTTTTGAGAAAAACCAAGCCGACCTGAATATTCATGCTAACCTTGGAGTGAGGATGCTAGCTTTTATGTGGATTGCAACAGGTCTATCAGCCATTGGGTTCATATTTCATTCGGCGAGTTTATGTGCCTGTTGTTGCTGTTGCTGCTGCATCACAGGGAGGAAACAGTATGTCGGACCGGACGGGGATGAGAGAAGAGAGAAGAATTTTTTTGACAGGAGGAGAGGGAACATGTCATCTTCCAATGATATTTCAAGCGGTGGCGAAAGAGTTGGAGATACTAGACGCAGGCCTCATGGTTGGAGTAGGATAAGGATTGTGACATAGGGTAACCGGCTGCTGTGAGCCCGTAAAAGTTGATATAACTACATGATAAATTCTAGGGGAGTCTGGAGTTGAGAGATAACACGAGGTTATGTCAGGCATGTGCTACATACATACATACGAAGAGGCCGTTACTAACATGCAAGGAGGGGTATCATACACATACAAAAAAAAATTGAATACCACCATCCACAGCATAAATTTCAGAAACAAAAATCCTCCATCAAAGCCACATGTGTTAAACACTTCAAAACATCACATCATTTTCCTGCAGTGAAACCATACTCCATGCAATGATATTAACTACTTTGCAATTCAGATAACCGATGCTTATGCTGCTCACACTGAAGCTTCAAGGTCCTGCTCTAACATTCTTGCAAATTCGTCATCGTCATTCATATCCACAGGAGTGACGTCGGTGCAATTGACTTCCGATACAATATTTGCTCCTTGCACGCTCAATCCTCTAGGGCCGGGGTTGTAAATTCCTTTGGTCTGTGTAGGCTCGTTGCTTTCGTCATTCTTGTTGCCTTCAATGTTGCACCTGGTAGTTGCTGAAATCGGCGGAGAGTTGTTAGGATGGGGTAAAAAAGGCCCTCTATTTTGGTGCGTGACAGCTTCATTGTTGGCCCCGTGCTTTTTGTTGACTTTAGGCTTCGTGGCCATTGAGGTAGGAACCGGGTTCGATAGACCGTAGGGTTGCTGTGGAAGTGGAGCGGTTAAAGAATTCGTGAAGCGCTGGTGCATATGATTGTTGTTTCCTAGCCAGCGGTATTCCTTTTTACGCATTGAGCTAATAAGTTCCTTTTGAGCTGCTGGGGGTTCTGGTGAGCAGGAATAACGGACGCCCGACTTTTCGGGTTGTTTTGCTGCTAGACTGGAGGAATCATTGACAGTCAAATCGATTGCGGCAGGAGTTGTTGGAGAAGAGGAAGCTGGTGTCATAGGTATAGTGGCATTATTTTGAGGGTGACTAGCCATGGTTTGTGGGTTTTGAGTGCAAAAGTATGGCTGGCCAGGAGTGTGCAGGCTAGCTAGTTGCGGATTAGAAGCTATTGCCATCGGGCTTAGCTGGGAAACTCGTTGAAGTTGAGTTTGCATGTCGTGTGCAAATCGTCGCAGCTGATGAAACTGTGTGCACATCTGGTTGTAAGATTGAGCCACAGCCGTGTATTGTTTCTTCCAAAAAGTCGCCTCTTCTTTGGCCTGAGTTTCCCGTTTTCGAGCATCCGTTGCAGCTCGCTTTCGATGTTTAAGTTCATCTTTCAACATCTGCAGCTGGCTCTTCTTTGTCACCGGGTCAATATGAGTATACACTTGAAGCTCTTTCGAAAATTTGTCGCGTTCAGATGAGCAAAGACGCAACTTTTTACGACACTCCTCTAAACTCGTGGCGACCTCGCTGTCTGATGCCTTGATAAATTTAACGTGAAGATATGGAGAAGATGGAAGGTAGCCTAGATCTCCTCCAGGTTTGGGGTATGGGGAAATGTATTTTGGAGGCTGACGAAAGGACCATGCAGCTTCTCGATATTGAGTTACAAGAAGGTCCGACTCCGTGATTTGACACACTTTTTTTATGTGCTCAGATATAGAGTTATTCGTTTTGTCGGGTGGGCATGGAAATACAAACGGAAATGGCAGAGGTGAAGTGGCCTTCGGGTTCACCAGCTGGTTTGGTGTTGTCGTGCTGTCATGGTCGTCGAAAAGGGAATCGATCGAGGACTCACGTCGTGAGCTAGTCGTATCTAAATCTGTTGGGAGAGAAGGAGTCATTGTATTGGGGCTGAATGGGGGCAATGACAGTGCCACGGAGTTTGTCCGGCTGGTGTTGGTAACGTCCCTCGTTTCAACAGAAAGAGCAACAAATCCAGATGTCGAACTCGAACCTGAGGATAGAGTAGCATCCTTAAGTGTCGAAGTGGATTGAGCTTGTGGGGTATTCCCCTGCAGACCGGGTGCTGAACTTGCAGCATTGCTAGAAAAATATCTCCTAGCATCCGGCAAAGAAAGATTTTGAATCTGAGCAGAAGCTGCAGTATGATGACCGGCAGAATTGCGAAAACAGGGTCTTTTCGGGCCGTGATCAATACCTTGGTTAAAGTGGTTAGAGTTCTCCCCGCTGTTCCCAAAACCACAATCATGAGCTGTGCGTTTCATCACATCTCCCGTCGTGGGCATCGGAGCTATTGGTCGGTATCCAGCAAGACAACTTGCAGATGTTTTTGGCTCGGCATTCGCGGGGGATGGACGATGCTCTTCCGACACGACGTCTGGACGCTGTGTGTCGGCGATTTCGATAGCTGGGCTAGTGTTGCTAGGTTCGGAGTCCCGACGAAGATGATTCTGCAAAACCGGCGTGTCAGAGGCCCCGAAATCATGAAAGAACTGGTCGATCCCGTTCAGATCTACATCATGATCTATTGGCAAGTCAAGGAAGTCACCCAGATCTCCGAGGCCCTGCAGATCAAGCTGCAGGTCTTGAAGGTGGTTTCGATCCTGCTGAAGCTGTGACCCGGGGGGAGGTGTAAGCCCCAGACCATGACCCATAACAGGCTGCGAAGAAGAGGATTCAGAATTGTTTTGAGGAGTGGGCTGATTCAAGCCTGGCAAAGAAGCATAAATACCTTCTGAGGGTGCAGTTGGAGAGTCCATCCTGGTATGTCCAAGACGGATGTACAACTGTTGAGGCAGCCTGACTGAGCAAACTGCTAGTGATTTCGATCCAGTGAAAGGCTGGGTTTTAAGTGCCGGAACCCAACAGCACTATGCTGATGAAATTTCCGGCAGGGTGAAGGAAGAACAGGGAAAAGCCAGGCAAAAAAAATGGCCAGCTGCAATCCAAGCATTCACCATGAATGTCAGACTGACAGGGACAGTGTTGAGGACACAAGAATAGTCATTGTTCATCAAGTAGACTCCCATCACAAGTGCCCTTCATACTTCACGTCATTCAGAGAATTTGCTGAACAAACATTCATTTAAGCGGTGGTCCGTGCGTGTTAGACTTTGTTTGCAAAACTTAGCTATATCAAGACTAGCTCAGCACACATCTTATCACGTGCCATAATACTTACATAATCACTCTTATCGATTGTGGAGCACGGAGGAACATATTTGCTTTGTTTGCCTTCGTTGCATCCAAATACCTCCAGAGCAGCAACTCGACACAACTTTGTTAGCTTTTATATAATACTGACTCAAATTATATCCAGTAGCCGACCCATTTCAATATGAGTGTCATACTTTGCACTGGTTAGTTCTCCCCTGGTCCTTGGGATTGGAACAGTAGCTAACAGGGGCATTCGTCTTTAGCTGGCTATGACCACACTATTCGGTAGACACCTACCCCTACCAATGAAGATATAAATCTAACCTGTCCGGCTTTTAGATTTTGGGAAGCACTTTCTGGAATATGTTCTAGAACAATACAGCACCCTGCATCCCAAGTCAACCGGCTATGTATAACTCCCGACAAGCGATATGTTGCTGCAGCCGGACATCACAGCGTAAACCTCTATGACATCAAGACTAATATGACGGAGGCTGTCATGACATTTGAGGGCCATACAAATAATGTGACAGGTGTTGCATTTCACTGCGAAGGGAAGTGGATGGTCACTAGCTCTGAAGATGGCACGGTGAAAGTTTGGGAGACTAGAACAGGGTCGCTGCAGAGGAACTATAGCCATAAATCGCCAGTTAATGATGTTGTTATTCATCCCAACCAAGGAGAACTAATCAGTTGCGATTTATCGGGGGCAATCAGAGTCTGGGATTTGGGTGAGAATCGATGTAGCCATCAATTAATACCAGAAGAGGACGTATCTGTTGCTAGTGTAAGTGTTGCTAGCGATGGATCACTACTTTGCGCGGGTAATAATAAGGTATGTACTCTTCTCGGACTGTTATCAATTTTTATGCCAATATCTATATAGGGAAATGTTTATCTATGGCGTATGGTGCAGGACCGCGATATTACCAATATCGTCCCCATTGCAACCTTCCAAGCTCACAAAGATTATATCACGAAAGTTTTACTATCTCCTGATGTCAGACATCTCGCTACATGCTCTGCGGATCACACTGCCAAAATCTGGAACCTGGACCCTGACTATGTCCCAAAGAAACCAATCATAGGCGCTCCTCCAGGGAGTGAATTCCATGCGCTTAATTCCAACCATACTTCGTCGAATGGTCAAACATCCACGCAAAATGGCCAACCAAATACATATCGAAGTCCATTAGCCAACGGCATTTCCGGCTCTCGCGCCAATCCCCACACCGTCGTAGATACCTCATTACAATACAACCCAAGCCCGGATACCTCTGAACAGCCCACTACATCATACCGAAGACAGAGCAATGGAGATTGGACCGAAATTGATTCACCTAACAGCAACTCTATGACGATGCCTGGCAACCCCCCCTTGGACCCAGTTTCGGGTACTCTCTGGCTCGAAACGATCTTGGCTGTACATCAACGCTGGGTATGGGACTGTGCATTCTCGGCTGATTCGGCATATCTCGTCACAGTTTGCAGTGACCACTATGCACGCTTGTGGGAGCTGGCGTCTGGCCAGATCATTCGGCAATATAGTGGCCATCATCGTGGAGCAGTATGCGTTGCATTGAATGATTATTCAGAGCCGCGGTGATTATCTTTGTGTGTTATTTTTCTTTCCTGGAAACACCACATTACCGTTCTCTTCTAATATGATATTGCTTTCTTCGACACCATTAACTTCAAACATGTATGCTGTTACGAGCTAGTTCATGGCTACTAAGCTTTCCCTACCACAATATTACGAATAAGTATGAAGCGCTGGGGGTATTGTAAAGGGTGACAAGCAGGGACATACTCGGAGGGCACATTTACAGATGAAGTTCAAGAAGAATGGCACATGAAATATTTATCTTTCATTGTGAAGTATGAGGACAATGCATATTGGAACCTATTTCGATACTTTTCAATTACCAAAGGAATTTGAAGATATGGAAGGCAATCGAATGTGCCCTAGACATAGGGTCTGGAAGCGGCAAGGTAGAGAGCAAAGAGACATGGGGAGGGGCGTGAGACATTAACAGATGGAGAGACCTTGGATCGAATGAATTTGCTATCTATGGGCAATGATACATAAGGTGGATTTTCAGATCAAGGACGTTACGCGCTGAGATTCTCAAATGCCCAAAACTGCTTCGATTTTAGTACACACAGCGCAGAAGGCCTTTTGTTAGGGTCGCATTCCAACATGAGACGAAGAAGATCCCTCAATTGTTGTGGCATCTCCACTTTTCTTGTCTCCTCCTCAAACATCAAGATTGCTTGCAGGTCCTCTGCCCCTTCAGATCCATCGGCGAATTCCGCGGCATATTCGACAGCAAGTTTGAGAGTGGAACGCTCAACCTCATCAGGATGCGGAATATTCCATCCAGGAAAGAGCCGTTTGATCTTTGCCATTGACCAGGCATTATCAATGTAAGGGGAAGGGCTGCCTGCGCACCCAGAATACCAGGCATTATCCACGAAAGTGTCATTGCTCCAATTGCCCAAACTGGCGCCGGTCCAGTACACGCGTGGCCAAGAAAGATTTCAGGGGCACGCATGGCAAGCGGCTGGGCATTAATTCGACCTCCAGAAGGAAAAACTACGTATAGGGTCGTTAGGAAAGTGTGTTGTATTTACAGAACTATACTTACCAAGCCCTAAGTCTCCTACTTTGGCCTTGACAGAGCCAGTATTAATTCCAGAAACCAAGATGTTGCCAGGTTTGTAATCTAGGATGATAAGTAAATGATATCTCTTTTAAGGGCAGTTACTATACCTGTGTTCACTAATTTTTGACCGTCTAGAATGACGCAACTCCTCAATGCTGCCTTCAGGAACTTCTTAATAAGTTCATAGCTGTCCAAATTAGGCTGGTATTTGATCTCCATAAGAGTAGTGTCTAGCCACTCCAAAGCAAGGGTGCTCTCATTAATCGCATCTTACAGTCGTCGAAAGCATGCGGCTGAGTTGACACAGTCCAGACGATACATATTATGTTCGCGGCTCAGGTTTCCCTGGGCATCTGCATTGTCAGGCGAAGGTACTTTGATGACGGCCCTGGAAACAGAGTCAGTGTCGGATTCTTGTGCGGTTAATGAAACATAGCCAACCATTTGGGAGGAGACTCGGTAGTGTTCCTATGTGGAAGGACCTCAGCTTTGAAGATGGTAGACGTGTGCGTACTATCTCCCTTGACAGCTTTGAGGATGCGGTAGTTCCAACGGTTGCCTTGAAGAATTTGTCCGGGATTCAGAGCAGAATTGGCTCTTGTGAGCATTGGTTTTGTGGCGAAGAGGCTTGAAGGACGAACAATTGAGAACATTGTTGAGATTGTAAAATGGAAGGAGAGGGTAAATGGATATAAAGTGTGATAGAAGATGATTCCAGTTTGTTTCGGCTTTGAAACAGACAAAGGTTAGGTCACTTCTAATCAATCATCTTGATTTATGCACCCTGGAATAAGAATGGATATGTAAGTGAGTTGCTTTGTGTATACATATATATATACACATATACAGGGTAGTTCCACTATTGTCTCTTTTAGCTGCAGTAGAACGACACAGTACCAGCCAGTCATCTAAAAGGATGACCACACTTAACTACATAACTAACTGTAAGGGCCCTAGCTAGCGAAGTGTTCACTGGCGGACATTCAGGCCTACTCACTTTATTATTGAATATGCTGTTAGGTTTCCCAAACCTGATAGGATGTGGTTATGGTGAAAATACTTCATGCTATGCTCTCAGTGCCAAACAGCTTTTGCTTATAGAATTACAGTAAGTGCACTTAGTAATGAGCGGAGTCAGCAAGGCTCGTGATCAAAAACTTTACCATAATTATCCACAACGAATATATACTTTTTGAACAGGTCAAGCTATCATGGCCACCAGTATCTATCGACTTTATAGGGAGATTCAAGTCCCTAAACCAACCCAATAATCTAAGAAAAAAATAACAAAAATCATGCAATCTGACAGATTCTTGCTCAAACACCAAACCAAACCACATTTAATACCAAATCTAACCCTTTATCTGCCCCATTGGGGTATTTATAGGTCCACATCCCATCCCGCTTGACGTCCCAGTAGGCGCCGGAAGCGGCGTGCATGCCCCGGCGGCCAGTTTCCTCGACGGAGCTTGGCTTTGCGCCAGATTCGTGTGTGAGGCCTTGCTGGATAATAGTGCAGTTGACGTTAAAACGGTAAGATAGCTTTTGGGGTTCTGAGGGAGGAGTGGTGGTGGTGGTGCTGCTGCTGTCGGGTGACGAAGTGGTTGCTGATATGAGGGTTTGGAGAACTTGGTTCTACATGATGCATTAGCCGTTGCCTGCCGAATTCTCGGATACGCAGATAAGCGGGAAGGGATATCGTACAATGATTTTAGAGCTCCAGTCGCTGACCTTTTCGTGATCGTAGGATTCGATATCTGCTAAGACTTTGTCGCATGTCTGGGCGCGTGGTCAGCGTTGTTCGTAAGTGGGGTATCTGCTAGTGAGGGGAAAATATTCTTTCATACCTCTGTGGCGATTTTAGCCAAGTCGTCTATTGGAACGGGCTGGAGTTGGGAAACCATGACGATTAGTTACGAAGACGCCGAACGGGATGGATGCTGGGCATATACTAACACAATTATTTTGCGCAGCTTCAAGTGACATATTGGAGGAGATTAGCTCGACAGAGCAGAGGTAATTAGGAAAAGAGTCGGGGTGATAATTCTGGCTGACGCGGTGTGATTCGGTGTGAGGTCTAGCCAGCACAGCAAAACAAAGCTGTTTGATTCGACACTGGTGTCAGTGACGTCGTGTTGCCTGGACAGTTACTAGCGGCGGGTTGGCGTGTTACATAAGCAGAACCAAAGTTCGGTGTGTTTATCCAAAATACGAGCTAGTGGACAATTTACTTAGCACAGATTGTTCGATATTGGCTAGACTCGATTCTACGGAAGATGGCCGCGGCAGACGGAGATTGCAGCACGGGGCCGTCTGTGTGCTCGGCCGGGAGCTACTACTATATGGCTAGGATGGTTCTTTGTTGTGCGAGCTCGCTGCATACACCGACCAGGGCCGCGCTCCGAGATCCGACTGGGGAAGGGCCTGCAATGGCCCCCGTTGCAGCTGCACCACACACCGCGCCAAGACCGGCTACGAATCCAGACTGAACGGGCGCTGCAAGTCCGGGAATGTGATCACGCGGTCTGGGGCAGCGAGCGGAAGGAGACGAACGCGACCGCCGGCTACAGGCCCGTTCCCGAAGCGAGCGCAGCTGCATTGGGCGGCCTGCAGCCGCGAATTTCGGACGGCAGACAGGGTAAGATAGTGTACGGGTGCCGTAAATTACCTTTTCGCGCCCCTCTAGCGGCGGGTAAGATTGGTACCAACCAGAGCGCCGCCTGTCCCCCACGTGAGAAAAACACGCAGACGGTGGCGACCGGCAGAAAGAGCTGTGTGGCAAGCCCGCCAAGTGGGCACCAGAGTCGGCGGTCTTGGTTACATCTCGCTGCGCTCGAGTGTCCAGGCCTCGACAAGGTCAAACACTAGAAGGCCGTTCGAGTTTTCTCTTCCTCTCAGGAACCGGCGCGCTTGTTGTTTTCTGGATCTTCGTGCACTGACTGCTCGGGTTCCTGGAAGCTGTGCCTTCGGCCAACCTCATTCCTTCCGATATCGTTCCCGCAGCTCCTCCATGCCATTTTTCTGATTGCTCGAACCTCTCGACAGTTCCCACCCCCTCTCCTCTCCTTATACAGCCCACCATGTCCAGCCAACCGCTCCTCCAATCTGCTCCAGGTCAGTTACCTCCCCTACTACTTCTTCCAACGGTCTACTCACTCCATCCCAAAGGCAAGCGCATCGCCCTCCCTACCCGAGTCGAGCCCAAAGTCTTCTTTGCCAACGAGCGTACCTTCCTCTCATGGCTCAATTTTACCATCATTCTCGGCGGCCTCGCCCTCGGCCTGCTCAACTTCGGTGACCGCGTCGGCCAGATCAGCGCTGCGTGCTTCACCTTCGTCGCTATGGCCGCCATGATCTATGCTTTAGCAACGTTCCACTGGCGAGCGACGAGCATACGAAAACGTGGACAGAGCGGGTTTGACGATCGGTTCGGACCCACGGTGTTGACGCTGGCATTGCTGGCGGCGGTGATTGTCAATTTCACACTGAGGATGAAAGATGGATCGCCGTAGGTTCGGGTAGGGTATGTTGTGTGGTTGCGTGATTGTTACTCAGGTTACCTGTGGCTGTGCCTGAAAAGTCGTTATCTATTTGTGGGGAAACTGATCATCTTTGGTCATTTCTGGATTTGGTTCTTTTTGGGCAATGGTTCTTCTTGCGACTGATGCCAACTGGCGTGAGTCAGTCATACTTGGGCTATTTAATTGTGCTGTTACTTCCAGCCGGCGTTTCGCTAATGCCGTCGAGTTATTTAACCTGATGTCTGTTACTGTGAATATCTGACGCTTAATGTCTATATCATGCCTACTTGGACAACCATGTCTCTCGAATATACAATGTGCACCATGATTTAAACTCATTGAATAACGGGTATGAAACTCGGGATTGCTAGCGCGAGAGATTAGTTACATCGATCAGGACATCCTCCTTGCATTCTCACCGTAACAACTAGTTGGCCAAAGCGACGCTGCGTCCTGACGACATCACGCAGAGGCTTGCGTGACTCCATACTGCTATAATCCTCCGTCCTTAGCAAAACAGCTCCAACAAGCCAGTTCTCGTATTACATGAGATTTGGCACTGGATAAACCCCCCGCCGTGCTATCAGCTATCAGAGGCTGCCTGATATTTGATATTCCAATATTGAATCCAAGAGGCTCTTCGTAGGGTTTGAGGTAAGTTTACGCCCAGCCCGTCCGCGCCCGGTACTAGCGTCATTCACTTGAAACACCATACCAATAATACCGTAGCCCGACCCTAAAAACCCGCGCTGGGGCCACTGGATAGTAATATTTCGCGTATGATACAGTTATAGGCATCCGCTCATTTCCGCCTCACCATGACAGGAGCCGCCGAGGACATCGCTGGATGGCTGGCTGCTGCCTGCTGCCTGCGCTGCTGGGCGGGTCCATGACTTGGATCTCTGCGAGCTGCGCCCCAGTGCAAGCCTGCACCCCGAACGCGCCGTCTTTGCAGTGGAGCGCGATCCCGCGCCGGCTCTAAAAGCTTCTGCCCACTGCCTGGATCCGCGGGCTGAAGCCAAGTTAGGTTACTCAGCCATCCGCCGCCATTTCGCTTTCGCCGTGCCTGGGCCGGCAACACCAAGCCCATTTCGCAGACGTCACCCCCTCAGCGACCACAACAACACACATCGCCTACGCGCCCTTGACCTTCCTTTTCTTCGAGAGTTGATATCGCCGAGACTTACGACACGTCTACTGGCTAAGACCGGCCGTCTCCACAGCGCTAGTGAACTCCGGCTTAACTATTTGTCTCAGCCCGATCGACTGCCTGGACCTGACACTTGCCTGCCGACAAAAGCGACTCTCGTGTCGTTTCTCATCGACAATCTCACAAACGTTGTCGCCTTGTCGACTCCTCCACGTTAAACGACAACTCGAACACACTCGATCGCTCTGGGATCGCGCGCGCGGGGCCTCGTCGCCACTCCTCACTCCGCTCTCCACCCCCTGCAGCCTGACGACGTCACCTCCTCCCCTGAATTGCCTGAAGTCACCTCTCAGCGCAGGACGCGATCTGGCGCCGACTTCGCGAATTTACCCCATGCGCTGCCACACCGGACCGGCGGCAGTGACACTGCGACCCTAGACAGGCGGTTGAACCAGCTCGTTGGGCACTCTTCAGTCTTGTTTGATGACGTCTCACCAGCAACAAAGAAACACAGCCCAGCACATGGAATGTTCCGTCTGATTCCTTGGTCTATAGGGGGCAACAAGGCAGTTGCAGAAGAGGTGAAGATGTTGGCTGTGCCGCAACAGACGCCGTCCAATGTGATGGGTGCTGCGTTACACAAGTTCAAGCGGAAGCGGGCGGATTCTAGTGAATTGGGGCCTGCTCGTGGCGAAAATGGGGTATTGTCATCGATAGTGAAGCCAGAATGCCTCCAGCAGCACCCCAACCCTACCCTATGCGCCCCAGAAGTACCGCACCTCCCTGACACCCCGGACGCGACCCCTGCTACAAGCCTGGCGCTTACCCATGAGGAGATAAAGAGCTCTATGGAAGCGGATTACGGTCAGCACGACGGAGACATTGCCAAAGGAAATTCCCCAACAAACGACGGGGCGGAGGATCACCGAAGAAGTGCGACGCTGGAAACAATGGACCCGGGAGCTTTGCGCGAGATTCTGGAGACACAACTCAGTCTGGAGGTCCTCCTGAAGCATAATGAACTACGGCTTATTGATCAAGAGATCGCAAAATGTCAGATTGCTTTGGAACAGCTTCGTCGCTGTTCAGAAATTCCTTATCCCGCATCAGCTGTGATCCCGTTCGCGCAGGATGTCAGTAAAGGAACCGGGTTTGCGGTACCACTCCCAGGGAATAGTCGACAAGCAACATCACCCGCCCCATGGGGAGTCACGAATGGCCCTTATAGCCGACATTATGCAAGATGGCTGTTACCAGATCCCCGTTTTGATGGTGGTGACCCTGAATCTGCTGTTTATGGAGCAGGAGCGGGCATCCCAGAAGGCCGCGCGACGCGTGGATCATGGGCTGATGGGACGCCACGAACCCAGCGTAGCACTGCTGGAGCAAAATTACAAGCTCTGTCGAGTGGCTACCCCCCACCTAAAGATAAAGCTGGCCCCATGATCATGAAACGAAAGTCTGATGGAAAAATGGTCAAATTAGTTTGTCTCGATTGTCGAAGGGACAACTTTTCGAGCACCCAAGGTTTTATTAACCATTGTCGGATAGCTCATAATCGCAGCTTTGCAAGTCATGATGCAGCAGCCGCGGCGTCAGGGGAGCCGGTGGAGGTTGACGAGTCGGGCGCAGTGATAGGTGGAAACAACGAAACTACTTCGAATTCACCGCCTGGATTTGTTCATCCTCTAATTCGGTCCGCTCGCGTCCTGAATTCGCCTGTGAAGGATGCTATGCAGAAGCGGACTCCTGTAAGAGCTATGCGTGAAAATAAATCTACAATGCTTAAACTAGAGGACGGTTCAACAACATCGGTGTCCATAACCCCTCAACCCAGACTACGCGACTTGCCAACGTCTCCAGATTTCATAGCCTCTCCACAAACACCGCACCTCTCTGCACTTATGCAAAGGCGTGGCGTTGGCTTGGATCTTCTTCACCTTGTGGACGACGCTTTGACAAAAACGGACTTAGATGCTTATCTTTCAGATGAGGAAGGCGATGGGGACCTTATGGATGTGGACGCGCAGCCTACAACTGAAGCGGCACAGCATCAGTTCCGAAGCACTCGTCTTCCTGCTCGGACCGTGGCTTTGTCGCCACCAGTCCCGTGCGCAAACGGCCGAAAGGGCTCTGATAAAGGATCCCGGCCCGTTCCCTCCCCCGCACCGCTCAGACCCGCATCAGGTGCAGAAACGTACGATGGGACTTATGTGCCCGCCGCTGCGGCCAGAATTAGCCCTCGAAGTGACCAGTCCCAGCTGGCAGATGGAGATATTGAGATGATAGATTCCCATTCCCCCAACAATGTCGAATCAAACCAGGCTCCCAGTTTAGTTAGCGATGACGACGAATACGAAGCTCACTCCGAGTCTGAAGTCCCCAATAGCCCAAGCGCCTCTGAGTCCGGACATGATGATATTTCCTTTGGCAATATTGCTGTGCAAGATGGATTTGATGCTAATGGAGATGGTTCGACGGCATCAACGGCGCCCGTGCATTATTCTGAACCAAAGAAGCGTCAACTATCAGCTGTATCAAGACCGCCCGCTGGCAGCCCCGTCAAACCCGTCAAGAAGGGGTCTATCAGGCGTAATCGCCCAAATGGCCGGCTGGACGGAGATAAGAAAGCTGAAGAACAAAAACGTGTCACTTTTGTTTCTCCCCCCGCCTCTCCTATTAAAAATAAAAAGGCCAGTGGTGGTAAAAAGCAACGAAAAAAATAAGTTGATTTTCATGCTATCTTCCTTTCCCAACACACGACCCTTCTCCTTGTTGGCGTTTCTTCTCTACTTGTTATTCCCTTTCATTTTCCATTATTTTTCTATTGTAATTTCTCTTTATCCTGGGCTGGTCGGTGGATAACTTATCGGATATTTTATACTTACGGTTTCAAGGGAACTGGACAGGGAAGGTTTTTAAGGCAACGGGCTGCTACACACTTGATTTTGACTTACTTGAGGGTTTTTTTCCCGTGCACCTTCGGGCTCTTGATAATATGTGGTTTTTTTTACTTCTCAAATATGTTTTCCTGTATCTTTCTCTACATCTGCCCCAATGCCTCGAAAGTCGCCACTTTTAGCGTTCACTTTTATTTCTGGCTCGTCGCGTTATCTGCAGGCTTCCCGGCCTTTTTTGTTAGATTATCTGAGGAATTTGGGTTTCATTCTTATGAAGATTGTTATGACTGGATTGTCCAAATCTGCTTATGCTTGTGCTTGAGTCTGTGTTTCATTCTTGCAAATGGATTCGGGAACCATAAGAACCCGATGAACGAGTTTTCTTCTATAAAAGAATTCTGGGGTGTTTACTTGTCTCGTACTCTAATAATACATACATCTATGCTCCGTACTCTGAACGTCTTTTACTAGGAAAGCAACAGCCATCAACTGTTTCGTCATCGACTGTCAGCTTTAGTTTTATCTTGGCGATTCCACTCACGTGCTGGAGCGTCATTGCCCAGACAAACCACGAAGGCAGCTCTTTAATTTGTCCCGCATCACGGTCTTTCTTCTGATTGATTGCGACTTGGGATTGAAGGGATTTGGGAATGGGCTGTTAATGGTGTTGGTAGCCGTTGATTTGAAGAAACATGACCGCTCGTTTGTTGTTGGTCATTGGTGACCTATTTATACCCGATAGAGCTCCGGTATGTCCTCGAGAGAAATAGCTGCATGGCGACTTGGGGGTGGTATACTAATAGGGCTTCGAAATTGATATAGGATTTACCTGCTAAAGTATGATATATGTCTAGTTCCCAGGCTTGATTTCACCACCCCAGTCCCGCACCCGCAACACAGTGCCCTTCTCTATCAAAGCTAATATCGCCTGCCTGTCTAGTTCAAAAAGCTCCTTACTCCAGGTAAAATTGGTCAAACCCTCTGCCTCGGCAATCTAACAGACCGCGACACCTTTGAATTCCTGCGCCACATCACCCCCGACCTACAGCTCGTCAAAGGTGACTTTGACGTTGATTCGCCCAATCTTCCCCTGTCCAAGGTCGTCACGCACGGCTCGCTACGCATTGGCTTTACGCATGGCCACTCAATCGTGCCGCCAGGGGGCGACCCGGACGCTCTGCTAATTGCTGCAAGACAGATGGATGTGGATGTGTTACTGTGGGGAGGTGGCAAGCACGGGTTCGACGCATTTGAAGCAGAGGGTAAGTTCTTTGTGAATCCGGGGAGCGCGACGGGCGCGTTTTCAACAATGCTGAGCGATGGGACGGAGGAGGCGGTGCCGAGTTTCTGCTTGATGGATGTGAGTTCTTCTCTGTTCGTTTTAAGCTTCTCTTTGTTCTGGTTGTGGTTGCTGTATTACAGACGTGACATTGATGTTTTGAAAGCAAATACACTGACAATCGTCTCTGTCATAATAGGTACAAGGCGATGTGCTGGTGCTATATGTCTACCAGTTACGAACTGATGATCAGGGCACAGAAACGGTGTCTGTGGAGAAGATGTCGTATCGGAAAATGAGTACTCAGGCAGCTTAGTTTGTTATAGCTCTTACACTCATCCTAGTTTTTTGCTCTATGGTCTCTGGGCCTTCTTTTTTTCTAGACTTGTACATATATACATAGCGGAGTATCGGTGCATGGGGCTATTTTAAGCATTCATGGTTCAAGCACGACTGCAAGGGTTCAGAAAAAAAGCGAAGCTTCCCTCGCCCAAACACGGAATTGTAAATTTTCCGTGTAACTATCCAAGCCCTGGCGCACAATTCTCCGTAGTTTCTTGAGAGACATTGTCCTGCACCGACGTGTTGAGACGCCGCCAGACGAAGGTTTGTGACCAATTGCCGCCATCCCCGATTTGTACGCACCAGCCAGCCGATCGGTCACTAACCAGCAAGTTTACCACTGCAAACCTTATGAGCAATTCGAAGGCAGAGCATTCCACCTTCACTGCCCCGACGTCTTTCTCCATTGTATAACTACAAGCAATTGATCAAAGCCCTATTTTCACACACCGCTTGCTTTGTCACCTGGCTGTCGCCAGCCGCTCGACCCTTTCTCTGGCCCGACCACGACCCGTCAAACTCCATTTTATACATCATAAGCCCCAACACCTGCACAGCTTACTTGTCTGGAAAAAGATAACCGACCCTCCTTCTCATCTTCGTAACGATGGCTAGCAGCGGAGATATACCAGAGGAACACTTGCACTCGCAGGACAAACCTGGTGATGATGAGGTATGCTCTCTCTGGCCTCTCGCATCCCCTCGCATTCGCGAGACCGGAGTTCCAGCTAACACGCGTCTTTCTTCACCCGTACTTTAGGAAGAAATTGAAGCCATGAAGCGACGAGTCGCTGAGATGGAATCGGAAGCAGCAAAACTTCGCGAAATGCAGGCGTCGCTCGACAAGCAGTCAGAAAACCTACGCGAGGACAAAGAGGACATCGATGCGCGGAGTATCTTTGTGGGCAACGTCGACTATGGAGCCTCGCCGGAAGAAATTCAGGCGCATTTTCAGAGCTGCGGATCGATAAATCGCGTGACTATCTTGTTAGACAAGTTTACAGGACATCCGAAGGGGTGGGTTGAATTATTGATTGCGCGATTGATCATCATTCTTTCTCTTTCTATAATATTTTTTTGCCCCACCGTTCCTGGACTTCGCTTTTATTTTCCGTGCTTATTCCGGGATTGTGATATAATTTTGTCTCTTGTTCCGTCGCCATCGCTGCCTGGCAAGAGATGGATTGCTAATGGTAAACATGCTGCAGGTATGCGTATGTCGAATTCAGTGAGCCCAGTTTGGTAGCGCAAGCGCTCGTCTTGAACGAGAGTCTATTCCGTGGACGGAACTTGAAGGTAAAAACTCTCCGACTCTTGAAAATCTGGATTACCGGCTCAGAACTAATACCTTTATCCTTTGCCAATAGGTCGTTCCAAAGCGCACTAACCTCCCCGGCATGAGCCGTGGCCGTGGCCGCGGTGGACCGCGCGGCGGTCGTGGTTTCGGTGGAGGCTTTGGCGGTCGTGGCGGCGGCAGCGGCTACTACCCTCCTCGCGGATCCTATCGGGGCGGTGGCTACCGTGGCCGGGGTAGAGGCTATGCGCCATACTAGACCACGGCCTCCTTGAGCCGGCTGTATCAGACATCAGGTTGTTCTCCTACTTCTGCCTACAGAAGCGGAAGAGAGGACTACCTAACAAGCCCCTAGTTCTTCCTCAATCGACAGCGATGAGAGGACATGCTGGTTTTGGGAAAACGCGCGTGTGTATGATAGGTCGCGGCACGGCACTGTCGAGAAATGGGAGAGGGACTCAAAACCAAATGGGATACCATGGATCTGTGTTTACATTTTCCTTGACTATTTATCCTGTCTTGTTCTCATGTGAAATTGTGGGCTTCTTGTTGTTTGAACTTGCTCTTATTTTCTTTATGTATCTTCCTGCGGCCTTGACTTGGGTCACAAAAGCATGAACGCAGGTTGGCCCTCGGCGATTAGCTGCTGGGTGGACTGGTATTACTATATTGTTGCGGCCCACAGGCAGGGCTTGAATTTCTATTGAAATAATGGAAAGTTTCTTGAGGTCTGAATGCTCAACGCGGACTCTTCATTGTCATGTAGGAACAGCCACCAGCCCAAACACGCCCGAGAATACGCCGCACGACAACAGTGGGTTGGCTGGACGTGGCACGCCGGGTATGCTAGTTCGGTGGCTTGAATCCTTGTCGGCATCGACCTTCTCCACTCTGATAGTTAGATGGTGCTCCAGCGGAGAGATGTGTCGACGGGCAGGGCGTCTTCAGCAACCGTCTTGCCTGGGCCTATGCTCAAGTCAGCATTATTTATTAGTTACTGTGGCCAGCCGCCGCTTAGCCGTTCGATTTGACTCGCGTCGTGCTCGTCTAGCCCGCCGGCCCGCCTGGTGGGCGTTGGTGCAGCGCCACCTTGCAACAGGTCTTGCTGGCCCGCTAAAGAGTCAACTTAGTTAGTTAGTTCGACACCTGACTGGGGCTGAGCCTACCCCGTCTCGCCCATCCAGCGTTTCTTCACCATCGCGCACCACCACAGACCATGACAATTACGGCTGCCAGTCCAGCTGCTGTATCCTGTCTCTAGTGGCTGCCCGTTTCTCGCTGCCGCCCTCGGCTTCTTTTTGATTCTGTCTGTCTGGTGTCCTTGTTTGCCTTCCTGCTACCCCGCCGTGAATGAGTTGCCTTCCATTGCGCCCTAGCGCTTGGCCCTCATCGAAAACCGTCTTGTAAGACGGAGGTGGAGTTTGCACACATTTGGTTGAACGCTGGGAACAATGGGTTCTAATCTGCCTTCGTACGTATTGCCCATGGCCTTCCGGTCTATTTTGTCTCATTTCGAGGGCCTCGTTGACTTTTGATCGATCGGCATAGGCAACCAAACCTGCGTGTTACGAGTAAGCCACACCATCTCCATAACAGCTATCCCAGCTCGCTTTACTGGATACTGATTTCCGTTTATGAACAGTCATCGCCGCCGACGGCTTATACAAACGAGATGTGTTCCGTGAGTCCCGACACTCCATAGTCCGGTAATATCTTGCTCGCTGACGTGGTTCGTGTTTCAAAGGGTTTCCGGATCCTTTTGCCGTTGCTACGGTGGGAGGTGAACAGACACACACTACCACTGTGATTAAAAAGACATTGAACCCGTACTGGAACGAGATATTCGATTTGTATGATTAGTTCCGCCCTTGGTTTCCCCGACTACACACGCTTGTGATCTAACCCTCCTTATCTTGCAGGAAAGTCACAGAAGACAGCATACTGGCGATTCAAATCTTCGACCAGAAAAAATTCAAGAAGAAGGACCAAGGCTTCCTTGGAGTTATAAATATTAGAATTGGAGATGTGATCGACCTTGATGTTGGCGATGATGGTGAGCTTCTCACGTGTGCACTTCACTGCTCTTAGTGTTTTACTGATGATAGTCACCTTTCAGAGATGCTCACCAGAGACCTAAAAAAGTCCAATGATAACATGGTCGTTCATGGCAAACTGATCATAAACCTCTCAACCAACCTCACATCCCCAATACCAGCAAATCAAGGCGGCCCAAGATCCCACACCAATACAAACCTTACACCTAGCCAGCCCCCGCCCGTTGCTACATCCGCTTCTTTCCCGAATCCCACTCCAACCGTTACCGAAACATCTGTACCAGAACCTCCAACTGTCTCACAAGCACCGCCCCCCGCAAACCCCTCCACTCCTGCTCCCGCCACAGCCGTGGCTCCCGTAAACGGAACTGCATCGCAAGTTAATGGGATGCCAAATCAACACAGAAACCTAAGTTCTTTCGAGGATGGCCAGGGAAGATTGCCTGCAGGCTGGGAGCGCCGTGAGGACGGGCTAGGTCGAACCTATTATGTTGACCATAATACCCGAACAACAACATGGACTCGCCCATCCGCTCATTATAATGAGCAGACGCAAAGAACGCAGCTTGAAGCTAATATGCAAATGGAAAGAAGGGCCCATCAAAATCGGATGCTTCCAGAGGATCGAACTGGTGCTAATTCGCCAGACTCTCAACAACCTCGCACTCCACCAGCGGCGAATAACGCGACGGCAGTGCAAATGATGACCACGGGAGCGACCACGGCAGGTACGGGCGAACTCCCAGCCGGGTGGGAGCAAAGATACACACCTGAAGGTCGGTCTTATTTTGTGGATCACAACACAAGAACAACCACCTGGGTCGATCCTCGCCGACAGCAGTATATCCGTATGTACGGCCCTGGAGCTAACGGAAATAATACCACCATCTCCTCACAGCCCCTATCTCAGCTTGGACCTCTCCCAAGTGGATGGGAAATGCGCCTCACAAATACTGCTCGTGTATATTTTGTCGACCATAACACAAAAACCACAACATGGGACGACCCGCGTTTGCCCTCGTCACTTGACCAGGGTGTGCCGCAATATAAGCGTGATTTCCGACGTAAATTAATTTACTTTAGATCTCAGCCTGCGTTGAGAATAATGCCAGGTCAATGCCATGTTAAAGTACGGCGAGGAGCTATTTTTGAGGACTCATATGCGGAGATTATGCGACAAAGCCCGTCAGACCTGAAGAAGCGTTTGATGATCAAGTTCGACGGTGAAGATGGTCTCGACTACGGTGGATTGTCACGGTCAGTAAACCCCTCCCCAAGTAAGCGCGTTTTCTTATGCTGACTCGAACAGTGAATTTTTCTTCCTTCTTTCCCACGAAATGTTTAATCCCTTTTACTGCCTATTCGAATATTCCGCTCATGACAACTATACTCTTCAGATCAACCCGCATTCTGGTGTAAATCCAGAACATTTGAACTACTTCAGATTCATCGGCCGAGTTGTTGGACTTGCCATATTCCACCGGCGATTTTTGGATTCGTTTTTCATTGGCGCCTTTTATAAGATGATGTTGAGGAAGAAGGTTACTTTGCAAGATATGGAAGGTGTAGATGAGGATTTCCATAGAAATCTCACCTGGACACTGTGAGTGAAGGCTCCTATATCGCGAACTGTTTCACTTGGCTAATTATGAGCAGGGAAAATGACATCGACGGCGTGTTTGAATTAACATTTGCAGTTGATGATGAACAGTTTGGAGAGCACAAGACGATTGACTTGATGCCCGGTGGCAGGGATATTGAAGTCACTAATGAGAACAAGAGACAATATGTCGAGTAAGCACCCTTAGATCATGCTTCTATTATAACTACTCTAACGTTTGCCAGGCTGGTCACGGAATGGAAGATTCAGAAGAGAGTAGAGGAGCAGTTTAATGCCTTTATCACTGGATTCAACGAACTTATTCCTGCCGATCTTGTCAACGTTTTTGATGAACGAGAGCTTGAGCTTCTCATTGGCGGTATCGCTGACATTGATGTTGAAGATTGGAAGAAACATACCGATTATCGCGGATATCAGGAGCAAGACGAGGTTATTCAAAATTTCTGGAAGATTATTCGTTCTTGGGATGCCGAGCAAAAATCGAGATTGTTGCAGTTCGCTACTGGTACATCTCGTATTCCTGTCAACGGTTTCAAGGACCTCCAGGGAAGCGATGGGCCCAGAAGGTTTACCATCGAGAAGTCAGGGGATATTAATGCACTTCCAAAGTCACATACATGGTATTTATCTTCCTTTCCTTATTTGAACATGGCCTTGTATTCGTTGCTAATCGGTTTGAAGCTTTAACCGACTTGATTTGCCCCCATACAAAACACACGACGCCTTACTTAACAAGCTCTCTATTGCTGTAGAGGAAACAGTTGGTTTCGGTCAAGAATAAATACACTATCCTTCCACCTTCTATCCACTACCCACCCCCCTGGATTTTTCATTCTTTCGCTTTATGGACGAGGAAGTCGAAATGTGTCTAACCTCTATTCTTCTTTTTACGAGTCCATGTACAGATAATATATAGAGACAGCTATCTTCCTAGCAAGCTCAGACATTGCTAGATTTCTGATTGAGAAATCGGGTCTACTTTTTTCATTCACGGCCTCGTTATTTCACGCCTTCTTTTATCAAGATGTTGTATTCTCAAATGTGGTCTTTGTTGCTTGCTTCATCTTGCTTGGGATTTTGTTGCTTTCGGATCTGCTGTCGCAAAAGGATGTTTTATCTTTTCGGTGATGCTGGCATACCCCAGTTTCCCTCTTTTCTCCCACTACCTCTTTGCTACAGGAGTCCTAGGTTTTCATGCGGTGCACCTTGCTTGCCTTCGTTGTTCGTTATGCTGTAGTTGAATTCTCATTTTTGTCATGTAGTTGGAACATGCATGCTGCTAACTTGAGGCAGGATTAGATATCTACATAGCTTTCAACTCAAGAATCTTTCTCTTTGCCCGTGGTGAAACAGTATATAAACTAATCTGAAACTCCATTGTTGATTCCAGTCCGTATCAACATCGCTCAAATATCGTGGCGGTGAGGCCAGCAAGTTTGCAGTGTTTGGCATCGGATTAGCTACGTAATACCCGCGATAACCATCATTTCTCGTGATTTATATCCCTGACGGATAAATAATGATCCTGAAGCCGAAGCCGACCCTCTAACCAAAAGGGGAAGTGCCTCTCGCCGGCAGAAGAGCCGCATCTGTGACTGCGAGCGTTGCCAGATTTCCTGTTTAGTTATATTTGGTGTAAATTCACTCGTTATCATTGAGCACCCAAGATTCTTGCGCTCTACCTCTAATTCAATTGGCAATTGTTGACTTGGCCAGTCACCAAACCGTCAAACTGGCTTCGGCATTCCGACTCGCCACGCCCCGGATCTACCCCGCGGCCGCTGTCCGTCTCGCGCCCGCATTCACCCTGGCGTCCTCACGCTCGTCCACCCGCCAACGGCTGAGCCTGATCTCGAGACACTTTGACCAAAAGTTTCCGTTACCGGCATTGAATACCCCCTTCTCGACCGAGAGGACTGTTTCTGTGGAACCTGACGATTTCGAATATAAACCTATCTATCGCGAGACCCCTCCTCTTCGTCTTCAACTACCACAACAACAGCAACAGCAGCAGTCTGTGAGGAAATATAGCACCACGACAAGGAATACTCTCTCTGCAACCATGTCTTCGCAGCCGCCACATCCTACCCTGCTTATTCCCGGCCCCATTGAGTTTGACGATGCTGTCTTGCAATCCATGTCTCATTTTGCGTATGCACCTGCCCCCACTTTCACGGTATTGTTGAATATTCTAACTATTTGGCAGTGAGAGCCATGTTGGACCAGCATTTGTGAAAACGTTTGGCGAATCATTAACCCTTGTCCGCAAGCTCTTTCAGAGCATCTCCCCCGCCGCCCAACCGTTTATCCTCGCTGGCTCTGGCACCCTTGGTTGGGACTTCGTGGCCTCCAACCTTATCGAACGTGGCCAGGAAGCCCTTGTCCTTCACAGCGGATATTTTGCGGACTCCTTTGCTTCTTGCCTTGAGACATATGGCGTTAAAGCTACTCAGTTGAAGGCTCCCATCGGCGATCGACCCTCATTGGCAGACATTGAACAGGCATTGAAGCTTGCAGACTATAAAATCATCACAATTACTCATGTAGATACCTCGACCGGTGTCCTCAGTGACATTAAGGCTGTCGCTGAGCTCGTTCAACGCGTCAGTCCCAACACTCTCATTGTCGTTGATGGCGTTTGCAGTGTTGGCTGTGAAGAGATCGCTTTCGATACATGGGGTATCGACGTTGTGGTCACTGCCAGCCAAAAGGCAATTGGTTGCCCACCAGGCCTTAGCATTGTAATGTGCTCTGGCCGAGCGTTAGAAAGATTCAAGAGCCGCCAATCGCCGCCATCCAGCTACTACGCCTCTATGGCTAACTGGCTTCCTATTATGCAAAATTATGAAGCTGGTAAACCCTCCTACTTCGCGACTCCTGCTACACAGCTCATTCACGCACTCCATACCTCCCTCACTCAAATCTTCTCTAAACCGCTCTCTGAACGCTTTGCTGCACACCGAGCTATGTCCCAGCGTGTTAAGAGCGCCGTGGCCGAACTTGGTCTTCATCAATTGGCCACAAAGCCAGAAAATCAATCCAATGCTATGACAGCCATTAGACTGCCAGAAGGGTTAACCCCGGCAGATATTTTGCCGATTCTTGGCAAAAAGGGCATTGTGTTTGCAGGAGGTTTGCATAAGGAGATTGCAAGTAAATACATTCGCTTCGGCCACATGGGCGTCAGTGTCATGGACCCTGCTAGAGATGATATCGAGAAGGCTATTCAGGCATTGAAAGAAGCTTTTGCGGAGGTGGCTAAATAGACTACATTCAGACGTTGGTTCAATTATAATGTACATACATATAGACAAGAAAATCTAAAGCAAGACTTCGGTTCCTCAACTGTCATTTCTAGTATGTGCCACACTGTATGAGGGGCGAGAACAATATGACCGATACGTAGGTCTCTACTCTGTACACGAAAAACAAAAAGTAAAGTACGATGCAAGGCTGGTATCAATGAACTGAAATATTAAAATAATAGCCAAGCCACAGAGACTTGAAGGTATAGAATGGTGCCAAAACATAAGGGGGGTACGCATCTGCCGTTATACGAAAACCGCACGCTCATGCATAAATGCTTTGATCAGTCACAAGAGGAAAAAGGCATCAAGCACAACATATACACAAAAATTTGACGCAAAAAGCGTAACAAGGTAGCCTATCCACAAGCTTCTAAGCCATTGCCTCGCCACGTCGAAGCGCTAGAAGAGCCCTAACATCCGTCACGTATTGCATCGCCTCTAGCATGGGAATGAGATGGAGCAGGTCATTGTCCGTAGGGTCATTGATCCAGCCCTCGATTGGTATTGCGTTATCTGTTACATGGACCAGTTAATAAGGTTCCAAGTATGTCTGGAGCATCCTTGAAACTTACCCTCATGAAATATATAGCTCATTGGACTGTTATCCAAAATCATCACCTTACTCAAATCCGGCTCCACCGAGCTCAAATCCTTGATATATGCCCCATTTCGAAATGTACAATGCTGCCGATAATACCGACTGTGAAAATATTTTCGCTCCTGTTCTAGCCAATCGATCACGGGATCCGCGTACTCTTGCACACTAGCCGTGAAGATTACCAGTTTATACCATTTGCAGATCTTGCGCAAGAACACGTCGCAGTGCGGCCGCTTGTGTACGTAATAAAGAATCGGGTGCTGCGGGCCTAGTGTTGTGGTGGGACCGTCTGGAGTGGGTGTGGTCATGGGTGTTGAGAGGCGTACTTCGACCATGTGTCCGCTGGACATACGGCCACCCTTGGCTAGAGAATGGATGAGGGTCTCGTCGAGATCGAGCACTAAAGTTTTCTGGGGAAAAGTCGAAGCGGCGGGCCCAGCCACGTATGAGGGCTGTCGCGGAGGAATTAATGGTCGTGGAGGGGAGGGAGCGTGTGGGTATCTTGTGAGTCGATGAACCGAAGGGCCCATGGGCGATTTGAGGCTTTCGGCGGCGGCGTTCGTAGCAATATCGGATGTTTTGCCAAAGTGGCTGCTGTGCCTCTTGTGCCCCTTTTCATGTTTGCCCTTCCGTTCATTCTGGATCTGGATGCGTATGGACCGTCTTGGAGTCGTTTCGTCGATTCCGACTGGAATAGAGTCAGACCTGGAGCGCGAGTGTCGTCGGCCATCTTTCACTTCGCCTCGGTCACCGTCTGATTCGGAGGATATAGAGGATATTGACTCTCTCGATGACGCAGTCCTTAGGCTCCTCGATTTTGCCTTGATTTTCCCAGAATCATATTTATCAGTTGTCCCTAGCACCTGGATTGGGATTGAATTCTGTTTCTGATCGGAGTTTGGTGACCGAACTCGTCGCACTGGATTAAAAAAGGAATACCGGCCGGTATCATCTCGAAATGAGGTTATTATGTAGATCGCTGGGGACGCAAGAGTACACAAAAGGGAGGACAACGTGTCCGCAATGGCGTCAACTAGCTGCTGTAGAGCTGTTTGAAGATCTGTAGGCCCCAATTTCTTGCCATCCTTTTGTAATCCATGCAATAAAGGTGCTTTCCCTTCCACACTATCGCAGTTCGTAGCAGTGCCGTCGTGCTGGTCGGGGCTAGCAGCTTCCTCGTCATTTGACACGTCAAAAGCCCCAATATCATGCAAATTTCCTTCGCTATATGATCTGCTCGCTGCAAGGGATCCTCTGCCGGACTTTGCAGGGCCCTGAGAATGGGATCGAGATTGCGATTGGGATCGAGAGGACGAAGGGGTAGTCTGGCCGATGACGCGCGACGAAAGAATGTTGAGGGAGTTCATCTTTCGGTGCGAGCCATACAGTCAGGGGCAGATATATGTTCTAATTCGAGAATCCCCGAGTGTAGCAGAGGCGTTGTTCGTCGACGGACAGGGCGCGGCGGGTATGGGCGGGTGAGGCGTTGACGGACACAAGAATTGCAGCGCCAATGGACGTGTCTGCTTTCGACACCGTTGTTTCAGTCCGGAAACGAAGGGCAGGAAGACAGTGCGCAATGCTCTTCGGTGCAATGCGGGACGACGATGCGAAGGCGCAGGACAGCTGTTGAGCGGATGAGCCTGAGGGGGAGTTTGAGATCGCCGTTGTTGGGTCCGGCGAGGCTTCGGCCAGCAAAACTCTCAACACTTGTCGTCACTCAGCGCGGAGACATCATGGGCGACACTACGCTGTTACTCAACACCTCGCGGGTCGATCACTGGTGCTGACATTGTCAAGGCTTTGTATTCTTCAGCGCGCACGGCCTGCGGCACTGACGTCCCCAGACGCGTCTCGTTTTCACTGAATATCATCAGCTCCACGCCTGTTCATACACACACTCTACACTCTCTACGGGTAATCCCTCTTCTCCTGCGTCCGCCAAAACGTTTTGATACAAGAATAAAGAGTCGCCTTCTCGTCACCCACCAGGTCCATCAGCTTCTCCGCGATGCGGGGGGATGGAGAGCCAGCCTTCTAACTATGCCCAGCCCACTCCGCCTCGGCGGGCATTGAGCCCATAGTGATCCTTTGAAATACCCTTACATCCATTCCATGGTATTCTGAGTGCATCCACAAATTCGAACGGGTACGAGCGTAGCAGATGAACTGACGGCCTGAGAGTAGGTTTGTCCTGGGCAGGTTGAGACGGCTCGTTGATTTATCTGCGGAATCCAACCTACTAAAATTTTCGCATATCATATGCGGTCAGAAGAAGAAAGAGACACAGGCTAATCTTCCTCACAGACACCATCATGCCAGCAAAGGAAATCCTATCAAATGATTCTGAGTTCAGGAATCACGCATACCCTGGTGAAGTAACGGCTGAGCCGCAGGCTGACAGCATTACAGACAGCCCGGAATTGGGTTAAAACTTTTGTTCCAGCTGCCAATGATCTGACAGAGGAATGTAATCCTGCCTGTGCCAAGCCATGGCGGGGCGTCACCCGGCCTTCTGAGATTGAGCCCCTTATGCACGTACACACCCTTTGAAGAAGAGGGTCGATCTACGAGATTCGTTTCTGCCCTGATATCATCCTGTGGATGATGGCTGACTACGTCGTGGCTCTTTTGGAAGAGAATTGCTGCACCTCAAGAGAAAAGAGTTAGCCATCAGCAAAAATTATTACAGCTTTAACAAGGCGCAATCGTGTCACAGCTCAGATTACATTTTAGGGTCCTGTCTCCTAGGAAAACGGCTCCAGCCCTAAAAATAGCATAGATATCTTGAAGCCTCCTCTGTTTATCGCCTCGCTTAAACAACGTGCAATGGTCACAGTAGCTGTTGCCTGCAGCCGCCCTTGAACGAACCGCTTGAACATTGCCCAGAAAGTTCATAGTCACTTGTAGGCATTTTGTCGGCCTATTTTCCATTTTCTGAGAAAATGCATGGGTTTTCCAGGTCAATCTGTTTTTTGTAGCTTCCTTCTGATAGGTAGTTAGTTGGTATATTCTGAAGATTTGACTCCTCACCGAGCCACTAAACTTTGATAATGAGCAAGATGTAGGCAATATATGCAATATGTCAAGAATAGAGCAGGATTTAATCTATGGATACATCTTCAAAAAACAAACATATAGCTAGACCTTTAAGGGGCCGCAAAATTAAAGACTTAATTTTATTAATCAAGATATATGAATGTTAGTCATATATAAACAGGTGGCCCTTTGATATTTAGAGGGATATTTCAAAATGTATGTTTGTGGCCCAAGTTGCCTCTGCATTTCATATCAAGCTTATGATGCTGCAATAAGAGCAGACCAAGAACGGCCATGTGTGATAGTGCATCCACTCCAAACCACAATAGGAGCCAGTGTTTTTGTGGAACCGAGGCTTAGGAAGCTGAGCATTCTTGTGTTGTGAGAGGTGTGAGGTTTGGATTTAGTTATGTCACCCAGCAAGGTTGGCGCGATTCCTAGCGCGGATTCACTGCTAAAAAGAAGTCGAAGACGAAATATAAAACTACAGCACTGTGATGCCGCTACGACTAACCAGTTTACCCTTTTACATGTTTTTTTACTCTATTCTTCCCATTTTCCAAAGTAATAAGCAGCCATTAGTTCTTCTATCTCCTGTCCTAGAGGCTTAGTGTCGGGCTATTTTATTCAACACATCACTGAGTCATAGAACCGAAACCGTTACCAACGGCCACTACGTCCACGAGAATATCAGCAGTGAAGCCGGTGGCAGACACTCAAGATGCCAGCTCCGGCAATGGTGCCCATGACTCCAGGCCTGTCCAGCTATATTCAATCCCTGAAACAAAACTCAGTCGAAGCTTCAACAGAGAACCTAATAACGTGCGACTTCCCTACTTCTTAGATTCTCATGCCTTTTAGTATTAATGAGAGACATAGACTTTTAAAACGGCGTCATATCCGCCAGCCGCACTCATGCGCCCTTGCGACCGCCCATCTGCTCCTCCGGGCCATGCACACGACCAAGTCGAATGACCCCGCAACGCTGATCGAGCATGTTAAACGAATAGGTCGCCGAATAATGGCCGCGCAGCCCAGGCAATTGATTGTTGGTAATATTGTCCGCCGTGTACTGGGCATGATGAGAGATGAAGCCGAGACTGGACCTGATTGTGGAGTGATGAGCGAGTCTGACGATACTCGCCCTCATACCCCGCCTCAAGGCAGCTTCCAAGCTTCAGGGCGTTTCTCAACACACGCAAGCAGTGCTTTGGAAAGACTATCACATTTTGATGCCCTTGAAAGATCATCATTGGCAGCCCATGCGTCGGCGACCCCTGCTCTCCCTGGCACATCGATGTTTAACCTGCTTTCATGCCCCCCGGAGTCCACTGACCCTAACTCACCGATTACCATCTCAAGAGGAGAGCCAGAGACGGTTGAAGAGCAGCAGCAGCGAGACTACCGAGGCGAAGTATTTGATGGCATCAAAGAAATTCTCGAAGAACTTAACCAAGTGAATGATCAGATTGCGGCATATGCGCTAGATCATATCCACTCAAATGAGGTTATACTCACTCACACAGCATCTACAACAGTGCAGAAATTCCTACTTAAGGCTGCAGCAAAAAGGAAGTTTAGCGTGATTCAGGTAGAATCATATCCAAACAATCATGAAGATACCCATGCAACCGTCACTGGTCTAAGTAGTGGCGACGAGGAACGGTTAACACCAGAAGCCTTCCAAAAACCATTAATTGCCCAGGGTATTACCGTCATCCTCATTCCAGATTCCGCCGTGTTTGCATTGATGTCACAAGTGAACAAAGTCGTTCTGGGAACCGATTGTGTGCTCGCAAATGGTGGACTGGTTGCTGCATCTGGAACCAGACTTATTGCCAATGCTGCTAAGGCTCATAAGGTTCCTGTGGTCGTCGTGAGTGGCGTGTATAAATTGAGCCCAGTCTATCCCTTCGACCCTCAATCATTGATCGAGTATGGCGACCCAAGTGCAGTTATGCCATATGAAGATGGCGAGCTGGTAGAGAGTATTGATGTGGTGAATCCTCTCTCTGATTATGTTCCTGCGGAACTCATTGACCTATACATTACGAATATGTAAGTCTTTCTATAATCCTTTTACTACGAATGAGGTTGTAGCTAATAACAGTGTTCAGCGGAGGGCATGCACCGTCTTACTTATACCGTATTGTCTCTGACCACTACCGGAATGAAGATATCAAACTATGATTTGGGTGGGTGATTGAATGCTTGAAATTATGACGCAATGACATTCAGAAAGTTTTGAGACATTATCATAGAAAAATGGGAAGCTATTCTGAGCCGGCTTTTTTCACCCGTGCTACTAAAAGATCAGATCATCATGGATTTGTCCCATTTATATGCTGGACTCCATGTTCACAGCAGCAGAAAAATTTGCATGCTATGGATCCGAACTCCATCCGCTCAATCGTAGTAGTTGTAGCATTGAAATATCCCAAACATATTTCGCCAGTATGAAAGCCATGTCCCATGCGGTTCCGTTGCCAACACTGCCCAACCCCAGCTCTCGCTACAATCACTTAAGATCGTGGCTTTTCCTTCTTCTCTTTCCACAAAGCACTAAGACCGACACCAGATACCTTGACGACCTTGAATCGGACACCGGGAATATCACCCTTGGCTTTGCCCTTACGACCGAAACCAGCGAGGAGTACTTCGTCGTTCTCATCAACGAAATTTAAGCAACCATCATTGGGTACTATAGTCATATGCAATATCAGTATCCTGTCAATCCAACTAATTTCTCTTTCTCAACCCAGACACCACAGGCAGGCGAAAACACGCACCGAAAGCTGTAACCTTCTTTCCGTTCTTGATCAGCTGCACCTTGACACATTTTCGAATAGCAGAGTTGGGCTGTTTGGCTTCGACACCGACTTTCTCGAGGACGATACCCTTGGCGTGGGAGGAACCACCGAATGGAGAGGACTTGAAAGCGGTACCGAGGGCGCGCTTCTTGTATGAGAGATCGGCCCAGCAGTTGTCGCGGCGATGAGTGCGCAACTTACGGGCGGCGTTAAGACCGCGCGGCTTGCCTTTACCCATGTTGGCGAATGTCTAGAATTTGTCGACTGATTTTGCTGCGTTTTTTGAAGGTGTCTCGAGTTAGCTTCTCGTTGTTTTTGGAGATCGGCTTCGGGAAAAGATATTGGAGCTTGGGAGCATTTCAGACCGGAGATACGTACCGATTGTGAAGGTATCGCAAAACAAGGCGGTTGGGTGGCCGGAATGGATTGTCGAGAAAGGTCGCTGTCGTTCGATTTTCGCCAAACTCAACTGTGGACATCGCTCGTCTCGCCCTAACGCTAAACCCTTTTTGTGGCCTTCCGGCTCTATATTTATCCGAACCACCGGCCCAGCTTGAGCCTCACTTCAACATTCATTCCGCTTCGTCGGAGCAACTCATACAGCAATTGAAATGTGACTACACATATTTTCAGAGCTGCTCCCGCTCTGTGCTCAGCTGTTTCTTTGCCAACCTTACTAGCAGCGATATGGCCGCACAGCCGAATGCGTCATCTACTACACAAAGACCACCTCGTCCTTCCCTTTTCCAGCTTCCGCCATCTCGCAATGCCTCTAACCTGTCACTTGCTCCAGGCATATCGAACACACTTCCAGACTCAAGTAAAAGATCTTCCTCAAAAGGGAGCAAGGCAGCGTCTGTGCGGCATGGCCCTTCAATGGGGTTTCTTGGCGTAAGCCCAGGGTTTGGGGCGTCGTTTTTGCGCCCGTCTAGATCCGGCGTGGAGGTGGATGCCGGGGACGCCGTTTGGGATGAAATGCAAAATACCCTGAACGAAGTCGAGCAGGCTGCTGCTGGCGGAGATCACGTTTTTGGTGCTGAGCATGCAAAGGCCCTTGAAGAGCTACGTGTTAAACAGTTAGCGTTAGCTCAGGCATGGGCAAGAAGCGAGGCGGATGAAGCCGCAGATGCCTCCGCCAGCGAATCTAGTATGGGTGGTGTGAAGGGTGCAGCTGAATCTGTGGGCCGTGCATCGATAGACACCAAGGATACCTCGCAGCAGAAGGTGCTGGATGAGAAAACAGAGAAGGATATCCTATTCGCTCGAAAAAGGAGAGAGGCCAATGATCGATATTTTGAACGAGTTAATAGTAGCGTGCTGGATGTTGTGGCAAAGCTTGACGAAGTTGCCCATGCCATGCGTGCTGTGGAGCGGGAGAGTAAAGAGATATGGAGCGAGAGCGAAAGCGTCAATTCCGCCATGGCAGATACCCAAAGAGTCCCATGAAATTGACAAATACTGTTCTCTGACTTAGCTGAAGTCTCACCCGGGTCTATATGCATATCACTAGTAAATATACCGCATCTGCCCTGCAGACCGCTAGCTCCAAACCCCTTTCTTTGGCATACTGGTACTCCGCCACGCGAGAAGGGTATTTCTTAGTAGAGCAATATAATTTTAGAATTGCAATAGATATACAGGCTGGCAACAGGTTCTAACCGCATGCTGCAAGCAGGGTACCGCAGTGCCCGAGTGCCAACTCCATTTCATCTATTCTTTGAAGAATTTCGCAGCACCTCCCATCCTTTTTCTAATTTCTCGCATAAATCCACCCATCTCACCTCTTGTGCCTGTCGTACCAATCTTTTAAGCTCTTCGTTCCATTTCTCCTTGCCTAATTCGATTATGCCGGGCCCTTGACGAGGCAGATATCCTTGTCGAGCTAGAACATCACTAACAGCACCGCTGCTTATCAAGCCGTTTCTCTCTGCGGAGGAAAGACAAAGTGCATTGATAGTATCGATTTGTTCTCGAAGAAGGGCGTGTTGATGTTGCCGATTTGCGAGGTGGAAGTGTAATGTCAGATAAAGAACTGAAGTGGTGAGCGTGAAGCCTCCAAACTAACAGAAATGCGCAATGGTAAGAGTGATGCCAGTGTAAACCGGAAGAATCGAGGTGGACACACGAAGCCAGTAAGGAATCCCATCTGGGTTTCAAAAGGACCCAGTCCTGTGTATTTAATGAACAGCCATACAACGACAGGTTAAATGTGAATCTGCTCTAAAATCAGAGACTCTTCATGATAGTAATATAAGTCAGCTCGCCCCGGCCGTAAAAAGTTCTCGTAGCAAGGCGGATGCACGAAGGAAACATGGCTGTTGCCAATTCTCGATTCCGATTGGCTGGCGATTCTTCGTCTTTCAAGCTCCGCGGAAGATCGAATATTACCACATCACTACGGAGCACATCGCCCAACAAAACTCTCGTTGGCACCGGTTAAGGTAGCAGCTAGCATCGGAAACACAGTGCTAATTAGGCAGCCCGCGGCTCTCATTTGCTCTGACGGGTTGCCTCGTGTCAACGCCGTGCTTTTACTTCAAACCTACAAAAATTCTTCGTGACCCACGGCGCCCACGATGGCAGGCGGCGCAATGAAATACCGCCATCTCGGCCGCAAGTCCTCGCATAGACAGGCTCTTCTTCGAAATCTTGTTACGTCCCTTTTCACTCATGAGTCGATCACCACCACCTGGGCAAAGGCCAAAGAAGCTCAACGGCTAGCAGAAAAGTTGATAACACTGGGCAAGAAAAACACAGAAGCAAGCAAAAACAGAGCACTGTCCGTGTTTTATGTATGTCTCTTCTTTGACTGTATTGCTGCCCTGCAATTGGCCTCTAATACTCCCGGAATTCGAATCACACGGCTAACAACCCCCTCCCCAGACCCCACACTCCCTGCTACCAAAACTTTTTGGCCCTATTCGTGAGCGCTACCTGAGTCGACATGGCGGCTATACTCGTGTTCTACGGATTGAACCCCGCAAACCTGATCAAGCGCCCTCCGCCATTCTCGAACTCGTAGATGGGCCCCGGGATATGCGCTTTGCCATGACTGCCAAAACCCTAGCTCGACGCCGATTAGAAGGCCTAGAGGTCAATGAGTACACAGCAAGGAACGTTAAGAAAGTCACTCAATTTAGAAAAGATGGGGTGGAGCAGCTGGAGAGAGAGGTTAAGAAGGCTGAGGAGCTGTTGAAGAAGACTTTGTAGAATCAATCTGTACAGACATTGCCTGTGTATTGAGGGCGTTTGGGGGCCATGGAATTCTATTATTCTCTTTCTTGATATTTATGTGTCGCTGGGATGGACAATACCCATCATATGTGTATATGGAGTATTTTGTACTCATATTGGAAGTTCATCACTCTGACCTACAAATATTATTTGAGTGTATTTCTATTAATAGTTCTTTTTGGCTCACAGATTTGTAGAGAAGAGGCTACGGTGATGGTTCTCGTGCTTCATGCTGTTGCTATTGGGGAATTGTTGAACATGCATGTGAGCGAACCAAGCAGAATAATGTAGCAGTAAACGCAGTGATCGCGACGCAGAATGAGGAAAATTAATAGCTATGAAGTTTAAGAAAGGAAACCCAATTTCTATGTAAGTTGCATTACATCGTTCAGAGTCGCCATATTTTTTCAGTTTCCTTATGAGTTGTAATTGAGGAAAGCACTTTTTTCAAGGCGAGAATCATAACACAGAAAATCAAGCAATACCGACCAGCGAGGGCTATGCTCTTGACATTTGTGACATTACCCATAACCAGAAAATGCCCAGATACGCCTACAATCGTTATTACAGAGGAAACCTCGAACTTCTAGACCGGAGCCATACCTAAGCATGCAAAGAGACCACTACAATGACGCAGTCCAGGTTCCGTTAGACCGAGAGTTTTGAGACGCACTACCTCCCACAACCAAAGGGCCATTGGATTTTGAAGTTGCAGGTTTCGGGGGACTGGGTGTGTTGTTAGAAAGGTTCTGGGAGGAGACAGTCGAGGCCCGGGACATGTTATCAAAGCCAAAGGGTATTTCAGATGGCGGAGGCTTAGGGGGAAGATGAGAGGGTGTGCCCCATTTCGCAATTGAATTTTGATTGTCATCGTGCCGGCTAGCATTTAAAGCCTGGCCAGAAGAGGTAGTGTTGAGAGGTTTGTGGAACTGGGGCCCTGGGTTCTTATTTTGAAACCGATTCGAATTATCATGCAATGAGGCAACCCACTGGGAGGATGCTGTGCCATAGCTGTTATGGTTTGGAGACGACCCAATAGCCACATCAGAATATCTCGATTGGGATAATGTGGAGCTAGGGGCAAATGATCTGCTTTGTGGGTTGAACGTTGATCGCATAAAGCTGCCTGGTAAGGGGTGCGGCGGCGTATTGCTGACAGGCGTGTGTTGATAGGTTTGGGATTGAGACTGGCCGTACTGGTATGGGACCTGATTATGAGTCGTCACGTTATTCGGCCAATGGCCTGCTTGTGGATTTCTCTGCATAGCTGGCGAAGAATAATTGGCTTGATATAGAGGTTGTGTCCAAGGGGGAGATTGAGAATACTGCAGTCCTGCCGGAAGGGTGTGCAAATTCATTCCTGGTGATGACCTTGTGGACGATTGTTGTTGAGGCATCATTGGCACCTGGTTTCCCTGGTAAAAGTTTGGATATTGATGGGCGGATATAGGTACATTTTGCCAGGTGTTTTGAGGCATCGTGCCCGCAGACATATTGGGAAACGCCGGATTGCTTGAAAAGGATGGGTAAAAAGTGCCGGGTTGATTGGTTTGGCTAAGGCCTAGGCCAACAGGTTGTCCCAACATGTAGTTATTTTGGGCAATAGTAGGATCATGTCCAGACCCATTTGAGGCCATCTGGGAGCTAGCGTATTGAATACCAGCGTAGTAAGGGCTATACTGTGACCTTGCCTCGAAACTATCGTCATGTGGAGTTCTTTGCCTATTCTTTTTACGACCAGCCCTGGAATTGGATCGCGATACATTCGCGCTCTGTTCAGCACTATTAGGGCTTTCCAGGGGTTTGGACTCCGAGAAATCTTTGAATATCCGTTCCCGGGCTTCTTGGTATTTTGCTTCGCGTTCCTCCCTTGTCAATGCCTGGCGATCTTTAGCTGGGGTAGCACTTGCCGACTCCGTCGGATCTTCAACTGAGCCGTCAGCTCCGGCTTCGGATGTAGTCTTGGACGGTGCTGATGAGCTGGGCGCTGTGCTGGCCCCTGCAGATATAGGCGTTCCCTGTTGACCGACACGTCGCATAATTTTCATAGTTGGAACAGTCGGTGGAAGTGTCTTCATGGCATTGGCGGCATAAAGGGTTGATAGTGAAGTAGGCCTATGCATATCAATTAGGAGGAGTAAGTCGAGGATCGGACGTAAAAATAACTCACAGTCTGCACCAAGGAGTTCGGTGAAGGCGAACGGACGTAACATTGTTGTCGACAAAATGGGTTAGATGATAATAGTCTCCCAGTTTATGAGCGAGCAGGCGCCCGAAAGCGTTACACGGGGGAAGTTCTAAAGATTGCTCACTGGGATCTCTAATCAGTATTTGGGAAAGTCTTGGTCTTGAAGCTGGGCACGGACCTAGGGCTTTTGACAAAGGAAATGATTTTCTCTTCGAGCTGGAGGATAAGCAACCGATCCTTCGGCGAACGCATTGCTTCAAGTAACTTTTCATCAGGCTCATCGGGAAACCCATGAAGACATGGTTCATCTATGGTGGTCATGCGCGTTTCACCAAGCGGGCCTTTCGATTCCCCATCGTGAAGTCGTGAAATATTGACTGACGCCATGCTTGCAAGCTGTTGAGACATAGCTAACTGGCAAACATGGTTAAGACGAGCCCCTGTTTCTGAGCTGACTTGGGAATTAGGCGCCCCTGATACGGAAAGCTCATCTTCCTCGAGAGCCTGGACGCTCGCACTGTCATCTGGCCGCAATGACTCCTTCTCGTCCATCGCAAAAGTCGTAACGGATGCCATACTCTTAGAGTCAAAGCTCGTTGGTTTCGTGGATGAGTTAGACAGATGGTCATCGTCGAAGGTTGTTTCGTGCGTCTTGAATTGAATATTATCCGTGTCGCAGGATGCCTCCTTTTCCCGAACTAATTTAAGCTCTTGAACGGTCCTGCTGAGCTCGTCTATTTGTTTTGGTGCATCTTTGATTCTATGCTGCAGATCCTGGTGGCCGATATTGCTAGCCATCCTTATGGGTTGGGTTGATAGCGTGATGTTTTGATCTCTAGGCTGCATATTTTGGTGAGCCAAGTCGGTAGGTGGGTTTATTTTCGCAACCTGAAGATGTTTGTCAGAAGAGTTCCATGTAGCTTACAACAAGTGACTCACATTGGCAAACGACAATGCACCACTGTGGTTGGAAGATTCTGGCGACATGGTTATAGATAATGGATCAATCATGCACGAAAGTTGTTTTTAAAATAGGAGAAAACAATCATATAATCAAAAGGGTATGTTTAGGAAAAACCAGCGCACACAAGCCCAGGTGGAGTGGCGACATATCTCTGATCATGGATTTTTGCCATGTAACTGAGGTAGTGGAGGTGGGTTAGAGGGCCAGAAAGATATAAGTAAGAGTCCGGACTTGAGGAAGTGATTCCCTTTTGGGTAGAAGCTGGCGTGATGGTAGCTGGAGAATGTGGCAGATATGGAGCCGTGCAAGCTAACAAAACCAAAATCCGCTCGGCTGTAGGCAAATGCTTCCACAGCGAGTGTCTATCAGCACCAGCGAGTAGGTAGATATCACCGACAGTGAAATCGGGCGAAGAATGAGAAGAACAAAGTTGGGCGAGGCTTGGCAGGAAGTCGCTGTGGGGCCGATGCGATATTACGTAAGACAGGGCTGGCTTAGTCATGCACGTCCTACAGCTGCCGTTTGTGGAGTGCCCGATCAGGAAATCAAGGTGCTGCGCGAGCAAGGCGGAGACATAAACAAAGGGACCGACGAGCCGGGCCACAGCTAATCAGCAAGGCAAGTTCGAAAGGGCATCAAACCCCTGATACCACGAAGTTTACAGGATATACCCCATACCGCTTGTGTGGAGCGGCGGCCTTTTCGGCGCAGTTGCAACCACAGCTTTCTGAGTCCCGCTAGTGCGATCAGGGCCATGAATCGATATCGCAATATGCCCGGAGTTCGGGCAACATCGAAGGCGACTCCAACAACTCTCTGTCAGAAGTGCTTAAAACGAGATATGTCTACGTCCCTGGGCATGTATGGGATCCTGTGCTGACTACCGTAAACGACACTATAGCTATGAGTGCAAAGCAGCCCCTCAAGACCGACCATATACCTCACGGCCGTCTAGAACTCAACAGTTGGCAAATCCGAAATTGCTACCTGCCCTCACAAACGCGCTTCCAAAAGACTCGTATGCATTTCTACCATCCTGTTGTACGGAGTAGTAGGATATCATCTAACGGGCTATATTTTAGAAAAGGGCCAACACGCGAGCAGGATACTCGGAATGAGCAAGAAAGGCACGCCGCAGCCGGTGGTGCTATTGACTCGCACATTGAACGGTCAAGGCGAAAAACTCGCTCTCCATCAGTCGCTTCAGATAAGTCCTTAAGCTCAGTTTCTACTATATCCACGAGCCGCTCCCACTCAATTTCCCCACCAAATCAAAAACATTTATCCGCTTCACCCCCATCACGAAAGAGAAAATTGCGGAGCTCATCTGTATATTCATACTCCTCGTGCGATTCTGTGGTGGAAACAAATTCACAATCTCAAGAAGCCAATCGTCATACAAGAAGAAGGTGGAAATCACGAAGTCCAAGTGAAAGAGGGAGGCATTACGATTCGGATAGACGGGGGAGCTGGAGGGATCGGTCCAGAAGTAATAGTATGGATAGGAGCCGGGTCGCAAAGGCAAGACGCTCGATAACGCCAGTATCGACTGAAAACAAACCTCCCGTTCGGCGGCGACGGAACTCTGATCGCCAAGACAGGGAGTCCCGTAATACAGGCTCTGGCAGGCCTGGCAACCGACGTCCACGAAGTCCACCCATAGAAAGCAGGCAACGCAATCTGTATGTCGAGCCTCTAGTCGGAAGGCGAAGTTTAAGCCCGTACAGCAAACGGCTGGCCTTAACGCAGGCGATGAATTCTGGAAGATGAAATGGCCAATGCATCTAAGAATATCATTCCCTTGCTCAGCCCAAGCATTCTTAATATGCCCTTATATTTCCTTCCAGCATGAGTTTTTAAAGTGTAATTTATCGCACCAGAGTCGAGCGTTGTACGATAGAGCAAGTAGATGCGATAATATAGCTTATTCATGATATATGCACTATGAGCAGAAGGGGGCTCTAGATGCGGTATTCATCGGCAGAGGAAGTCGTTTAGCTCCAGTTTTCTTCTTCCTTTTCCCTTCTTTCATCCTCCTGTTCCTCTCGTTCGCGAATATGCATCCCTTCCACCAGCGCTTCGCCTTCCATGCCGATTTCTTCCCCATCCACATTATCTTGTTGGGTCTTTTCCTTTGCAGCTTTTTGGGCGCTTTGTATCCGCTCCCTTACCAGTCGCGCAATCGCATTGTCAGTTCTGACATTAAGAGTCCTCAATTTAGCGTCTAAATCTCGCTTTAGGTCCCAATTTGGTTTCTTGGGTTGTAATTTGAACAGATCGATTGGTTTATCCACTTCCTCGTCCTCCTTTGCGGTTTGGGCAGTGGATATCGCAATCTTCGCTGCTTGTTCCTCCAGTGTGCTTTGTCCGTCTGTTGGTGTATGTTCAAACCCCAGCTTGGGACCCCGCGTCTCTCGGTCATAGTTTCTTCCAGAAAGGTATTGTGCGGCTGCGTCAGATGGTTTGTTATGCGAATCATCGCCCTTGAGCTCTGCCGAGTCTGGTTCTGGTTGTTTTCTCTTTAGTGCAGCGAGCTTTGCCAGGCGTGTTTTCCGATTCACTGCGGCAGCATCGAGGGTAGCGTGCGACGAAGACATGGCACGTTTTGCTAGAGATGAGATATCTTCGCCGGGGTGGTCTTGTTTGGTAATATTAAAGTACGGAGTAGCTTTGACTGAACTTGGTCGGTCGTGCAGCAGCATGGTGGTTCAGCGCCAAGACACAGCTCTAAAATTTCTGGATGGCTGCTCGGCCAGTTGATCTGACAACCAGCATTCGGAGTGCCGGGCTTGCTATACATATGGCTGCCATGTCCACTGCAAAAGAGGACCTGTTGCGCCTGTCGGACTTTTATCCTCTCAATCTCTTTTGAATATCCGCTATTTTGTCACCACTGCCAGCTCTATGCACAGTGCTATTTCACACCGAGTGCCATGTCGCATCGCGCGAGACGCCTCAAGGTACTCTGATGGCTTACTGAGTGACCGAACATTGGACAAATGCACATTTCTTCCATGTTTGGTTAGATGCTATCTAGTCCAAAGACGTCTTCACACTGGATCTACACGGGCGTTGATGCGAGCCCACCTACAGAGACACGCTTCCCACGACAATTACCCCATTCCCCCATATTTAAATAGAGTAATAGTGTCACGGATCGGCCGTACTTTTTCCTCTTCTTCTTTTCGTCCTGGTTTGCTGTTAAAAGCCGCGTTGCCAAATACCGCAGAATCCAGCCTATACTCTTCTCTGGATCACAACCCTCATTCGTCACTCGCTAATCACCTTTCATCCCTGAATAAGAGGCTTTGGGAGTATACCGGTACCAGACATGGATTATCTTTGAAACAACTGTATCACTCGAGGCGGCTGGTTTCACCAACACCCGATACGCCCCTCCGAACGTTGTCGGCTGGAATGTTTGGTGCTTCAGGTTCCGGAAATACAAGATCCAGCTTAAGATGGCATCGTATTTACCGTGGATATGCTGAAAAGGCCTTTCCAGTGCCCCTAAAACAACTCCCCTTTGAAGGGGGTGCCAAGAACAAGAGTTTCGCCTGGAGGTTGACTCTCGATCCAAGCAAGGTCAAATTAGGAAGGATTGTAAGAGAACGCCATTACCTCGAAGGTAAATTAGCAGCCTCCTCGGCTAAGCACGCTGGTTTTATTTTTACTCGGAAGTCATACGGAATTGAATTTGAAAAAAGGTGGAACTCTCTGTATCCAAACTCGATCATTCATCTGGACTGGAAGAAAAATTTCAGACTTCTTTATAATAGCAAATATGGCGGTAAATCAGATATGGAAATTTGGAACTCACTTGATCTCCCATCTCTGGATATTGTGACATCGTGGGCTCAGCATTTCAAAAATTTAGAGAGCGGAACCTCTTTTTGGTCTGGGATCATCAACCCCGTGGAGAAAGCCAATATGTGGCCGGGAATCGCAATCTGGCTTTTGTTGTTTTCTCCAAGAAACATTTTGATATTTCTGGAATCCACATACAATTGGCCCTACCCTCCGTTTCGCATGATATCGGAATGCTTTCTCTATATCCAGGCATTTTTGTCTGACGAATTGACTTCGAAATCTCAATTCAACCAAAACTACCTCGATTTGTTGCGCCGCCTTCTTGCGCCTCATGCATGGCCAGCGTTAAGCGTTTCTCAGTCAGGCATACGTATATACTTGCAACATTGCGAGCCGAAGGAATTTTTGAATGCGTTTGAAACAGTCGCTAGAGGAGATGTCCTTGCAACTATTGATACACTATTGTACTTCATGGACCACTTTAACAAATCAAATGATTCTCGAAATTCTCTTCGAGCATTACAATTAATTGCTTCCCAGGGAATCACCGATACTAAATTTGAGGACGTTGCCCATCGTTGCACCAAACTCCTAACTATGGACTTTGTGGTTGATGAAGCTGGCACTCGTAGCTTCAAGTTACTACCTGAGATTCTAAATCTTGGAATACGACCTGAGCGACCCATGCTGAATGTGGTAATGCAAAACGCATGTAAGCTTAATGATCCTGATATGGCCTGGGATATATTTTCATCGTCCCCAATCCCGCCAGACGTCTACACATACATGATTCTACTCAGCGATGCCACAGAACGTGGTGATAGCAAAAGGATCGAAGATTGCTATCGTTTGCTAGCTTCGAACTCAGCAATAAGACAAGAACCATATGTAATAAGTAAAATTTTACATGGCCTTTATACTCACTTATGCAACACAAAACCCGGGGCCGAGCTACGAGCGTTCAACACGATGCTACACATGTATTCCTCTTATCATGATCCGCAGCCCTTGAAAGATCTTAACATCATACAAGAGGAAGATGCCATTGTTGAAATCGGCGAGGTATCCCCCCCTTCTGCGCACGCCTTAACCATAATGATATCAGCTTATCTTCGACTATATCGAAACACCACGCGAATCATAGAACTGTATAATAGGTTTCGCAAACTCGTCAGGGAAGGCCATGACTCGATTGGACAACTAGCGGAGACCGATCATACCTATAACGACTTTCTTATGGCACTTCAGCCTGATGTACGAATGATTGCCCAATCTGTCTCAATTGTTGAAGACATGTACAGCCCTCTTCCTAAAACCGCGTTCCTGAAAACCCAGAACAGATCCATCATACAGTGCCTTCCAACCATCCGAACTTGGAACATTCTATTAAACACTGCTATAAATCATGGACGTATGGAAATTGTCAGGGCAATATGTCAAACGATGCGCGATCATGACGTTGAGACGGACGTTTCAATCTGGAACGTTATACTACAGGGGTATGCAAAGCTGCAGATGACTGACGCTGTCGCCATGACGGTGAAAGCAATGTTACAGGAGGGCCTGGTCCCTGATCGATATACATTCGGCTCTGTGTATGAAATTCGAGATCAAAGCAAACTTCAAAAGCTACTCCATGGGCTAGGCGTTGATCCAGAGGGCCTGACAATGACTAGTCGTCGTGAAAACACCCCCTGCGATGAATTGGTTGAGGGAGCGGATGGTAAGCTCCAAACGACTGCAAATGAAGGTTTATGAGTCTTTGATGGGCCTCCTGACTGTACCTATCTATCAAGAAATTTACAATGAAGCAAGCGAAAAATTTTCTAGATATAAGAATATAGTGTGAGGAGTGGATAATAAATATCTGTGCTTCAAGAAATCGAATAAAATTAAGGCGAATGAATTATACTATGAGACCATCCACCGTCGATATATATCCTCTCTGGAACATCTTTTTTTCAGAAATATTGAAGCGAAGTACATTTATGCAAGGACAGATATTGGGCATAAAACTTTGATAGGTATACCGAAATATCAAAGCCCTGTCCGCACAGTATAAACGTTTGAATGCACCACAAATCAAATTAAATAGACCCCAAACACCAAGCGCCTATGTATATATTCATGAACAGCGTGATTTTGGACATTTATGGAGCTATTTTGAGCCAAAGAATAAGGATATCTATACAGGTGTAGCGTAGTTAGCGAATGTACGCAAAACAATAGCTTCTTGGTATCTTTAAAGACAACATACAGCCATAGCAATGCAGCATATGCTGACATACGGACTTAACCGCTCACCAACCCTAGCACACTTCCAAAATATCCCGAACAACCTGGAGGACGCAGTCCGTCAGCATTCATCTTCTTAGAATCCACCTCAACGTAGGAAAGAGGAGCTACCCATTCTGATTTCGATCCATTATTCCGGGCATTATCGAATGGGCATAGGTACTTGTGCAAATAATAAGGAGAATCACTAAGAGGAGGGACTGGAAGTTGAAAAGGGCGGTCTAGTACATGTCAAGTACTGTTAGCAAGGTTGTGCAGATCAACGGAAAATACACGGCCGATGGCACAGCATAAGCAACCAGGTTCTAGGATAGTCATAGTGACACTCACCATCTTCAATTCGTTTAGCTCTCCTTGCAGCTTTAACTCGGTTTCCCGGAACGTTGCGTCTTCCAGAACTCAAAGTTGTTACGTTGTGAGGTTCGCGTGTCTACGGAGTACTCGTCTTCGTACTCCGTAGTTACGTAAGGTTTAATGCTCAAATTACACGCGCGGCTATAGGGTTTGCGCTAAAATTTCCCTCTCTTAGTCATGCACCGCCTCATCTCCGCCAGAACCACGACAGGCTGCGAAGCACTTCGTAGAGACACTCAAAATTAATGTTGCGCCTCCAGATCCCGGCAGCTCCTCATATTTGTTGAATGCAAAAGATACATATGCTTCGATTTTCACGTTATTCACTTGCAGTAGATTTACGCTGTCGGATTCTCCACATCAGCTAAACAGCGAAAAAGCGCCGTTTAGAGCGCTCTCGCTGAGGGCATGTCAGAGCCACGAGTGCGTCTGACTCGACATCATGCCCAACTTAACTTCGGAAATGAGCGTACGGTTTTCCACCCTGCTTCTGTACTTTCTGCTATGCTGTCAGTCAGCTCCGACATTTCCTGGTCACCTCGCCAAACACATTGGCTGATTACAGATCCCCGGATGTCTGCGCCTCTTTTGAATTCGTTCATCTATCTTCCACGATGCTGTATATAGTGCTCCATCTTAACTAACCTCTTTTGTATCGTAGTCCGCCAGCTCTTACGCGCCTTCGGAGACACCGCACCCCATCCTGACTTCCCCCAAGAGCCTCTCCCCGAAACAGTTCGCGTGCTCGATGAAATAGTTACTGATTTCATTATCGAAACATGTCACTCGGCAGCTCAAGTGGCAGCCCACGCCGGCCGCCAGAAAGTTAAAGTGGATGATTTCATGTTCGTGATTCGCCGCGACGCCTCTAAACTAGGCCGCGTTCAAGAACTATTTCAAATTGAAAAGGAGCTCAAGGAGGCTCGCAGAGTTTTCGATCAGAATGATGATCGTATAGGAAAGGATGCAGCTGCGAATAAGGGTCTAAGTGAGCTAGCTGGGTCTGAAGCCGACGCCGAAACCGGCGCGGCTGGTATCGATGGGAAGAAGAAAAAGGGTAAACGACGTACTGAATTAAGCACCTCTGAAAATGGGGCTGTCAAGAAACGCAAATCCATGACTGTCAAACTAGAACCTACTCTTTAAACAATACATATATGGCGTTTGGAGTTGCCCAGGACTGGCATGATAGGCTGGGTTATTTAACCAAAGAAGATAATTATTTTTGACCAATTATGACTGAGGTCACCTGGAGATTATTGTGTACAATACTCACTTCTCATTAGGATATTTTCAACGGCACTAAGTATAGTAAAGAGTGGCCGACAATGTACGCAATTGTTGAAATGAAGAGGGCTGCATCCAATACCGAACACAATTTAATCGTGTTATAACTACTCCCTATACTATTCTCCAGTCTTAGGCTTGCTTTCACGTCACTAGACCAGCGGTCTCCCCTAGGTAAAGTGGTGCGATGTCGCAGCCAGCATAGGCATGGCCTTTTCCCTCTCAATTTTGAAGGTGGATTGTCGTTATGTATCTTGCGTGCCACTGATAGTCAGACAGTGCTCTCCACCTTTACCTATCGGCACTTCGGCCTCGGCGCGGTGTGTATCAAGAGGCCGGCTTGAAAGCGAAATATGCAAACTATGCCACTAGTTCCTGATCACACCCTTGATTCTTTCAGTGTAAAAGGACGAATCAGCAGGAAAGGGTAAACGGAAGCAGAATTATAACGCACGATGGGTTCATGAATCTAGAATTTGCAGACTTAATTCCTGACTCGTGCCAACTATGGCGAAGAATGCTGCGAGCCACGTTATAGCCCTTAAATTGACTTACTCGCAAAAGTAGATCCTAATGCCATATGTAAGTGCTATGGGAGCACATTTCGCGGGAGGGGATGAATACATTTAACCAACCCATCTATGTTACCAATAGGCATCCTAAGTTCTCGACAGTTTAGTAGATCAAAGCTTCCGGTAGTTGCAGGAAGGTGAATCCACCGTATCTGAAGCCGTTCCTTCGTATACTTCTATCTTTCTGACCATCTATACCGATTACTTGCTTGCGTGCTTTTACCATGAAATGGCCATGAATAATTGATCTTGGCTGAACGGCATAGGGTGAGGCATGCAGCATTAGAAGATGAAAATATCGAATTGCAGGAAACAAGTCAGTTCAGGATAGTAAAACCTATGCGCCCGTGGTCTGTGAATAGGTTCTAAATGGTTGACTTCGAATGTATGTACAGTAGGATAGCTCACCAAGACCTGCAAGAAAGGAGACAAAATTTGGGGCTATGCATGTTACGGTAACGGACATGGCAGTCAAAGTTGTTTCGGTGAACGTCATGGTTGGCTAGCTGTAAAGGTCTTTTATCCGCCTGAATTAAGATCAGGTTGGGCCATTGAATCAAACGCTTTGTGAGTAGCACTAGTGATCAGAGTAAAAATCAGAATTAAGAATTTAAATCGAATATGCTTCCATTTGGGTTTATAAATGCATGTCTGTATTCCATGGTGTTTTTTGGATGTTAGAACCAAGAGCTGTACACCATTCACCGCAATGAAAATATTCAAGATGGCCATGACAAACAGATCATGGGCATACTTAAGCAGACCAACAAAAGCTGCAGAACGGTGAACTCCGAGGACGCCTTGCTTTTAGCCACAGTCCCACCCGGATGTGAAAGAAAACACCGTGATCGACCTAGCATTTCGTAGGCCCTATCCCTCAACCAAAGGACTCGCGTATTTAATGGCGAGGGTTTATACAGCCTTATGTTGAAAGGCTGGTCAAATCGACTTGGAGAGTATCCGCCTAGGGAAAGCTTTTTAGGCTCGCAGTTCCTCTGTCTGACCTCTTTGTTGACCGCCTCGTTGACGGTTGCCACGCTGCCCACCCCGCTGCCCACCGGACTCCCCACCTGCACCGCCACTACCAGCAGCGCCAGAGCCATCCCCTCCTCCAAGAGTGAGTTGAGCGGTTGCGAGTCGGTTGGAGAGTTCCATCTGGGTTCGGATGGTATTTGCAAGATAAGAGACAACAAGCACATCTTGAATATGTTTGTTACTGTTGAAAGGTCAGTATACGATGCAACGCAAATAAAAAAAAGTGAATGAAGTAAAAAGGGATAGCGTACAAGTCGCTCTCGATATCTGCAGGGTCGACTTTTGGTGCAAGAGCAAGCGTGTTGAGCAGGAATTGTCCGAGAGCAGTAGAGGCAGGTGCCTCCTCATCAATAACGGATTCAACATATCTCGATACTCGGTCAATCATGCCAAGCACTTCTTCGATGGATTTCTCCAGCGTCTCGATGTCAGTAAATAAACTCGATGTCCTCTCTTCCGTATCTCTAGCAACGGCAATAGCTTCAAGACCATTTTTCTCTGCCTCACTATAACGAATTTCGTAGGGAACAGGGATAAACGCGGCGCTATCCGCTGCCCTCTCAGCTGTAACACCCACTGGCGCAGAAATGTACGCCCTTGTTTCGATATCCTTCCCTGGCACAGTGGATACTGTCAAATGAACAGCTGGGTGGGGCCACGTTCCGTCTCCCTGGCCACCGTAGAAATTTTGAATAAGAGCTGAGAAAGTGTTCAATTCAGATGACGTCGCATACCATCCCACCAGAACTTCCTTTGGATTGGCCTTTAGGTGTAGCGCCAGCATCTGTTTTTGATATTCCATATCTACCTCCACTTGGTCCGTCGTTTCTGTGTGGCCGACAGCAAAGCATGTCCGAATTTCGACTTCAGTTCCATCTTCTGAGCGGGTTCCGAGAAGGGTGCCGATGACGCGCTCCTGATCGGCATTTCGGCGGAGAGAGTGGTCAAGGATAGAAAATATGGCCTGTATAAGTAGATTGTTAGATTTTGACTACATATTCCGTTCATCCGATGGTCTTACTTGAGGCTGAATAACGACGTTCAGAGGGGCTGTAGTGGGTGCGACGCCCACCGGAACAGGGCCCAAAGGACGCGCCAAGTGAATGAATGATCCAGTGTCAGCCATGATTGCAATTCGAGTAAAAAATTCTACCTTTCTGACGGGAGCAATCAGGCAGCAGGGCTTAACTGGTTGTTTCGCTGGGTGATGGCGGCGTTGAAGGGTCTGTGTGTGCGAGATTGAAAGCGGAAATTTCGCGCTAAGATAAGATAAGATCATCAAACGAAAAAATTACAGTGAAATCGTCCGTCGCGAACCTTGAGCTGCGAGGGATGAAAATGGGTAAGTAGTTATCACTGGCTTTAATCTAGCTATATATTTAAGAATGCCGGCAAGAAAGGTGCAGCCTCAGGGAGGTCCTTCCCGCCGAAAAAAGCCGAGATTTGAGACTTCTAGAATCCAAGAAGCCGGGTATGCTTGAGTTTATACAGATTTGTATCTTTCTAGCTGACCGTTTTTAGTGAGAAAAAACGATCGGACGATGAGCATGAGTCAGAAGCACAGTCGCAAGATGAAGACGGTGGCGATGACTCCTTGATTTCGTCTGAAAGCGAGGAGGACGAGAAACCAACCGAAACGTCGTATAGTGTGCTGCTCCAATTACTCAATGTCGGAGCAGATTTGAATGGCCCAGCAAAAAAGAAAAGGAAATTGAAACACAAGAATAAGGAGCAAGAACTTAAAGAAACTGTGATACTGGATACAACCCCTGATGTGCCAGATAATATAGACGTGGAGGCTTCAGACGCTGAAAGCGATATCGAACAGGACCAAGGAGATGCGCTCGATGACGATATTGAAAATGGTAAAAAGAAAACAGTCCTAAACTATGAAATTAAGGAGCTTACACACACTATAGCGTCTGATCCATTCGAAACTCATTTTGCACAACCTGATGAAGCGCTGTTGTCAAAGCGCATAGACGCCTCAGCTCGAAAATGGCGCGTAAGCAAGAATGATATTTCGGGTAAAACCCGACTGGTGGTTTCTTATCCCGATAATGGTGAAGATGGCCACTTTCCTCTTGCTTCCCTACGAGGTCCCAAGGACTTGTCGCTGAAAAAGAAATTAGCGGCGGCGACATCTAACATGTCGCCATTCGATGTCCTTGGAGAAACAGTTGCGCCATATGTATTTGGCTATCGTGATCTTCTCTATGGAGAACGGGCCCCTGGAAATGCAAGCAGTCTCCGAGATATGTACTGTCTACATGCCCTTAACCATATTATTAAAACGAGGGATCGAGTGATCAAGAATAATTCTCGTGTTTCTAAGGAAGACGAGGATATTGAGAATCGAGATCAAGGCTTCACAAGGCCAAAGGTGCTCATCATTCTCCCGACCAGGCAGGCTTGTGTGCGCGTTATGGAGTCGATTTCCAAATTCTACAACGCAGAGCAACAGGAGAATAAAAAACGATTTATTGATACATTTTCGGTGCCGGAGGATCAATCATGGGAGGATAAAACAGAGGATTTCCGAGAGCTTTTCGGTGGGAATGACGACGATATGTTTAGATTGGGCTTGAAGTTTACACGGAAAACGATAAAATACTTCACTCAGTTCTATACATCTGATGTCATCATTGCCAGTCCGCTTGGGCTCCGAACTGCAATGGATAAAGAAGAGTATAACCCCCAGTTATCCCGCAATTTATAATGAATGCTAACATGGTCACAGCGGAAAAAAACAAGACTATGATTTTCTTTCCTCGATTGAGGTGCTCATTGTCGACCAAGCAGAGGCCCTTCTCATGCAAAACTGGGACCACGTTGAATATATCTTTAGCCATCTAAACCTCCAGCCAAAGGAATCCCATGGCTGCGATTTTAGCCGCGTGCGAACCTGGTATCTGGATGGACATGCCAAATACCTACGGCAAACACTTATCCTATCGTCGTTCATCACTCCAGAGATCAACTCACTCATATCAGCCCACTCACACAATGTCTCTGGAAAAGCCAAAATAACCCCCGTCTACCCAGGCGCTATCCTCAAGATCCCTGTTCCTATCCCCGTCCGACAGACCTTCTCACGATTTGACTCCATCTCGCCTGTCAAAGACCCTGACGCGCGGTTCAAATACTTTACCAACACCGTGATTTCATCTATTGTCAAGAATTTGACCAATGCTGGGAAGCCATCCGCTGCAGGAACGCTCATCTTTATTCCCTCATATCTGGATTTTGTTCGCATTCGAAATTATCTCGCCACTTCATCCCAAACCTCGAATCTCTCATTTGGTGCGATCTCTGAATACACAGCTGTCCGCGATGCAGCTCGCGCCAGGAGCCATTTCATGAACGGGCGCCACTCCGTCCTCCTCTATACAGAACGCTTGCATCACTTCCGTCGGTACAGGATACGTGGCGTCAAGCGTGTGATCATGTATGGCGTTCCCGAGAATCCCGCATTTTACAGCGAGATTGTCGGCTTCGTGGGGATAGACCCTGCGACCGTTGCCGAGGCAGCGGAGAAAGGAGTGCGTGCGCTATTCTCCAAGTGGGATGCGTTGAAGCTGGAACGAGTCGTGGGCACGAGTAGGGTAGGCAGTATGATGACTGAGAAGGGAGGAGATACATTCACGTTTACTTAACACAAGTTTATTAGAGGTGTGCTTGGGAGCTGCTTGGGTGTGTAGTAGTTACGGAGTAGTGACTGTAAATAGAAAATGACATTCTTGCCAGGCCTACGGAGTACAGTTAAATACTACTTAATCTTATTCACTCAACTCCCACAGTCTTCCTAACGATATAACTACTCCAGAGGGCAATGAATATTCGTGTGCATTGGATTGTTTGCCACTATGACCCAACCCTGCGCCGTTCATGCAGCGCTCGGGTTCGGCAACAATCCCTGCGGCTGGAAAACCTCCGCGGTGCCGATCACGGCGTCGGCGAGGGCTGGACTGGGGCCCGCGCAGGCAAATTTCGTTCGGCGATTTTTGTTTCTCGCGATATTTGTCATGCGCGACTGGGAATTCCGGTTCTGATGAAAATTCTGTTGGTCTCGTTGGAAAGCCGTTGGCATCGCAACGTCTCTCTCGCTTGATTTCGGCGTTTTCCACCTGTGCTTTTTTTCGCTCGCTATAGCTACGAATATATGGTGGCCTTCAAAGAGTCACTGTTTCTTTTTAGGGTTCATTCTCTCTGTTTATACCAACTTGAGGAAGTATGGCAGAGAGTTCCTTAAGTGCCAGCCTTCCGGATGGCATCTGCAGCCAGGATGCTAGAGATACCCAATTATCAACCACTCTTCTGTCTGCCAGCGCACAGTCTGGGACTCGAAACTACGGCACAAACACGAACTCTCATATCAATAGCCATTTGTCACCAGAGCCTCATACTGTCGCCCAAGTACTCCCACCAAATACCCTCAGAAATAGCCCAAGCCTTGCGACTATAGCATCAACGTCACACTCAACATGGAGGCAGAGAATACTCCGCAGCTGGCTGCTAGGCAAGGGCATGGTAATGGTGATGCTGGCGCAGTTCTTTGGCGCGTCAATGAATGTTATGACGAGGCTGCTGGAGCTGGACGGCCCTCATGGCAAGGGAATGCATCCATTTGAAGTAAAATTTTCCGTGGTCTACCGGCCGGGAATCCGTGCTAATAGGCTCTATAGATTCTGTTTACTCGCATGCTTACAACAACCATCTGCAGTGCCTTATACATGTGGTACAGAAGAGTTCCACAACCCTTCGGCGCATCTTCTGTGCGCGGCCTTCTCATCCTGCGCGGTACGAGTGGCTTTATTGGAGTATCTGGGTTATACTACTCACTTGGCTATCTACCTCTTTCAGAAGCTACAGTGCTAACATTCCTTGCACCAATCCTGTCATGCTACATCTGCTCTCTGGTAATCCCTAACGAGACCTTTACACGCAAACAACAACTTGCAGGAGTAATTTCTCTGTTTGGTGTTGTATTGATTGCTCGCCCAGGATCATTACTGGCAAACCCGCCCCTCGATGGCCCCTTTTCTCACCAAACCTTGACAGGCACATCTTCTTCTATCATTACAACACTTGAAAAAGGCACCGCAGAGCCCAACCCTGATCCAAAAGAGCACCTCTTCGCCATCGGCCTCGCGCTGATCGGCGTCTGTGGTGCGACATCCGCGTATACCGCCATCCGCAAAATCGGCCAGCGCGCCCATCCCCTCGTCAGCGTAAACTACTTCTCCTCCCTAACAACCATCATGTCCGCCTTGGCCCTCCTAGTCCTACCCAGCGTATCCTTCCGATTCCCCGCCAATCTGACCGAAATAGCACTCCTGGGTGGCCTTGGTGTATGTGGTTTCTTCCTGCAGTTCCTACTAACTGCAGGACTATCATATGTACCACCACCATGCGTGAGGGCTGCGAGTGGAGATGGGAGAGGTGACAAGGATGGCTCACATGGCTCGCGGGCGACAAATATGGTGTACACGCAGATGTTGTTTGCTTTGTTTTATGATCTTGCGGTGTTTAATTCTACGCCGTCGGCTTGGAGTTGGGCTGGGTCTGGAATTATTCTCGCCAGTGCAATCTATGTCGCGATTGCAAAGGACGGCGCGAAGTCTAGAGCTAGCACGAAGGGAAAAGAAGCAATCGAAAACGGCAATTCTGCAAATACACCTTTCTATGATGGGGATTTAGAAAGCGGACGAAAAGCGGATTTTGGAAACAATAGCTACCAAGAAGAAGAAAGAAGCGGTCTCTTGAACGGCACTAATGCATGAAAATTGATTTTTATGTCTAGATGGCTGATGGTAATAATGACGCAATGAACATGGAAAGCTACATAAGGAATACCATTTATAGCAAGATCAAAAGTGTACTTTAATTTATTAATATAAACATTTTAAAGAAGAGACTGGCCGCAGCCACTTTTCAATACTCCACTTTGCACTTTTATTGCCTGATAGCACATCGATACCACAGGGAGGTTGGTGGGGATGAGTACGGCTGTCAATGGACATTCCTACGACACAATTGCCGATCATAGCCAATGCTGATGCAGCATAACCGAAAGTCAACTATTGCATAATCTGGGTATGTATGTACAGTACATAGTCAGCTAAGCGAATAACCACACTCCCCCAATTTTTTAAAGCCTGTCAAGAGGGTCCCTTTTATGTTCATTAACCTCAGTGGCCAGTGCTAAGAATAGTATACAAAACGCGGATCAAAACAATAGGAATGCTCATTAGAAGCGAGTAATGGCCTAAAAGGTGAAAAAAGCCTTACTCTTATTATCCAAAAAGAATGTCTCATCTCCTCAAGAAGAATAGTCTGTGTTGAAATTTACTAATCAGTGTGCTTTGTGCCACTCCATGACCCTTCAGTCTACATTTGAGGGGCTAAGGGGCAGTGCACAGATGCTAAAAATATCTAGGTTGCCGTAGCCTTCGCAGTACTGGGCGGATTAGCGGTGGACTCGTCTATGACGGGACGGTCTTCATCACTGGCAGACGGGGATGTAGGATGGCTCAAAGTGTCACGGAGCGAAGTGCGGCTGCGCATCATCTAGTGGGTTGAGAAGCGATGGTCAGCATATAGACAATAAAGCACCGGGAAAGGAAGCCTACCCATGAACGAACTCCGCCAATCAATCCCAAACTATATCCCGTGGCAAAATCCTCGCTTCTGCCTAGTCCAGGATTATCTGACTGGTTTGTATTGAGACTAACCCTGCTGCCTCCAAATCCAAAGATGTTGTTTCCTGGAGAGCCGTTCTGGGAGAAGTCAAAGCTCCGACGTGCAGGGCTATGAGCGCGGCTGGTCTGCCAGAGGAGGCGAAGTTCTTTGCCTAATTCCTGGCCGGTGGAAGACCAGCTGTTTCTGATGGTGTCACGGAGCTCCGAGACATGTCTTTTTATTTCAAGCTCGTTCTTTTTCAGCCAAGAAACGTTGAGTTCTTGTCTTGAAGTGCCACGTTTGAGCTGCCGAGCAATATATTTTTCGTAGTCTCGCACAATCCTGCAGTAGAGAAATTATTAGCCATGACTATATAACGTGATGAAGGATTTATCAGAAAGAATGCATACTTTGTGATGATTCCTGTAGTACTGACGCCCTCAGTCCGTTGAGTGACCAAGAACTTTCCGGCCCGCTTCACCGGAGCATAGATATCGTCACCTTCATCCGCACCGTAGGGAATATCGTCGTGGGCGACATAGTCGATCTGATGCTCATCCAAAAACTCCGGACTCACAATCCAGGGGCAGTCTGGTATGACTTCATCCACCCATTTACAATGACGAACCGTTTCAGCCCTCTCAGCCTCGTTCAAAACCGTTAAGCCCTTTCGCTTATGCGTCTCATTATCACCAGTCACACCAACGATGAGATACGTATCAGGAAAAGCCTTCTTGGCCTGCTCAAGCTGTCGCATATGGCTTGTACAAATGCATTAGTTAGCACATGCAGCGCTTCCAAGACCATGGCTCTGCCGAGCAAAAAGGGGGAACAAACAAGATAGGGACGCGTAACTTACCCAAGATGAAACAAATCAAACACCCCATCGGCGTACACTCGCACCGGACGGCCCTCCGGAGGAGGGTTCGTGCGATATCCAGCTGGATGCAGCAGACCATCTTTGGCAGGCAGACTCATTCGCTCATCCCGAGAATTCGCCGACGAGTGCCGGGACGCGCTGGATCGACGCCTCACGCGACGCTCATTATCAGCACTCTCCTCTGTGGTCTCCGACGGCTCGCCGGGGTCCCGGGTATCAATTGAGCCGGCATCGTCGCGGTGCTGGCCGGCGGCCGAAGCTGTTGTGGCTCTGGTGCGAGGGCGTTTGGAGGGCGGGTGGGTGGACGCGTCAGAGGGCTTTTTGGGCTTCACAAAGCCAGAGTCGTCGCCTTCTTCGCCGGATGCGTCGCGCGAGGACGCCTGGAGCAGGTCCGGGGACGGGTTGGGGACGTCGGGGACGTGGAGGTGGGAAGCCCTGCGTTTCCGCTTCCCGGCCGAGGACGACGGCGAGGACATTGGGGGCGGCTGTGGGCGTTCAATTGGCAGGCAAAGCAACCGTCATAGAGATAGTAGGAATAAGTAAAAATCGAACGCTTCAAACGAAAGAGCCCAACGGCACTGCGATCACGACGGCAGAGACGGGGAAAAGTTGAGTGTGGTGGTCTTGTTGGCAGCTGCGCGGCCAGGATTTCTAGTTCGACAAGGCAGTGGGGAGGCAGTGGAGCCCGCGCTCCGTTCCCACGACTCTTGAGCGGCTTGCACGGAGCCAACAGGGTTGCAGAAGCACGCGAAGAGCGGGGAGAGAGAGAGAGAACGAGAGCGAGAGAGACTAGATCGGCCGTGCGGAATGAAATGATGGGTTTCAAACGCGAAAAAAAGGAGGTTCATCTCCAGCCTGGACCTGCGGCCATTTCAAATGCCCAGCTCCAACAGGCTAAAATACCCTGAGCGCTGTGTTTCGGATGGCTTGAGTCGCCGATGGCACCTAGCTACTTGCTACGAGGCTTACGATGGCCTTTGCTTGTCTGAGGATGAAAAAAAGACGAATCTGCGCGGAATCCCTGCTCTCTAGCCATTACGTCGTGAAGCCGCAGGGGGCTGACGACAAGCTTGTGATCGCGGGCCGTCTGGACGAGCTAAAAATGGCCATCGCAGGCAACGCGGCAGAACAGCCGATCAGCGAGCTGCGAGTGCGCCGTCAAGCCTCGATAAAAACATCCATTGCTTCTATTTCAAAACCACCTACTACTAGCTTTCCCAGGAGAAGAAACAGGAAATTCGATCTGTACAATTGCAACAGGCAGTTCTGGCCCGATGATCGCGTCGCGGACACTGACGGCTGTGGTAGCAAAGCAGGATATAAGAGAAGGTGTTTTTTTTGGTTTCCGCAAAGGGCCTGGGGAAAGGGAACAGTGAGAAAAAAAGCTATTTATCCTCAAACTCGCGCACTCGGAAAAATTAGATTTAGGAAAAAAGAAAGGAAAAAGCCATGCAAGAACGCCTCGACGACAGGGTCACGATCCGGTGCGAGAACAGTGTAAAAAAAAGGGTGAAAAAAAACAATCAGATGAAGAACATCCTTGCCCAATCGTTAAAAAGAAACACAAAAGAAAAAAAGGAAACCAGGTAAGAAACATTCTCAATCGACCTTCGCCCGCCCGGCCCCCGTCATTCCATGCGAGTTTCATTTCATTCATTTCATCGAGTATAAAACTTCTCCCCCTCTCTCAGATACGGAAGACACGGATATATGCAAGTTGTGAAAAAGGAAGAAGAGACAAGATAAATAAAAAAAAAAGAGAATCGATCTAAGCAGGGAGGAAATGGCGCAAGAGCACAGGGGTAGGTTTGTGGGGAGAAAAAGTCCTCAAAACCACTCCAGTGAGTCCAGCGCCACATACACCCTTCTTTCGAGCGAGCGGTGCGCAGTAGTAGTAAAACAAGGTGAAGTCGGGCCCATCATGGACACGCGACAGATATCATGCAGAAAGGGAATGGAACAAAATCCACTATCGTCAAAACCGTAACCCAATTCAGAAATGTTCCCCTCAGTCGTTACTAGTGCAGACTCGTAGCTCTTGAAAGAATCAGTTAGAACGGATTTGGCGACTAGGAAGACGAATTCGGTGCTCTCGTTGACGGCTCGTTTCTTTCGGGAGTGGAGTTGCCATTGATTTGAGGAGTGTGGTTTATCTGGGGTGCCGGGGTGCCTTCACGTTGTTGCCGAGGGGTCTCTGAGTCGGGCGCAGTTCCATTATATTCAGTAAAGTCTTCTTCGGAGCTCTCTTCTTCGTTGCCAAACATCTCGTCATTACTCATATCAGTTAAAAGCTCAGTGCCATCACCTAGAAGAATGATTCTGCCACTCCGTCCAATGCTTCGTCGGGTGTCGAGACCTGGGTCGTATTCCTCCGAGTTATCGTCAAACTGGTGTCGGGATCCTGGACCACGGAACTGGGCTACAGAGAAATACAGTCAATTCTGGGGGTGCGGCGATTGGCGAGGCGAGTGTAGGAACTCACCATATTCAGGAGGGGCACAGGGTCCTTCGCCTTTTTCAACCCGATCGGCAATCATCTGGTACCATTCATCCTTGGTTTTGCCTTGGAGGAGTCCGATGATAACCATGGTCATATTATCGCATCCAACGCCACCAGTCTCACTGTTGGAGGCCAGACAGTTGTCCATAAGATTCTCGCAAATCCGATCAAGAGGCTGTCTGGCTACAATTCCACGTCGAACGAATTCAATAACGGCTTGGGAAGATCGACAATCCCAGATTCCTATAAAGCCAGATATTAGCGGATGATAAGGAACATAGGATATCAAAGTCGAACATACCATCACATGCAATAACAATAAACTCATCATCCTCCGTAACTTCATGAGTCGTAACGTCTGGAAAAGCGGTCACAATCTGCTGCTCGGGCGAGAGCTCAGGAGTTTTCTTAAACTCAAAGTCGCCGAGTGCGCGCGACAGGGCAAGGTTGCCATTGACACGGCCAAAGTCGACATAGCCACCAGCAGCGCTAATTCTGGCTTTTTCTCCTGCTCAGTTGTCAGACAGAGCTCGGAGCTAAGTGGGAGAGAGGATCGAACCTTCATTTTGAGGTTTGTGGTCAAATGAGAGCGGTTTCGCACGACCTTTGATACCTAATACAGTCCTAGAGTCACCGGCGTTGGCCTGGATGGGCAATGGGTTAGTGGTCGGTAAAGCGTAGATTAACACGGCGGGGAATGGGACGTACGACTCGGATTTTTTCTCTGGAGACCACAGCAACAGCAGCCGTGCAGCCAGAGACTTCTTCCTCGTAGTGGGGATCTAGAGCCATCAAGCCACTATTAGCGGGGAATGGCTGCAGGATAGCATAAAATTTAGGCGCCCTACCTTCCAAAATAGCTCTATCTGTCGCCAGGAAACCATCTTTTAGTGCCTGTTCTACGTCTCCGCGTGCGAATGCCTCCTGGCTGGCCAGAATGCGCGGAACGTGAAATCCGGCATACAGCGCCATTTGATCCCCTCCATGACCGTCATAGACACCAAAGAAAGACATTCGTTTACTAGGGTCTGTCGGCCGCTGGTCCTTGGTGATGTATTTGGCTTCGAGGTCTAGAACAGCGGAGTGGGCGTCCTCCATGCTGATACGCCATCCTTGCATCGCAGACAGGCCATAGATGACACACTCGTCGGCCCCATCTTCAGAATTCTGCAAAGCGAAACAATGACGGGTCAGCAGCAGTTCAGGTCATCACAGGCAGCGTGCAGGGGCAGCGACAGCAAAGCAGGACAGCACAAGAAAGCCGGGCAGGCGGTGCAGGCGGTGGCCCAGCCGCAGAGGCGAGCACCAGCCCCGCTGTGATGCAAACTAGACGTGACGCAGACAAAAGAAAGTGCATTTGGATCAACAACCAGCAAACACACAACTCACTTTTTCCACTACCGGCTCACTCAGAGTTTGACCCATGATTCAATGGCGTTGTGCTGGGGGACTGTGGGGGGAGGAGATGAAGGAGGGGGAGGTGGTTTGGGTGGGCGACGAGATTTCGCACGGAGCGGCGGGGGACGAAGCGGGCGGAGGAGAGGCAGCGGAAGTGAGCGCCAGGGACGAGCGGGCGGAGGGAATGCACCAGAAACAGGCGTTTTGTGTGATGCAGCGGCAGCCAGGGCAGAGTCTGCAAGGCGGGACGGGGTTGAGGAACAGTTGTGGGCGAGTAGTCAGCGGGAGGAGCCTGGGGGGGTAGTGATGGTGGTGGAGGAGGGAGCGGGGGGGGGGGATCGTTCCAGGCGACAGCTGAAGAGAACAGGCCAGGAAGAGCGCGAGAACGAGGACGAGGAGAGACGGAGACGACGAGTAAGCTGGGCTGGGCTGGGCTGGAGGTCGCGTGTTTGGGAGCGATGAGCGAGAGCCTGGGATGGGCCGGAGGGGAATGACGAAAAAAGCTTCGCGAAAAAGTTGCTCTGGGCGGCCGTAGCGACGACACTGAAGGATCCGCCGTTCGCTAACAAACTCGCCCGCCCGCGTTCTCTCCACGGCCCTGCGCCTGGATGAGCCCGCCGTGGCTGAGGGCGCCCGCCCACTCCCGATCGCCTGCGCCTAACGGGGTACGCCCTGGCGGTTCGCTGCGACACTGCGAGCGCCGCCCCCGGCACGCCCGCCGCCGTCGCTTGACCAACTTCCGCCGGCGCTTCATGCCCGTCAACAGCCACGGTCTGGCTCACCACCCACGCCACACCGACGAAAATTTTTTCGCTGCCTGCAGGCTACTACTGCGCTGCTCCGTGACGAACGCACTGCCTGTGGCGCCGGGGACCTTCAAGTCAGGGGCCGTCTCAGCCCGCCGGCTCCCCAGGGCCCTGCGCGTCGCATCCATACAGACCCCGTCATTGGGCACGCTGCACGCAGTTCGATTCCCAATGCCCTCGCCGCTGCTGGGGGGGCCGCATTGGGCCTCTCTGGCCAGCCGTTGCGTTGCAGCGAAAGCTCGCGCGTCCCGTCAATCATCGCTTGCTTCCTGCGAACGGGAGAGCCAGCCGGCTCCAGCCCATCATGTGCCGCGTCGAAATTTTCTGGCCGATCAGAAACATTAAAAATAGCATCCCGGCACCGACCTCGAGCAATCGCCGCTACGCTGCTCAAAGAGAATAATAGCTGGTGGTTGAACCTGGAGGCCAGCAAACGCACCTACAGCGGCCCCTGGAAATACAACCAATTCGCCCTGTTATTGTCGAACAATCCATAGACATCTACTGTAGTTTGAGAAGCCTGCAGTCCGACCCTAAGAAGCGACCCTACCCAAGGCTCACTCACGAGCCTCTAACCTGCAGGCCAAGTTCCGGGTTCGTGATCAGATCGATGCAGCCCCAGCAGCGAACAGAAACGACAAATAGCCCAATTCACAGATAACCGCGGACGGCCGCAGTTCCACATGTGAGAGGGTGACACTGCTAGAGCAGGATACGGTGGAGTGCCACGGACATCGGACATATACGTACGAGCTACTCCATAACTACATGAGAGCGAGACATTGGATTCGTGGCTGCAATGGCTTAGCATAGGACCAGTTAAACTTTCTACCTCTGGTAGCCTGAAGAGCCGAATCGATCACGACCGAAGTAGAGAAAATTCCCAGGGGTGGTGATGGAGTATAGTCGACGCTCAGACTCAGACTGCTCTGTAGTTCACTGACTGACTATCCATAACTAACTGGTTCCAGCACGGACGCAAACACAACCGTGGGAAACCCCATCAGACAGTGCATGTAAAGCATTTATTGGGTCTGTCGAGACTGAAACACACGGTTAAGCTACGTCTCTCAATGCTCAGGTTCTTATTTCCCCGTTTCCTCTGGCGAAACAACAATAAGGACAGGGTTGGCGCGGATCATCTTGCAGCTCTGCTTCAGGACCCGAAATTGTGCCCTCTGCCTTGAAAAAATCAGGTTAAAAAGCGGTCAGCCGGGTCAAGCGCCCGGCCATGGCTGTCCAAACCCCCCAGCCAAGTGCCGCCGTTCTCGAAGCCAGGGTTGCAAGTTTCCTATTGGGCCCCAATTTCTTCGCTGCCATGGAGTTCAGCCCTACAGACCGGGGCGGTGTATGTAAGTTACGGAGCACGCCGGAGAGGCACCGGATTGTCACAAGGCGCCTAAGATATCATCGCTTCGCCGCCGGTGAGGATGGTCCGTCGGAACTTCAGCACCGCCCGTCCCGCAGGTACACCTCTCGTTGGGCATGAATGAAACACTTTTCAACGCACCCTCTCAACACTCATCACCGGAGCCCAAGTACCATTTTGATCCCCGTCCTCCCTTTCCCATAATAATCCTCCACACTCTCCGACTCCACAAACCCACTCCGCGCGTATAATCTCCTCGCCACCGCGCGATCCCTATCTACCCACAGCTGCACGCTCTGGCACCCTTCCCGCGGCAGCCTCTGCTCCAGAATATACGCCATCAGCTGCCCGCCGAAGCCGCGCCCGCGGTACGCTTCCGCGACGCAGATTTTGTGCAGTAGCGCCGTGCCCTTCATGCGCACGTACACCGCGTAGGCGACCACCGCCGCCGTTGCGCTGTTGTCAGCCGTAGTGGTAGTAGTAGTAGTAGCAGTAGGCCCAGAGGCAGGAGAGCCGCACGCGGTGGGGTCTGTGGTCTGCGCGTAGATGACTCTGGTGTTGGGCTTTTTCTTCCAGAGGCCCGCGTGGAAGTCGAACGCCTCGGAGGGCGGAAAGGTGCGCTTCTCCAGACGCGTGATGCGCTCGAGAATGGTGCGGGCGTCTTTCTGGGGGAGACTGTGGATGTCGCGTATGACAAGGTGAGACGAGGGCGACGAAGCCATACTGTGTGTCCTGATACTCCGTTTGGAGTAACTATTCTGTTGTATAGTATTCCAGGGCTCGGTTGAGTTGGCGCTTTGGACATTCAATAATTTCCTTTTGGTGGTGTTCGGGCGTGCCAAGAAGACAATCTCGCACTCATTCGATGTCGACCACCATCCCTCCTCATCTTCGCAGAACAAATCCGCGACTCATCCTCGAATACTCTCCGACAATGCCATCGCAACAGGATGAAAAGCGCCAGGCTGCGCGTGAAGTCATTGATATCCTCCACGAGATATCTACCCTCCTGGTAGGCCTCGCCTGTTTACCCACCCTCTGAACCACCTCCGCTGAATCAAGCCAACGCAGAACACACATTTGGACCGAACTGAGCTCTCTCTTTGCGTGTCTTTGATTGAGAATGGAGTAAATCCCGAAGCTCTGGCGGTAAGTTGCTGACCCACGAGGGCACTCAACCCCACCACTAGATTCATGGGGCTAGAATGATACGAATACCTTCTTTGTAGGCGGTGATCAAGGAGCTTCGCGGCGAGCCACGCGATACCCAAGTCGCATAACAGCTCAGACAATATCTACGAATCACAGATAACGCCACTGTCGACTCTCGACAGATGTCGATCCACTGCCGTTACGAACGATATTATGACTTGCCCAACTGGCGAATGCACTGATATTCGCGAAGCAATACCACGTCAAGATTCGCTGTCGGTATGAGCTTCTAGTACCATACACGAAGAGGAGAAGAAATGCAAGCTTGACGCGCTATTAGAGGCAAAAACAGTGCTTGCTTATAAAGACCATTAGTAACACCATATGCAAGGACCCGCCGCAATTTAGCCATCCTCGGATCTCGAACTGGCATTTACGACCCTGACATGGATTACGAACCACCAGGAGCCTTATCCTTTTTGCTGGTATCCCCGTTCGGTGCGATGCTAGAGCCCATAGCTTCCGCTGTCGCCTTTTTCACCTGCGCAGTCTCTTCCGGCTTTAAATCCTGTTTTTTGGCGTCCTTCTCGTCTTCAGAATCTCCAAGACTGAATGGGTCATGGTCCGCAACCGGAGATGGATCTACAGTTGCAAGGGGCTGCCATTTGCTTGTTTTGCTTCCCGACTGGGGAGTACGGTGGGAGCTTGTTCGTGGAGGATGCGAATCCGTAATTTCTTCAGGCGGGCCTTCTTGGAATGAAACTTTCCGTCGGTCCGGAGAAGGGGATTTGGCTTTGAAGAGATCTGGGTTGGCTGTAGGTCGGGGTGGACGGTTTTGGGGGGCTGGACGAGAGCCCGTTAGCATTCCTAGCTATAGAGGTACCGGCTACAGCTTACCGTCAGAGTCCCTTAGCTCTAAAGTAGCAAAATCGTCGCTCAATACTCGAGGGTCCGCATCATATCGTTCCCGGTCCGCACTGCGACGAGCCTCCCCACTGCGCCTGAGTCCAGGGGTTTGTGGTTCGCCAGGTCGCTGAAGACGTTGCTGATTCTGCTGGCTTTGTTGACGATAATATTCGTCTTCGTCTTCGTCGCCCTCAAGCTTTTTCTTCAAAGTTTGCATCCATGTATTCACTCTTGTTTGAGTCTCTAGAAATCCCTTGCGGATATTCTCTTTAATAACAGGAAGGTCATCTAGAACAGCCCGTTAATTTAAAAAACTCGTCAAACTACATAGCATCTTGATTTCCGTACCATCGATAAAACTGCGCTCTCGATCATCATACAATTCATTTGGCTTTAGACCTGTTTCTGTGTGCCGGCGTGGCAGGTGGGGCTCGTTATCCCATGCAGATCCGGGTTGACCGCGATGCCGTTCAGAGCTATTGTAATGTTCTTCTAGCTGGCGGGCATACATTTCATCCTGCTCAAGCTGGCTTTGAGTTGTAGAGGTAGCCATTGTGGGGCGGGGTGGCTTTGGGGGAGGAGGGGGTTCGATTTGCGCATCCGGGTCAGACATCCCTGAAGAGATGAGCATACAATATTTCACCAGTAGAGAAGCACACGAAGCTTACCCAGCAGGGCATGAAAAGCCCTGTCGACATTTCCACCGCTTGCAACCACAACTGCCTTGACCACGCTAGCATCAATGCTTGGAAATGCTTCCTTCAATGTGTTCTCGGCCTCTTGTTGGGGGCTCAGGGGCCGCGGAGGCTTTTGTGGAGGGGTCTCATTATTTGAAGATCTAGAAGCCGAAATCACCCCAGTTTCTAGAGGTTCGTCATCGAAATCAAGAGGGCGGGCGGTAGTCGGGGACTCCGGCTTTGCAATATTCTTGTAGCTTCAAGGTCAGACTCGTATCAGGCAGCATAGTAAATGTTCTCCGTACCTTTGCTCCGTCAGCCATACTTGAGATTAGAACAATTGACTAAAATGATCTGCCCCGTGTAGGGCTTAAAGAATTAGAGTAACAGGCGAAAGCAGCATGCAGGTTGGCGGGTAAGATTGCAGTGTGAGGCTTCAGTATCAGACGAAGGGCTGTGTGGCTTGTGCCTGGGGCGCTGCTGTGACGCCATCCCCCCGAATCGCTGACTCAGCGAAATGGTGACTAAGCTGTCAAGCCTCATCTAGTGACAAAGTTTAACTTACCCGAAGTGCCCCCAACGCAAAGCGAGAGTAGCCTAATTCTTGCGTCTTACTTCCAGCAAATCAATCTATACGCGTGGTGTGGTGGTGGTCCCGTTCCCATTCCTAGATTTCATCTTATAGTATACCGAGCCAATAGATGTAAATAAGATGTCATAGGCTACATTTCATACTCCGTATAGGAGCCTCAAATAGCACTCCTCACTTGATCTATCCTAGTATAGAAGCCCAATTGGTCACAAAGATGCTTGATATATTATTATTCTCGTGTTTTCTCAGAAAATTTTTTAATAATCTTCTCGTCACATAGTCCCTAGATTCCTCGTTACTGGACATCAGATAAATCAGACACGCTACTTGCTTCCATCATGATACTAGCTAGTGACCGGATATTGCCATTGATCAATGCACTTCACGCTCAAGCTTGGGCGATTCCGAAAAGGGAACCGCGAGGTGGAAACTCAACGCAAAGCGGCCCAGATTCGTTACAAGGCGTTTTCTCCTCTCACAGCTAAGTGCAGTAACGACTATGGATTTTATGGCAGTGCAAGGTGGACCTTCATGAAAGTCAGATGGTATATTTAGCTGTTCAGCAGCGAGACGCGGATTATGCTGACATTATCGGAGCCGTAGTCTTGCTGGGGGACCGCTTGGTATCTGCACAGTTGGACAGCAGTTTAAAGCACTAACGGGGCAGGACTGGAGGTCCACATTGGAGTTAGGTACGAAAAACCAGACTGGGGCGAAGCAAAAGCACATATCTGTTCTCTTAATAGGAGGATTGTCCTAAGGGACTACGAAATCAGGGCGACGTACCGTCAGGTCGGTTCATTTTGGACTGAAAACAATGCCACCAGGGAACCTCGGCATTTTGAAATAGCTTTTGCAGGAGCACAAGAGCCGGTCGTTATTATCCTAGCCAAAGAACGGTTACTCGCTGGACAACGCCATTTGAAAGCTAAGAATCTTTATGTTGCTGCGGTATTTTGGTCAAGTTGTTAGCATGGTGAAGCATCTCATCTCCCACCAATGAGGTTCTTCAGGCATTTTTTCAGATGTTTTGATTTTGGCTTGGAAACAAATTCAGATGCTGTCGAAATTTACTTGAAAATCTTGATTCGTGGTGACTATAGCCCACATGATTATTATCGCTATCGATAATACATTGAAGTCAAGCAGTACGGAGTATATATCTCTCTTTTTGCTTCTCGGCCAGGTAATATTCTTTAATCCGAATGGTTAGCCCACCCAAAGGCTTTTGAAGGAGTTAAAAGTCGGATAATCAGTTAATACGAAGACCGAAATTCAATCTAGAGTCAAATTGCCCAGCCTGGTGACTCAGCAAAAGTCACGAAATCGATCTGTTCCTGTGCCATTTGAAAGCCGATATGGGCAGTATCCTGGGCTGTTTGTGATGGCAGGTGTAAGGCAATTGGCCATTTTTACTGTTGGTTTGGCCCAGTGGAATTTCACATTATAATGGCTGCGGACTTCGAACCGTCAGCCGGCTTCATCCCATCTCTTTACAAACCCCCGGCCTTATTACCGATCTCAGAGCATCGGGAAAGCCTACTATATGTGATAGAGACGCATGCAGTTACAATAGTTCTAGGGCAGACGGGCAGTGGAAAGACCACCCAATTGCCACAATTCTTGAACCAGGCAGGATGGTGCGCAAACGGCAAGCAAATCGCGGTGACCCAGGTGCGTCGCACACAACTATGGGGCGTTTTCATAAAATCGTTCTGACTTATATCTAGCCTCGTAGAGTAGCTGCTACAACAGTTGCAGCGCGAGTAGCTGAAGAAATGAGGTGCACTCTAGGCCTGGAAGTGGGATATTCCATTCGGTTCGAGGATGTCACTTCTGCTGCGACTCGAATTAAGTTTCTGACAGATGGTCTTTTGCTGCGAGAAGCTCTTGTAGATCCTTTGCTGACCCGTTACTCTGTGATAATGGTGGATGAAGCCCATGAGCGCTCAATTAGTACCGATATTCTTCTTGGAGTGTTAAAAAAGATCATGAAAAAGAGACCCGAGTTACGAATTATAATCAGTAGTGCAACTCTTCAGGCCGAAGAATTTCTTCGATTTTTTTCAGGAGATCCCGTTGGCTCCAGCACTGAGACAGTCGACGATGTAGGCAAGATTGTTAGTCTCGAGGGCAGAATGTACCCTGTTGATCGCCTTTTCCTGGAAACCCCAACTGAAGATTATGTTGAAAGAGCATTTAAAACAGTATGCGACATACACACCCAAGAACCTAAAGGAGATATTTTGTTATTTCTTACTGGAAGGGAAGAAATCGACATTGCAATCCAGAGGATATCCGAATACGCCGCTACATTAGATGCTAATGCGCAGCAATTACTCCCATTACCACTCTATGCCGGACTTACAACAGAGCAACAGCTTTATGTTTTTGAACCCGCTCCAGACAACACTAGGAAAGTAATCGTTTCCACCAACATCGCTGAAGCATCCGTCACCATTGAAGGGATTTTGTATGTTATTGATTGTGGCTTCGCAAAACTTCGCGCATACAATCCGGATACAGGTATTGAGTCTCTTACATCAGTCCCTATATCAAAAGCATCCGCGACACAACGAGCTGGCCGTGCTGGTAGAACAAAACCTGGCAAATGTTTTCACCTTTACACCAAGCAAGCCTTTGATTCTCTCCCAGAGGTAGGCGTGCCGGAAATTCAACGCTCAAATCTTGCACCTGTTGTCCTCCAGCTTAAAGCATTGGGGATTGACAACATTGTCCGGTTTGACTTCTTTACCCCGCCTCCCTCTGAACTACTCGCTCGCGCTTTTGAGTTATTATACTCATTGGGGGCCGTGGATGAATATGCAAAGCTCACAAAGCCACTCGGAATTCGGATGGCAGAGCTTTCCGTGGAACCCATGATGGCAAAGGTCTTACTAAATGCCTCGTCTCTAGGCTGTTTGAGCGAAATGCTATCCATTGCCGCCATGACTAGTCTTCAAGGATCTGTGTGGTTCCAACGGGACGACAACAAGAAGTCCGGGGAAGCCTCTCGACGAAAGTTTGCCGCCGAAGAAGGCGACCAGATAACGTACTTGAATGTGTACCAGGCCTTTGTTACCAAAGGTAAGAAGGATCCGAAATGGTGCCGGGATAATTCTCTCAACTATAAGTCTATGCAAAAGGCTGTAAGCATTCGTGCGCAACTCAAGAGATATTTAGATCGATTTGGCATTTCGGTTGAAGAAACCCTATCTTCTCATCGCCCTCAGGCTATTGTTACCGCTGAAAAAATTCAACGCTGTCTCACCACCGGCTATTTTGCCCATGCCGCTAGAATGCAACCTGACGGTACTTTCGAGAGTGTGAGCGGAGGGCTTACACTCCATGCGCATCCAAGTTCGTTGTTATTTGTATGTTATTCCTGAAAAGAGAATTCTAGATTAAAGCTAACTATTACGTGACAGAACCGAAAGGCAGAGTGGGTGATTTTCCATGAGATTCTACAAGCTGGAGATAAAATCTTCATTCGAGATATTACGAAGATCGAGAAATCCTGGCTTATCGAATATGCTTCTACCTATTATCAAGTGAAAGGGTAACCTATACGCCCTACTGGAAAGACTGATCTGGGTGTGGGTGTTGTGTTATGAAGAAGGCACTCGCAAATAACTACATAGGAATTTGGCTCTAGTACCTAATCGTGCATACCACCATATTAACTGTAGAAATTTGATGGCAAAGAGTTTACTTATGTAACGCCCGTTTCGAATTTCAAGGAGTGCAAGGTACACATAAACTGGCATCAAAGCCATCGACACTCCATTTTAGTGTTCATCCTTTTCTAGTTTCCGACCAACAGCCCTACATAGTTAACAACACAGCTGAAAACCCTCATTTTCTGGCGGAAATCATGTCTTGTCATGATGAACACCATGATCATGGTGACCACAGTCATGGTCACAACCACGGTCACGACCACAGCAATGATTTGACCCCTGCTCTTCAGTCACTGCTATACAAGCAAGTCGACTTCGATGGGATAGTCACGCTAAACGAATCTGACCCCAAAGCAGGTGCTGCTATTGTGAAGAAAACATGGGTTCAGCGTTTGGATGACAAGCCGGAGCTGGAGAGTGACGTGGATGAACAGCTGTTAATGTATATCCCGTATGTGATGTTGGCCCGCCATATTCATACTTCTGGGTTGTATTGCCCCGCGATATGATACACCTACATAAATATTTACCCCTCCTGCTGTTTTTTAATGTTGGCCCTGCTCACTATCAATCCGGCTGCTGAAAAAATACGATAAAATCATTCAACTAATGGCTACGATCATACTAGATTCACTGGTCAAGTCAAACTGCACTCTCTCCTAATCTTCGCCGCACCCACCTCATCTGCTCCCAAAACGATTAAACTATTCCGCAACCGCCCAGACCTTGATTTTTCAACTGCGTCCGACCTTCAAGCTACCCAGGCACTAGCTATTCCGCAGACCCTCACCGGTTCAAATAGGGATGTCCTCGAGATTCCGCTAAACCGCGCTCTTTGGAATACTACAACCTCAGTGACGTTATTTTTTGAGGATAACTGGAGTGATGGCGAGGAAGATGTTACGAAGGTAGGGTACCTAGGATTTAAAGGGCATTTTATGGCTCTGAATAGGGAGCCTGTAACTGTGCTGTATGAAGCCGCTGCAAACCCGAAGGATCATGCCATAATTCAAGGTATGGGCGAAGGAGTTGGAAGAACAATTGGACAGTAACACATTTCTGGTACCGGAGTCAAAATTTTCTACCCTAAAACTACCCATGCATATATGTATTAAGAATTTGCAATAGATCAAATACTGCTATCTAGGCGTAAATACAAGGAAACAAAATCTATAAACGGTATATGATAGGCGTATTTCATTAGAATGATTAGACGTAGGCAAGTATAGAGGAATCAAGCCGCCATTGGCGCTGCTTTTCGCGCCTTTGCTCGTTCACGCGCACGTAACTTTGCAGCGGCAACTTGGTCTTCCTCCATTTCCTCTGGCAATTCTGATACTGGGACATCAGGAAGATCCACAGCAACTCCTAATACTCGCTCAAGGTTCTCCAATTCATCCTCTACCTCATCTTCATCCTGATTGGACATTTGCCCAGCAAGCATTCGGCTTATTTCCTATAAAATAGTCAGAACTAAAAAGTACCGGCCTCGAGCTTAGAAGCCTAACCTCTTGATATGCCCTGGCATCTTCTGTTTCGCCCATCATCTTTTCTACCTTTTCTATACCTCCCATTTCTTTGTGGATGGCTTGTAGAACCTGGGTGCCTTGTTTCAGGCCGAACAAGATATCTTTCTGGACGAGTGCGAATTCCACACTGCCGGTCAATTTCTCTAGTTGATCAAGCTGGGCGTCTGTTTTGGCAAGGAGTGATTCTTGATATTTTTTACGCCGTAGAGCTAACAGAGCCCGTGACCTATCCCCACGGGCTAAACATTGCCGGGCTATGGCAGTTTCTCGGTCTGTGAGAACAGTGATTCGCTTCTGGTATTGATGGAGCTTATCCCGTTGGTTTTTCAGATCTAAGATTGCCCTATGGAGAAACAGTAGCTATTAGCTCCTCAACCCCTTTTATTAAAGAAGATCCCAAAATCAGGCCTTTCGTCTGAAGCTGGTGGATCGGATCTTGAGCATACCTATCCTGTGCGGATATCTTATTCGTACTGGAAATGTTGCCCATTGTACTAGCATCTCTATAGTGGTGCAAATTGGAAAGCCTTCTAGTATGAAGAGAGAACGTCTGGCATGCTTGTTGCCTCACACTTAATCACAGCACATGATAGTCATGAAGTTGGTTGTCGTATTGGTATTACAACGCCGACCTTATCGATAACCTACAAGGTAGTTAGATGACATAATGAAATTTCTTTCGGCATAATAATAATCCGGTATAAATATGTGATTGGCAAACAGTTGTGACGGAAAATTACGCGCAAAGGTTTATTGTGCTGGAGAGCGGATCGTTGAACTTCGCTGCGTCATGGCACCGAAAAACCGTGGCGGCAGGTCGACTCTTGGGCATGGGCTTGATAAGGATGTGAGTATAATTGTTTACCAATCCAACAATCTGAATACTAATACCTCCTCAGGTCTATCAAGTCGTTCGCAAATTGGTTGATGAACAGCAGAGCGAGGGATCTAACTTTCGGTTATCCGTGCCTACAATCTATGATCGGATCAAAAAGTCCAATTCCAGCCTAAACCGAAGGCCGAAGAAATTATTGGAGGATAGTATAGAGCGCGTTTTAGATGTTGTGAAGACCGATGTTCTTGACAATGTCGAATCCGAATCTGTAGAAGGTGACTTCGATGGGTTAGAAGAAAAGGAGCCGCGGCCTGTATGTCATTGCAATGTGTTGGAAGTATTACATATTAATCCAGATTTAGACTTTGAATGGTGTGAACAAGAGTATAGTTGGAATGTGGAACACACAGCCAAAACAACCATTAACGCCCAAGAAACCGGATGGTGCCGCTGGATCCTCCTCATCTCTTGCCGTTACCGCAAACAAACGGCGACAGAATGGTGGGGAATCGCTCTCGAAGCGTCGTAAGGCAGAAAATGGCATTGATCGATCTCCACCAACCCATGTGAGCCTTGCAGACTTGGGCGGTGTCGACGACGTCATTCAAGACTTAGAGGACTTAATCGTCCTGCCAATGACTCGGCCTCAAGTCTACTGCTCATCTAACGTTCAGCCTCCACGCGGTATCCTCCTTCATGGACCTCCTGGATGTGGGAAGACAATGATTGCCAATGCTTTTGCCGCTGAGTTGGGCGTACCATTCATCGCCGTATCTGCGCCTTCAATTGTTTCTGGAATGTCCGGTGAATCTGAGAAGGCCCTTCGAGAGCATTTTGATGAGGCCAAGAAAGTCGCTCCTTGTCTCGTTTTTATCGATGAGATTGATGCTATCACGCCAAAGCGAGAAAGCGCACAACGCGAGATGGAGAAGAGAATTGTCGCCCAACTTCTCACATGTATGGACGATTTAGCTTTAGAGAAAACTGATGGTAAACCAGTGATTGTGCTGGCAGCCACGAATCGACCTGATAGCCTTGATCCAGCTTTAAGACGAGGTGGTCGGTTTGATAAAGAAATTAATCTAAGTGTCCCCAGCGAACCGGTCAGGGAAAAAATTCTTAGGACGTTGACAAGGAACATGAACCTTGCGAATGACCTAGACTTTCAAACCTTAGCAAAAAGAACTCCGGGATTTGTGGGTGCCGATTTAAATGATCTTGTTTCCACCGCTGGAACAGCCGCTATTAAACGGTACCTGGAACACTTAAAATCCTTAAGTGATGAAGAAATGGACATCGAAGAGCCCCAGAGTACTAGTTTAAGCCCAAAGATCTTGGAACTCCGTCGATTAATCAGACGGGCGCGGGAAATCCCCCCAGAAACGGAACTTCAAACTGTTTTTGTTTCTAATGAGGACTTCTTTGCGGCGCTGCCTAAAATCCAGCCTTCATCAAAACGGGAAGGTTTTGCTACCATCCCAGATACAACTTGGGCTGATGTTGGTGCGCTGGGGGGCGTACGGGAGGAGCTTGTCACTGCCATTGTTGACCCCATTCGAACCCCTGAGATTTATGCCCAGGTGGGAATATCGGCACCCACTGGTGTACTACTCTGGGGACCTCCTGGCTGTGGTAAAACGCTTCTTGCAAAAGCTGTTGCTAACGAGTCCCGCGCCAACTTTATTAGCGTCAAGGGCCCTGAGCTTCTTAATAAATATGTTGGAGAATCAGAGCGTGCTGTTCGGCAAGTTTTTGTTCGTGCCCGGTCTTCTATTCCCTGTGTGATATTCTTCGATGAGCTCGATGCTCTCGTACCGCGCCGCGATGATACCCTATCTGAAGCTTCTGCACGTGTAGTAAATACATTACTTACGGAACTTGATGGCTTAGGTAGCGCTAGGCAGGGAATATATGTCATTGCCGCTACAAACAGGCCTGACATTATCGATCCGGCTATGCTACGTCCTGGCCGCCTTGAAACCTTACTCTTCGTCAATCTTCCCAGTGCCGATGAAAGAGTGGATATTCTGAGAACATTGGTACGAAACTTAGCCTTTCAGGTTACCACTGACGTCGAAGAACTTGTTCGCTCCTGTGAGGGCTTCAGCGGTGCGGATTTGGGTTCACTACTCCGTCGTGCGGGATATGCCGCGATTAAGCGACGTGATACCATCAAAGTAGAGGATTTTGTTTCGGCCAAACGGGAGATCAGGCCAAGCGTAACAGACATGAAGAAGTATGAAAAACTACGGAGGGACTGGGGTGGCGGTAATGCAATTTTATAGTTAATAGTGGATTGTATGGCGTTTTTGAGATACCCATTAGATATTTCTCGAGTAAGCATGCATACAGAACACTGGCTACTCTATACCATTTTAGACTTGGGCTAGGAGATATATGGGGTCTAGACGCTACGGAAGGCCTGGGCTAATCTCCAGAAGGATAGTTACGGCAAATCACTTGGGTTGTTACATCCATAATCGACACGTCCCATCAGCTCCAGCACTAACACACCACGCTTCCCTTGGATGCCAGTCTAAATCCAGCACACCCAGATCCCCTGTAACTTTATGGCCTTTGAGTACCTTTAGTGGAACGATGCTCGCATTGCTCAATAAGTCGCCTGTAACACTGCCATGAAATATCTGTAAGGAGCCATCGTCACTCGAATCGGCAAAGAGAGGATAACGAGGATGGTATTTAACAGCTCGAATAGCCTTTTGATGATATCGAAGAGTTTTATAGGGGCGGTCAGAAAGATCCACATCATGCCAAAGAAGGCGCCTGTCATAAGAACCGACGATAAGATTATCCCCACCAGAAGTAGATGAAGATGTCGGATGAATATCGAAGCAGGAGATCCATCGCGCACCAGGACGAAGGATCTTTACAAGTGTCTGGCGAGAGAGGTCGTATGCTCGTATCGACCGTTGATTGGCAGCGAAGAGAATAGGTTTCGATGGGTGAAAGTGTGCGACTTGAGGTGGGCCACCGCCTTTCAAGCGCCGACGGAAGGGATATTGTGTAAGATGTTTGGAGAGAGTGTGAATAGCTATAGCTACCGAGGCAGGCGTGGATGTATTGGGGCAAACGGATACAAAGTAATCCCCGCGCCTGTGCCAGGATAAAGACTTGGCAGCGTAGCCCAACGGAATCACGGCAAAGACTCCAGAGTCGGCAAGGGATGATGGGGCGCGAGTCCATTGGAGAGAGGTGGTCTTCTTTGCGGGGCTGGTGGATGATGATGCGGCGTAGCCCCAGCCAGCATCTAAAAGCTCATTGCTTGAAGATTCAAGCTCTGGATTTAGAATATCTGGAATGGCGAGGTATATAAAATTGCCAACAGAGACAGCTAACATGACAGCATCTTTTCCCGGTCTCCAGCGCACGATATTAACGGCTTCCTCGTCGCTGAACTTCACGCTCCATAACTGGCGACCAGTGAGAAGCTCCCAGACACGAACGGTGCCGTCATCGCCGCCACTTGCTAGCCAGACTCCGCTTGGGTCAATTGCTAAACTGCGAACACGTCCATGATGACCCCGAAACAACGTTGCACAAGTTGTTGGGAATGGCTTAAGTTCTTCCGGGTTGGGTAATTTGGGCAAAAGGGATTCTGGGTCGATATTCAATTTGCTTCTTCGTACTCTTGGCGCTAAATAGAGATCAAGGCAGCGTTCAAATTTCTCCTTCACGAATCTCTCGTATCCTGGAACTTTTCTTAATGAAGAGTAATCTGATGCTAGATATTCTTTTTCACGATCTTCCTCATCTTGGTTTTCCCACTCTTCCCGCTCTTTTTTATCCGGTAGATATTCTGGCGGTGGGTGATAACTCTCCTCGTAGCCGGGTGGAGGCAGTTTTGGAGCCGGTATATTCATGGGGTGATCGGGTCGAGGAGTCTCGTCCGCCCATAGATCATAGGTCTGGATACCTTCAGGTTTTTCATCTTCGTCTTCTGGTGGCTTGTACGGCAAAATTCTACCTTCGCGGATTGCCTTGACGAGTTTCATGACGCGTTTGGCCTCGTGTTTCGACGGTACAAATCTTCGCTTCGGTTCCGGGGCAGCACTTAGGGGCATTACTTCTAGCTTGCTAGTAAAGTACTCGATAGTTGGTTGGTATTGGTCGTATCCATCTTGTGGGATCTCATTCATCTGGACTTTACGCAAAAGTTCTAACTCTTCCCGACTTAGTTCCAATGGCTTCCCTGTTGAAGGATCAGTTAAACCGGTCCAACCCTTGGGAATATCAATGCTATCGAGCAATGTATCTAGGGCTTTCCCTTTGGCAGGCCGCAGAATCTTCTTTCCATTGATGTTGTAACCTATATGAGGGTATTGGTCGTAAAATGTCAATGGTATATCTCCAATTGTATTTGCATCTTCATCGATTTCTGAATATTCGGAATTATCGTCAGGATTGATCTCAGGGTATATATAGCGAACATTGCCATTAGCGTCCGTTTCTATCTTATAGTTCGGCTCTTCGCTGGCATCAGTAAAACCCCCAGCGTCATCCTTAGAAGGTGTAGTGAAAGTTCCCCCATTTTTTGAAAGGAGTGAAAATTCTGTATCGGAAGGCACCTCGTCACTATCGAGTTCGTCCTCGTCCTCCTCATCACTGCTGAAGTCTCCGATCAATTCGATTTCAGAGTCGGTCACATCGTCGGAGCTATCGGAGCCATCCAGACCCTCAAAGGTATGCTCGTCCCCGGACGTAATGCCAATATCCTCGTCCACATCTTTCGTTATTGCCTTTCGCTTTTTTGAGCCCTTTGATGACTCCATTGTAGTCTGCTGTGCCGAAGCCAGTGCTCACGCCCTTCGCAATGCTGTGATTTTTCTAAAAATTTATGAGATCGGATAAATAAAATGCCGTTTTTTTTATGGTGTTAATTGCGGTTTATCATTCATGCGAAGAGATTCCGTGCTTAGTAATATGACTAGGTAGTTACCTTGTTAATCTACTTCCAAGGTTTCCTAATTTAGGATATCGACGGCAGCTCATGGGCAATACTATTCTGCGAAATATCTTGAATACCTTTAGTGGAATCGGACGCCCGCAGCATCGAAAGAACACTAGTTTTGAAACAAAAGTTCGCCTCTCTATACACAATACCAACGAGACCGGCGTTCTTACAAGCTAGCCACTGGTTTCCATCCATTCTCTCCAGCGAAACGCCTGTAATTGCATGGACTTTTGATAGCGAAGGGGTGACTGCAATATTGGTGGTTTAGGCTTAATACTATGGCTACTAACTTAGATCACCCCGCCGCTTGGTTTGACCAGATCATATCTTTATCCTTTCCGAATTCAAATGCATATGATGTAGGAGATCTACCTAAGCGTCATACCGCCTGTGACGAATGTCGTAAGTTGATACGTTGTTGCCATGATCGTACCGCGATACATTTTCTACCCATATGCCAACATCTGGGCTCTAGGACATCGCAAACTGAAATGTTCCGGAGAGGCGATTGGCTGCAGTCGCTGCTTAAAGCAGTCACTACACTGTCACTACTCCCTCCAAAAACAAATGGGTCGTCCACCGAAGCGAAAGCGAGCTGATGGTGCTCAGGACGGTTCGTCAACCATGACGCAGGACGACAGCGCAGTTGCGGATTTGCTTCCAGTTCTTGACTCTATTCCTGACCCTGTGGGAGCTTTGGAAGCTTCCAACATGTGCCCGTCGATTTACAAGTCATTCATGAAAAACCAATACAACCTGAAGGCTGGACCTTTTGTTACAAATGGGCCGATATTTGAGCCCGAAACTTCCCTACAGGAGCCAATCGCTGAGTGGATACCAGAAAATCCAGACTATTCACAGATCAATACTTCTATGTTGTTCCAGTCTTCTCTTGATTCGACTTTCCCTCAAGTAACTCCCCCCACAATGGCATCTTGTTCTTGCCTATCTTATCTCTACTTATGCCTCAGCTCTATATCAACACTATCCTCATTTCCTCTCTCAGTCCACACCTTAACAACATTATACAATGCAGCTCGCACTGCAAAAGCCGTGATATTTTGTGAGGTATGCCCACGGGCATTTAACACCTCAATGCAAAATCTCATGCTCCTTGGGACACTTTTAAATGTGGTTGCAGATGCATGGCTTGTTGTATCTGGAAAAGATCCTGAGGCTTTGGGTACCGTCAGCGTCGATCCATCGCACCTCTCTTTGTTGCCCAACGATTCGGAGCTTCGCCGGGAGCACTGGGACAAATGGTTACGTAACGTCATAAAACATGCCGTGGTTGGAAGCAGTGTGCCGCCGATTGTTCAGGCAGTGCAGTCCCAGTGCATGAGTACGCCAAGCCTACTCTCTTTGGTCGAGGATCTTGAAGAGAGACAACGAAGGCGCCATGAAGACCTCAAGGCTGGGAGGGAACCAATGGATGCGCTAGTAAAATCATCAATATTATCAAAGTCTTACTATAAAGAAGATGATGAGCATGATTATTTCTGCTTGAGGGTAATTGGTAGTGTGAGGAAGGTGATCGCGAGGTTTAATTTCGGTGATGAATGTCAACCGACGACGGTTATATAGTAGAAGCCATTATTCATTGAGTCATTCTTGACGAAACGGTCATAACCGTGACGTTTGTTACAATTGCATGTATCTGTTTAGTTAGATTGTCCATCCTAAAAATTCAACCTGCGATACCCATTGTGCGAAAAAGGCACTGAAGCTGCGTTACTCGTAAAAGGCATAATACCCATGAGGAAAAGCATCCGTCTTTAACTCCGCGGATCAAATATTGCACAAAGGGTTCCAAATTGAAAATCGTGGCATTATGCGGAATCTCGATATGATATGTTTATTTATTATTCCTCGTCAGATTCCACCACATATCTATTCTTTTTTCTAGCAGGGGGTGTGCCAGCCTTACCCATCCCCGAGTCTGAACGGGTTCTGTCCTCGTCTTCTTCTAATGGCCGTTTCGGCGACCTGTCCTTCTCCCGAGTAGCCATTTTATGTGATGTAGAAACCTCGTTGTCTGTTTCTCCTTCAGCTTCAAGGTTATCATCTTCGAGTATTTCTTCCTCATCTTCATCATTCCCTTCAATCTCAAGCTCCTCGTCACTGCGAACTAGAAAACCGTCATCCTCATCGTACTCATCTTCACGAGTCCGGCCCCTGCGCCCATATTCTTCTTCATCGTCGGTATATATTTCTCCTCGACGATTGGGTTTCCGTTTGGGCTTCTTGCCGGCACCACGTCCCCTAGTGGCAGGCATATCATCGCCCTCCAAACCAGCAATCGTCAGCCCCGCCCCTCCTGTTCTGGACGGTAGGCCCACCCGTTTTCCGCGATCAAGGTCTCTATCCGCAGCGAGCTGTCGCCTGCGAGCTTCGCGGATCTTTTCTCGCTCTGCCTGTTCTGCTTGCTTCTTAGCTAGTTCGGGATCCTCTTTAATATCAAACATGGCGACGGAGCCATCAGGATTCTTTCTGCTTGTTCTGGTTGCAGCAGCAAGGGATGCCTGTAGCCTCTGAACGGCATCGTCCGTTTCCATTGTTGTGGGAAGAACCGAGATTTGGCCGGTAAGGTGTGTGGTTATTCGAATGATGGAAGAGGTTTCTGCTGCTGCTGCCAGGTACACATGTGAGTCCATCTCGGAGTCATAATCGCCAGTTTTAGTTGAGTTGTTTGATCTTGCAAGAGGTTTTAGAGGCATTCTATATTGTTCTGTTGGGTTTGAAGCAAGCTGGAGCGTCAAGGAGCCATCGGACCATTGAATTATGCGGGCGTTTGATTGAAGGGTATGCCCATCATTTGGGTCATAACGCCAACAGAGGGAGGTTGAAGCAGAAGAAAAAGGCGGTGCAACGTATGTTTCAGGATTGAAATCTTCGGATTCAATCGACAGGAAATTAGGCATGCTTAGAGTATAATACTGGTGAGAAATAAGTCAGTGGGAGCAATGGGAAAAGTATAGATGAAGAGACAGTCTGAACAAACCTGTCCATCCGTAGATTCTGGTTCTGCCGTTCTACCGAGACTAAGATCCATGATATTAACTGTTTCGCTGTAATCGCCACCATTATCGTCCATGGGCGAAGCACGCCTGTCCCAGCGGCCTTCGTCATCCCCCGAATCGACCTCTTCATCGTCGATTTTTCTTCGCGGATGCCTGTGATTCGTCAATGCGATTTTCATTCTATGTAGAGGGGTCTTGAGAACGTACTCATGGGCATCTTCTCCAGCATCAGACCCAAAGAGATCATCGTCATTGTCTAGGTCTGGTGTGCCCTCATCCAATACTAACGATTTTTGACTTGCAGGGGACTCATTTTCAATTGTATCTATAATATCGTCGCCATCGCCTTTGGAAAGGAGCTGAGGACTTGCCGCAGCCGATGACATTTTGATTGAGGCGCGTTGTGAGAAGTTATGGTAGCAGTGGAGAGAGGAGTGTTAATATAAGGGGTGCCAATTATTCAATTTATGTAGGGAGTTACCATTGGTCAACACTGCATTGATATCTGTAACACAGTGGGCCTGTATTCTGTACACCCATCCTTTTCTTGACGCTCTGCAGCTTGATGAAGCTCTCGCAACAACTTCTCAGTCGCAGCCGTTCACAATAAATACGCTAAACCTGAACTGCCCTAGTGCTCCCCACCATCAATCAACGGAGGTTTGTGATATTCCGTGCCGGCATTTACTGCTACCCCAATTCTCCCCTGATCTTCTCCTGTTCTCCTGTCATGGAATGCTTGGTGAGCATTCACATTCTTTCTTTCAAAAGCAGGGGTGTATCTAGTCACAGTACTTGATTTTTTAGGGCTGAAGCACTGGTAGTTCTTGTTAACGCTGAGCGACAACTGACCTTGAATTATGGCGACATTCTTTCAGAGCGTGTATGTGGTACCTCCTGCGTCCTAGCTCAGTCTTACCTTTTTTCTTGGTAATTTTTATTGAAATTTTATGGAATTCCGCTTGTTTTTGCTTCATGATTTTGTCCATTTGAAATCACTGCTCATCCGAGTTTGGGAATGCTCTACTGACTCCTTTGTATCAGCCGTCAGGGATTCGGTCGCGGTGGAAACAAGAACAATAATTCTTCAAAAACAGGAAATGGCCAGACAAGCTCCCAACCACCACCGAACCCTCCGAACCCTCCGAACCAACCTCCAGGCGGGAACCAGCCAGCTGCTTCAAATGTTGGGATGGAGAATCCGGAGCGGGAATCCATTAAATACTTCTTCCAAGAGAAATATGCTCCTCTTAATGTCAAGGGGAATTTTTTAACACTATGTGCATGTCCGAAGAATGTGGAACTTGGAGAATGGCTGGCCCATCAAAGTACGTCACCTGTTCTATCTGTGTTTTAGAATAGGTATATTAAGGACCTGACTTCTGCGTAGTTGTGGAGCAAAACCGCCTTCTTCATGGCATGCTTCAGGTTGTTCAGGAAGTCAATATTAACACTGGACTTCCAATTTGCAACGAACTTACATGTCCTACCATGTCTGCTGGAAAGTGCGTGTTTTCCACTAGGGCAGCCTCTACTAATTCTGTACTGACATTGCCTATGACAGCCTTACATATACGTGGCTTGTTGACGGCAAAGCAGCAAAGATATCCGCCCCGAAGTTTATCAATCGAGTCGAGAAGTGGATTGTGAGCAAAATCCATGATCCTGTCATGTTCCCAACTGAACAAGTGACATCTGCTCCAACAAATTTCGCTATTGCTGAGCTTAACAATACACCTGGTGGAGCGGCATCACTAAATCTTGCGAACCCTACTTCAAACAGCGCAACAACTCAGGACTGGATCGGCAAGTCTAGTGGCTTCCCGCAAACATTTTATAAGGATTGCCAAGGAATTATGAAACAGATGTTTCGCTGCTATGCGCATCTTTATCATGCCCACTGGGAAACCCCATTTTGGCATATCAACAAACATGAAGTGCTAAACATGTGTTTTGTTCACTTTGTCACAGTGGCCAAATATTATAAACTTGTTGCAGATAAAGAGATGGAGCCTATGCAGCCATTGATTGATATTTACATTAAGCAGGAGAAAATTCCTCCTGAAGCACTTGCTGGCCACTGGGCACAATTACCTGCTGCTGCTTCTGCTATGGCCCCCCAAGCATAACCATTCCACCAAATTATCTCTGATGATACCAACTGGGCGTTTTCATCTTTCAAGCTTTCTTCATAATGCCGATAAAGGAAACGATTTGTCTTTCTATACTTTTTTTTTTTCTTGGGCGTTAGAGCGCTGATTTGGGTCCGAAGAATAAAGACTCAGCCGGATGAACCATGCATTTAATTACGGTGTTAGTCTGTCGCTGTGGGGAAATGGGCCACATCTCATGCTGTTTTGTATGACATCTCTGTTGTTGTTTCGAGGCTCATATCAGTCAAAACTACACAAAAAGGATTCCTCTGTCGATAGGTCCAAATACAAAAACGCGGGCTTTTTTTCCACTGCTGTCTTGAATTATTCTGATGCCCAGCTGACTTGTTCAGAATTCATTTCCAGGATATTCTCAAGCTATCCTTTGCCATGTAGAAGTAAGATACTGTTTTCTTGTTGGGGGGTCTTCCGCACCCCTAGGGTCAAATGACCATAGATATCACAATTCAGAGCAAAGAGTCTCGCGATTCAGCAAGGTATGATCTCGTGTTCTAATAGGAACAGAGTTTTTGAGCGTTTCTCCATGTTTTTGGTAAAGATACGTCTTAAAGATAAATCCCCTCCTCGGGATCCATGCTTGCTTCACCGCAGTTTCCCTCTGTGCGAGAGCCTTCAGGGCTTTGTTGAGATACTTCATTCATTCGAGCTGGGCTAGCCGACGCATTCGCAGGCTGTCCTGGCTGCGGGGTAGCATCTGTAATGATAAACCCAACATCATCTTCTTCAACGTTAGCCTCGGCTCCATTTGGTTTAGGCGACCTTGTTCCATCTAGCTCGATCCACTGCTGCCCTCGGGTTTCTACCTCGGCTTTGACCAAGTCTATGCGCTCAAGCATTCGTTGGATGACAGTCTCGTTCTCAGTTATAGCATTTTCACAAACTTCATCACCATCAGAAAGCGATTCGACATATTCTTTAAGCGCGACAATGGACCGCTCGAGATGCGTGATCGAATTGCGGAGCTCTGATACTTTCGCATAGAGTGAAGGTATAGTAAGGTCTTTTATTGCGGCTGCAAACGCAACAGGAGAAATAGGAAGAGACTCTGCAGACATTGTATTTAGCTGTTCCTAATTTCCCTTCTAAATCTGTAAGTATACTCCGTAGGAAGGCTTGTTATTGTTGATTGTTGCATTCATCAAAGAGGTTAAGTTGCCTACCAGCTTCGGCAACAGGTCCAAAGTTCGGCATTCGGAATATATATTTATCCCCCTTACCTCGACTTAGCGTCCATTTTGAACTAAAGATTGAATAGCGATTCGGCTTTTGGGAGCGGGCTTTTGCTAATTGTGCTGAATGCTTTCGCTAGAAGGGACTAAGTGTTGCGTTTTGAAATATTCCGTAATACAACCCTTGCAAGCTATTGAAGCTTGAGAAGTCGCGAGACCAGGAAAAATGAACAATGGGTTGTTAACGTGGAGGGTGCCTTGGACAGCGATTCGGCCTTCTTTTCGATCAAAGACCCCCCCCGACTCTTTAAATCGCTCTCGTTTCTTTTGTCGCCATTGGCCTCCTCCTCAGAGCTGGCAAATCGCAGCAGCACCTAATGTGAATGATACCGCCCAGAGACACTGGTCTCCCGCTACGCGCAAGTTCCCATTACACCCCCCCAAGCGCCCTTTTAATAAATCCTCTCTACTCCTTTCAGGCTCGTTCTCCAAAGGCCAACAGAAGCAGGAAGAAGGAACTCCATTCCAATCTCGTGAACTTTCGCACTCTGAACTGTCGCGGATATTTGGAACGCCAAGGATTCCGCCTGCTTTCGGCAATCGAATTCTTCGTGTTCTTCATGGGCGACGTGTAGCGGGTACCCTTGACTTGGACTTACCACCAGATATAGTGAAGGCACTGCCGCAACATGTTCTTGATGACGGTCTGAAATGGCTGCGTGTCAACTTCCCTCTTGATGAGGATGCGGCTATTATCAAAAGAATTGAGAGGGAAGAACAAGAGGAAGAAGAAAAGCTAATCAAACGCGCGGAAGACTTAGGTATATATAAACCTCAGAGCGGGAGATTCGGTGCGGAAATTGAGAAAGAAGGGGATGTATATGGCCGTAGCATTCTTCAAGAAATAAGAAGAGAAAACGAAAAGGTTAACAAGCGAAAAGATGAAGATGAGAGACGGGAGTGGCTGGAATCAGAGGCAAAGGAGAAGGAAAACCTCAGGACCTCGATACAGAGGAGCACTGAGCTTGCGAAGTTTGAAGCGTCGGCTTTGGAAGAAGGTAGGATGTCTAAGTTTTTGTCAAAGACAAAGGCTAAGTCATATACATATGTATTGTAGCCCGTCCACGTGCCGATCCAGAGCAACGTCCTGCTTTGGCATGGATTCAAAAGCACCATTTACGTGCTACAGCAACAAACATAGATACGTCGAAAATGACTACAGTCAGTCTTGCCCTACCCTATACCTGGCAGAGCGCTGACGTAGCCCGCAGTCGCGCCGTATATTACCCTCACTCGGCGTCGCGATTTTAACTGCCAGTCTTTGCTATTTCTACTCAGAAACATACCAGCCACCAGCTCGGGAAAACCGTATACTCCCATCATTTCCCCCCGCGGCAGCGACTGTGATAGGCCTTATTGGGGCCAATGTAGCAGTATTTCTTCTATGGAGAGCATTTCCCCCTGCATGGAGGTTTCTTAATAAATTCTTCATCAGTGTGCCGTTATATCCTTACTCTTTAAGCAGCATAGGGTGCGTCTTTAGTCACCAGCAGCTACGGCACTTAGGCGCCAATATGTGCATTCTTTGGTTTGTTGGAACCAAATGTAAGCCCCGTGGGCCTTATTCTCTTGCTGGTTGATGACTTACTTTCATGCAATCTAGTACATGATGAAGTTGGCCGGGGAAATTTCTTAGCGCTGTACCTTTCCGCCGGTGTCTTTTCTTCCATAACATCACTCATGGCTCATGTTCTCGGTAACAAATTAACAGTGACGTCCCTTGGAGCTAGCGGTGCGATTTCGGGCTTAGTTGCCGCCTGGTGCTTACTTCATTCTAAGTTTGTCTTCTTTCCTTTTATAAGAAAATGTAATATTTGATCTAATATAATGTCTAGTGACAAACTTACAATTGCGTTTCTCCCGCGAAACTGGCAAGAGATGTTCTCCGCCAATGGGAGTACTTTTCTTGCAGTAATCGTACTTGTGGAAATCATCACCCTTGTATCGCCATTCAGAATAGCTTCCATGGATCATTGGGCACATTTAGGCGGGTATGCTACGGGTGCCGTTGTTGGGTGGCTGTGGAAAGAGAAGAGGGAAAGGGACCGGAAGAAGAGCGTCTGGCAAAAGTTCCTAGACGGATACCACTGATTGCTTGCGCCAGCACAGATGTAGTTATATGCACCCCTCCCCCGTATAAAACTAGAATATATAAACTGTATTATATCAAAACTTCCTTGGGGTTTGCATTGAATCTTTCTGATTTCGAGCGACCTTTTTGCTGACTACAAAAGATATCTAGAAGAATGATTCTTGAAATCATGAATTCAGATAATTTTAGCGCTGCTATACATCAGTAAATACAGAGAATTCCTTATCACAACGCTTTCACAGCCTATGCACGCAAATATAGAGTGATTACATATTCAGGCTATCTATTTTCAGAGATAGGTCTTAAGAGAAGTTCTGGGAGACATTTTATCATGGATTTTGTGAAGTGTAGGTAGTCCAAAATTGTCGACACATACAAATAAGATTTCGTACCAAAAGTTAACTATATGCTTACGTAACTAGCGTCGGACCCCACGGGACTGACAAGAACGACAAACCTTGGATTTTGTTCACGAAAATTTTCCTGTACCTTGTCCAAGGTGCTTGGTGCTTGGAGAACAGAAGATGGCGTCGAGTACTTGACAATGTCGAAGATGCTGGGAATGATGCTGAACAAGACATGGATGGTCATGGAGAAAGGTGAAAAGGAATCCACTCTGCGGGACCTTCAAACTATCTTGTATCAATTCCGGGAGCTATATGCCCCAGCCGGTGCTTTGATCAGGCCCATTGAGGTGGGGAGGGGTGTTGCTAATTGCAGGGTATGCGATACTAAATTTGGTGGGCCATTCAGGACTGAATTATGAAGAATTCAACAAATGGCTGGTATCCTTGATACTCCTCAAGTCTCCACAGTTTGATTCTTCATTCATTCTACTTGGAGATGATTCAAAGTTTCCTGAAATGTAACCACCAGCTACAATCATCATGACCTCAGACTTCATAATATTCTAGTGGAAAATGGTTGGATTACAGTGATTATTGATTTTGAGTGCTCGATGCTACCTGGAATACTGGGAGTATCTTAAGATGATGCAATTTCCACATGAACCTCTATCTACATACTTTGTACGGCTTTGCCGGGGAGATGGCGTGAAGTGGGAAGAAACCCAGAGATGAAAGCCATTTGATCTTGAACATCGGTCCCAATACTTGTCTCTTTCTTGAGCTTATGAGAGACATCCGCCCCTTCCGACCAGACCGACCTTAAAAATTCTCTCAAGAGAGCGCCACTTTATTCTAACACGCGATTTTCCATATATCAGCGAGGTGGATAACTAAAACAATCAGTCAAAGATGCGGGGTCTCAACTGCCCGCTACATCGAAGTTGCTTAAGAGCATATCCACGTGTGCTGAGTCCACGTCCAATTGGCACATCCTGTGCAAAATGTCATTTATTTCCTTCCCAATCATCCTGGCCGCCTCCGAAGAAAACACCTGTTCGTCGTACATTACTCTAATGTTATGAGAGTCAATGGATTTGCTTATTTCGATCACCAACGAGTATGGCTGGTACATTGTTATCTGGGAACCCTTCATCTGAACCCACTTCACATTTTCCGGTTTGCTTGGTGCGGGCTCGAAGGGTTGGAAGAGGAAGAGTACTTTATTGGTTATTTCTGACCGTGACAGGCCAGCTACTGCAAATATTTCATCCAAGCTGAGGCTACTATGCTCTGTCAGCCCCCAGAAATCTGCCTGTGTTGTGGCAAGGTACTCCTGCAGCCTATCTGCTTGGCGTATCTTACTTCTAACAGGTAGAAACTGTGCGCAATTGCCGTTGATTAGCTGTGGATCACCTTCAATTTCCACGTTGCGCCCTGTCAAAAGATAATCGTAGCCGATGTCTTCCATTTTGGTGTACTGCGCCAACCACAGCTGAAACGCCGACTGAAAAATTATTGGTACGGTCACCCCATACTGGGCTGCGCAGTTCTCGAGGTCAATGTCCACCTTTGTAACCTGGAATGCAACGATGCGTGGCACCTGACTGGCCGGGAATTGGAATGAGTAACCCCGAAGATACTCTGTCCAAAACTCCATACTTTCTTTTTTTGGTCTCCCCCAGTGGTGTAACGCAAAGTGGACGAAGGGAACATACTCGGGCATTGAAAATCCACCCTGGATTGCTTGAAATTGTTCATCAAAAATGCGAAGCAAAGTGCCGTCATATAAAGCATGGTCCATTTTAATGGCGATTTCTCGAGTTCCATCTTCATAATTGAGAATAAGATAGCGGATGAAAGGTTCTCCAAATTCGAATCGTTTGTTCCACAGTTTCTCTTCCACTATTGCTTCGCTCTCTCCCCGAGAACATGATACTCTGTCAACTAATAGCTCTGCCGAGTTTAAGACAACTGCAACCCAATCATGACTTTCAGTTTGCAAGTACGTTGACCGGAGGATCCCATTAATACGAGTGAGCCTTGACACATATGACAGCCATTCATCGATATCGACTGAAGATGGTATCGCTCGAACCGTCATGAGCACCCAAAATTGCTCTTTTCGTTGGCCCTGGCTAAGGAACTCCACTTGTCCTGGAGGGCAGGGAAACACGTCCTCGATTTTCTGTGATGTAAGTCCTCTCTCTAACAGCTTCATTTCTAGCGATTCCGGCGGGTTATATTTTGTCACCTTCGCGCTTGCCATCTCCTGATTGGCGGTCATACGACTGGAAATCTTGTCAAGAGTTTGTAACTGCAGAACATCACTGACAGACAACTTATATCCTGCCTTTCTGCATATGCTAGTCATGCTGATTGCTGAGATGGAGTCGCCGCCCATTCTGATGAAACTTGTGTTTGCTCCGATTGCTGAAGTGCTAATGGTGAAAATATTTGCCCATATCTCTTGTAGTATCCTTTGTTTCTTTGTTGTCACAGGCTCCAGAGAAGTGGCCTTTGTTTCAAAAGCATCTATTGAGTATTTTTGCAGCGTATCCAAGTCGATGCTTTGAAAAATATTTCCCAGCTGTTTCCTGTCAGTCTTCCGGGATGGTAGTGCTGGGAACCGGCCCATTGGGATAACGTATTTCGGGACCATATAATGAGCCAACTCTGAGAAACAGCTTTTCAGATTGATAAGTTCCTGCCGAACGCCCTCGATATTCTTTACGACATTTTCTGTGGACTTCTCAAAAATCACAAAAGCAGCAAGAACAGGTTTACCGTTGCAGTTGGCAACTACTGTGGCGCAATCTTGGACCATGCTGCATCGAAGAATTACGGCCTCAATCTCGCCAAGCTCAATGCGATGACCGGATATCTTCACTTGGTTGTCTTTCCGACCCAAACACTCAATCTCGGCTCCTGGAAGCCATCTAGCAAGGTCTCCGGTACGATATATTATAACTCCATCCTCCATACGAGTGTATGCCTCTTGGGTCAAGTCATCTCTATTCAGATAGCCACTCGTCACTTGTGGCCCAGCAATACAAAGTTCACCAATCGCGCCATATGGAACATAGGTTATATTGTTGGGATGACATATCCTTGCCGAAACCGTCGCAAATGGCTTTCCAATATTACGTGGATTCGTGTCCTGCCGCACATGCTTTGTTGTCACCACCATTGATGTCTCCGTTGGACCATATACGTTGAGAAGTCGACGATGGGAAGCCCAAGTTTGAATGATGTCTGGTGTCATCGGCTCTCCACCAAGTATCAACGTTTCAAGGGAAGGTACCATATCAGGAGTGAACGTTCGTGCAACTGTTGGCGTGAGGATTGCCTGCCTAATATCCATACTTTTCATTGACCCTTCAAGGTCTGAAAGCAACTGATCCTGTGGTGCCAAGCACAGGACTCCACCAGAACTTAGAGTGTTAAAGAAATCTTGAACTGAGGCATCAAACACGTAATTGGCGAATTGAAGACATCTCCATTCTGATTCGAATCGACTTTCGGCATCAAGCATACTCCCCACAGCGGCTGCACTTGCCCGGTGTGAGACCATTACGCCTTTTGGTTTTCCCGTGCTGCCAGATGTATAAATAACATATGCTAAATCATCAGGAGACACAAGGCACGCTGGTGGTTGTGTGGGGAATTTTTCGAAGCTTAAGCTGTCGATATACACTGCTTGTTGACCGACGGATTCCACGAACGAGGCATTGGCAGAATGGGAAACAATCAAACGCGCCCGGGTTTGCTCAATTATGTATGAGTTACGCTCGAAAGGGTTACTTGGGCTCAAAGGCAGATATGCTGCCCCACTCTTCATCACACCCAGTAACGCAATCAACACGTCCGCGGTTTTTTCCAGGTACAGAGGCACAATATCCCCCCTTTTCACTCCCTGTTCTATCAAGTGGTGAGCGAAAGAGTTTGCGCGGTGATTCAGCATTCTATATGTCAGCAACATTTCGTTTTTCCACTGCACGGCTGCTAAATGTGGGCTTGCACACGCAAGATCCTCAAATCGCTGGTGCAGTAACATTGGTTCTGGTTCGACGTGCTTCGCAAGACTTTGAAGATGGCTTCGCTCTTCCACTCCTATGATATCGATTTCTCCACATTTCAGACCTGGCGTACTCCGGATAAACACCTCGATAACCCGAATGAATTCATCTATAATGAATTGTGCTCTTTTCGTTTCCATTCCGGCGGAAAATTGACAGCTCAAGCCGCCATCATGTTCTTCGATATCAAGTGACGCGTATTCGACCTCCCAAGGCTTCCTGTCTCCCACATGTTGGAAAATACTTCTTGCTTCTGGTTTCATATTCCCATTCACGATGATATTGACCAAGGAATCAAATGCATCGGCATTCTGCGCTGCAGCAGACATTGCTTGTCGCATCCCATACTGGGAATGCTTTGCCACACTCCAGAGATTCCTATGGGTCTCCTTAACAATCTCCACAAAGGACTTCTCAAAGTCAACGCGGATTCGTTGTGGGACCGTGGTGAGAGTGGGGCCCGCCATTTCATCGATGCCAGGAACAGGTAGCTCTCTGCCTGACAACGGTGTGGCAAAAGACACGTCCTCATTACGAGTCTGATGCGCCAGTACTAGAGCCCAAGCTGAATATATCACGGCACCCGTAGTGATACCCAGGCTCTTGCATTTGTCTCTCAACGTCATATTAACCTCTTTTTTGATTGTTGCTCTAGGGTGCTTGTTATCGTGGCCCAGCAAGGTTACGGTGGCCCCGGAAAGATATTTTTTCCAGAATTCGTGGTGCTGCTCAGGCTCTGTTTTTTGCAACGCTCTGATAAAATGTGTAAATGGTGGCCTTTCGGATAATGTTCCCCTGAGATATACACTGGCAACGTCATCATACAGGAACCGATGTGACCAAAAGTCAAACAGTGCGTGATGCATAGAAACAACAAGAAAGCGTCGTTGTACTATGGCCACTCGGAAAAGAACTTCGCCCAAAGTGATGCCTCTGTCGAGATCATTCTTCAGGTATATCTCAACACTGTGATCTATTTCATTCCATGGCAGTGAGATATCGTGCCGAACGACTTGCATTAGGTCGCACTTCTCCTCCAAAAAAACCGTTCTTAATATTGGAGTTGCCTCAAAGACCGAGTTGAATGCTGATTTTAGGCGACTGAGTTCTAGTTTTTGGGCGTCATACACTCTCTGTGACAGATAACCACTGTTTCCTGAAAATGTCGAAGCAATGAGATTTTTCTGGAGTTCGGTTGCAGGATAGGCATCTTCTATTCCTACTTCATTTTGAAGCATAATTCTCAGTCTTTTGTCAACAAGCGAAAAAGGTACTGGGTTCTCAAATTCGGCTTCCAAGGTTTCTGACAGCGCCCCTGCAACCTCTGTCAAACTTGTTGCCCGGATCATGACCTCAAGTTCCACAACAAAGCCCTTTTTGCGAAGCTCTGTAACAGAGTGGATAGCTTGAAGTGAGCTACCGCCAAGCTCGATAAATGAGCTGAGTCTTGAAATAATACCTTGTGGAAGGTTGAGAATGGTTGCCCACACCTCTCTGACTGCGGATTCAGCAATGCTCCAGTCGCTGGACAGTCCATCTGAAGATGGTCTTGCATTGTATGCCAACAACCCTTCTGTTCCGAGTTTATCTGCTCGTTCTCTGATCGCTTTATAATCCGTTTTTCCGTTTTGATTGCGAGGAGCTTTTTCAAAAGGAAGCCAGTATGCTGGATGCATATACGAAGGAAGATAGCTTTGAACATGAACCCTTAAGTGTCCAAGAGTTTCAAACCAATCTTGTTCTTTTTGAAGGACAACAGCAGCAATAAGCATCTTCACTCCCTTCATGGAGTAAGCAACAGCCGCCGCAAAGGAGACTAGCCCACTCTCAACAATGATGGAGGAAATTTCATGGGGTTCAACCCTCTGGCCGTTTATTTTCACCTGCGAATCAATGCGACCCAGAATTTGGATGTCCCCATTTGCATGTTCCATACCCAAATCGCCAGTTCTGTAAAGCTTCCCGGGGCCATGCGGATTGTCAAAAAATACCTTTGCAGTAGTTTCTGGCTGTTTTAGATACCCAATACCGAGCTGGGGCCCCGAAAGACATATTTCTCCCGGGACACCAACAGCTACTGGGTTTGTTGATCCAGGCTGCAATAAATATACCTTTGTTGTATCCTTGGGTCGTCCAACTATACTAACATCCCTGGCACTATGGATTGTTCGTCCAAAATTCAATTGTGTGCATTCGCTGAGCCCATAGGAATTTCTAAGCTCAACTGCCTTTGCCCAGTCCTCAGCTAAGTCACCTGGGAGATTTTCGCCTGTCAAGGTAATTTGCTTTAAATTGGGCACATCACAAGGGTGAAGAAGGGATAGAGAACTAGGCGTTAACCCAACGCTATCTATCTTCATATCACAAATAACACTTCCAAGCGACGTCAAAAGTCGGTCCTTAGACGCCATGCAGACACAGCCCCCATTAACCACGGTGGCAAGCATTGCTCGCTGTGCCGCGGAGAAGATAGGGTTATAAAATAGCAATATTCGTTTATTTCCACGCAACGAGAAGCTGGATATACCGTTGAATGCTGCGAGGTGGGTAAGAATTACCCCCTTGGGCTTTCCTGTCGACCCTGAAGTGTAAACAATATATGCAGGATCGCTAGGGGAAATTTGAGTTTTCGGTGCCTTTTTACTCGTTGTGGATGAATCATGGCACTGAATGATATCTTCGATGCATAGTGACTTTGGAGTAAAATATTGTGTATTCCTGTCTGCAAGCACAACCTTTGCCTCGGTTTCCTCAACAATGACGGCATTCCTTTCCGGTGCTCCATCTGGGTCGAGCATGACATATGCTGCACCAGCTTTCAGAACGGCCCACATAGAAGCAATCAAAACCGGCGATTTTACCATGCAGATTGGCACTATGCTTCCTTGTTGCAAATTTGCCCCGTTGACAATTTTATTTGCCAATTCGTTTAGTTGCGATAATGTGACAGCCGGTTGGCCTTCGAACTGCACGGCATCATGGTCAGGGAATACTCGGACCCGTTCCTCAAATAAGTCAATGAGTGTTCCAGATCTGGCTGGGATGGTATCATCACTTTTTTGGAGCCTACCGGCTGTTTCGGTATTCGACTCCAAACGTAAATCCTTAAGCAAGATATCGGCGGACTGACTCTGAATAACTCCTTTCACAATTGCCAGATAATGATCTAAGAGAATTTGTGCATTTTTGTTTCCCACTGTTTCATTGAAAAATAAAGTGAAGCGGACTTTGTGGCTCCCACTGACTAGCATCACTAAAGGGAAAGTCGACATTTCCTTATCAAAGTATGAGAAGTCCAACGTGCTCGTGTACCGTATGAGAGATTGAATGCTTGATAGATTACTGATTTTCAGAATTTCGTCGAGCCCAATCGTGGAATGGGGCGATGCGTTGGTATGATAATCCCGAAGATTGTCGACTATGGAAGACAAATGAGAATTTTCGTATATCCGCAGCGAGATTGGGTAAACATGATCCACTCGACCGACACAAGCATCAATGTTCGAGAAACTCTTATCTCTCCCAATCCCCGCAAAGACAACCTGCTCAGAGCCAGAATGAAGTGCAAGTAAAGATGCCCAGGCTGCTTCAAATAATTCCCGAGGCGTGTCATCGGGCATCTGGAGACCACTCTCTGGGTAAAGACCCTCTAATGTAATGGACTGATAAGCATGAGAAGCTGCAGAACTAATCTGGTCGAGGAACAAGATCGGGGAAACATCAATATGTTGAAGTTTTTCCTGCCAAAACTGTCTGCTGACTGCCTGGTCTTTCCGAGCGATATGCTGAACAAAGCTGGCGAATGGCACATGATCCGCACAGGGAAAACCGCTGTAAAATAGAATGAAATCGGTTTTGATTGTGCCTAGGGAAGTGGCATCAACAAGAACTTGAGGAATACACAATATTGCTAGGACATCAACTTCTTTTTGCGTCTCGCCTTCAACATAGGCTAAAAATGCCGTGTTTTCACAGAAGGATATCTCAAAGTCGAGTTTTGTCAGGGGGAGCGGCCGGGGAATATCCATTCTTACACGATGTAATGCTCTGCCCGTCTCCGGGGATAGGAAGACGGAGCTTCGCAGACAAACATGATGGGCCGCGACGGCCTGCCATGTCAGCGACAGTCGGTCATAAGAATATTCGATATAATCGGGAAGTGCTATCGTCATGAAGAAGAATTGCTGGGCTGAAGAATAAAATCGTTCTTGGGAGGGTGTAGCAGGGTACATGGTTTCCTTGCGCAAAATAATTTTCTCCACTGCATCTTGAGATATCGATTCCTTGTGAGTCCGACTGAAAATTGGACCGGCGGGGATCCTATTCGCAATGGCTTGGGGTGACATTGTTTCAACGTTCTTCAACTTAGATGGGGATATGTCTGTTTCTACTTCTACTCATGGCCTAGGTGGCGGTATTTATACCTTTTGTGGTCTTGAGAGCTTGAATCCTACCTAGTACCGAGTCTGGTACGTTCGGACATCCCGTCTAACGCTCAAAGTCTCCCGGGATAGGAGACCAGTGCCGCTAGGCACCATGACCCCATACTCCCCGCTGTGAGCGTATACGAGCCGTGGAACGAGACTCGATCAAGCTAGAGGTTTACAAGACGGGGAATACCATTCCGATATGAAGCTGTGCCGTGAGACCCATTAACGTTGCAATTTACCTCCGGTATGAAGTCCGGCAGAACCCATGGAACAAGGCCTCCTTTAGCGAATCTTGCCTGTTCCGCTACGAGCTACGTACGCCCTTAAAGGTTTACTCTCCACCCAATAATCCCTAAAACCACGAGGTTCCCCAAAATAGCACCTGCAGGGATACACACCATACTTTGCAAAGAACCCACACCCCCACATAAATGCTGTTTGATGAAGCAAGATAGTTGTTTCGTCAGGGTGAAAATCATTGCTGTTTCTCAGAAAATTCGTCTAACACACTGTACTATACACCACTAAAATCACACTTAACTATCCATTTTGTCAAAACGCGACCTTTTCCTATGGCTGACCTGATCACAGGGAGTCATTGATTACCCAGAAAAATACTGCTTCTTTTGCCACGCAGTCTGATATTCCCACTTCCTTGCCTCAACTAACTATAGAGTACCCTGCAGAATACGTAATTCGAGACCTCATTAGAGGGGAGATAGTGGACCTGAAAAGAAGTATCTTAGGACTGGATTGTGACGTTGGATATGAAGTTGTTTTCCAATTCTTAGTGCATATCTTGAGCTAATACGAGAAATACTAAGGAAAACAGCGTAACCTAATATCGGATGGCAAGGCAAACCAACACGAGAGGCCGAAACGAAAGAGAGTGTGTTTGGGCCATTTTTCTACAACGATTGCTCTTTTATGGCATCTGAATTGGTTCTAACGGGCTGGCGATTGCTCGGAGGCCACATGAGCGAGGGATTGCGACTTCTGAACCCATGCATATCTTCTTGGCTACATAAATATATCCGAAATTGGCCTGGTTCCTGCTCGCTTGATACACGTGCAATATCAAGGGACAAAGCGACTTTGGAATCAGATCTTCCCACGTATGCATGCGTGGCATGGATGCATGGCATGCATGCATGATTCTGGCACTATATTTCATATTGGCTGTTGGTCCTTTAGTCCCGGCCTCTCCGACAGAAAGAAACATGTTTCTAAACCCCACAGTTGCAATAAGCAAATTTCGGGCTTCGAATACGGATCCATAGCTATGTCCCACGCCACGAATTGCCATTATTTGCCTCTAGAATATAGATTTACATTGTACCTACTCAACATGCATGTTTTCAAGGTTTAGGTTAAGCATGAGATATCAGTTAAGATTAGAACAACCTTAGTGCAAATCGGGAATCACGCCCCCTGCCTAACGAGCTTTGAGTTTAACTAACTAAATAACTACATGCATACGGGTCAGGCATCCTGTGCTGCTAGTTGTCTTTCCTTCTCGATTGCATTTTCATTGTACTTTCTAAGCATGTCCTCCAAACCAGGAATCTCGGGGTCGAAGTCGATTTTCAAGCTATTCATTAGTCGCGCCAGGAGTCCGTATACGCCGTGGATCATCAAAACCTCGAGTGCGGCTGCATTTCCAAGCATTTCACGGGCTTCAATCATGGTAGATTCATCGACTTTCTGCTGTTGGACTAGCTGTTCGACCATCCGTCCGATTAGCTGATGACGTTTTGTGAACCACTCCCTGTTAGAGAGGTCTCCAGCACGGATTGCTGCCAATTTCGCCTCCGTGTCGAACCCCAAAATTTTGGCAACTGGCTCGTTGACGTCGTATTCATACGGAGCATCTAGAAGACTTGCGGTGCGGAGAACGATAAGCTGCCATTCGGAGGCTCGAATGCTGGTATTTTCGCTCCAACAAGAAGATAGTAGTTTCATAAACGGAATAAACGTGCACGGGCTATTTGCTAGCAGCTTAAAAATGTTTCGTTCAAATGGAAGCGTTCGGAGTGCGGCGGCCGTCTCGGGCGGTGCCTTTTCCGCGTCGACATAAGGAATAAGATGTTGGTTTGTGATAACCCGTCTGTTACCCACTCGATGATCCCAAGACGCCATGTTGCGGAATTTTCGGTTAGAAAACTTTGAGCAGACAAAAATATATCTGAATAGAGAGGGTTTGTTGATTGTCTTCAGACTATTGAGAAACGTCTACTAGCCGGATCCTCCACTTTATATACACCTGGGAAAGCTCAAATTATCCTGCCGGGCAGTATGTATTACAAGGTACAAGCGCGATGATTGTTTTCGCCGTTGTCCAGCTCCGTGTTGTTTTGTCAGCCCGGAGATATACCGGTTCCACGTATCAAATGCTATTTTCGATCGGCTCGCCAGGGTGCTCTTCATCCTTGCTATTTCCAAGAAATGACGGTCCCAGCTCCTCTGTATAATCAATACGAAGTAAGGGAAGTAAACACATCGAAACATGTCTCCGTGCAGTAGGGCCATCGGGCCATAGATGAGTCCGATTACACATGGGGTTATCCATCTTGATTTCAAAGACGCTTCGTGTTCTACGGATACATATTCATGCTTCCATCCCCGCGTTGGTTTCCATTCCCACGTTGCACGCTTCTCGACACGCAGGGTATCACTTCGATACGGAAAATTTTGCCCGGCCAAGCAAATACCAAGTTCATCACGATGAGTGCTTTGACTATCCAAGAAGTTTCTCCCTCTGCGGAGAGTAACTTGACGTTTCGGACCTTAACCAACAATGAAGCCATGCTTGAGAAAGAATTGCCGATAGGCCACATTATGGTTGAATTTCTTGCATCCGCCATCAACCCACAAGATTTACTCGTCATGCAGGGAAAATACCCTGTCAAGCCGTCCTACCAAGTTGATGGTGCAATGGTGGTAGGGTACGATGGAGTCGCACGAGTGACTCGTGTTGGGAGTGGCGCGGAGCTTAGCGTTGGCGATTTGGTAATCCCTGCGGAACACGGACTTGGTACATGGCGCACTCATGCTGTTGTGCGTTCTTGCGATTTGACCCGCATTCCTCCTGGTATCGACCCGTGCGCAGCTGCTATTTTGCGGATGGGCGTTTCCCCAGCGTATTTAATTTTGGAAGACATGGCGCACTTGTTGCCTGGGGACTGGATCATTCAAAACGCTGCCAGCGGCGTCATTGCGCAGATGGTAGTTCAATTTGCAAAATTGAAGGGTGCAAATGTCGTGAGCATCATCCGACCACACAATACGGAGGAGGAAACCAACAAACTAAAGCGAGTTCTCGAAGACAATGGATCTAATATCGTCTTAGATGAAAAAGAGCTGGATGTATGCGGAGGGAAAGTTCTGAAGGACCTGCGGATTACGTTGGCTCTCGATGCTGTCTTTGGGCGAGCGGGCAGTACCTTGACAAAGTTTCTTGTTGCCGGGGCCACATTCGTCAATTATGGATCTCTTGGAGAAGATGCACAACAGGGTCTGATGGTCACGCAAGAAGCCCTTTTCTGGAAGCGCATCACATTCAAAAATTTCCGCCTCTCCGACAGTTTAAAGCAACGTTCCTCTAACGAAATCAAGGATATGCTCTCTTGGTTTGTGGATTTGTTCGCTCGGGGTTTGCTAAAGCTGCCATACATGAAGCGTGTTGAGTGGGACCCGAGAAGCCTAGACCTCGAAAATACCTTGAAGCGGGCCGTTTTTCGCGCAGAATCGAAACAAGCCGGTATAGCGAGAAAGCAAGTCTTTGTTTTTCGTTCAGACTGACCATGGAATTCTTGGTTGATAATGTACAGAGTAATATTTCGGGGATTATGCGGAAGACCCAAAGTTAATGCAAGGCCCTGAGAACCCTGTATCTACTGAAGGCTCCAAGATAGCTCAAGAACCGTGCGCTCCAATTCGGAAGACGGAGTAGTCCCTGTGTGTCCCCCATGTTGAGGCTCTTCACAGAATCCCCGTAGATGCATCTCCCAACCGTAGAGAATAATTGCGCTGCAACCCACGCGTTCACGGAATCCGTGGGGCCTGCAGTTGGGTTAGACTAAGGTTGGAGGCTCGGCGCTCTCGGATCGGCTCGGCACGGCGTGGCGCAAACTCTACTGCGTGGGCCCAGGAACAAGTGCCGATCATCTTAGCTAAGCCTTCCAGAACGGCCGAATCGGCTCTGACTTGTTTACGGCATCCGCTGCCTGCTCCGGCCGGAGAATGCCACCGTGCATCTCAGTTGATGCAGGAGTGGCCTGCAGGTTCTGCTCAATGAGTGGAAAGGAACACTAAAAATAACAATGAAAAAAACGTGGTAAAAAAAGTCGCCGCAATTGACCAACTTAAACGGCCCGAGCACCGCCGAATTGCTCCGCGCCGACGGAGACTTTTCCAATAATACAAGTACACAGCAAATTTTCCTCTCGGGGCTCATAACCACACATAATGGAGATTAGTCAGTATGAGCACTCATAGAACTTTCTTTCGATGCAGTGATTGTCTTTTTAACAACCGAAGGAAGCAGCTTGAAGCGGTCGCCAAAGAATTCCACCATCCAATCTGCCGCCCGGCTGCGACTTATCAGATTGATTGCGGACTGCTTCATGCGCAATGGGACAAGAAGAGGCGAAGGTAATTGAAGGGCCAGAGGGTGGATCGCTCTCTGACTCTCGCGATCAAGACCAAAGCAAGGATGAATCACCTCGTAAAATTCACGGTATAAAGGTATGACCCCTTCGATAGCAATCGCGAAAATACTCCCTGGTTTCCTATATAAAAACTAATGGCAGCATAGTGGTTCCTAGTAATCGTTGCGCTGCTTTCCTCTCTCTTTTTGTATGCGCTCGACAACACTGTTGTTGCAAATGTACAGCCCATGGTGGTGACAACATATGGCCGCGTAGATTTACTACCGTGGTTGGCAGTTTCATTTGCGCTCGCTTCGGCCGCTACAACCCTACCTTGGTCAAAAGCATATGGTAGTTTTTCGGCGAAAAAGCTATATATCGGCGGAACGACGGTATTCATGGGTGGCTCAGCGCTGTGCGGCGGCGCTCCTGATATTCAATCCTTCATCATTGGGCGCGCAATCGCAGGTGCTGGTGGGTGCGGCATGTATTTGGGCCTTCTGACCCTCTTGTCGGTCACAACTACAAACACAGAACGCCCCAAATACCTTAGTCTCACAGGGTTGATTTGGGGTATCGGTACAGTTTTGGGACCCGTGATAGGTGGAGCATTCGGGGAGAGTAAAGCAACATGGCGCTGGGCATTCTATCTCAACCTTCTTGTGGGCGCTGTTGTTGGCCCAATCTATATTATCTTACTCCCCGATTTCAAACCACAAAAAGGAGTTCCCACAGTGAAGCGCCTGGCCAACCTCGATTACCTTGGAGCTTTCCTTTCCATTGGCATGTTAGTCTGTCTTATTATGGCCATGAATTTAGGCGGTGTCCTATGGACCTGGGATAGTGGAAAGAGCATAGCGCTTTTCGTTGTGGCTGCTGTCTGCTTGGCACTTTTTATTGCACAGCAATACTTTCACATTGCAACCAACTTCCAAAACCGGATGTTTCCCATGCACTTCTGGAAGAACCGTTCTCTAATAATCCTCTTCTTCACTATGAGTAAGGATTCGTGCCCCATTTCCGAGATTATGTGATTCATTGCTGACATATCACAGTGCTGGCAACTTTCGGAAGTTTTATCGGCATTTACTACCTCCCGATATATTTCCAGTTTACTCGTGGAATAACCGCAGTGCAAACTTCAGTGAAATTGCTACCCTTCATCCTTTTTCTTGTTGCCTTTAACCTCATAAATGGCCAATTCATGGGAAGAACTGGATATTACTACCCGTGGTATATTGCGGGCGCAGCATTGGAACTGATTGGTGGCGTATTACTTTGTAAGCGAACATCATGCACCGGATAACTGAGCTCGTTGCTAAGATGTCGACTAGATACCGTGGATGTAAAAACTTCCGACGCGAAAATATATGGGTACACCATAATACTTGGCACGGGCGTTGGCTGTTTCTGCCAGGCAGGTTTTGCAGTCGCACAGATGAAAGTCAAACCCGACGAAATCCCCTTCGTCGTTGGGTTCATGACTGTCGGGCAAATGCTGGGGATTGTATTAGGAACTGGTATCGCAGGTGCTGTCTTCGTCAACTACTCGGAGCAAGCCCTGGCAAAACTTTTTCCACATGCAAGCAAGACCGAGATATCCAATGCTATTGCAGGTGTTGGAAGCAATCTTATCAGGTCTGCGGGTACCGAAACGGCCGCCAAAGCTATTGAAGCTATCACTCGGGCTATTCAGCTCGCATATATCCCCATTATTGCCGCGGGGGGTATCTGCCTCATCTGCAGTGTGTTTATGAAACGGGAGAAAATATTTGTATAATTTTTAAAGTATCAGTACCTCATAGTCATTTAGGAGATAGAGAATGGTAGACAGTCAGGCATTTAGCATGATTTGGGTATAAACAGACTCGATTAACGATTTTCCAGGCTGCGACTGCAAGAAGGGTTCTATGTCATGACTGTCGCTCAACGTTATTCTAGGATCTGGAGAGGTGTGAATTACCGGATTTAGCAGTCAAATCACATGATGTAGCTATTGGCTTAACTAGTCTCTTTAAGGCTAGTTAACTATATCGAGTTAAATACGGAGCGGAATAACCAACTTGCGACTTCGTCATCACCAACAGCCTCCACAAGACTTAATTTTTAACCACAAAGCAGGCCGTTACGGAGTACTCCGGAACTAAATTGGCTTCGGTACTTAAACTCTTGCCTGTTGGCATGGCGTTGGCTTTTTGTATTAGCCAACAGTCGGCTGGTGAATACACGGAGTATCGTTCCGAGCATATACGAGTTAGGTAGCGCCTTGGGCTATAAGACTCTAAGGGCGATCATCCTTGAGCCGAGTGGGCTAGCACCTCTACAAGACGGAATAATAAGTTAAGCGTTCGAGTACCATGGCAGACGCTAGACACACCACATTATATGGCATTCAGCCTCTTTTCGCATTCAATTCCTATTTTCACCACACTGGGGTAGTTGGACGACCACATAGAGGTATTGACCAAGGCAGCCCTGATTCCCTGAAGCCAATTCTAAATCAAGCTCGTCCGGAGCCTCCATATCGCCTAACACTAATATGCTGTCTTTTCAACAGCTTTACATACAATCGTACATAACTCCACGCCAAAACTAGATCAGATATACGCGTGCCGCTACGTGGCTCGGTCCTTCGCTGGTGCTTGTACGCGATATATTGCTGAGATGATTAAGTTATATGGCAAGAATTTAATTTGAAAAGCTATACTCCGTATAATATCAAAATTAATTTGCTGCTGCCTAGCCGGGCTATTCTTAGTCTCCCCGCAGGACAGGTCAAATAGTTATACCAGTTACCAGCTGACACACCTCGCTACAGCAACGCTCCCCCACCCGTGGCGATCACATTCTCGAACTCTCCCACCGCCCCTCCCTCGAGCAAGTGCCCCAACACTCCCCACGAAAACAACAAATAAACTCGCGAGAGCGCCTAAGCTTTCGTCGAATCCCCACCGGCCAGCATGTCCTTCAACCCAGTCCACTTTATACCCGCGAGCAAGAAAGACGACATCTTGGCTTTGCCTGTGCAGTCGATCGCCGCTGCTGGGCACGAGCAGAATGCCGGGACAAATCACTGGTGTCTGTTCGCTCGAGTCAGCCCCACCATCGCCATCAGAATCGACTGCCAGCCGAGCTACAGCGTGCCCAGCACCATTTTGCCCGGCGGTTCCAAGGGCAACATCATCATCTCTTGGCTTAACTCCGTGGAGTCGCCGGACATTATCAAGACTGTGGACCTCGCCATCCGCTCCAATTTACTCGTTCGTGACGTCTACAACGTCCTACTTGGGCACGGCCGCCACAAATACGAGTTCGATTCCAACGGTGTTGGCTGTCGATACTGGGTAACTGGCCAGCTGGATCTCCTCCAGCAGCAGCAGATCCTTGTTAACCCGCAGGAAGTTGCAATGGCTAAAGAGACTATCCAGAAGCTGTGGCCCGAGGCAACACCGCTTGCTCTTGACCAGGGCGCCTATTATCAGTAATAGATGGATCGATTTCCAGGTTTTTTGCTGTATTAGCAAAAGTGGCCGTCGAGGAATACGTGATCGGCATTGTGGCACTATATATCTCCTGATTTCTGGAAGGTTATGACTTTTCCTTCTTGGAATGAATATGCTCCATGCATCATCTATTTATATCACGGTCTGCCAGGCCGGAGGGCCAAGGGGTCTCCATATCTGCCCGACTATGCGCAGTCTATTCACCATAACCGTTTTCCTGAAAACTTGGGACCCACTGACTCATACTCCGGTTCTCGTTTGATAGATGCACAACTGCCGAGGCCAATATTCAAAAGTATTTAGAAATAGCCTATCGTTCCTATATACATTCACATGCGTAAAATTTCTGAAGTTCCATGAGTATACTTGTAGAAATATCTATAAAGGCATGTGGTAATAATAGGACTATCCCAGATAATATGTATAGGGCTCTAGTAAATGTTTGAACGGCTCATCTTTCCATTATAACCCAAAGTAGCGAAGACATGTATTCTGTTTCCGGGTTTTGAGTCAAGCTGGTTACTTGCTAGACATACCATTTGTCTTATTCCTTATCATAAATCAAAAGTTTTGAGGCTCATAATAAACTTATCGAGAATTGAATAACAGCAGAACCATGAGGTCAAGGTTACTACATACTTGCCGCACTGGAAAGAAAATAAACATGGTTTGTGGTGATAATACATACATTAGTATATGGATACAATGAAACAGAGTCAAAGAGAACTGGAACTGAAAATAGCCCCAACAGCAAAAAGGACTGAAGTCATAGAGTACAGTGAGTTTTTAGCAAGTAAACTGCAAGCAGTAAACATAGCTTTAGGAAAGATGTCGCGCCCATTGGTTGACATCAAAATACGGAGGGCACATACGTAAAATATCGCATAAACAGGCGTAAAAGACCGAAGTACATCATACATTATTGCCTTAGCTCAGGCTGAGTAGTAGGCCATTAATAGGCAGCTGGAAGTCAGAATAGGGCCCAGAGTATGTCAAGATATTATGGGCAGGGACTTTTGTGAGCACAATTTATTTTGCGGCTTGGGACTTTGCCAGAGGTGGAACTATTGGGGAAAACAGTTAGGACACGATATTTTTTGAAAAGAGGAAGGCGAGTAAACGTATACTCTGTAGTACTTACTGTAGAATCCATACCCTCGAGCTGCGCCCGTAACATCCACCGGATCAATTTCAACGCGAATCGACACGTCCAAACTACCCTGCACACCAGCCAATGCAGTGACCCCATCCGCTGCCGCATGTCTTACACCGGCGCCTACTTCACCGGCATGAAGGGGGAAGTGGCCGTTCTTTGGCAATTGGAATTCTGCAAACTCCTCAGTTTTCGAGGTGTTTGGGCCCGATGCAGGATGGACAACCTCGGTGATGCAGGCGTAGTTGCGGGACGGCATAGTTACTTTGTTATCGGTAACTTTTCCCTCTGGTCCTGGCTGGTAATCGAAGATGTCCATTAGTGTTTCATCAGTATGTTTATCAAGATGATGGATCTTATTTCTGTGGGCCAGTAGGTTCGCCACAGCTTTTGGTGGAGGTTTATTGGTGATGGCGCTGCTAATGACATTGACCATATATTTCGGATCATGAGTGGAAGGGATCTTCTTTTTCGGCCTCGAATAAAACCGACCAATGGCTGCAAGATGCACGTCACCTCCGAGGAATGTCACTCGGACAGAATGCCTTTCGGCTATAGCCTGAAGTCGCTGGACTAAGATTCTTCGTTCTTCTTTGTGCTGGCGGGCAGTATAATGATCATCTAGGTCATCTAGCAAATCGACTTGTCCATCAAACTTATTGAAAAGGCTGCCAGCAAGTCCAAACCGCCGATTCATGAAGCGAATAGGAGCGATTATTGGGGAAGAAAGAATGTTCTCCAACCACGCAAGACGCGGGTAAGCAATGGGAACACCAAGTAAAACAATGAGATGCTTGATATCGCCATTGCTCCCTTTCAACTCTGTTTCAAGCCGTTCAAATATGAGATTATAAGTTTCTGGGTAATTGACTTGATGACGAGTACGCTCAGTGCGGCCATCAATTCCGATGAAAGCAATGCGTTTGCCTAGGCGAGTGCAAATACTTCGAGATGATTCTTCCACATAGGGGCCTGGCTTAGCGCCTATTATCCAACTTGGATCATTGGTAGTTTCAGTGTGAACATAGGTAAGCTGTAATTGCCCAGGGTCCTCTCCAGAAGTGCCACACACCGCTTGCATGGTTGCAGGGCTATCGGTGGTGTAGGTTGACTTTGGCGGCGCGGTATGGTGTTGGAATAAGCAATAGTATTTATAGGCAACACCCCCAATCCCGCGAAAGACTGGGCATTTCATGAAATGGTCTGTATACGAGCCAAAACCGTCAATAATGTCGTGGTCATCCCAGATATTGATCTGAGGAATCTGTGCACTAGCCAGCGAAAATGGCTCGGTGCAAAACCATCTGATATAGTTGTTAAAATAGAAGCTGTCACATTCTTCTCTCATTGTGCTCGGAAAACGATGATTTCTTCTCTTGGTGGGGTTGCCGATATCTGTCCAGGCTCTCAGGGGGCCCTCGACACGTACCGAATCGTTATAAATCTGGTCGCCACCGCCAATCATGACGTGAAACGGTCTTTCTTCGTGGAGTCGAAGCACATCGTGCCACAGAAGCGGGCCTTGCCAGCGGTTCATATCAGTTCCAACCGAGAATCCATTGCAGGAATGAAACATGATTCGCATCGACTGCTCAATAGACGGAACCACAAAATTCCAACTGGTCGTATCAGACCTGTCATGGTGATCCTCGAAGTCCAGAATCGAATATTCCCACTTCATCTCGAAACGCTCCAAGGGCGCCTCGATAGAAAAGCGCCAAAACGCCTTCTGCCTATCTGCATACAGCTTGGTGCCATCCACACCGATCGGAGGAATGGCGCTCTGGCCGCCATCACCTTCCGGCACATTTCCATTGTCTTTTATGGGACCGATCAAGCGTAGCTCCAGCCTTGGGACCCTAGCAGAAGGCGTCGCCACAATCAACACCGATCCATGCCATACTGGCGCGCGATCCGGACTGGTGGCTAAATGCCTGTAATTGAGAAGGGGGCCGCAAAGTACGTGGATGGGCACCGTAGCGGAGAATGCGCCGGGCTCCCTTCCTCCTAAATCCCTGGCGGGAGTAGTTTCAGTCGACTCGGTTTCTGGGCTGCGTGGGTCATCTGCGCGAGAGGGCGTCAATTCAATTCCATCATACAAGTCTTGACGAGCAAGCAAAGCAACGAGACAGACACGTACCTAGACCAATGATCTCCGACGGGCCAGGCTTAGGATCTAAATTCTCTGCGCTGCCCATTGCTGTACTCTGGGTTGATCACTGTCCTTTGGGGAGCAACGGGGTGTAAACGAGCTCTGCGAGGGCGGGTGTGCAAGTGTAGAAGAGCGCGACGGCGGCGAGCAAGAAGCAAGTGAGGTCGGTTGTGGCGAGTCTCTCAAAAGGGTAAGAGACAGACCAGGAAGGAAGTATGCGCGCGCAGAAGCAAACAAAGGGCAATTGCGACTGCTGGAGCTCGCTTGGGGGCCTCCCGGGCGCTTCGTATCGGCGCGCAGTGTTCAATGGCAGCGCGTCAAGCTTGGGGCGGGCGTGATCGGCGTTGTGATGAGGTGCTGAGCTTCGTAGGAGGTAGTTAGTTCGGGTAGCACAGAGCAGGGCTTTGGCCAACAAACAATAATAATAACAAACACCGGCAATCGCGACGGGCCGAGCAAACTGTTTACCCCTGATCCAGTCCTTCGCAAGCACAAGAGAGAGAAAGAGAGTTCCACAACAGCCCGTTTTCTATCGATTCACAAGAAAGCTGGAAACTTGGCTGCCCGCCGGAGATTGCGCGCTCGACGACTTAGCTTGTTGCCGGCGGCGATACTCCTGCCCACTTTTGGCTCTACGCCAGCTTCGGAAGCTCTAGCAGATGAATACGGCGCCATGTTTCAGCGTGACGCGCCGGTAAAATATCCAGCCAATCAAAGCCCTCTAATTATGCACAATCTAGTCTCGGCGCCACAGCGGACCCTACTGTTTCTGTAAGGCAAGTCACACGCCTCATGATGCATTACGTCATGCGTAAAGAAAACAATATGATTATATAATCACAATATTATTCAGGAATGGTTGCATTGTTTGTCTAGGCCAGGTTCACCAGAATGCCCTTCTTGTCCACGCGCATCACCTCAGCCGGCAGCACGCGAAGGGTCTTGTTATAGTACGAGTCCACGACCACCAGCTGTGGCTGGATCCATTTCTCTTTACCCGTCGCCAGGAGATTGTACCGCAGCGTGTGCCTGCTGAGCGGCACCAGCTGCACCACGATGGTCTTGGGCCCGCTGAAGGCAAACTGATCGCTGGCTTCCATCGTGATGTTGAAGGTGAGGAAGTGCATGGACGGGTTTTCCAGCGTGTAGTCGAGGTGGATGAAATTCGTAGGCATCGCGGACGACGGCGCCGTGGTCACTAAGACTCGCGGTTCACCCATGGGGATGGCAAAACGGGGAACAGGGAGTCTGGTGGTAGGGATGAACGGTTGGATGGTGTGCGACGATATCGATGTTTCGAGCAATTCTTGTCGACACCAACGGATATCCAGTGCCAGATTTAGGACCGTTGATTGGCGGTCATCGAGCGTGAGGCGCTGAAGCTCAAGGAGAAAATCTGACTCTCGGCATTGGTCGGGCAATATTTCTGACAGGTAATCAGCCGCGCATATTTCCGAACCCACACGGCAGACCAAGCCGCCCGTAATATCTGTCACAACTAGAGAGACTTCTTCTATCATCAAAGGCTCATGGGCGAAAGAAATCATCTTGCAATTCAAAGACCACCGCTGCTTAATGCCGCGTGCTGTAGGCTCGGACTCGTCCGCATCATCGTGCTCACCACAGTGGAAGAAATCCGGCCAAGGGTCAGGATGCAAGCGAGGCGTGAGCTCGTAGTGCGTCTCGAAAGGGCGAATGAAAGAGAGGTCGACGGTGGCCGTTTTGAAAATCGGGGTCTCCACATCAGACACAAGGTGATAAAACGTAGAGATTTCAAGTTCATAGTCCAAAGGCGTGGAGGTATGTGTAAGGTTGAGGAAAAGCGTCTTGTGGCTTGATGGCTCGAGGCGTCCAATGCCTCTGCGTTTTACGTGATGTAGAAGAGCGTCGTCCTCGCCGAGGGCAGCAGAAAGGGATTCATCGGGCGAAGTACCATTTTCGGAATCGTCCGCCCAATGAAGCTGCGCAGACGTCTCCGGTGGGCCAATCAATCTTACCTCCACAGATAACTCCGCAGGTTCATCTTCTTCGTTGTATATCTCAATATCGAGAATAACATGTTCATCCGTATAGTAATGGTCACGCAATGTGGGTGTTTTAAGCACAACTTTTGGCGGCTTTGGCAGGATTGTACAACCGGAAGTATCTCGATCCTTGCCGATGCGTCTTGAGATGGCTCCTTTTTTACCTGAACTCCACCAGACAGCACTTGGCAACGATTGAACCTGGTTGACATAAGAAAGATCAAATCTCTCATCTTCAATCAAAACAGTAATCGATGCGACTTTCACCTCTCCAGCTTCACGAGGTATGCACGCTAAATTAAATGATTGGGCTTGTCCAGGGGCGAATGTGAGATTGGCGGCTCCAGCCATCGGGGCCGCACGGCCAGGTGATTGGATGCTGGTCGTGTCCAGTAATGAAGAATCCGTGAGGGCGATATCCGAAATTTCGGTATGATCAAAGGGGACGTCCGAACTAGTCTGTAGGCAGATGGGCCGAAGGCCGCCTTCAAACATAATCCTCACTTCCGACGCCAAAATAGGAGCGGCAGAGCTGTGGGCACAGGATTTTATGACAAGCTGGGATCGTAATGATTCACCAACGTTCCCTTCAGCCTTTTCAAAAACGAAGGAAGTGAAGACTAAGACTGTTATCAGCATTGTATAATTCAAAGCAAAATAACCGCAACTTACGGCAAGAAACGACACTCTCCCCGTTTAGTACTATAGAAGGCTTAGGTTTGACTACGGGAAATTCTGCAATACTTTGCTTAAGGTCGTAATGCCACCCAGGTCTGGATATAAAGCCTGACAATGAAAACATGTTAGAAACCTTCGTTCCAAGAACAAGGTGTGGGCAGGGTGGGAGAACATACGACAATTCATCAGCTCCCAGTCGACCCGTAAAATGGTTTCAAGGTCTTCAGCACGCCGAGCACACTCTCTTAGCGCCCATCCAAAATCCACCATCAACTGCCACCAGCCATCCCTGCGCCAGGTTAGCCCCGTCCAGACTGGCCTCAGGAGGTCTAATGCTGTCTGCCACTCTTTCAGCCGCATCAGCTCTTTAGCCATTGTCAATTTTTGCTGCTCGACCATACGAAGCTGTCGTCTGTTAGAAAATTCCTTCGAAGATGCAGCTAAGCAGTTGACAATTATCTGAGAATGGTTTCTTCCCGGCATGTCCGAAATTGGGTATTCATCGTACGGTTCAGGAGCCAGATACGTATCGTAGACATGTGATCGGGCCTTTTGTTGGATAGATATATTTTGATCTGGCACAGATCTCTCATCATCGGGGATTTTTTCAGCCAGCAGTCTCCTTAGTGCTGTGTGCTTGGCGGCACGGGCGAGCCAGTAGCCTTCATGATGCAATAGCTCCCATGGATACAGCCGTTCATTTGAAGCCATCGTCTTTTCAGGCAGTGCATATATGATAGGTGAAGCGGCGTATGACACTTCTTCTCCGTCGGGTACGTATAACGCGGACAGGCTCGCTCGACGCATGAGGTCTGCCATGACGAGCGACCATCGAGCCTCCCAGGCTTCCCAGCCATAGTTCCTAGTTCCTTTCCCACGCCGGTCCACAATACTGCCGATGCGTCTCCTGTGCGTCGCCCATGTTCGGACGGCCAAAGATGTTTGTTCAGACCAGAGCAGGCAGCGGATAATCCGGATAGCAAGACTATCCGCTAATAACCGCGCGTCGTTAAACCTAGGGCTCCAGCCGGCGATGGTATCAAACATTTCCTCGCCGAATAATAGCTCATAAGCACTTTCATAACTCCGACAAGCAGCGTCCATTTCCTGGCGAAACTCCGCAAACACGCCAAGCTTGAACTCATAGCGGACATTCCAACCCTGGGCGGTCAATGTTTGCGACGTGCCTGATGTCGGTGGCGCAGTCGGTGGGGGAACCACGCCTTTATTACGTTTCCGTCTCGCATGCTTGGACAGATCTCGATAGTAGTCTACGCACGGGCCCTGTAGAGAAGAGAAGAGAGACTTCACGAAATCACGGATGCTTGCCTGGGTGGGAGCGGGAGTGAGAACGAGGATATTTTTCGGGTCCAGCTGGGTAGCTCTCCGGATGCTGGAGATACGATCATTCACATCCGCTGGGAGTAAGGTGCCGTCCTCGCATATCAGGGCAACCACAAACCGGGTTTTGTAGCCGGAAGCAGCCCAGGCCTTTTTGAGAGTATTAATTTCAATCTTCAGCTGATTATCACGGAGCGAAGCCATGTTGGAGTCCAGCGTCAACGGGAAGAAATTAACAAAAGCAGCCGGCACCAAGTCTTGGTGTTTTGTCACCCACAAGGGAGTCATTATGCCGTCTGGATAGGTGGGCGAGCTCGGGGTCAGGGGGGATATCGGCGAATGTAGGACTGGGGCGGCATCATTGGCAGCATTGGGGAGCGGGGTTGGCGGTTGAGCTTTGTGAGGAGGGAGGAGGAATGTCTAGGTCGAGCAGGCAGTCAGCTCGGAATTCAAGAGGAGTTGGCCGCCGTGAAGATTAAGTAGCATAACGACGCGTCCACGATCAACATAGAAATTATTGCCATGGCCTCAAAACGACGGGAATGCTGACCTACCCGCCCAGCCTGCTTCACGCTGAAGCCCACGGCGCCGGCGAACGAGCGGGCATTCCACGGGGCGTCGGAGGCATCCTGGGCCAACAGCTCGGCCAGCAGCAGCTCGGCGGTAGCGTCAACGAGAGGCGGGAAATCGGAGAAGATCTCGCAGGCCGGGTCGTCGCGAGCGGGATAGGCGCGGGCGGGCGGCGGGTGCTCGGGCTCGAGACCGGCCAGGAGCACCAGCGGGAGGTTGTGGTCGACGTAGCCGGGCGGGTAGGCGTCCATGGCGGGCTAGGGTGCGGAGCGGGGAGCGGGAAGCTGGCAGAGCGCGCCGCGACGCATAACAGGTGGTAGCTAACTACTAGGTAGTGCGTTTGCCGAAAGCGCTGGTGGGCGTGGGCGTTGGCGGGTCGGCGGGTGGTTGGGGCTGGGAAGGCCGGCGGGCGGGCGTGCGTTGGATCTGCAACACCGGCGACGGCGCGTCGTGTCTCTGTCGTGACGGGGCGGCGATGGCCGGGTAACTACCTAATCCTGGAGGCCGCCGGGTGACCGCTCCGCGCGGCTGCGAGGCCAGTCACAGCCAAGGAGTGATGTAGATCGAACCAACTCCAAAAGGACGGTGTTTAGGTACAAGGTAGTGTGTATGGCCAGCAGGCAGGCCGCAGCATCCAGCCAGCTGTGCCTGGCAGCAGCAGCACCGGCGTCGCTGCCCAAGACTCGCGCTGCATATTGGCTTCCGCGCCCTGGTCGCTCGTTTAATAGCGGTGGAGCAGCGCAGTTATGTAACTAGCCAGCCAGTTAATTAATTTCGATCCGATCGGCGCGTGCTGCAAATTTTCGCCAGCCCGTCGCTACGCCGTCCAGCTCTGCGCCCGCCGCGTCCTCTCGCTGCTGCTGTTGCTGCCTCGCTGCCTCGCCGTGTACGCTGGACCGTCGAGGGGTTCGTTGACCTTGCTGGATCCCTAGCTACGTAGCTAACTTTGCCCCGGCCAAGCCCGCCGCCAGCGGATCCCTGCGCTCGCTGCCAGTCTTGTCCCTCCCCGGCCTCCCAGCGCGCGCACCCGCCAGGACTCAAAGCTATTCTTATTCCTGCTCGTCGGCCAGTGCGGCGGCCAACTCGCTTCGATCGCACGGCCAGCATCGCGGCCATCCGCTCTCGCACACTGCCCGTCGACGCCGACGCCGCCGCCGCCGCCGCCTCCGCCGTTGCCACCGCCCGCGCGCCAGCCTGCCCCGACGCCTCCCCCCTTCCGCCGCTCTGCCTCCTCCCCCTAACCACGCACACACACGATACCGGACGAGAAGAGCGTCGCAGGGATTTGCGCGCGTGCACGGATAGGAACTACAGCATGATCGCTGCGGCCGCGGTGTCGCATCCGTGTCTGTCGCCTCTGCGATCGTGAGAAACTACTGCAAAACCCGTCGCGATGGAGAGCGATCAGCCGCCGGCGCCCGTCCCGCTGCCTCCGCGCCGTCGACTACACCGCAGCCCACACGGCTCGTCGCAGCGCCGCCAGTCGCTGCCCGCCCGCTCGCTCACGCCCGGCCCCGACCTGCTGCCGCCGCCGCCGCCGCCCAACAACCCCGTCCAGCTCCCGCCCGCCTCGCCCGAGGTCATCTCGTCCCTGATATCCTCGCTGTCGACCATCTCCAGCCCCGCGCAGTCGCATTTCGACCGCCTGCCCAAGATTGGCCCGCACACCGAGCCGTCGTCTCCCAGCGTCTCGCAGCTCGACCTACCGAGCCCAACCCCAAGCCCGCTTCTCAGTCCCGGCTTTGCCGTCGACTATGGCGCCTACAAGCCGCCCGCCGACGACTCCGAGCCCGACCTGCTGCATCCCAATGACGCTGCCTTCCCGCCCGTGGTCCGCATGGTCAAGCCCGCGTCGCAGTCTCGCCGCTCGTCGCGAAGCATACCGGTTGAGCCGTCGTTGCTGCGATCTGTGTCGCAGGCCTCGGACTCCTCCTCGCATACGGCTGTGAACGACGAGCAGCTGTCAGGCTTTGGGATTGTCAGCTTGGAACCCGGCCCGCGAGTGTCGACGACCAGCGTTGCCTCGTCGAGCAGCGGCGGCAGAAAAAGCCTCAAGTCTCCCCTGAGTATTCTAAGGCGGTCGTCCCGAGAGTTCTACAAGGAAAAAGACCTGGACCGTTTGGATGGACACCGCCTCAGTGGCTCGCGAAGCCGTTTGAGTTTGCGCTCGACGCCATCGATGGCCAGTCTGGCGGAGGAAGGGAGCTTTGTAGACCACCACTTGGACCCGCCAGGAGACCTGACCCCACGGCGAGATTCGGCCCCTTCCGTGAATTCGTCGCACAATCCCGTCGACCTGAATCCAACCACCCCTTGTGGGATTGGAGGAGGACGGTTCATTCCTGCGCGCGAATCGTCGCTGAGATATCGAGCCAAAAAGAAACGCTCGACTCGCCCCACTGTGTACTCCAATCGAGATTTCAAAATCGACCGCGATATCGAAGAGGTCAATGGGGAAAATGACCAAGTGAGCAAGAATGCGGCAGAGTACTGTGATCGGCACCGAGCTGTCAAAGAACATTCACCTGCACGCACCATGCCGGTGGCACGGCTGCCTTCGACGCCCAAAAGAAACTCAATCTCCTCCGTACGCACATTCACTCCCTCTGTTCGGCCACGGGACTCAATGTCTCTGGAGCAGCAGCGATTCACCAAAAGAGGTGAATTAGACCTCGACCCTGACGACAGTGCGCCCTCGCCCACTGTGCAGACGCGCCGCTCGTCCATAGTCAGGAAGAGGAACAGCGGGCCGCTTGCGTCAAAAACGACCAACATCCAGCCCACAATGGCCGCAAAGCTAGAAAAATCCGAGTCCCTGCAGAAGACCTCAAAGCGTCGCTCCTACGGCGCGAATTCAGACACAAAGAGCCACCGCCGCATCTCATCCGGCGCCCCGTCGCCTGCGCCGCAGACGCCCATATCAAGTGTAGACGAGCGGCCCTCGAGCTCGGACTCGGTCGACGACGCTGTGCGCGCCTACGTGATGGCGCCCCGGCTGACGCAGACCGTGCTGCACCCGCAGACGGGACGGGTCATTGCCTTTTCCGAAGTCGGCGATCCCAAGGGCCATGTGGTGTTTTGCTGCGTGGGAATGGGCCTCACGCGGTATCTGACTGCGTTTTACGATGAGTTGGCGAGGACGTTGAAGTTGCGATTGATCACGCCCGACCGCCCAGGCGTGGGCGAGAGCGGCCCCTGTCTTGACGGCTCGGGCCCTCTAAGCTGGCCTGGTACGTTCTGTTCCTATTTTTATTCCACCCCTTGATCCTTGTACACTGACTGTCGGACAGACGACCTGGCGACCATCTGCAACCATCTGAAAATCACAAAGTTCTCTATGCTGGCCCATTCGGCTGGCGCAATCTACGCCCTCGCGACTGCGCTGCGTATGCCCCAGCATATTCGAGGCCGGCTTCACCTCCTCGCGCCCTGGATACCGCCCTCTCAGATGTCAGGCATGGGTTCACACAAGGATCCGCTGCCTGCGACCGCTCTCCCTTACACTCAGCGAATTCTTCGCGCCCTACCTACTCCAATCTTGAAGGTCGCGAATTCGCGCTTTATGACGACAACCAGTGCTAGTGTCTCGACTAGCTTACCAAAGAATCGGAAGAGCAAGCGCCTCAATCTACTTTCAAGAGAAAAAGAGTCGTCTCCGCCTGTAGAGGCCGATGTCAGCCCTGGACCCGAGTCAGGGAAGCCAACACCCCTCACTCCCCTCCCACGTTCGTCGCATGATGTTGTATCTCGCGCTGCGTCCGACCCTTCCGACCCCAACGCCGAATCTGCCGTGCTCGCCGCGGCCACCGCCGAGCGCGAGCGGCAAAGCGACTACGACAACCGCCTCACGCATGCCATCTGGGAACTCGCCACGGCCAACGCCAACCCCGCCGTGGACTTGCTCGTGTGTCTCGAGCGTCGCCAAACCATTGGGTTCCGCTACAACGACATCTCCCGCTCCGTGGTCATCCACCACGGCTCCAAAGACACCCGGGTGCCCGTGGACAACGTGCGGTGGCTGGGCAAGACCATGAGACGCTGCGAGGTCCGTGTTCTCGAAGGCGAGGGCCATGGGCTGATGGCTTCGGCCAAGGTCATGGGGAACGTGCTGATGGAAATGGCGAAAGAGTGGGAAGACTGGACGACCGTCGTGCAAGGGCGGGGCGCCAGAAGAGTTACTGTGACGACACGCTGAATTTCATTATACCCCGCCCCATGCTCGTTGTCTTTCTACGTTGCTTTTGTAATTTTTTTTTTTTTTTTTTGGCTGTTTATGCTGAATACCCACCATTGCTGTCCTTTTGTTTCTGTACCAATATCTCCCGCAACGGCCTCTCGAGGGACGTGCCAACGAACCAGCTGCATGTTCGAATATATGCCTTGCATACACTCTTTGTAAATGCCATCATACCCCTGTTCTTTGCACTGCGCACTTGACATACATACATTCATCATTATGACCGCTTAGAGTTACTCTTTTTTAATACTGGCCTTTCACTTTACTGTCGATATCGTGTACGTTTATTCCATTGATATCCCCTTGTGTTTTTCTTGATTTCTTCTGTTTTCTTTGGCAGGCTGCTCTGTATTCTTCTCACACAGATTGTCTTTTCTTACTTCTCTTCAAGGCAGTACTACCCTGCCTCAGATATTTCTTCCTGTACAGTACATACACTGTTTTAATAGCACATACTTCTATAGTATATCTGTTTCTCCCTGTAGTGTGCACGTGATGATGTTTTGTGTGCTTGATTTATAATTGCAAGATAGAAAACGCACCCATACCATCATGCATCATCATCTTCCTGGGACCGTTTCTTTATATGTCTCATCCAAAGGGGTTCCCCTTGCTCTTGATCCAAGTAGTTGCAATGCACATTGTCAATATTACTTCTCTCATTATTACTTCCCAGTAGCTCCTGGCATGTTCACATGACAAAATCGGTGCCGGGCTGACGTCGCCTTGACGGCTTCCCCTCCCCCGGAAGAGCTATTTATATAGTCAAGAAGGTCTTGTGTGGATATTTCAGGGGTAACAAATGGGCCAGAAGTTGAAACGCTTGTTCAAGACAGCTCACCCTGGGTTTCCCATTGACATCCTGGCCAGCGATAAAAAAAAGACAAAGACCACACTCGCAATGGTTTCACGTCTCCGCTAGCTACGCATAGGTATGCGATGTCGGGTTGTATGCTGGGTCAGGGGCGACGATGACGCCCCGCCACCAAAGGCGCAAACTATGTACGGAGTAGGGAGTGGCTGACTAGATTTTAGCGTTTTGCAGGGTGTTGCCCAGAACCAAGGGTTGCCGCAGTGAGCTACTTAAACAGACGTTGTGCCGCGTCAGGGATGGTGCGATGGCACATTCACAATAACAAGCACCAATGTTTCCCTGGATTGTTGTTCATTGATTCTCAAGTCGCCGGCCGTTTGTTGTCGCACACTCTTTCTTGAAAGCTTTCTTTGCAGCTGATGACTGCCCTGTGAGTCGGGCAACAGCCAAGATGGTGCCCTTTCGACGGACAAAGCTGCTGCTCATTTCGGTGTTTCTGGTCATCCTTCTTGTTCTTTATCTCACGGTACGTAGCGCATACGCGCCCTGGTAGCTATTGATCTGCGTTTGCGCTTTAGGGATGGTTACTAACAGCGGAGTGTCTGTGTATGAGCAGGCTGACCAGAGAATCCAAGATCAAGGCATCTACAAAAAGACCGTTGAAGCGCTAGAAGCAAAACACAACCAACAGAAAGGAAATGATGGGAGCCTCTTTGAAAAACTCCGGCCTGGAAAGTTGAAGCCGGAAGATAAGCAGGCGGTCGCCGTGGACAATCCGAAGAAGTCGACTCCTGGAGAGAAATCCGGCAAGTCTGTTGCTGGTCGCGTTAACGTGCCTTCAACGGAGAAAGGAAAAGCGGCGCCAAAAGACGAGCAAGACCCAAAGGTTGCAGCTACAGAGGCGGAATTCAATGCGATCTTGAAAAGATCACCGAGTATGATTCTCTACGCTCCCAAGCACAAAAAGGCCGCTTTCGCTCTATACTAACCCGTTGTGATTTCCCCCAGTCATCATATTCTCGAAAACTTACTGTCCCTACAGCCACAGCGCCAAACACATCCTTCTCAAAAAACACAGCATTATCCCCGCGCCGTTTGTCGTCGAGCTGGACCAACACCCCATGGGTCCCGATTTGCAGCAATTGTTAGCGAGGAATACCGGCCGCAAGACCGTACCGAACACCCTAGTCAACGGTGTGAGTATCGGCGGAGCATCCGAAGTCGCAGAACTGGAGCATTCTGGCGAGCTACTGGGCAAAATCAAGAAGATGGTCGGAAAAAGACTCGTTGAGGCAAAGCGAGTGAGTGAAGACGGAAAATGAGCGAATCTCCAGGTGCCATTTTGCCGCCGCTCAGTGTAGGTGGACCAAGGTTGATGTCTGCACGAATTTCTCACTTCATTGTGCTTGTTTCTGCCGCCCTCTCTGCCTTATCTTGTCTACTAAGGTGGAAGCGTATTGTGATGGGATTCTACAGGCGGCGATTTGATCGTCTTGATCTTTGGGTGACATAGGTATATCATGTATATGATCCTAAGATGGGCATACCCAAATACCCTATCCCACCCGCCACTTTGGATCTTAAAGACATACCATGTAAAATATGAATATGAAAATCCGTGGAAAAAAAAAGCCGTAATATTATCTTGTTTTCCCTCTCATAATCGCCATCGATGTATTGGCAATATAAGGTTTCGGGTTAAATTATATCCGAATTTTAAGGCTAACTATTAGAGGTCTAGTGAAGTCATCAATCGCCGCTAAGTCGCCATGGCGCTAAACCGTAAACGTACCCTAAGCGACGCACATTGAAATCCACTACCGTTTGGCTTTGGGAATTTCGAATCGAAGACGACGACGACGGCCAACGACACGACCAGGTTTTCTCCTCCATCTTTTCCTCGGAACCTCTCATACCGACGCCGTCAAGATGCGCTACATACATTCCGAGGAAACTTTGAAGATCCCCGACAATGGTGAGATTTCCTCCTTGCAATCCGGCTTGGTGTGCGTTTGAACATTGGCGGCGATGGACGAGGATTGGGGGCGCAGGGCTATTCGGAATACAGGCTTTGCTATAAAATGAATATGGAATAATATGCGCCGGGAGGATGGATTTATCGCTTGGTGGGACAACTTGCTGACGGACTATTGTGTGCTGCAGTGAACATTCACATTCGTTCGCGGATTGTCACCGTTGAAGGACCACGAGGTATGGCCCGACTACTTCTATAATCACTCGATTCGCAACCCCAAATATCGAAAAAGAAACTGCGATTCGAATCTAGCACACACAAGACTCACACGTTTTTTCACTTCTTTAGGCAAATTGGTCAAGGATTTGTCTCACCTTTCAGTCTCCTTCTCTCGCCCTAAGAAGGACATCTTGGCCATCGAAATTCACCATGGAGAGCGCAAAGCCGTTGCTACCCTCCGCACCGTCCGAACCATCATCAACAACTTGATCATCGGTGTTACTCGGGGCTTCAAATATAAGATGCGTTACGTCTATGCCCATTTCCCCATCAACGTCAACGTTGAGACCAACAAGGAAACCGGAGTGGCCCACGTTGAGATCCGGTACGATTTACCCTGCGATCCTATCTTACTAGCTTGCCGTTTGATATTTCCACTATGAGAGGCGATTTTGGATAAAAGAGAAAAAAAAATATAAGAGAACAAAAGGATTTCGTATGCTGAGAAAATTTAAATGGCCTACAATATTGAAATTTTCCAGAGTTTGGCACGAATTATTGATACTAACATATTCTGCTTCGTATAGAAACTTCCTTGGCGAACAAATCGTCCGTCGCATTGTTTGCCAGCCCGGTGTTGATGTAACCATCTCTCAGAACGTAAAGGATGAAATTCAACTCTCTGGAAACTCCGTCGAGGGTGTCTCGCAGAGCTGCGCAGATATCAACCAAATCTGCCGTGTGAGAAACAAGGATATCCGCAAAGTGAGAAAACCAACCATGGATTTCACACCATACTTTACCTTCTTGGATGAATACTGACTATTTGATAGTTTTTGGACGGCATATACGTCTCGGAGAAGGGTAACATCACGGAGGAGTAAAGAAAGCGTTAGTTGGGACAATATTTTACATAGGGAGGAACCCCGGCATGACTTTGATTTGGGATGCAAAAAGCTAGAATACTGTCATATCAAGGTGCCCCCGCAAAGAAGTGAGAATGAAATCCTCTTTCTTATTGTTTTTATTTGCAAGCGCTGGGCCAGGTTGAGCTCTCACGGCTGTACGTTTTATAATCCACGAAGTAGCCAAAAGGACACGATCGTACGGAGTACAAACTCTGTGTAAGTAGTCCATTCCATATCAATTGCAACTATACGTATGGTGTTGTGGCATCCATGATTATCAAGTCCCAGCTCTCATGGAAGTTTTTCTGAGTTCGAGGCCACCCCAATGTTAAAGAGTCCTTATCCATCCATCATTATTATTCTTTCGTTAATTCAAAGAAATTCAATTTTACAAATACAAATCATTCACCATTGACCAGACATGGTTCCATCCTCTACCGTTATTCTTTCTTATCAACATCCAACCAATCATCCTTGAACTTAGCTTTCTCGATGCTTCTTGCTATACTAGTCATAGCTCATCGGCATTGACGAAGAATGTTTCTGTGTCAGATCCACCTTTTTTTTTCAGTCATTCAAAGGATGGTAAACTGAATCTTCGAAGGAGAGGGTGGTTAACTAGTTCCGGGGATACAGTTTAGCCGGCATTTTTAAGTTAACCTTGCCGCACAAGGTAACATGCTTAAATAGGAGGAGGATTACCTCTAGAATTCGTATCTGAGCATCATAGAATGCTCAATTACCACGGCACTTTAAGCAGGAAAACTATCTATAAGGCTCTTCCGTATATCTTTATTAAGATAAAACTATCTTTAATTCCTCAAACCATTGAAAGCGGCCTTTATCATGGCCGAAATCGGGTGGCTGACATAGTATGTGCTCTCCATCCGCCCAGGAACTAACAGCTTCCCCAAGGTCCTTACTTGGCAAGAATTCCATCATGATAGCCATGGCCAATGCTCCTGAGAATGCAATGATCTCCGGAAGGGTGCGCATTTACCCATGGCTCACAGGCATGATGAAAGACAAGACACCGTGCAGGGTCGTACACAAGCAACGTCCCTGAGGACCTTGGGAACGAGCGCCATTCCCTCCGTACTCCCGCAGTTTAAGTAGATCCGGAAGGTATCGGCGTGACTCTTATAAGTATAAATGCAGTACTTCGTACACATATTTAAGCTGTTGTTGAAAAGCTGTTGCTGTGAATTTCATTTTCGGAAAAACAATGCCTGCAAAAGTGATCGACGAGGAGCAATTACCAGCATCGGCGCCAGATGAAAATGAGCTGCTTGATGTAATCATTATCGGTGCCGGCCCATGCGGGCTGGGAGTTGCTTCCCGGTTACAGGAGGAGACACCTGCAGCTGTGTTCACGGATGAGGAGCATCAACGTTATCACTGGATAAAGAAACATACAGGGCGAATGCCCCTCTTGCAGGCTCACCATGGAAAAATGAAGGGTGTGAAGGCCACAAAATATAATGCAATCAAAGCGGATAGCGAAGGTATCAAATATTCAGCTCTTGAAAGGCCACGGTACTCGACACTTATTTTGGACTCGTCGGGAGATCAGTGGCTGTCCAAGTGGAGGCGGTCTTTCCGCTTGCTAGAAATTCCGCAGCTGAGAAGCCCGATGTTTTTCCACGTTGACCCTGCGGATCTTGATGGAATGCTTGCTTATGCAAGAGAAACACAAAGAGAGAAAGAACTCTGGGAGCTCCCTGGGTGCGTTGGAAAAGAGTTGAGCAAACACAAAAAGAAAAAACGATCGAATGCACAGTAAGTAAGATTCCGTTACCTCTACGCAATGGAAAGGCTGACAATGACCTAAAGAACGACAGGAGAACCCGAGATCGATGAGCGAGATCGAAAAGACTATTATTCACCAGGAACTGATTTCTTTTTTGATTATTGCGATTCAATCGCTGCCCGGTACAAGTTGGACAACTTAGGGCGGATTCTAAAACAAGAGGTTGACAGCATAAAGTTCGATTATCACCCACACTTATCAGAGACAGATAAAATTTTTACAGTAGCCACCAAAGAAGGGAGGATATTCTGTAGTCGTGCGGTGGTGCTGGCAGTTGGCCCAGGGGAGGAAAGGAATTTTCCCTGGAAGCTCTCAGCAGAAGAGAAAAAAGGGGCGAGTCATATTTTTGATATAATGAGACTTCCAAGTCCAGTTATCAAAGAGAAGATAAAGGCACGTCGTGAGACCAATGTCCTAGTGGTTGGTGGCGGACTTACCTCTGCTCAAATATCAGATGTTATAATCAAGAAAGGGACAACGAAAGTATGGCTACTCATGCGAAGTGACCTCAAAGGTAAAGTCATTGCAACTAGAACCCGACGGGCCGCTAACATAGGGCACAGTTAAATACTTTGACGTACCTCTTAACTGGGTTGGTAAATTCAAGAATTATGAGAAGGCTGTTTTCTGGTCGGCGGATGACGATGACGGTAGGTATCAAGATCGCATTATTGAGTTGAAATGGAACAGCACTCTGACGATTACTTCAGAGCGACTCCAAATGATTCTTGTGGCACGGAACGGTGGCAGTATCAACCCAAGATATCACAAGATCCTCAAAGACCACGTCGCGAACGGGCGAGTTTCGCTCCATACGCGAACACAAATCAGCACAAAGAAATATGACCCATGCTCCAGGACATGGGCGATCACCACAGACCCGCCAATACCGGACCTGCCTGCGATGGATTACATTTACTTTGCGACTGGTGTCAAGACCAACGTAAATGAAATGCCCATGTTGAGATACATTAACCAGGAGTACCCGATTGAAAGCAAAGACGGAATGCCTTGTATCACAAACGACCTCATGTGGAAGGACGATATGCCGCTGTTCTGTACCGGACGGCTAGCGACGTTACGTCTCGGACCAGCTGGGCCAAACCTCGAGGGTGCAAGGGGAGGAGCAGAGCGTATAGCTTGGGCACTGGACGAGATCTTAGGCAAACGGGAATACGAGGCCGATGAACCATCTCGAATCGCATTTTCTGGATTGGGAAACCGATACGCCGGGCTTTCTAATGTAGAGTGACCTGGATGGAGATGCCGATGAAGTTTGATATTGTTGCTGCGGACTAGTTCACTCTGACTACTCAATAGCTTGTTAACATCTGCAGGACTTTTGGAACTGCATTTCCGTCCAGTATCTTCATATAACAAATAGGGAGCAAATAAATGGGGTTGGCAATGTGATTACTCTGTACGGAGTAGTGCCAGCTGGCTTCAGTAACTCCCTATTAGTGAACCGCGCGTGGCGCGGTTAGTTAGTTAATTAACTAGTTAGCTAGCTAGTTACCTTGCTAGTCAGCATTTAATAATAGGCTCTCTTAGACGTTCTAGACGCGCCTTCTGGACGCCATCCTATCTCTACTTTTAGAACATGACTTGATAGAGGCGAAGCCTATCTCAAAATCAGCGTCATCTCAGGGCTGCTCTACGGAGATGTGTATAAATACAGCTCAATACTGCCCTCCTGGCATACAACATCTCTTTCCTCCCAAACTGCTAGTGCAGCCTACAATGGAGTAAGGCATCAATCGTCGCTTCCCCAGCCTACCTCATGGGGCAGGGTGCAAGTACTGGCCGTTCGCTAATGCTAGTAGCAACAGGGCTTCCTTCCTTGGCCAAGGAGCAATGCTCACAAGCCTGAACGTCAACCTGCCGCCCTTTGGTTTGGTCTTTGCTTCAAGCACCATCCCCTAAAGCCCAGCAAGAATGGAGATCTATGACATATACCTACATATCTGCCGCGTGATCTACAGTATTGTTTGGGCATGGCTTGATCTAAAACTCTTACTTCAATTCGTACGCTCTACTTGTTTTTTTGCTCCGTATCCTTCCCTTTGTCATGTTCGATTTTTGAACTCAGTCAAATCCTCATTATTAAAGAAATGGCAGCAATTCAAGACCCGGCTTGGAAAGTATCCCCGCAAGGTATCTTTGCTACGAAAGCTACATCGTGCTCAGTCGTATCAGGAATGGCTCAAGACCGCATCTGCTTTAGATGGCCTTTTGGGCTTAGATGAATGGTATGTTTTTTAACCCCAACCTGGTATTACAATTGCTTTGATCAGGGCTACGTCGGACTTTCATAAATTCAGCTCAATTAGCTGACCCCATATCGTCCATGTTGAACAAATCATTTAGGCGTCGCGATCCAAACACCTTTCTATATAATTATAACAATATCACCGAGCGAATCAGAAGGCTACGCTTAGCAGTAGCCCTAGATGAGCCCCGGCTAGTTTGCAACACGATTAGGACGGGCCTGATTAGAAACATGGTTAACATTGCGGTTCCTGAACTATACAATGTGGCTTATGCCGGAACTAAAGACCTGATCGAAGAATATGCTGTGGAGCAGGTTTTGTCAATTCGTTACGTGATGGAGTTGCAGACAACACCACCGCATCACACCGGGTTTTCCACTCAGACAAAGATGGATTTCATTCGGGGAGCAAGGCAGGGTCTGGGCAGATCGACCTTGTTACTCCAAGGAGGCTCTGTCTTCGGTCTTTGCCATATTGGTGTTGTGAGAGCACTATATTATGAGAACATGCTTCCTCGGGTAATTACAGGCACAGCTACCGGGGCATTCGTCGCCGCGATGGTTTGCATAAAGAATGACAAGGAGCTCGAACCATTCTTAGACGGAGAATCAATTGATGTACGGGAGTTTGCATTTCACAGAAGGCATACTTTACCGCATTGGCGTGAAATCTTCGCCTTTGAACAGGGTCATAGCTGGATTAGAAGTATTTTTCGCCGGACCTTGCGGTATATAAATGAGAACTATTGTCCAGATCTTTACCTGCTGCGAGAATATGCGAGACGCGAGCTTGGAGACCTTACTTTTGAGGAGGCTTACAAAAGAACATACCGCGTGTTAAACATTACAATCGCAATACCAAAAGTGGGTGGTGTTCCAAACCTTCTAAATTTCGTTACAGCCCCTAATGTCGTAAGTTCCACTCTTTCCAGTGTGCAATTCATCCCAACTAACAACAATGCAGCTGATCTGGTCTGCGGCAGTTGCATCATGTGTATCTGCGCTTGATACTGAACTTCCAGTAATTTGGTGCAAGGATGACATCGGAAAACTTACACCATGGAACCCAAAGTACAAAAAGTATTTGCGCTCATGGTATACATTCCGGCAACATCCCAAATCATCTCCACTTCGTCGCCTACCACAACTTTTCAATGTCAATCATTTTATCATTTCGCAACCCCGGCCATTCATGATTCCTGTATTTGGTGAGGGAATCCACCATCCAGGGGGAGGTATTCACCCCGGAGAATGGCGAATCTTCCGAATACTCGATAAACTTGTTGGTATTGAAACCAGACACCGTTTGAGACAATTGAATGTTTTCGGCCTTCTGCCCACCCTGGCACACCGAATTTTTATTGACGACGATATTCCAGGGTCATCTGTTGTTGTTCTCCCAGATCTTGCACTCGGCGACTTGAAAGCGCCATTTACAGGTTTAGCTCGTGAGAAAGTCAAGGATTTGATCTCGAAAGGAGAAAGAGGAGTCTGGCCTTCAATGAGCTCCTTAAAGGTTCGTTGTGTGCTCGAAATGGAGCTGGAATCGGCTTTCCAGGAGATGACAGGAAAGAAGGATAATGATCTGCTGACCTGGTAGCCCGCCTGAGGATTAACACTTAACCAAGGTGCTGTGAACGGGTGAATCTATTACTTTTTCTTTGTGATATTGCTTTTCGTCTTTGATTTGTTGTGCTAGCCTTTTGGCGTTTCTTATCATTATCGGACACCCTTTGGACTTTTAGAGAACAAACATTTTTATTATTACTACCATCATCACTCTGACTATGAAATCGATATATGTATGTATGTACATACTTTTTCTGCCTGAGATGCTGCTTGCGGTAGTCTACAAAGCCGTACTGCAATAAATTGTAGTATTTGTTAAGTGTTCTTTTCATTGTCCATTTCATTCATTCATCCTCTCTATCCTCTTTGCCAGGGAAAGCATTCAAATATCTGCAAAATCGTGAGGGCGGTTTTACATAAATAGCATGGCTGACGATCGATACCCCTTATGTTATATATACACCCGCAGCTCCCATCTTAAAAGATGGGGCAGAGGAAAATTCCCGAAACTGAGCTCTAGCAAGTGATGGCTCGATCGCATTCACTTTCGCTATGATCAGCCCTCGAGTTGGCAGTGACATCGCCCCCAGAAACTCTGTATATGGCTGCCTCTGCAGGTATGTGTGCCCCGAATACCTTACATTCCTATGTCTATGTACCTTCGCGCTCTCTTCTCGTTCTAGAACTGACAAAGAACAAGCCATCCCGAACAAGGCACAGAGCTTTTGCCGTTCCGCGGTCTCCTCTCGGCTTGCGGTAGGCCCTCTCCAGGGCCCTCTCGACCAGGCTCCTTTCTTCGTTCTCGCGATTTCGGCGGATTGTGGGTTATGAAATGGCGACTGCGACGAGTCCGCATCGGCGCGACCTAACTGCCTTGCCTCCCGCTTGCGACTATCCCGCAGTTGCTCCTCTCGGCAGAATCTTGCCCCAGAAAATGAAATCTGCTGGTCTTTTAGGACCCAGTATTTTCAAAATATGTGAAAGGAGCCTGCCCCATGGGGGGTCTGCCAACGTGAAAGTGCTGGAGAAGAAGGCATGGGTACGCAACGTGGAACTGCGCGCCGGCCACCGGCTCAATCTTGGCCGCGTGGTCAACGTCGAGGCCGTTCTCGGATGCCATGACTGTGGACACCAGAAAGGCGGACAGAGCATGGTCAAAACTGTCAGCTGCACATTGAGATCTTGTCCCTGGGCCAACTTTTCCATCTGGAAGTAACCTCGGTAGTTGGCTCATCCAGAGACCAAGCTCAAGGGGTGTGCGGGCTATGATATGTATTTTTACTAGCCCAGAAAGGGCCAATTCCCCAGTTCCTACTAATCTGTGCGGCTTGACCGTGGATCGGAATAACGATAGAGCCTCTGTGCGCAATAGTGAGGATACAAGGAGTACGCGTTCTCAGTTGTCACGAGTGTTGCAGATTGCTGCGAGACTTTTATGTGCCTTTGACGTGGGGTTTTATAACCCCCTTAACTCTGGGCGACTTTTAAACACGTCCTGTGGCTCGGAGGAAGCGCCTCGAACGGAAATATTATCGGATGAGGCGATTCCTATCGAACAATCGCTGCTTTTCTTGCAAAATATTGAATAAGATTGTTCTCCGCTAGCTTTCGCCTAGGTATCTCTGTTCACCGCCAAATTTCGGCTTCAACGGAGCAGACAGAGTTTGCCGGGCATTGGTCTCCTTTCGGCGCCGCCACCATTGGGTGATGAATGGGTGGTTCTTTGTCATGTTGAGCATTTCTTGCGTGGCATGAGCGTAGACAATCTACGCTTGGATATACCAGCTCGTTGTTAAGGTCTAACTTTCGAGCTGACTCCCGCGTGTCCCGTTTGAAATCATAATCATAACGACAGCAGGTTCCATACCGTCGCCTCTCCGCATTAACGACAAGTGTGTGCTTGTTGCTGGCTAAAATGTCCAGAATGTGGTTTGGCGAAGCCAGATTGTTGGTGACAAAGTATGTCATCTGCAATTGTCAACATTACGTCATTAACTATATATGCCTTGTTTGAGTCGTGTTTGGGGACACGGCGACTTATTTTCGATGGCTAAGGTCAGAGTATGGGAAGTCAGAAGTGTACCTTCTCTATGGTCCTGTTGTTCTCGTTTTGCGCATGCAGCTAGGGGCTTAAAAAAAGTTCCACCTATATCCATACATTGCATGGTGTGTATGTGTGTATAGTCGTGGGGGAGAGAAGTTTTTATGTGAAGGTGTCAGGACGGGGTGATGGGGATGGAACGAATGAAGCTGGATCTATGTATGTATGTACACACGTACATAAAACAGATGGATGGAACAAATTCTGCACTTTGATGGTTTCCTTGGTTGTATCCAAACTTTTTCGTTTCCGAGACAGCAGCATTTAGTAATCAAAAATATGTCTCATCGTCGATAGGGCACTGAATGTCCATTGTTTTGTCTCAAAACAAATCCACATAAGCTTTAAGAATCATCTAATCCTTATACCAGACCAGAAAACGGGCCATTGAAACGAATTGTACACGAAATCAATTGAGGGAGAATGGCGATGATATTCCCAAGTAGCCGCAACTATGGGCGCAAGTGGGCTGGCCTTGAGAGTCGCATCCGTAGGATCTTCAAACGATCGGCCACAGTAACCTTGTAGTCTTACCAGAATATGGCCTGCTAGCTTCATTGATGCCACTCGGGGAAAGTTTCAGGGGAAATTCGTCAGCTGTACAATCTTAAAAAAAAAGAAAACATTGAGATATGCCGAGGAAGTAGACTGCAAACCTACACATGTAGCATGTTGAAATATGTAGCAGAATGGGCAATATACCCACTGTTGGCAAAACACGTGCTTCTTCCCACAACAGGGAACAGAGTGCGTGAAGCTACGTATGGAGAGGTTCTGAACTAGGGGGGTTGTACTCCGTAGAGTAATAGCGTTCTTGGAAAAGGAACGAAGCTTTTGACAAAGCCAATGTATCCTTAGATGTGCAGGACCCGAGAACCAAATCTAGAATTTTAGTGGGTAAGCCGGCCCCGAGTCGTTCTGTCAAACAAGAATGCTTTCCAGCAATGAGATAACAAGACATAGGTCAGTAAACGAAAGCCCAGGGAGCATCGTAAAGCTGAGGTATGGACAACGAAGAGGAGTATTTGGATGCAAGATACTTATTTTAAAAAGAGTTCAGCGGAAGGCAACGTGTGTGAATGATAGAATAAATAAACGAACAGTGGCCTGGTAATAAGATCCAAGGAATAATTGTGCCGTTGAAATAGCTGCCATAATTGAGGTGTTTGCATTAAGGCGTTTGTGAAACGCGATCAAGTATCCATGAAACCAGAAAATATCTGCCCGGGGGAGCTTCCCAGCAAGGAAAATTCGCTCCATTAGTTGGATAATCAACTTCAGTGTCGAAGGATACTTCAAGATCCCAGGCTGCAATTGAGAAGAGACCAATGATAATTGTGTTAAATCCCATAGAAGGATATCGCCAGCTCGTTGGATCATCAATAAAAGCGCGACATGCACAGCAAAAGTCGCGGTAAATGCGAAATTGCAGCTTGTTCAGCGCTGTTGGCGGTCCGGGATGGATTTCAACCCTTTTTAATGTAGCCACAGAGACTCTAGAGATGACTTTGTCTTCAGGTACAGATATCTCGTCCTCTATAGTCAGACAATCCATCGTCGGTCCGTTAGGTTCAGATGAACGGGTTAGCTGGACCTCGCGCGGAACAGGCTGTAGCTGGCCGTTAACACTCTCCCATTGAGTAACTTGTAAAGATCCCCTGTCCACCTCGATGGTGTAGACATAGTCGAAGGTTGGCTGGAGTGGACTGGGGAAGAGAATAGGTTCTCACTCCTTTAAGTTATCTAGGGGCGCTACGATAGATTGTATTTTCTGTACCATGGCCCGCCCGCATGGAGGCGGGATATGGCTTCTCAGGTCATGAGGACGATATCATTTTCCTTTGCGAATTAGTTTTAGGGAACGATCGTTTTAGCATGAAATCTAACGTATCATCACAATGCAAGTTCCATAGGTCTCTCAATTCCATCTCTATTGTCAAGGCAGAAGGTACTAAGGAGGAACATATTTCTAAGATCAAAGATATTAAGTGGTGGAATATATCCAGCACCGAGAAGACCGCGATGTCCGGAGCAATTTAAAAATTTAGATGATCTATTTTTGATGCTTGCTGCTCTTGTCTGGTAGGGCGGAAAAACCTCCTGCCCGAGATGAGTTCCGGCTTACATAAGGCTAAAGCCGGGACACGCACCGATTGAAATTAACCTCCATCTTACCAGGAATCAACAGGAATTGACAACTATAAGTTAAATACACTTTTCCACGATGCTTGTAAAAGAGCCGAGGTCTGATAAACAGCACTCTATACACATGGTTATTAAAAATTGATTAAGACAACAACTTATTTGTATGTAGCTACAGGAATTATTATTCACCCAACACCGCTAACCGCCCGTATCTAATGCCCTTTGATACCCAGTCATAGCTGCAGATAAACAATAAATAGATTATAAAATAAAACTATTTTGGTTTGAAGTGAGGTGCATTGAGGAACAATCCCATAAGGACACCTCCGATGGTTCCAGCAACCGGGATGGTCGCGATCCACGAAAGGAGAAGGAGCCCCACTCGCTGGAAATTGACAGCCTTGATGGTGCCGTTGCAGAGACCAACTCCGACGGTAGCACCAGTGATACACATAGAGGTAGATACGGGAAGAGAGAATTGGGAGAAGACAAGGACAGTGATGGCGGCACCCATCTCCATGGAGGAACCTAAATAGAACTGATCAGCGAATGTGCATTTGACCTAGGAAGAATGCAACAAACCTCTGCTAGGTGAGTGATAGGTGATTTTGTTACCCATGACTATATATGACAAGAGAGTTAGCATGAAATCTAAGATGGCAGTGCAGATACTCGTACCCTTCATGATGTTATAACCATAGGTAATGAGACCGACGGAGATAGTCGCGGAAAGGACAGCGAGCTGCCAGACAGGGACAGGAGCCTTGGAAGCAGCAGCGTTACCCGTGTTCCAAGCAGAGTAGATGACGGCCCAGGGACCGACGGAGTTTCCAATATCGTTGGCACCGTGAGCAAAAGAAGCAGTGCAGGCTGTCAAGATCTGGACGAAAGAGTAGGTGTGCTCGACTTCGTTGGGGTACTTCTCAGCATGGGCGTACACACGCTGCATACGTTTGCCGTCAGGAGTTCCAGCAATACCGGTCTGGGCAGCGTGAATATCGTAGTGGAGACCATAGAGAGCACCGCAGACGATCATAGCGGGGATACGCTTTGCGAGGATCTTCATGTTACTGAACTCATAGATCTGGCCAGGGCCCATAGGGTTCTCATGGAGGGTTCGCATGGCCCAACCGATGGGGCCCTTCTTCTTTCGGAGTTTGGCGTGCAACTTGGCCTCGCCTTGAGCCACGAGTTCCTTGTACGTTGGACCTGGAGCGTCAACCATCGCAAGGTCCTTTGCGTGCTCGTTCTCAGGCTTCTGAGCAGGGGCTTCTCCGATTTCCTTGTTGTTATCGTATTCACTGGTGGAGGTCTTCGAGGGGGAAGCCGGGTTATGATCCTCTTCCTCGTCTTCTTGGACAACAGCATAGTTGGGAACCCTGGCCTGGTCCGCATCAGGAGGTGCTGGGCGCTTGAAGAGAAGGGGGCCCATGACGAACATCCACCACTTGAGGGTGTAATCCTTCTTGATTACCTTGGCATGCACGAAAGGAACAAAGAAGATGGCTGCCAGGAGAGCCACACCACCACCAGTGCCCATCGTGACGGCTGCAACGTACCACGGAGGCCGTTTGTTCAGGCCAAGATTTGGAGAGCCCTTATAGACGATGGAAAGTGTGCAAACGGTGCCGGCGATGAGGAAAAAGAAGGGCGAGGTGTACACAGCCCATCGGACGGGGTTTTTGCGCATATGCACCACAAGCTTGATGAGCATGAAAATACAGGCAGCAAAGCCGGCGGAAATGGCGGGCGCCATTCCCAAGCCAGCGAAGATGGCACCAAGACCCTTGCCGTTGTTCCAGCCCCACTGGACCTTATTGGCACCTACAGTCGCGACACCGACACCGGCAACGGCGGAAATGAGCGAGTAGGTCGACGAAACGTGAGCGGAGTGTCGTGTGCACCACATGACCCATGAGGAGGCGGCAGCCAAAGCACAGGTGAAAGCGAGCATCTGCACCCCGGCATCTCCACGGAAGGCCGACGAGGGGATAATGCCGTTCTTGATGGTCTCAGCAGTTCGTGCACCGACCGTGATGGCACCCAGCATCTCGAAGATGGTGCCGAAGATCATGGCCTGTCGGTATGAGATGGATCTCGACGAGACACTGGTCGCCCAGGAGTTGGCCACATCGTCTACAGGGAATGTTAGTTGCACAAGTCAACGGTTGTGGGAGCACAGAGACCACCTACTTGCTCCGTTGTTAAAGGCATCGAGCATGGCAAACAGAGTGCCGATGACGAACACATAGGTATACTGATCCAACCTCATTTTGGCGGCCTGTAGAGCGATGGGACGAGCAGAGGGAGACGGTCGTGGTGGGCAAGGAACCGGGAAGTGGGTGTTGGGGGGGTTTTATGCGCAGGCCGGCCGGCGGCCGCCAAAAGCAGACAAGGCGTTCAGCAGGGCTTTCATGAAGGCAAAACGCCCGGGCGGGCAATTCCCACTGCGACGGACGCGGTGGCCATGCGCGCTGCAGGCCTGTGAAAGCGGTGGAAGAGAAGCGAAAATTGGCTTCTCTTGTGCGAGATTATCAACGGGGCCGCCGCCAGCGAGCAGCACACGTGGGCCGTTGATTGGCACCCGCGGGGGCAGACGCGCGGGCTTGGCTGTCCAAGGTTTGCAGCGCGGGCTTGGCGCAGCTTGTGTTTTGCTTCGTGATGCTTGTTGGCTGGCGGTGGGGCTTGGCGTCCAGACTGCCTTGGCGGCGCGCTGCCCGCGCTGGCGCGTGAGTGGCCAGCCTGGCCCCCGCCGCCAAGCTCCACCGTTGCCCAATCACGTCCCCGCGTTGGCGAGCTCCCGGCGCCCACGCTGGCCTCGTATCACCCGCAGCAGCCCAGATCGCGCCCCCGTCACGTTCTGCGGCGCGCAGCCCTGGTGGCGCCAAATCCCAATAATAGCGCGCGGTTTAGAGTTCTGCGCTAGCCCGTAAACGCTGACTTTCCCTGACACCCACACTAAACCCGTTACGGCGTCGCGTGCCGGGACTTAATCAATTTTAATCCGACATATTCTGCCGAAAAGGCGGTCGACCGGCTCGGTGCTCTGAAGTCACTTTGAGCGCAACATCTGAACCTCCCACTTGCCGAAGCACCTTCCTCGCCCACCAAGCCAGATTTTCATTTTCTCTTTTACTCTCTTCTGTCTGCTAGCCTAAAATGCATTCTCAATAACAAACATCCCCATTTGAATCCCTATCCGGCTCATACGCGCCTCAGATAGGCCCGCCAGTTTCACCCACTCGTGACTTGGAAACAGCCGATGAACCCCGTTACAGTTCAAAAAATATCAGGATCTGGATTCATTAGGTTGAATAATCATTACTCCCATCCCTCTGAATACATCAGTTGGCTCAACATTGTGGTTGCTTTCTCCTGTGGGAGGAAGAATCATGGCGTCGCAAGGAGCAATTATTGAGGAAACAATCGTCGGGTTGAAAAGAGCACTGGCAAGAGAGCAGCTAGGTCAGTTTCCAAACATCCAGTAAATTTAAAATGGCTTTGTCTTGTTGCACATGCTAATATTATCTGCCTTTTAAGACCAAGATGCCTACGACGATCTGATCACTCAACCAACAAACCGTGGCAACAAAACCCGTTACAATTCAAAATATGTCCATGCTGGGTCCCTGGGTGTTATGAATGGCCGAAATTTCTATCGTAAGGTATGGTTCTCTGTCTTGTTACTTTGTTCCTTTTGGAAAAATTTTCAAGGCCGACCCTGACTGGTGCCGTTTTAGAAAGTTGAGCACGCCGGATACACCCGCCATATTTTGCGGCATAATCCTCCACGCTATGATTCCGAAGGCGATGAACTTGATGAAGAAGATTCAGATACTGCAGCTGACGCTGATGCTGCAGAAGAAAACCCATATTCTGGTATAACACTAGAAGGTGAGTGCTACTTTTTTATTCGGCGAAAATAGGTTTTCTTTACACTCTAGATTGGCGGAGCTAATTATCCTTGCTTTAGCACTTCTTGCTCCACTCAGACACCCATCGGAGCTCCCCGATCACCCATCCCTAGCAGTACCGTACACGAGCAAGGCAATTGCGCACATGGTTGACCTTATAGACCAACGACTGCGGCAAGAACAACATGCCCTTTGGCAAGCTAAAAAATTACACCAGCAACTGTTAGGGGACGCGCCTTGGATTCCTTGCGGGGCCGTGGAAAAACCTCAAGACCGGGCCATTTTCGAACCCTTGTTTCTTTTACCGAAAGACTTACAACAACAACTTGTGTCCGGAGACGCAAATCATATCGCGGCTTCTACCCGGCGACTATCCGTTACTAGACGCTCCCCCCATGAACAAAGAATACACGATGCCACAGTTCCAAACGGCCACAACTTACAGTTGCAGAACGGCCACTCTTCATCTGCTGCTGAAGATATAGAGATGGAAGATGCCACGGAAGATTCAAAAGCACCAGATACACATAGGGATGGCGTGCCATTAGAAACCAATGTCACGCAGGCGGACGCAGAAAATGAACGGCAACAAATACAGACCGAGCCGGTAGGCGATGGCAGCAGCTCAACGCGAGAAGATGGCACTGGCGACAGCCCCAGCGGAGGAGACGTCGAGGGTGGGAAGGATGAGGTTATTCTGCCACAGAATACAAAGACTGAAGACCAAGATGAGAATATGCTCGATAGTGAAATTCCCGAGAACGAGGGCTCGCCCGAGCCACCCCGTAGAATGACCACTCGCGCACAGACCAATCAAGTGACTGGATCCCAAAATACAAGCCGGCCGGCATCCCCTGCCGTATCCAGTGAAAACGCCGACCTCGGCGATGCGGACAGCGACAACCTCACTCCCCATGCGCTCTACCACTTCCCATCTATCAGAATCGACCGCAACTGCGGGCTCCCACCAATGGAAGCCGACGAAACGCGGCACCTGCTTTGGGCGTATATCCAAAAACAGGGCGAGACGGTGCGTCTGTTTTCCGAGATCCTGGAGATGTTACGTAAAGCACATCGCCTCAAAGAAAACGTGTTTGAGTGGTGCAAAGCAGACGGCCACGTGGGGGAAATGAGCGACGGCGAGGATTGGTATGACCTGGACAAGTGGGGGCTTCGTGACGGAGAGGATTTGAAGAAAGGCGCCGACGAGGAGGAGCCCGAGGTCGACGAGGGCCGCGCAACTGGCAAAAGAGGCCGTCGCCGGGCATGAGGCCGATCGCTCATCTGTGCATTTTTCTGTTTTTTGGGCAGGTTTTAGCTTTATATATCCCAGTCCGGTGGGCCACTCCGACGGTTTACGATGACGAGGTTGTTTTGGGGCTATTCCAAGGGAGAGTTGCATTATACCAGGTGTTCTTAGGACTTTGCAGTCGCATGTTCGTTGTTCTACTGTATTTAATTTGCTGGAGTTTGGGGATGGGATCGTCTCGCCCATGGTTTGGGAATCTTGCCTAGCATTACTCTAAAGTCTACAGCCATTGGCGGATTAGCCGCGGAGCTTGGGCGCGTATTCATCCTGCCTACAATAATATATGCTTTATAGCTCGTTTTCTTGTGCGTTTATGTAATGCTATATAAATCTGGACGGGTCTAACTGTACTGTGCTCTGTTTATTGGTCACCAGAACTGTGACCCACTTGTTGAAACCCTCGTTTATCGCCGGGATTTAATTTATCAGGCACCCTAGGAGATGCATGGAATCTATCCAAGTGTGATAGAGTAATTGGGAATGCTACCCTAGCATGCTATCTGTTGGCGATCTGCTTCGGGAACCACAAGACATGTGAATGAAAATAACTGATATATTTTTGGGGGTCACAAGCGAGGGGAGTCGTGCTGAGTCGGTTCTGACATATCATGCATGGCAAGACAGAAGACATGTCAGCCCATCAGAGCCGCTTGCTTGCTTTTCCAGACTTCGCCCGGTCACGTTCGCGCTTTGCATAGATCTCGGCAGTGAAAGGGCTGAAAATGAAAAGGATTGGTTAGTTCAAAGGCAGGTCGCCGGTATCAAGGGGATTTCACAGCACAGCCTAGGAGGAAGGGTTCAACGTACTCTTCCCATTTCAAGGCAAACCAATACACGATAAACACCTCCGCGGTCAATACTAGACCGGCAACTTTGCCGAAATAGAGTGCAACAGCCAAGAAACTCATCGTACTGCCCCAGTACATCGGGGCACTGGATACGTTGAATGGGAATCCAGTGACCGGCGCATCCATCAAAATTCCGAAGTAGTCACCCAAATACGTACCCGTGACCCCTAAAGCCCACATACTCGAGAGCACCAGGGTGTTTCCCACGGCAAACAATCCATATGCTAAATATGGCTGGTGAATAGGGGCAAAATACGGTTGATCTTTGAGAGCCTGGCTGTAGAGATGGTCACGGAATATTCCTATCGAAAAGATAACCGCCCCGAGAAAGTAGCATCCATAGTATGGACTGCCAAATATTCGAGTTAAAAAGTGATTGCGGTACTCTGCGGGCCAAATTGCGACGGGTTAGCAAGGCTGCCAAAACAGCCTGGCTCGCCCAGGGCTCGGTTCGGATACGACGTACCTTGTCGCGCAACCACACTGAAAAAAGTCATTGGTCAGCTTATCTCGGTTAGTTAATGTTACAGCCACCTTTGACTTACTTCCAAAAAATAGGATTGAAAGCGATTGCGGCTGCCGCAACTGTGATATGTCGTGGTTAGCATTTGTTGGATGCTAATACATTCATACATCTTGAAAGGTGGAAGGAAAGAGCATAACAATGGTGAGCGATTAGCACCCACACGTGTGATGCAAAGCTTGCCATACCTTTCAAGCTGGGCTGGCTGAAGTCGACGAAGTCGCTAAGAGACGACATGGTTGCGAAAGCGTCTGCGCTGAGAAAGTCGAGTTGGTCTCGTCGTCATCAGCGGGCTTTTGTTGACGTTTTCACGCCAAGACCGTGACGTCGAAGTGGGCCGGACCTTCGTCGGGCCGGCAGGTGCTGGTTTCACGTGACGGAAACATTCGCGTCCTATCATATCATATGGAGCCGACATAGGACTCGACTCTCGAGTCACAACGGCGTTGGAGTGGGTGCTGGTAATTGACAGAATTGGGAGCTGGCACTTCATGAATTCGTCGAAGAAGCAGCCATGGGGCTGGCCTGGATATCGCCTCTGAAAGAATGACCTTCCGTCGCCGCGATATTCTCCTCGCCGGTGCTGGTGGCTTCATAGCATGGGGGCTGCTCGTCGAACGGCTTCCGGTTCTTCGGCTTCTCGGATATTCATTTGTGCTTGGTGCTAGCTTTGCTGCGTTTACCTTCGGAGCCCTGATCGTACTCAACGTTCGAGATGGAACACGCGATCGAACAAAGCCAACCAGTTTGGCCGGCACTTCCATTGCTTTTCTTACATCCCGTCATTGGGCAGAACACTCCAGAAATTATCAGGAAGAAATAGATTATCGGCCGGACACACTCTATCCCGAATCTCTTATCGTATCTGCTTCTTTGGACGAGTTGCTTCAATTTGCAATGAGGGATTTTATCCTGTCGTGGTATGGACATATCAGTGGAAATCCAAAGTTTTCGAATGAAGTGGATCGTGTCATAAGATTGGCGATTAATAATTTGAGGAAAAGGCTGGAGAATGAAGACTTGGTGGATATACTCGTCTCCCGTGTTGTACCCATTGTGACGGCACATTTTAGAGAGTTTGATAGGGCCGAGAGAGCAGTACGAGGGAAGAATCTCACTCACAATGTTACGGAATCTGAAGAATTGGATATTGCCATTGCTTCTAAATACTTGGATGGCAAACTACATTCTGCTGCAGCACCATCATTTCCTGACGGAAACCATCCGCAGCAAAGCTATCTGCGTAACATTACTTTATCCCTCCTTCCAGAGTTGCTACCACCAAATCTTCTTAATAGCCGGGCCGTATCTATCTTAATCAGAGAAATCATCACATGTGCCGTCCTTTCCCCCTTGATGGAGCTTTTGACTGATCCAGACACTTGGAATCAGCTAGTGGAGGCTTACGGTCGCGCCACGATTCAGGATCGAAAAACCGTTCGAAAGCTTCGTGCTGCATTGGACCGACATGCCTCTCCGCTTCCTAAATCAAACCGATCACAGCAGTTTCCAAAACTTGCACCCCATGACTCAGAGAGGGACTTTGAGCGTTTCGTGAGAGTGATTCGACGTTGTAATAACCTGTCTGACGCCAGAAGATTCAGGAGCTATGTAACTAGTCAACTGAAACGAGAGAGCATGGTGGAGGGCCAAGACCAGGTTTATCTTCGTCGACTTGAGACTGGAAAGAGAGTTCTGGACCAGAAAATTGGAAGACTCTCTGCTGCCAGCTCGAATTCTAGCCCTCATACTGGCACTGATCTCCGCTACAGTTACATATCCAAACCACACGAGGTATCTCTGGTCGACATCATGCATAGTTCCTCGGGCCTGTCATATTTTATGGAGTATATGGATCGTCTTCGTCTTATGTCCCTTGTTCAATTTTGGATCGTGGTTGATGGGTTCAGGAACCCTTTGGAGGATGACTTTGGAGATGATACGCCAAATAAGTCTATTACTTGGACGGCAACGGACCGTAACGATATAATATTGATCAGTGAAAATCATTTGTTGAAACCTGAACTACAGGTGCCGGACGAGTCGATGAAAGCTGTTAAAGAGTTCATTGTTGCTGGTAAAAGGGCAACTCCGGAACAATATCGTAAAGCAAGAACAGCAATTTTAACAGCCCAGTCTACAGCCTTGGAAGAGATGCAAAGCAAACACTACCCGGGGTTTAAAAAATCCGATCTTTACTACAAGTATTTGATCTCTGATGAAGCAGCAGCCACATTCGCCAACAAGTTAGAGAGACCTAGGGCAAGTCGTTCCCCCGCCTCTGATGGTCATCCTGTTGCAATGCAACGAACAGGCTCCCACTCCAGCACCAACTCCCGCGATATGAGAAAACCAGATCTTTCTCCCAGTGAAACGCCAAAACTTGCCCTCTTTTCAGATGCTCAGCCTCCCGAAAGACGATCCCTAGATTCATCACGGGCACCATTGTTTAGCGATGACATAGAGCCTGATCCAATGGAATCTTCAACCTACAGTCTTGGTCAAGGATCCCATAACGGCGATGGAGACCTGCAGGATAGCCGTGTCATAGCAAACATGGAAGCCGCTCTAAATGATATCATGAGTAATGAACCAAGTGACGTCAAAGGGGAAGATTCTCATTCGAAACCATTAACACCCGCTCTCCCTCTTTTCCCGCCTGGCCGAGATGTGGACTCAGCTAGGAGCTCAATTGATTCTACTCGTGTAGATATTCATCCGCCAGAAAAATTAAAGCCAAGTATAGCTTCGCTAGGGCTCGTCAATACTGCCTCTAGGATTGGCGTCTTCACAGACGATGACCTTTTCCCAGATCAAGAGAAGTTTATTGAAGATGAGTATGCAGATGAAGTACCAGACGACAATCCACCTGCAGAAGATGAAATTCATGAAGCTTCTCCGGGCGACCTTGGCCTGACGGAAGCTATCTCTGTATTAAGTTCCGATATAAAGAAACTTTCTTCTCAAGAAGCCATCGTCGATGCACTGACTCGAAAAGCGGAATTAACTAACAATACTGCTGAGCTACGCATATTGGGGAAATCTAAGTCGAGTTTGCAACGCGAAATACGCAGAAAAGAAATGCAGAGGCAGCAATACATTGTGCAAGAAAGCGACAACAGTCTCTACGGTCGTTCAATTGTTCAAATCAAATCCATTATTGTTGGAAAAGAGGAGGACGGCCGTGAATATGCACTTTGTAAGTACTGGTTCTAATTTAACATCGACCTGAGCACCCTTCTTACTGATTGTTATCTAGATCTCGTTGAGGTGAGTCGAAAAGCTGGGGAGCAGATTCCAGCAGCATCCTGGGCAATACCACGGAGATATAGCGAGTTTCATGAACTCCATCACCAACTTCGAGGGCGATATCCAGCTGTTCGGCACCTTGAATTTCCACGCAGGAGGGTGGTAATGAAACTTCAAAAAGACTTCTTGCACAAACGTCGACTAGGCCTTGAATATTATCTCCAGCAACTTCTACTTCTCCCGGATGTCTGTCGCAGCCGCGAGCTTCGAGCATTTCTATCCCAACGCGCCATCATTCCTACTCCTGGACCCGCAGATACTCCGCGCGAAGGTGAAAACCCGGACCTTGTAACGCGCATCTACAACTCCGTAACAGACTCTGTTGACGATATTCTGGGCAACATCCCTGTTTTTGACCAGCTCTCCACGGCCAGCCAAAATCTGATATCCGCCGCAACTACACAACTCAGTAATTCGCCGCCACCCGAACTCCTAACACCAGAAGACAGCCTCACGGCTGCCGAAGCTGAAGCCGAGCTAAACGCATTTGAAGACCGCGAACTAGAGCCATTCGTCAAACCCATTTGCGATATCTTCCTCGAAATCTTCGAGCTCAACAAGGGCAATAATTGGCTGCGCGGACGTGCTGTAGTCGTCGTTTTGCACCAGCTTCTCGGCGGAGCTATTGAGCGCAAATTACGTGAATATGCGAAAGCTCTGGTCCAAGACACTGCTTTATTGCGTTATATTTCCCAGGTCAAAGATCTCATGTGGCCTGGCGGTACACTCAGGCAGTTCAAGCCGCGGACACTCGCGGAGAAGATGAAGAGCCGCACTGAAGCGAGCGTAGTGTTGGCTACTTTGGTGCCAGATTTGGCGAGCAGCGTGGTGGGTAGGGCGAACGCGCAGGCTGCGGCAAGAAGAATATTTGCAACGACAAATAATAGAAAGTTGAATTTACATTTGATGTATGAGATTTTGGATGAAGTTATTGAAGTGTTGTTTGGGAGTGGCAAAGGAAAAGCGGCGTAGGCATGGACAGAAGACATTGATGGTAGTATTTTCTTCTCGACACTTGACACTTTAGACATATACTGCCGTGTGTCATCTTTTTAAGGAGTTCTGCATCGCACGGGGATTTTCTGATCACTGAATATATGGAGCATAGCTTGGGTTTGATATTGGTTGCTATAACTCTACAGGCCCTATATTGACTGTACACTTTTCCCTTACATACAGAATCATGGTTCTTCTAAAACTCCAAATGTTGATAAGCTCTCTCAACTTAGACTCAAGGCTAGTCAACCACATAGATTAAGAGGTGGAGTCATGTGGCATATTTGACTCATTCATTGAAATAAAAATGATGATAATTGATTCATTACTGTTGTAGTGCATGTACAACCTGGTTTGGCATTGCCTTCAGTGAAATTCAGCACTGCAACCCAGACATCCTAAACTATACAGTTTAACAGAATTACTTATATAACCCTCAAGAAAGCTCATAGTAAAAAGCCACTTACAGACTGAGCGGCTGATCTATTTGTGTTCTTGAGTTAAATAAATACAGCAAGTACATATGTGTGAGTGGCTATTGTAAGAATGTAAGAAAAGACATAAGTTGGTAATAGAGCCCGTATATTCACATTCTCCATACTTAGAGTAAACAAATTCGGGAGGTTTGTGAAAGGATGGTAGGATTTCACTCAGCATCACCCTTCTTCTTTGACTTTTTGCTTACGGGCGCACCTTCTTTCTTCTGGTGTACAATTAAACATGTCCATGATTCCTCCTTGTCCCACTCAAAGCCAGCCAGGATGGGGTTGTCAAGTTCATCATCAGCCTGTTTATTATAATCTTGTTAGCAACCAAAACCTAGTCATGTTTTAGATCTGTAGCCCATACCTTCTTCTTGAATTGTTTGTGTATCGCATCTAAAGCGTCTTTGATTGTTACGCCTTTTAGATTTCGAGCCGTTACATGTAATCCAAGAGGGAAATTAAGGTCGATCTTCTTGACAGGGGGCGTTGTGAGGAATTTCTTTAGGGTGTCTTTGTCATCTAAGCTTGCAGGAGATGTGTTGAGTTTCCTGGACTGCATGTTAGACATACATACATCAATTGATCGACGTCATAGAAATAACATATCATACCAGTTTAGCTTCTGTGTTTCTGGGGCAATCTTCAGTTCAATTCCTTCCTTCTCTTTTGGAGAATTGGAGTATTAGTATTGTATTATACAGAGAAAGAATCCAGCTACTTAGAAGCCATACCTAGATCATTGATGTTCATGACACCCGAATCCTGGGTGACACGCTTTGACTTCTTCGTCTCAGGAGAAGCTGGAATACCTGCAACAGCAGAGTCGATCTTGGTGAGAGGTTCCGACATATTGTATGGAAGGTATATAGTGCTAGAATAAAGCAAGAGCTTGTTAGTTTAGGTGACATCAAGCATGTAGTATGTATGTACAATAGCAATGAGGATAGATAATAAGATCTGATACAGAGAAGCCAATAATGAATGGAAAGGGGCAAGCAGGCAGTACTGTTGGGGGAGGCACTGTACCCTTAAAGCTGCAAAGGGATAATGTCTTGGAAGACAAGATTGAATCGGATGAGCGAGCTGGTAGTAAGCGGATGGAAGTAGATGAAGAGCGAGGAGTGACACGTAACTAGGGGAAAGGAAGAAGAGAGAGAGAAGGGAGAGCGAGAGAGACGACGCCAGAAAGCGGGGTTTTGAGTCAGCCGAGAAGGGTAGGAGTACAGGGGACGACATGGGGGAGACCAAGAGCTCACGCCATCCTGCCGGCGTGGCGGAAGTACCGTCTAGGTACTGCTACTTGCCGCTCTCCCGCGGGCCAATCGCAAGCTCTGGACGATGCTGGATGTCTCGTGACTGTCTGGAAGAGGAAGCAACCATACACAAGGTTGGGTGCGAATTGGCTGGGAGGAGCGTAGCCAGTCTCTGCGTGGAGGCCGGTTGCCCATCGCTGGGGTCAAACAGCGCGCCTCCTGCCTGTTACCAACACAGGTAAAACCGATTACTGATACTAACTCGTTAGTTATCTCTTTGGCTGGCTTGCCCAGTGCACATCACTGTGACGACGAGCTTGGTAACGAGGCACACGAGGTATCTCACAAGTACTGCTACATCATCGTCTCCACCTTGGCTGGATCGGATCACCTGCCGTTCGATCTGATTCGTCGTACCCCGCATTCTCTAACACAACCCCCATAGCACTAAACTCAAGACAGCTTAGCTTAACCCGTCTCCCGTTTGCCCTTGTTTGCCCATCGTGCTTCGGTATTCATTTTAACACGGGAGTAGAAGCGATCCGCCTGTCGAAAGTTGAGGTGAGAGCTTGCTCAAAGCAGGGCCTGGGTTTTCAGGTCCCATCAGCCATTATAACACAATACGGAGTACTGGTTGCGTGAGCATCTCCGTCCTGCGTGGACTCGGGGCCGTCCTTTCCGAAGTCACCTCACCAAGGATCTAGACTGTACACCGACAACAGACAATAATCGAGTGGGTTAGAGCACATTCTCGTCATCCTAGATACCCTTCTATAGGCCTCCATAGCAACTTCAGTGGCTAAACTAGGTTAAACTAGAAGTGCTTGACCTTGCCTGAAAGCAAGGGGTAGAATCTCTAAAACTGTCCTCGAGGCTCCATTTAAGTTTTAAGCATATGCGAGCTGTTATCCATGCTTCTCAAAATCAACGAGTAGTATATGACAATGGAGTTGGATTGAACCTGAGGCGTGGTCTTTTCAATCAATAATGTATTTTGCATGGTGAGCTCTTACCCATGTCCCTTGAGCTTCATCGGCGGGCGCCTAATTTTGAAAGGCCTTAGCCTCCTTCCTCATTAGCGTACTAATGCAAACAGTGTAAACAGCTTTGAAGCTAGTTAGATGAGTCATCACACACATGACATTTGTCGCGTTTGCACCGCACCTCTATCATAGCCAAACATCGAATCCAAAATAGAAAACGAGCAAAGCTTCGAGGGTTGAAGCAAAGCCGATTTCCCGCACTTGTTATTTCCTTTCACGTTTTGATTTTTTACTCTTCGGCTTGGAGCTTTTTCCCTTTTCTTCCTTTTTTTACAGTGTGCATGAGAGAGTAGAGGCTGCAAAATGTCAGGACTGTTCGGTTCCGTCGCAGCCTCTGGAAGCACCTCTAGTGCTACAGGTGATCTCTCGAAAGACGTCGCACTGTCTTCCCCGCCTGAAGATAGTATTTCTGATCTTGCGTTCTCAAGTGTCAGCGATCACCTTGCGGTCGCTTCATGGGACAAGAAGGTCCGCATCTACGAAATCAACGAACAGGGCCAAAGTGAAGGGAAAGCTTTATTTGAGCACCAGGCTCCCGTGTTGAACTGTTGTTGGTCGCCTGTATGTTCATCCTATTTTATTTTTCACTAATCTTTTTCATAATTGATTTCTTTAACACATACGGGGTATTTAGGATGGAACAAAGGTTGTTGGCGCCGGTGTCGACAAAGCCGCTCGCATGCTTGATCTTGCCGGCAATCTCAGCAATCCCGTTCAAGTCGCCGCACATGATGCTCCTATTCGATGCTGCGCCATGATCTCAAACCCAGGAAACTCGTCACAACCTTTGCTTATTACTGGATCTTGGGACAAAACAGTGAAATACTGGGATTTACGACAATCGACGCCAATTGGCTCGCTAGATTGTCAAGAAAGAGTATATACGATGGATGTTAAGAACAAGCTCTTAGTTATTGGTACAGCTGATCGATATATCAACATCGTGAACCTGGATAACCCTGGCAAATTCTACAAGACAATACAATCCCCTCTAAAGTGGCAAACTAGAGTCGTCAGTTGTTTCGCAGATGCGACTGGCTTTGCAGTTGGAAGCATTGAAGGCCGTTGCGCGATTCAATATGTGGAGGACAAAGATTCAAGCTCAAATTTCAGCTTTAAATGCCACCGTGAAACCCCGCCCAACACAACCAATATCAGCAACGTGTACTCAGTAAACACCATCGCCTTCCATCCGACACATGGAACTTTCAGCACCGCAGGGAGCGACGGCACATTCCACTACTGGGACAAAGACGCTAAACATAGACTCAAGGGTTTCCCCAACGTCGGAGGAACAATTTCTAGCTCGACTTTCAATCGTACCGGAAACATCTTTGCATACGCTGTGAGTTACGACTGGAGCAAAGGATATACTGCCAATACCGCCCAAACTCCAAATAAAGTTATGATGCATCCCGTTGGTGCAGACGAAGTACGACCTCGCCAGGGTCCACGCAGGAACAGATGATACAGCGTAAGTGTTTTTATACGACTACTAAATCATCGCCTTTGAGGGTGGGCTGCACAGAATTCCTTATCGAAAGCACCACGTCTGTCAGCCACCCTCATGATTCAACGACCAATAAATGAATAAATGGACTCGACTCCACCTTCTTCGTATCTTCGATACATTTCATATGGCGCTGTGGCTATTCCCGTAAAGTCAAGGTTCTTTATACCTTTTCTACTATACATCTTCTCAGCATTTTATGAACACACTCTCGCTGTAGCGACCATCTTTGACAGATCCTGTTTCTCACTGCACTGCCCTTCTCTTGATTACTGCGGGATCTGGAAATTGGTATTTGGGTTGCTTTTTGAGATACGATTCCCTTTTACATACCTCCCGTATTTTTTATTTTTTTTTTGCCAGTCATCTATTACTCTGCCGAAAATATTTACCCTGGCGCAAATTGAAAACTGCAGCGCAACTTCCATAATATTAGGCGCAGTAGATAGATCGGAATCAATTGAATGGAAGTTACTTTAATTGTCAGTCACTTGCAAAAAGAACAACAGCATCTCCGATTCATGTCTGTCTACCACATAAGGTCTTCCGGAGGACGTCTTGACTCCACCAAAAGCAAAAAAGTAGAACGAGAAAGACACTCCCCATATGCTAAATGGCAACCGCTTCCCCAGAAAAGGACAAAGAAGACTCGCTCATCCATCATGGCCGTTTATTTTTCCGTCAAAAAACCAACTAACTCTAAGACGTAGGAATGGTAACTTGCGCAACGCCGTCGGCAATCTTCTCGACAGGCTCGTCTTCGTTGCCCTCAGCCGCCACAGACACCGATTCGGTACCCCCTTTCGCAGATGACTCTACACGTTTTCCCTCATTACCAATAGCTTCCTCCTGGCCAGCCTTTGGCGACTTTTTCTTGTCCTTCTTCTTTGCCTTGTTTGCAGCTTTCTTCGCAGCTAACTTAGCGGCTTCCTCTTCCTTCTTCTGTCGTTCAGCCTGCGAGCCACCGAATACGGCACGCCATTCATCCGCCTTCTTGACATCAATATTGGTGAAGAGGTATTGTGCTTTTCCAATTTTATGGCCTGGTTTTATGACTGTTGGTTTCCAGCCCTCTTTAAGGTCGTCCAAAGATGGAATATTATTAAACGTAGCATCGAGTTGTTCAAGGATGGATTTTGATGTGGTAGGGAGATAGGGAGCAAAAACGCTGGATAGAAGGTGAATCAAGTTGATGACGATGCCAACTACAGTAGCCGCGCGTTCAGGTTCATTAGCAATGAGGGAATTGTCGAGTTTATTGGATTGGATAAGATTATTTCCTGCTTCAGCAATTCTCATGGCAGTGGTGAGTCCTGCACGGAGATGAACACTTTCCATTTCTTCGATATATTGACGAAGAATCCCCGTTATGTCATCTAAAACGGGGTTGAAAGATTCTGGTACTGTAAACTCAGGGACAACACCACTGTAAGCTTTGGGACTTGCAATCAGTTTGATAATTCTGTTCACGAGGTTTCCCAATTTGGCCAGAAGCTCTCCATTATTGGCGTCAATAAAAGATCGCCATTCAAATTGTGTGTCCCCTGTTTCGGGTCTATTTTTCAAAAGGTAATACCTCCATACATCTGCCGGAATTCCAGTGTCCTTGGCATTATTACCAAACACCCCGATACCACGAGATTTGCTGAACTTGCCATTCTCATAGTTTAGGTATTCCGTCGTACTTAGGTGATGTAGCATGGTCCATTTGTCATTAGTGCCTAACTGACAGCCAGGGAAAATAACAGCATGGAAAGGCACATTATCTTTGCCCAGAAACTGGTACAGTTGAACGTCATCTGGATTCCTCCACCAGAGCTCCCAATCGTCCGTGTAATTTGCTGTGATGGAAGGATATCCAATACAAGCCTCAAACCAAACGTAGAGAACCTTCTTTTCGTATCCCTCGAGCGGAACCGGTACACCCCATTTCAAATCTCTAGTAATGCCACGATCCTTCAAACCCTCTTTTAGCCATGCTTCGGTAATGACCCGGCTGTTCTTTGGCCAATCACCCTTCTCGATGGCTGGACGAACCCATTCTTCGATCTGGGGCTGGAGTTTATCTAAAAGAAGGTGTATGTGTTTTGTTGGGCGGTTTACCGGTGTCGCGCCATCAACCTTGCAGCGAGGATTTATCAGGTCAAAGGGATCTAGCAAGTTTCCACATTTGTCACACTGATCTCCTCTCGCGTCATCGTAATGACATCGAGGGCACTCTCCTTCGACGTATCTGTCTGCCAAAAATGACTCGTGTTTTTCGCAATAAGGTTGTTCGGCCGTCTTTTCCTCCAGGTATCCATTGTTATAGAGTCTTTTGAAGATACTCTGTGAAATTTCCGTATGCTTAGCTGTTGGGGTTCGACCAAAGATATCAAAGCCAATACCAAACCACTCGTAGACCTCTTGGTGAATTTTGTTGTATTTCGCACAAAGTTCCTCGGGGGTCACACCCTCCTCCAGGGCTTTGGTCTCAGTTGCAGTGCCATATTCGTCTGTCCCGCAGATATACAACGTCGGTCTGCCACAGGCTTTGTGATATCTAGCGTCTTTTTGTCAGTATCTCCACACGAAACATACAGAATAATAAGAGTCTGAGACGAACCTCGCAAAAACGTCAGCACTCAGGACGGAACCGACAATATTTCCCAAATGCGGTACGTTATTAACATAGGGCAAAGCGCTGGTAATTAGGATATTCCGTTGGCCTTTCTGAGGCAGAATCTTCTCCTGCGAGCCCATGTTGGCCGAATTGTTGGGGAGGTTGCGACAAGGATGGATTCCTGAATTGCAATGGCGGGGACAGCGAGTAGCTCACTAGCGGGGAAGCAAAAAATCAACAAGCTTTGACTCATCCGGATTCTACATACCCTAGCCCGCCCTATCACATTCTACGTTTCAAACGGTCATCTGCCCTTTGGTCGACACGCCAGGCACATTGGTGATGGATCTGGACAGCCTCCTGGATTTAGAGGAGGGCTTCTACGCCGAGGGCTACGAGCTTGGAGTCACAGACGGCCAACGAGCGGGGTACAATGAAGGGAGCATTTTTGGTATAGAGAAGGGATTCGACAAGTTCCAGGAGATGGGTCGGCTATATGGCAAGGCAATAATTTGGGCAAAAAGGTTACCCGGAGAGCATGGTCTTCTCCACAGCTCGAGGACTGTGAACGGCGCTTCTCAGGGCCCAGGAGGCAGCCCCAAGAGCGCCGCATGCATTGTGCATCTGCCCGACCTCCCGTCGAATCCTCGACTAGAGAAGCACCTGACATCTTTTCTCTCGCTAGTTGACCCATTAACGTTACCGATGGAAAACACAGAGGACGCAGTCGCCGAGTTTGACGAGAGGTTGAAGAAAGCAGCAGTGAAGGCCAAAATTATAGAAAAGATACTGGGAGAATCAAATTCTGAACTAGAAAGAGGAAAGTCTGGGATTTCGAACCCGACCACTGGCTTCAGCAACATTGAGGATGTGGGAGCCATGCCGCTTAGAATGGTGCAGGGACCGTGATACTCCTATACTGATGGTTTCCAGAGTGGCTCCACCTTCGCTTACTGCTAACGCCTTATGTGGCTCATTTCCATGGCCATGAAGAGCTATTGCCATTACAGAGTATGAAATATTGTGATTAGGCTTGAAAGATCCTGAACCTCTCAGCGAACCCAAGTTAAATGGGTATAGAAATAGAAGAAGGTACAGTTGCAGCATTGATATAAGATTCGTTACCATGCTACCGACTGCCTTAGGGGTAAAATAGATCTGGCAACTTTCCCCATTTCTCCCATTAAATGGAGGGAGAAATATATTAGGGATTCCCTCGTTATTCTGGGACGGTATTTCCGAATATTTTGACTTGATCTTGGGGATGATATCTGTATATTTTCGCTTCTGTCTTTAGCATTCGTGCTCCAACTGGGCTACAAAGATAGGCAGTATTTTATCGTGTATGAGGACTAGTGCGAAGGCCATGAGAATTGCAGATGAAGCGGTGAAGAAACATTATTTTCTTTGAAATGGGGTAGATACTTTTGTGTTCTAGATCATAGCAAAGTAAGGGCTTTTTGTTCGTCACAGACGACTTATGGCTATCTTAATGTTGAAGCGCCATTAACAGCCCAACTATCCTACGCTTGAGCCAAACGCCAGCATCAAAGACGGTGCCAACAGCTCTGAAAGCTACCGCTTACTCACGTATCATGAAGCAGCACCCTGTTTGAAGCTGGAACAGTCGGCTTCGGTGCAGCTTGAGCCCTTAAGGAACAATCCCATTTGAAAGTCGGCCTCATACATTCATCTCAGTCTTGTGCCAGACATATACTCGCCATCTGAAGCACACCCTCTTTGCTGGCATGGCCGCCAATGAAGCCGCTAGCATGTGTGAAGACGGCTCCTGGAGGAGGTCTCGATAATTGCTTCCTCTGGGCATCGGCATCAATAACCTTGTCAAGATCCGCGTCTCGCATGCCACGCCAGGAGTCAGGCAAGGGTCTTCTAGACACGAAGCTTGATTCTTCTTGGGGCACACACTGGATGCGCCATTTGGAGGATGGTTCAGTGGATTCCGGGTAAAGAACATAGTAGACCTCTTTACCAATAACCGGTTCATTTGTTTGTCCGAGTGTCGAAACTCCTGGTGCTGCCTGCTCGAATTGATACAAATGTTCTTTCCACGGTACTCCGCCATTCTTGAACACGATAACTCTGCCGGATGGATGAACATCGAAACGAGACTCGTAGGCGGCTTTAACAGCCCCCCGGGCGGGCAACCATGAGCCAGTTGCCGCACGAAGTTTCCTAGAGAATATATCTCCGATGAACTTGCTAGCTTTCTCGAACAGGCCATCCTCGTCAAGCTCCTCGCCTGGATCAGCGACGTTCATATCGCCGACCACGGCAGCCAAATGGACTCCACCATTACGAAAGCGCTTTGTCAGTCCAGCGGCATCAATGCCCTGTGGGTCATAGGTAGAAATTCCATTATCATGAGCATCCAAAGCCTCGATGAAATCGGTGTAGAGCTTCTCATAGATAATGCCGACGTCTGGGTCGGTATCTGGTTTAGCCATGTGCTGAGAGACAATATCCTTCCCAAAATTCAAGTAAATCAGGCCTGCCGAAGAAAGTTTCGTCGTATGGCCAGGAAATGTTTCTGCAAACCCGCGCTGGTGATGGTCATAACGGTGTGTCGAGATGTTGTATTCCCCACCAACGTCAACGACCGTGCTGCATCCTTCGAGCTTTCCAGGTTCTCTGGTGCGAATGACAGGAGAAGACGAATACTCCGGCAACATGCGAAGGAGATAGACTGCTAAGGCTTCATCTGCGTGAAAACGGCCACTACACCAAGTTAGTCAGTACTTAAGATGTTCAACATTAGAGTAAGCATACTTGTGGGTGCCGATCAGAGGGCCAGTGAGTTTTATCTTTTTTGAGAATGAATCTTCTGCCATTTTTAAGAGTCGGCGATATATGAGCCTCATGCGCGAAAATCCATCGACAAGTTCTTCAAAGGGGAATAACAGTTGGGCGGAGAGTGAATACTTTTGACTTCACGCGGCAGATCCTGCGCCGGACTCACCAATCACCGAGCACCACTCACCAGGTAACTGAGAACTGCGCTATGAAGACACGTTCAGTAATTCTTACTTGATTCGCTAGCTGTGCTCACTGATATATTGTAGAGGGCATTTTCTTCATTCAGTACGGAGTACTCTAACCCCATACTCCGTATTCCCCAGACGTTGAACTTGATGAATACAAACCAGCTACAAAAATCGAGCTCTTTATAGGGTTATCGATGTAGTCAACTGCCATGGGAAAAAAAAAAAGTTCAGAATAATAGTCGAGGGCAATTGCATCCAATTAAATAACATGATTTAGGAAATATCAAATAAATATTCAGTCGTAGAATGAGAGGGCTTATCAAGTGAATCTCCTGGGCTGCTCAAAGACTGAGAGGCATTGTGATATGGATGAGCTGGTATTTTTATCCCGTAGAGTCTCTCTCTACCACTCATTTGCACTTGCACTGCACCCACGGTATGCCAAACCCCAACCAAAATAGTCATTTTCAGAGAACTTCCTTGGCTCCTTTTCTTCATCCACAAAAATGTGCTCATAGTCGACAAACCAGCTACAGAAAATAACGTTAAACCCAGTTAATCATCCCAAAAAGTATGAAAATGCTAGTGTACTTACCATTTATTCCCTTTCTCGTCATAGATGATGTTTCCAAGGTGTGTGTCTATCGGCCTAGCATGATAGCGCAATAGCTCCCTACCCAGTAAATCGTTAGCATTTCAACTAAAAGGCCGATGATTGCGGGATATTTTAATATCATACGTTAAGCTATTCCGAAATGCAGCTCTAATCTTCTCACGTTTGTCGAAGTCATAATCCCAAAAATCAACCAATGGCACGCCAGTGACTTTTTGCATCAATATAAACACCACATAGCCACCTGGCACAGGAAGATGCTCCCATTCTTGTAGCGAGCGCTTGACATAGAGTAGTTTAGGGGTCACCTTGCAGCCCTTTTGGTTGAAGTGCCTCAAAGAGACAAGTTCATGCTGTGTCCAAGGACTAGGGTCTCTTAGCGCTAGCTTGCGGCGGACCTCTGGGTTAAAACTGGTAGGGTATTCAGGTGGCACTCTGCTTTGAAGTCAATCAAGAGAATATGGATAACTTGAATTTGGGGTGACATGAAATAAGTAATCACCACTTACTGAAACCGAACCTTGGCGATGGCTTCATTGACCACCCTCCCATTGATGATTTGTTGGCAAGAGTAGACAGCGATGCCCTCAGCCCAGGCTTTTCCTGTTCCAGTCCTTTCTGCTGGGGAAAAGGTCGCCTTTTCAGACAGCTTTTCGCCGAGTTTCCAGATCGTGCCATCAGGAGACTCAATTATGAAGTCATCAAGCAAGTTACCAATCCAGTTCTGATGAAAGGGCAGGCGACCCATGGTCAAAAAGCGTGTTTGAGGTATAATATATTGAGGAGAAGAGAGGACAGAGTTAAGTGACGAAAAGGAGGCATGTTCTCATTTTCACAGCGATCTTCAGGGCGTTTAAATACTGTTGTTGGAATTCTCCTACAGCCCTTTGCCTAGCTAACTAACTACCAGAGGCTTGGCATGGACGCGGTCATGAGTACTCCATACAGAGTACGGAGTAACTATATTAGCCGCCGAAGCTTAGGAACCAATCAACTAAGCCACCAAACAACAACCCAGAGCCGCTGTCTTATAGTGTGTTGTCTAATATCTCTGTACCAGGTCTGTGTGGACTACAGATTTAACCGCCGCAGTCTCTTCCTATGCATCATATGTTAGTAGCCACCAAGGCCCGGCAACCAATCAACTGAGGAACTGATGCTCTATACAGAGTGTGATTTGATATCTCTGCATCAGGGTTCGGTGTGGACTACAGACCTAACCGCCGCAGTTTCCCCCTAAGCGTGCTCCGCAAATAATGCCATACATGGCGGACCGGATATTGAAAGGAATGTCCGTTTCCCAAAATAAACCAAATGTCGAGACGCCCTTCCTGATGTTTCGGCATTAGGAATACGAGAAGATATTACCAGGACCTCATTGGGCTTCTTCGCGCCAATGTCGCGGTTGGCAAACGGTGCCAGATGCCCCTAGGATTCCCAGCCACGAGGGCTTCCTAACACCATGGTGATTGTCGATTTGGCGCTTTCCAGAGGATATAAAAGATGGCTTCCTCCTGTATTTCCCTCTGTTCTCCAACTTTATCCCTCAAGAGATCCAGTTTGCCCAATACCTTTTTTATAGTACATTACCTACCTCATAAGCCGAGCAAGCCAGTATATTTTTTCACTTCTTCGTTGTACAAATACTACGATGGCACGGAACCACAATTATCGCAGTGGCTATGAGATTATCTGCGCGCAGCTTCCCAATATTCTTACTCGAAAGCATTTTCAAACAACAAGCACCGCTTGGCACGGCTCTTATTATCTCGGAAAGATGGCTAAATGGAACATCGAACCAGACGTCACTGCCACCATTACCCCAGCCCACATGAAGCCAGGGCTTTTATCGATTCACTCAGATATCGTGTTACAAGAAGCGGGCTGTGTTGACCATGAACATTACCTTTGTGGTGACGAGCAATCTGTATGTGGACGCTATGGGCAAAATGCCCTCGCACCTGTAAGCGCAGTTGCATTCCACAATGGTCTTAAGTATCGTTTCGGTGATTATAAGGTCTCTTCTGAGAGTACTTATCCTGGTAATGGAACTTATATCCCAGATTTTGTCGCTGTTTCTTGCCCAGCTGCAAATCTTGGTGAGCTGCTGAAACTGAAAAAAGACACTCCTCACAATATGGTAATAGTGGGAGAAGCAAAGACGCCTTGGAAACATGACCTTATGACAGCCTGGAGTAAATTTAGCGAGTCTGGCGACGATGAAAATATTCGACATGCTTTTGGTATGTTTCTACTACAGCGGATTCTCGCATATTTCTATATAAGAAACTAAAGGCCTTTTCTCTAGGGCAAATTGTTACATATATGCAACGTTTTAAGATGCGATACGGCTTTCTAACGACATACAATTATACCATATTTCTCCGGCAGGAACTGCGTGGGGGAGAACCAGTATTGTACTTTACCCGTCCCATCGAAGCCACCAGCTCCCTAGAGAGTGGCAGTATTTCAATCCGCCAGTGCTTTTACTACCTACTTTCCAAGTGTCAGAGCCCTGGGGACTATCAGATTACTAGTCCGGTTTCGCCTTTACACTGGATTGGTGACTTAGCTGCATACCAATTGTCCAAGACGCAGAACCATCAGGAGCCGATTACACCCCTCTCCCGCCGTACAGCTCCACCAGCAACAATTTACCAAAATACCCCAGACGGCTGGACTGGAATGAGCGGTATGTCGCCATTGAAACTCTTCCGAGATGGCTTAAGGTTCAGGGCAACAATACTCTTCGACATAAACCATATTGAAGGATCAGACCCCAATCACAAGAGTGTTAAAATCAACGGAAAGGCAATTCGGGTTGTTATTGAGGATGATGCCGATATACATGGAAATCCCCCTTATGAACGTTCTCAGGAAGAATTTGATTATCCTACTTCTGAACAAAAACAGGATGCCTGTGAGAAGCGCAACGTCACATTCAATGTTTTCAATCCACAAGAAGATGAAAGAGACGACTCTCAGAAGGGCAAGGGATTGCTATTTGATGCGCTTGAACGTGCAAGAGTCCCATCCCGGTCTGAAGATCACGTTGGGGTTGACGCAGATATGTCATACAGCCAGAGAGACCCACAAAGGTCGTTTAACCCAGAGTCAGAATTTCCAGCCTATAAACATAGAGCCACTGACGACCGGGAATATTTATATCAAAGTGATGACACAAGAGCATATTCTGATATGCTCCAGTCACCATCACCAGCGGCAAGGGCTGGCCGAGAGAGAGAGCTAACGAGCTTAGGTAGAACGGACGAAACCTCGTATGCGAACCCATACTCCAACACCCCTCATTCCCAGTATGATACCCAGCGACTGTCAGGAGCACCGCAACCAGCAGACCCTACTAGTCGGGCCTTACCTCATCGTTCAAGGGACAAGGGAAAGGAGAAATCCGAGAGATCTGAAAAGTCGGATGAAGGAAGAAAACTGCGCTCTTCAGGCAAATCTACGGATCAACAGCCACCTAAAAAAGGGGGCCCTTCTCTTTCCGGACGCAGTTCCAAGAAACGCTAAAGAGAGTAGTTTTCGCCTTTTTTTGGTCGGGTGGGGTGGGGAGGTATTTGAGGTATGTGTGTTGAATGATGGAAGGCTGTGTTTTCTTTCTTTTGGAACCTTGCTTTTGTAGGTAGAAAGTGTGGATGGGGTTTAGCCAGAAACGAACCTTGGTAAGGAGTAGTGATGGAAGAGCTTGCCAGAAAACAATTTGGAAACAGAATTATGGTATTTATGGAGTATATAGGAAATTTGTTTAGTGAATATGAAGACATTTCTGGATTGATGCATCTGATATTCTGAAGTGTGTTCAGCAAACGCTCAAGCCTTTGCCGACATCAAGGATGGTAGGCAGCTATCAATAAAAGCTCCTCGTAAATTATAATTAATACATGGCAACTTGAGATGAATTTCGGCCTTGGGCTATCTTAAAGAAATGAAAGGAATGGCACCTTCGCAAGATTGCATGCGGCTCTCACTTGAAGCGGACGGAATGTATCCCATTGATAGATTATTCTGTGGTCGTCTCAAACCTGGGTGGCGAAGATCTCATTGGCGACGGGCTTTATTGACATGGCTTGCTTAGGTAATCGCACTTTGTTACTAAGCAGCTGGCCACGATTGCAATACCCGGTACCAAGTAACTCGGCCACAAGGCCGTCTTTGTCGGATTTCCGGTGGCTCGCGAAATTGCTCGCGTGGAGTGCTGGCAAACCACGTACATAGTGCAGGCTGCCTGTCTGCTGCTAGGATGCTTGCCCAATCCTGCGTCTGAAATGCCATGAACATGCGGGCCCACGGTGGCGAGCTTAAAGATTGGCGCCGGCGAGCACGAGAAATCAAGTATTAGTATCGCGACCTGCGCAAAACAAAAGTCTTCAGGCCTGGAGATCACAAGCGGGAAGTAATTTTTAAATTGAGATCGCTCTATCTTTTTCTTCAGCCCTCAGCACTGAAAATGTTGTGATTCCTTTCAACCTTGGGCGCTCTGCTTGGATTGTTCTTTTTCCCACCCATCCGATTTCTTCTTGAGCCTCTTCCGCCGAATTTGTCCCGGTTGGACCACTCTGGCTTCATCGATCTCTCAGGTATCTCGCCCTCCCGCAATCGCCCACTGCTCTGGCGCCCTTGAACTCATTGTAGAGCTTGCCCGTCCATCCAGTTGGCCCTGACACGGTTCTTCCAGGCACCCCGTTCAAGGGTATCCTGCAATCACGCCGCCGATCATCCTGCAGCACCTTTTTTTACATACCTCCAGAGTTGACACGACTCAAGAGCTCTTCCAACCATCTACATTGCGCATCGATCGAGGGACAATTCTGTCGGCCTTGCTCCTCGATTCCCACCCTCCCGACACCGCATCCAACGCGCTCGCTGGCGGATTCACCCCTTTCTCCTGTCGATGTGGATCATACGTCTCTTTTCGTCCGCCTTGTTTCTCACCGCCATCGTCCTCTCCATTCCTCTCGCCTTCGATGTCGGTGGGAGAACTTGCGGTCTGGCCTTTTCCCTCTCGCTGGCCACCTTCTACTTCCTCTTCTCGGTGCTAAAGCTCTCCACCCCAAGCCAGTCGCGTGTACGCTACTCCTTAATCGTCGTTGTCCGATCGACCCAATGGCTCGTCGTGCCGATTTTACTCATTTGGTCCTTGAACAAATTCTCCGTTGATTCGGACAATTCGAGTGGATGGGTGGAAAGGACTTTTGGTGGAAAGAGGGCCCTGGATACTTCGATTCAAGAATGGCTATTTGGCACCAATGGCTTGATTGAGACTGTCTCGCTCGGCACTTGGGATAGGCTTCTACGATGGTCTACACCTGTCTTTCAGCTAGCAGAGGGATTCTGCAGTCTGTTAGTGATCCAAGCCGCTGGTCAGATTACAAGATGGCTAGTCAATAAGGGCGGAAGAAGTGACAGCTGGATGGTACGTTTTGTGCTTTGTGGAACGCTATGCACATTTTCTAACATATTCACGATTCATTAGATTGGCCTTCTCGTTATGTCAGCCTCGATAATTTCAAGCTCGATATATTTTCTGTGGCGCGTGTTACAATTCCCCGAAATCAGTAACGTCGACTCCGCTTTGATAGGTGTCGCAATTACCTGTGCGGTATTCCTTTGCGCCTGGGGTATTGGAAGCGGTCGCGGAAACCCTGTGGAAAGCTCCCTGCTGTTTGCTTACGTCGTCCTTTGCATCTATCAAATATTCACCGATTACCAGTCATCAGCGCCGGCCGAAGCGGCATCTCAACCTGATTTCCCACCACTCCCACCCATTATTATGGCGTCTTATACGACTTTAATGCATACCTTGTCCGCTTTACCATCGATAATTCACACAGCTTTCAATATCGTCAGTGCTGCGTTCAGTGCCATCAGCCCTTCCGTGTTGATATCCCTCCTGTATCGCTTGTTTGTGCTTTACGCGTCAACTAGGATCATCCCTGCTGTGCGAGAATCCGGCGCACGAGCCCTCTCTCAGGAGGCATCTCTAGATGATTCTGATGGTGCTGGTCAGGTGCTGGGGTTCTTAAGCTGGTTTTCGCCATCGATTCTGATCGCCGTTTACACCAGCTTGCTGATGCAACATTTTGCAGCACAGTCTATGGGAACAACGGGAGAGTGGTGGACGAGCGATGGCGCTGCTGGTGGAAATCTCTGGCGGTGGATCAATCTTGGCTGCACGATGGGACTCTACATGGTCGAATTGTGGCTGGGCAAACAAGACGATATCGATGCTGGCCTGGCTGGGCATTGGAAAACAGACTGAATTCCAAGACGCCGCTTGGAAGGAACGAAAGATACGTGATGACGTTTAGCTTGGACCGTTTCGAACGGGATTGGATACTCAACAACATTTTCTCGCCGAGGCGAAAGGGACACACAGCTCGCGTGTCTTGTTTCCTACCCGGACGAAAGATATTTAGCGACTCTCCAGCATTCAGCGCAGACGTAATATGTCTTACCTTTGACAGTTTACGCCTTACATTCTTACTTGCGCAACCCAGTATTCGATATACCCCCATCAACTTGCCCTACATGCGATTCTTAAACAGGTGTTATGAAACTATCAGTGACTTTCTCTTCTCACTGGTCTTACAAGAATCCTCATCATCACACATTGAGGTGGGGAGAGGAGATATTGGAGGGTATCACAAGACGACTCGTCCTGCCGCTGCACGGCAAACCAAGATATAGTACGACTGGGTGCCTGGTGCTGGTGTTTTCATGCTCTTCTCTAAATGACTAGCCAGCCCGATTCCCCATCAACTCCTATGACATATGTAACCAAATTCCATCCCATACCTCCGTTTCCCCTACCTCTTTCTTGCTTCAATCTCCCGATTACCCACCACACTGCAAATTCCCCAACCGTCGCATCCTACGATGTGACGCCATGAATTTGACTATCAATGCTTATATACCCCATACACAATACCCGCAACTCCTCCTTTGCCATTTTCTGTATTAATGTGATAATAAGGCCTATAGTGCAAGAGCGAACGGGCATGTAAACCATAGTATACCATTACGAGTTTCCCCCAATGTGTAATTACAGAGTCATAATAAGACAAGAGCATCAATACTCTCCAATGCAGCCCAGAAGTATACATTTCATTGACTTTCTCGGCCGCATACTGTTGACCACGAAGTGATGAAACCACCACAGACAACACTGTAAAAGAGAAAACGGCTTCTGAACGCAGATATTAGAGCCAGAGCAAAAACAGAATAAGTTAACAGAGGCATATAATATAGAAAATAGATCAAGCATCAATTATCCAGATATAAAGATTTACTAGCATACAACAAGAAACAAGCAAAGGAATATGGGGAATTCACCAGTAACGCTGAAATAAAATAGAACAATAAAAAATTGAATGAAATATTGGTTATAAGAGGAACACTCTGTTTGAATGAAGGGAGCAGAAAAACAGACCACGGGAAATTTTGCAGGAAGTTTTGGAAATTCACAATACATGCAGGCAAGATTCCAAGTGTGAAATATGACGATCAAAACCAGAAGGGTTTGCAATGTAAGATCAATTCATATTCCATTTTTGACCTTAGCCACACATTATTGTTCACCAACGGTCCTGTTTTGCCGCACAATCACCGCCATTTCTTACTGCTGCGTCCCCACCGAGTATGCCTTAGGCTATCGCCGAACCGGCAAATTAGCTCTGGCTCGCGAAGGACTCTCACTCTCTGGTAGTGCTTCAGCCTGGTTTTCCTTCTCTGTAGGATTGTTTTCTTCTTCTTGAACCTCCTCAGGCGTCTCCTCCTCGTCCTTCGGCCCGGACAGACTGTCCCCCAGGCTTGATTTTCGATGTGCAAAACTACCTTCGCGGACAGGGCTACGGCCAATACCAATGGGGAAGCCGTTGTGAGGCCCGGTAGAGTGGGTGGGCGAGTGACCGTTGAAGTGTCCTGGGGTGGAGGCTGCCTGTGGAGGCGATGTGGCTGTGAGGTGGGGGATGTTTTCGGGAACAGGGTGGCGGGACCCGATACTGGTTACTCCAACGTCGGAGGCCTTGCCGGCTTTGCTGAGGGCATAGTCACCAGAGTCGAAATATTTTCGCTCCTAAAGGAGAATGTTAAATGTTAGGTACGTGGAAGGGTTTTGGGCAACAGATGCTCAAACACAGCATGCCAGGACTTCTGACCTTTAGTTTGTTCTGGAGGAGATCCTTTTTATTGGGAATCTTCCCATATAGTCGTAAAAGTCGCTGTTCATCAGGGCTCAACGACTAAAGGATAGGTGAGGCACTGGTTAGCGGGGAAGCTCTGCGCCAAAACCAGGCTAGGAGGTGGTGAAGACATACGTTGACGTCGATCTTGTTCTGCTGATGGGGGTTCATCGCTGTGCTATCGTGTATGCACGCAGAAAAGAGGTGGTCTCTCTTGTTCTACTGGTCGCAGCAGTTGGCCAGTGGTTTTGCTGTTGAAGGAACGGTTGGGGAGTGAAGTAAGGATTCTAAGTGGGCCAGGATGAAAACACACACACTTCACGGCAATAAAAGGGCCAGAATGTAGCCACAGATACAAGGGAAAGATGGCAATGGCACTGTAGCTGGGAAAAGTTTGCGGTAATATCAGGGTATGTGGTGGAGGATGGGGTGCGGGCGTCGGGTAGTTAGTGAATTGGGAGTTTATCGATAAGGTGATCAGCTGGTGACGCTAGCTAAGAGGCACAACCCAGCTCAGTCATTAATTACAGGCAGTCAACAATGGCCAGACACTTGCATTCACCGGAGAGAGGCAGAGAGCGAGACGGAGAGTTGTAGGAGATAAAGACAGTGAGGGGCCACCCATCCGGCAAGTTTCTCATCATGGTTTTTTAGCCGTTTCTTCCGCTTCACGGTCGACATCCCAACTGGTTCATGGCAAGGATCGCCTTACTGATTTATTACCGTCAATTCTTGCCTTTCACACAAGCATCTTTACATTTTGGCTCCAGAAGCCTCGCAAGGTCTCGGGCTCGTATGTCCAGGATTTGTGGGATTGTCAGCCACAATCACCTAGAGAAGCCAAGTTTAAGCATTCACAAAGGGCTCGATTCCGGGGTCGTCTGCCATTTTTCTATGTCTTGCATCGGTTGATTCTAATCATATGTAGTAGGAGAGGGGTCGCTGGGGACGACAGTCAGTGTTTGAGTATCTTCGCTTTTCTTTTGAGATCCTTTCATTTTGCAGATCTGGTCATGTCGTCCTTTTGACTCTGCTTAAAGAGTTATACTTCAGCCCACATACATAACTACTCTATAAGTAATTCAAGTTGAGAGTCAAATCAGCCGGCTTTTTCTCGGGGGGTCTCTGGGTGAGGCAATTGATTGAAATATCGCCTACTTCCTACTCTGCATCTATGTCAAGTACATACATATAACATGGTATCTCTCTTGGTGTCCCATGCACACATATGTGACTGGGTTAAGTCTGTTAAACATGCCCCTCACTGCAAGCTGCCACCAAGATAGAAGTGCATGAGCAAGAACTAGCAATAACTTGATCTAAATATCTGCATCTAACCTTAACGGTGCACAGTGCAGCAAGAATTGAAGAGCAAATTGTTCTTCCCTGTGCTACTACCACGCAAGATATTCATCTCACATGGCGAGTGGGGGACTGCTTTGTTAGCTAGAGTAACTTTCGGCTGCAGTTGCTGATATCTTTTAGCGTTAACTCACAGGCCTTTCCCAGCGACAAGAAGCTCTTTCAGTTGAGATATCATTGGAAAGAAAGAATCCACAATTGATGCACAGTCCACACTTTAATTCGCATTGGGCTGGTAGCTTCGAATCGGTGTACGTATTCGATATTTCCACCTTCGCAACCCTGTCACACACCATATGTATACTGTATATTATTTCCTGTCAAACCGACATCTGTGCTGATACCACTTTTAGCGTTGGCGCAGGCATCCCGGCGTCTGTTCTTCGCTGCAATTCGCGCCCATCTGCGAGCGTCTGCTGAGTCTTGTGACTGTTCTTCGTTTTCGGATCGACCTGCAGTTGACACCCGAGTTACGCAAAAATGAGCCGAGAGGTCTCTCAGTCGGCTCCAAAGACCTACGTGGTCGAACACCTCGACCCGGAACTCGGCCCATGGTCAGCGCTGGAGTACGGGTGTATTGCCGAGGAATCCAGCAAAGCTGGCGCCAAGTTCATGCTCACTTCCGTTCCGGAGGCGTTACGGCTTCCGCCTAACTTGGCGGCGATGAGCAGCTTACAGGTGGAGCACCGTAGTGTTGAAGAGGTGTTTGCCGTTGAAAAGCCCAGGGTGTGCCTTTTAGACCCTGCAGCAAGTTCAGAACTCTCGCCGCAAGATGGGGCCACTTTTGACGTTTTTCTTTTCGGAGGAATACTTGGTACGAGATGACAGCCCCATTAGCATTTCTCCTGATGCTTTTGTACCGTCTGCGTGGGAAGATGCTAACTTTATAACCGCTAGGTGATGATCCCCCACGAGGTGCGGAGTATACAGACATCCCCGGAGAGGAGTACTCCGACCGTATTAACTCTTTCCAGATCGCACCTCAGAACTACGCAAGAAAGGTTACGCCGGCAGAAGGCTAGGGCCAAAGCAGATGACTACAGACACTGCTGTTAGAGTAACTCGGATTGTCGTCGAGGACAAAGGTAATGCCTGCCACTTCTTGACATGCATCTCTCGTTAACGCATTTCTAGTTCCTCTGGACAAGATCGATTGGGTTGATTATCCAGAGTTGCGGCTCGACGTACATGAGACGACTGAAATGCCCTTCAGATATGTGAAAGGCCAAAACGAAGAGCCTATTATGCCGGAGGTGAGTCGTAATTTCACTTGAGCAGGCCTGAATTTTGGGTTCTAATAACAGATTTTTGTAGGGAATGATCGATCTCATTAAGAAGGATGCAGATAAAGGGTTGGAAGATCTCCTATGATGCTTCGCAAATTTGAGAATATTTCTCCCCTTTCCATAACTGGTACAGTTTCACCTTTGCTCATAGAGATGTATTTGACGCAGTCTTTGTGATGATGATAAGAGTAATCTGTGATAGATATATAGAAAGTTTATGATGTAAAATGTTATTGCCCCAACGCAATGCCTTTTTCTCTCCTGTTTCTTCGTGCACTTGATAGATGTGAACAAGCGCGCTAAAATCTGCCGCTCGGCCCACTAGCGCGATCCCTGAGCTTCGCATACGGCCCATCCCGTAACGGCAATACACGTTAATTTCAGCTAGACAGCGGCAAAGTTACCAGCCCATACCTTGGCGATGATGCGCGGGTGGGGCGCTGGCGAGCTAGCGCGAGTGTTTCATCTTAAACGACGATGTGGCCCGAGCAAGCTTGGTCTCAGTCAGCGCCGATTACGCCGAAACTTGATGCCCTTCCAAAATCACCACCAGTGCTCTTTTCTTCGGTCTCTTCAGAATTTATTATTATCTGCAGAATTCCTTTGGTCCTTCCCTTAGATAAGACTGTGTCGTGCCCGATCTCGACCCTGACGCTCAGTTGTTTCGATAAAAACAAACCAATCTCCCTCCAGCCCGGCAGCCTGAAACGGCCCCCCTATTTCACACATGGTCTCCCGGCACCCTTCGCGATAACCTGGTGGTCAATTTTGCTGAGTGCGGCGCTCTGTCCTGTCGAAGAATAAACCGGGCACCGTCCACTTACCATGTTCTCCTTCCTGGCCTCTATACGGACGCGTCCGGTCCTTACGACGGCGTTGGTACAATGGCTCTCGTTATGGATCATTCTGTCAGGTTCGGTGCTTGCCGCCACGAAATCTGCAGCGGAGTATTACGTTCGCTCAATACCGGGGCAGCCAGAGGGGCCATTGCTTAAGATGCACGCTGGGTGGGTTGGACACTGACATTGCCCCCTACTTTGCTTCCCTGGTTTCGTTGCTGACTTTTCTTACTAGACACATTGAAGTTGACCCCAAGAACAACGGGAACCTCTTCTTTTGGCACTTCCAGAATCGCCACATTGACAATCGCCAGCGAACTGTCATTTGGTTAAACGGAGGACCTGGCTGTAGTTCGATGGATGGTGCTTTGATGGAGGTTGGACCATATAGGCTAAAGGATGATCATACCTTGGTGTACAACGAGGGCTCCTGGGACGAATTTGCAAATCTTTTGTTTGTCGATCAGCCTGTTGGCACCGGATTTAGTTATGTCAACACCGACAGTTACATTCACGAATTGAACGAGATGGCTGCCCATTTTATTATTTTCTTGGAAAGGTTTTTTGAACTGTTTCCTCAGTATGAACACGACGATGTGAGTTTCTTCAGCTCTGCTTCCATGTTCCTTTTCATACTGACGGTTCCCAGCTATATTTTGCGGGAGAATCCTATGCAGGACAATACTTACCCTACATCGCTAAAGCAGTCTTGGATCATAACAGGAAAGCGTCTGTAGTAGCAGAAAAACGTACCTGGAAGCTTAGTGGGTTGATCATCGGAAACGCATGGCTCTCGCCGGTGGAGCAATATCTATCCTACATGCCGTTTGCTTTCAAAGAGCACCTTTTGAAAACCGGAACCGATGCCACGCAGAAAGTTGAGAAAGCGCACGCAGAGTGTATTACTGAACTGGATAGAAACGGCGGCAGGGACTTGATCAACGTTGGTGTTTGCGAGCAGGTCTTGACTACAATTCTCGATGTGACGCAGGAAGACGGAAAATGCTACAACATGTACGACGTCCGATTGAGGGACTCACATCCGGCGTGTGGCATGCACTGGCCTCTGGATTTGCAGCAGATCACGCCTTATCTCCGGCGCACAGATGTCAAGCATGCGCTCAATATCAACGACGACAAGAAGACGGGCTGGCAGGAATGCACGGGCTCGGTGTCTAGTAGCTTCAGGGCCAGAAACTCGAAGCCCGCGGTGCAATTGCTGCCGGGAATTCTCGAGGCGGGAGTGCCGGTGGTCCTCTTCAGCGGCGCCAAAGATTTCATCTGCAACCACATCGGCACCGAAGAGCTGATCCACCGGATGACGTGGTCTGGCGGCACGGGCTTCGAGCTGTCGCCCGGGGTGTGGGCGCCGCGGCGCGACTGGACGTTCGAGAAGGAGTCGGTGGGCTACTTCCAGGAGGCGCGCAACCTGACGTACGTGCTGTTCTACAACGCCAGCCACATGGTGCCGTTCGACTACGCGCGGCGGTCGCGCGACATGCTGGACCGGTTCCTGGGCGTGGACATCACCAGCATCGGCGGCGACCCGGCGGACTCGCGGCTCGACGGCGAGCAGGGCGCGCTCACGTCGGTCGGCAGCCACCCCAACAGCACGGTGGCCGACAAGCTGGAGAAGGAAAAACTCAAGGCCGCCGCGTGGCGCGCGTACTACAAGTCCGGCGAGATCGCGCTGGTGGTGGTGGCCGTGGCCGCCGTGGCCTGGGGGCTGTTCATCTGGCGCTCACGCCGCCGCGCGCACCGTCTGGGCGGCAGCAGCGGCGGCGGCCCTGACGGCGGCGGCGCGTACTCGGGCATCTACCCCAACCTCAACGGCTTCAGCTCCAGCTCGCTGCCGCGGTTCCGGAGCAAGTCGCGGCGGGGCGCGGACGAGGACGTCGAGGCGGCGGCGGAGTTTGACGTGCTGGAGAGCAATCTGCATCGGGAGGTGGGCGGCCGGCTGTCGACGGCCGAGCGGGACCATTACTCAGTGGGAGATGATAGTGATGACGATGACGAGGAGGAGGCAGAGGATGGGAAGCCGGGCGAGGAGAAGCCGTTGCATCGGGCTGGTGCAGCTCGGTCAGGGTCGCATTCATAGACGGCGGTGTAGTCGTCCGCCTTTTTGGCTCATTATTATCGTGAAATTGGCCGCATGGGTTTGTATATATGTACGGGAGTGCTGGCGCGGTGCATCTGCTGTGTGATGGGAATGTTCTGCTTTTGTTTCTTTTCTCCCTTCCTGTGCTCAACCATCTATAAACATACACATTGCATACCAACAGACATCCATCCATGCATCCATCCATGCCATTCACCACCTTGTAACCCCAAAACGCCTTTTCGATCCCATTAAACATCCCTCCTCACCACTGTATCCTCCACACCTTCACGACGCCATCATCCCCCGTACTCAGCAGCACCTCCTCCTCCTCCTCCTCCTGCTGCTCCTCCTCCGCCGTCCGCTCCTCAAACACACCTTTCCGCCTCGCACTCCGCCGGTCCGCCCTCCTGGCCCAACACACATGATTAACCTCATACACGCCATGCGCCTCGTCCACGCGCGCCAGCACCTCCCACACCGTCCGCGGCACGGCCTCCTCATCCCCCTCCGCCTCCATCCCCACAAACCGCTCACGGTACACGACCACGCGGCCGTCCGCGCCCGCCGACGCCAGCAGGCCCGTGGTGCGGCTCCACGCCACGGCGTGCACGGCCAGCGCGTGCACGGCCGGCAGCTGGTGCTCCTGCGCCCAGGTCTCGTCGAGGCTGGCGGCGCGGATGGTGCTGAGCGAGGATGCGGCCGGGCGCGAGGCCGGCGGTTGGCGTCGCCAGATGCGCACGGTGGTGTCGGCGGAGCAGGAGGCGAGGCGCGGGCCGCAGCGGGCGCGGTGGTGTAGCCAGCGGCGGCGCAGGGCGGGCGGGAAGGGGGGAGTAGGGGAAGTGCCGGAAGGCTCCAGGGCTGATGAGGCTGGGGCAGGGTCGGCGGGCACGGTCACGCCCTTGATATCAAGCTCGTCGCCGTCCGCCGGCGTGCCCGTCCGGCCTTCCCACTCGACGCCCCAGACGGTGCCCTCATGCCCGCGCAGACACGCCACCTGGCCCCAGTCGTCGACGTCCTCTCTCCACACGCGCAGGGTATCGTCATACGAGCCCGAGGCCAGACAGTCCTGGTCCGGGTGCCAGGCCACGCTCTTGACGTCGCCCGTGTGCTCCTGCAGCACGGCCACGGTCTCGAAGTTGTTCTCGCCGTCCTCCAGGTCCTCCCAGATCCACACGGTCTTGTCGCGCGAGCACGTCGCCAGCAGCTGGCCCGCCGCCGACCACGCCACGCCCTTGACCTCGTTCTCGTGCCCGTCCAGCACCACCGCGAAGCCCCATTCCTCCTCGCCGTCCCCGTCTCCGTCGCCGTCTTTGTCCTCGCCGTCGTACCGCCACACTCCCACCGTGGCATCGAAGCTCGCCGTCGCCAGCACCACGTCGCTGCCCGGCTTCGCGGCCGTGGGCTTCCACGCGCACGCCCGCACCGCGCGCTTGTGCCCGCCCGAGATCGTCGACAGCAGCGCGAAGTTGACCAGCGAGTACACGCGCACCGACTTGTCGGCCGCCGCCGTGGCCACGAGCGGCAGCCGCGGGTGCGCCGCCGTCGCCCATGTGCGGTCTTGCGCCGGCGGCGTCAGGTCGGCCAGGTGCTGCAGGGAGGGTCCCGGAGAGGAGGGGGAGGGGGAGGCTGCGAGCGAGGTGGTGTGCAGCCGGTCGGGGAGTGTGTCCATGGTCAGGGCTGTCGGAGGGAGACAGTGATGATGATCCGTGGTGGTCGTGGTTGTGAGGTGGGTTGAGGATCAGCGCATATTCGAGCAGATATGAAAGCTAACCATGGAGGTACTCTGTGAGAGCGCGAGGCCGTTGGCTGTGTTTCGCCTGCGTTTGTGCTCGGTGTTTCACTCGCGCCGTCAAAGCTCCGGCGCGGAAACTCTATCACACCCACCACCCCGCCAGTCGAAGAGGTATATACACTCCATTATTATCCATACATATACATACATTCTGACATACACGCATCAGTCGTCTCTCCTCGATTAAATCATCCCATCAGAGTGCCACCCAGCCCAGACCAGCCCTGCCAAAAACACATAGCAAAAGAACTCCCGTGGCTTTCGTCCCGCGCAAACTCCGAAACACCCAAAAAAAAAAAAGAAACAAAGAAACGCAATCCCAGCCGCCGCCCCCCTTTTCCCTCGTGAGAGAATTAGACAAGAAAAGAAAAAAAAAAAGAAAAAGCCTATATATACATAAAGGATCTGCCCCCCTCTCACTCCCTCTTTCTTGTTTATATACTGCTGTTCGTCTCGCGGCAGATCGCGCACAGCTCGTCCACGAACGTCTCCTGCACGCCGCCGTACCGCGCCTCCGTCGTCACGCCCATGTCCTGCATCTCGAACGCCACGTTGCTCTCGTACGGGCCCGCGCGCTCTGTCACGTCGACCGTGACCTGGTTGCTGACCACGATGCCGCCCCACGCCGGCGACCGCACCGACGGCGTGTCGTCGCCGTCCGAGCCCGCGCCGCCGCCTCCACCGCCGCCGTTCTTCGACAGATCGCTCTTCCGCCCGGGCCGCACCAGCGATGCGCCCGTGGTGGTCGTCGACGACGGCGCGTGGTTGCTGCCGCCCTTGCCGTCCTGGTACGCGGCGCAGTAGCCGAACTCGTCGAGGATGGTCTGCTGGAAGTTGGCGTGGTCGACCACGCCCGGGTACACCTGCTGCTGGGCGGTGAACAGGCGCAGCGGCGTCAGGCACATCTGCGGCGACGGCGCGCGCGTCTGCAGGTTGGTGATGATGCGGAACGAGAAGGCGGTGCACTTGCCCGTGGCGCCGGGCGCCTGGCCGGCCAGGCGGCACGGGATCATGATGCGGCGCGCGGAGAACTGCGCGGAGCCGAAGGTGGTGCTGTCGATCATGTCCGACAGGCGCGTGGAGGCCTTGTACATCTGCGCGCAGAACACCTTGAGCTCGGCGTCGGCGTGCGTCTCGGCCTGCTGCTTGAGCCAGCGCAGGCAGTGGTTGAGCGACCAGTTGTCCATCTGCGTCAGGATGCTCATCTGGCGCGCCGTCACCGACGGGAACGGCAGCGCCACGTGCGGCAGCAGGTTGGGCGCGTCCTTCTGCACCAGCACGTCGAAGCCCTTGCGCACCGACGGGTGCAGCGAGAAGCAGACCAGGTACACGCCCGACGCCATCATCTTGGGCGACGCCGCCTCGTGCATGCTCTCGAGGTGCCGCAGCATCTCACCGGGCGCGATCTGCATGCTGCGCGCCAGCGACGGCGCGATCTGCGGCGTGGCCGCGAACCGCCAGCCGCTGGCGCGCAGCTGCGCCGACTCCTCCTTGCTCAGCTGGCGCACCATGAAGATGAACTTGCCCTTGCCCATGATCTGCGGCGTCTGCGCCTCGGGGTCGAGGTCCTGCTTGGTGGTGCTGAGCTTGCGGGCCTGCGTGCCGGTGATGACGACGTCGTCGTACAGCACGCCGAGCTTGTCGAGCGGCTGGTGCAGCTGCGTGGCCAGGTCCTGGGCGGCGACGCAGAAGAGCTCCTTGAAGATGGACTGGAAGTCGAGGTCGACGTCGACGCTGGTGTCGACCGCGCCGCTGTAGCCGGGGTAGAAGCGCTTGGTGTTGGAGTCGGCCAGCAGGTGGTACTTCATGCCGGGGATGAGCTTCTGCAGCGTCGGCCAGTTGCGGCTGGCGCGGTACGCCCAGATGAAGGCGGGATGCGTCTTGCTGAACTTGTCATCGGAGAAGGTCTGTTGGAGGTTAGTGGGGTGGGCTAGAGCTTGTACAGGTGAGTGACCTACCCGAGGCACGTATTTGTCGGTGATCTTCTGAGTGGGCAGCAAACCCTCGGGCGAGACCATGAGGCCGCCGGAGGGGTCGAAGAAGGCGGGGGCCAGCACGAGCTGGCGCACGCGGTGGGCGAGGCGCTGGTGCTGGCGGTTGGTGATGACGGCGAGGGTGATGAGGAACGCACAGGCGGCGCAGGACTGAGCCGTTAGCCGACGCCACACATATCAAAAACGAGGGTTCAGGCCACACAACTTACCAGGGTGGTGCAGACGATGACGGTCTGGCTGGACGACAGCTGGCCGGAGGGATCGATCAGCTCGTTCTTGAGACGGTAGTAGGTGCCGACGGTGGCGGTCCAGTGCATGCCGGAGACGGCAATGGCGAGGATGGTGGCACTGATCAGACGCTTCCACCAGCTGTTGGTCCACGAGGCGCGCATGCGGAAGAAGACACCGAGGGCGGTGATACTGGCGGAGACGGCGATGATGGCGGCACCGACGACGTTGGCGGGGCGGTAGGAGCAGTAGAAGTTGGCGATACCGAGCTGGCCGACATAGTGCATGCCGCAGACGGCGACGCCGGTGAGGGCGCCGGTGGAGATGATGTACCAGATCTCGGCGCGGTCGCTGGCGCCGATGAAGTAGAAGGCCACGACGAGCACGACGATGGGCAGGAAGAAGGACACGGCGGTGAAGGCGGATGAGTAGGAGATCTGGTAGGTGGTGTTGTGGCCCTGCAGGATGGTGGCGCGGTTGCCGATGAAGTGCATGCACCAGATGCCAATGCCGCCCATGCACACGGCGGCGGAGAGCAGGAGGTACCTGGGGATGGTCAGCAGGGGGGGACAGGATGGGTATGAGAGAGCAGACGGACCAGTTGTACAGGCCGAAGCGGGCGGTGCGACGGTGCAGCAGCTCGAGGCAGGTCGCGCAGCCGGCCAGACTGACGATGTACGACAGCACGATGAAGCCGGCGCTGTACGAGACAGGCACCAGCTCGTTGACGGCGTGCGACGACATGGTGTGAAACGAAACAAACAAGGAAAAGAAACGGAAAGGAAAAAAGGAAACAGAGAGAGAGAGACGAGAGAGATAAAGAGGGAAGAGGAGAAGAGAAGAGAGTAAAAAAGACAAGCCACGGCGGAGGAACACGCAGGACAGGACAGGGCCCGAGAAAGTGACAGGCGAGCGCTGGTTCCACGGGCGACGGTGGGCCGGTTCCTGGCTGGCTTGGGGCGCTGGGCGGGGGGGCGAGGGGGGCGGCGGGGGGGGGCGCGTAGGGGTTAAGGGAAGTAAGTTAGTCGTGGTAGCTAGCGGCCACGCTGAGTTCGTTAGGCGGTCGCAGAGGTGGTGGTGGCGGCGAGCGGCGGTGGGGATCGGCAGCCCGTGGGCGGGCCACGCTGGAGCGAGCGAGCCAGCGAGCCAGCGCTGCCAGGCTGGGCGCGGGCAGCACGCCGGGCGAGTGTTTAGTCGGGAGAGCGAGTTAGGGTTGGTGTCAGATAGATTGCCGACGCGCAGGGAAGAGGCGGGCGATTAGGTTTGCCGGGGCGAGCGATAGTAGCAAGTAGTAACTACGTTAGTTTTAACTCGCACAAATGCAGACAGCTAACGCTGAACGACCGCGGCGACGAGTCACACTCAACCAGTCAGAAAACGATAGTCGAATACGGGCACCGCGAGAGTAGAATACACTACGCCCGCATGCAGAGCAGACCGCCAAACGAGCACACAACTAATCATACACAAGAACCAATATTCAACCCGTGTCCACTAACTACTCCAGCCCGTACCACTCGGCGTGGCTCGCCCAGTCCACGTCCCGCACGCGCTCCAGCTCGCCCACCAGCGCGCCCACCGCGCCCACGAACTCCGGCAGCCCCGCGGCCGCCAGAGACTCGCTGGCCGTGCTGGCCGCGCGCACTCGCTCGCCCGCGCTGGTTGCGCTCAGTCGTGCCAGCACATGCGCGCGCAGCCGTGCCTGCAGCAGCCGCGCCACGGGGTCTGTTGTCGTCGACGTACTACTACTACTACTACTAGCGGCGAGCACGCCCGCCTGCACGCGACGGATGGTGGCCAGCAGCAGGCCGCGGGCGGCAGCGGGCATGGGCCGGGTGGCCTCGACGACGGCCAGCACGCGCGCGGCGCTGACAGCCGCCCAGTCCAGCCGCAGCAGCCGCTCGGCCTCCGCGGCCCAGCTGGCGCGCACGTCGCGCTTCAGCCCCGTCTTCGCGCCCACCAGCACCGCGCCCGCCGCCGCCAGCCGCCACCCTTGCGCCGCCAGCCGGCCCAGCCGCGCGTAGTCGCGGTCCAGCGTCTCCGGCACTGCGCAGCGCGACAGCCGCGGCCCATCACCACCGCTGCCGCTGCCCAGCACCAGCCCGACCAGCCCGTGCGCGTAGATCTTGGCCGCTGCGGGCCTCTCGTCTGCGGTCGTTGCGTCCCGCCGCCGCGCCTCGTCGACCAGCGCGCGCCGGCTGCGCGCCCAGAACCGCCGCGTGCGCTCCAGGCTGACCGTGCCGTCGCGCACGTCGCGTGCAAACGCCCGCCGCTCGTACGCCGGCCCGTCGCGCAGCAGCTGCGGCGCCGCCAGCTGCAGCAGGAAGTTGGTGTGGTCGAGCGCCAGCAGGTCCAGCACGCCCATCAGCCGCGCCAGCCGCGCAATGGCATCCTCGTTGTCGTTGTCGTTGTCGTCGGCAAACGCCTGCACCGCGGCGTCGCGCACCGGCGCGCACAGCCGCGGCAGCACGCCCGCCACGAACCCAAACAGCGCGCGGTAGCTGAACGCACCGGCCGCGCACTGCGCCCGCACCGCCGCCGGGTCCAGCGTGTCGTGGATCAGCGCGTGCAGCCCGCTGCCCGGGGACAGTGGCTGCAGCAGCCGCGCGCGGATCGCCGTCGCCATGGCCACCGTCCAGTCCGTGCTCGCCGCCTGGCTGCCGGTGCGTCCCCCGGCGTCGCGCCGCATCAGCCCGCACACCTGCTGCATGACGTCGCGCCGCACCGCCGTGTACGACGCCTCGTCGATGGTGTACGCCCGGTCGATCAGCAGCTCGTGCACCAGCGTGCGGTTGTCGGGCAAGGCCGTGAGCAGCTGGATGAACTGCTCCGGCGGGCTCCGGGCATCCTTATCCTCCTGCTCCTGCTGCTCCTGCGCCAGCGCCGCCTCCGCCGCAAACACCTCGCCCAGCGGCGTCGGGCTCTCCTCCGCTGCTGCTGCTGCTGCCACCGCCCCCGGCGCGTCCTCGCCGTGCGTGCGCATCTCCGTCACCGCGCGCGGGATCGCCTGCTGCTGCTGTGACGATGACGATGAAGCTCCCTGCTGCTGGCGGCGGCGTTCACGGCGGGCCTGGCGCACGGCCTGGCGCACGCGGTCCATGGCGGGCTCCGCGCCGGCCAGGCGCTTGAGCCGGGCGAGCAGCAGGATCTGGTTGTGGCGGATGCCGCGGCGGTAGTCGTCGGCCACGCCGCCGGCGCGGTCGTCCTGCACCGTCTGCCAGATCAGGTCCAGCTCGACGAACTGCGCGACCATGATGGCCACCAGCACCGTCGAGTCGTGCGCCTTCCACGCGTGGAACGCCGCGCTGAACGTGTGGAATTGCTGCGTGAGCGGCGGTTGTAACAGCCCCGCGTCGTCGTCGTCGTCATCATCGTCGTCGTGCGTGCTGGGTGCTGCTGGTGACAGCCCCGCCGTGGCCAGCGGCGCCACCGCCTGCTCGAACGCCACCAGCAGGTCCTGCGCCTTGGACAGCAGGTCGTGCTCCTGTTCCTGCTCCTCCTCACCGCCGCCGCTGCTGGTGCTGCTGCTGGTGCGGCCGTGGTTGAGCACCTGCGCCGGGTGCGCCAGGATCAAGAAGCTGCTGAGGAACACCCGCACGGCCCCGCGCTCGCCCGGCACGCCCTCCGCCGCGTCCAGCAAGCCGCACAGCCGCAGCACACGGCCCGTGGCCGCCAGCACGCGCTCCTCCGCCAGCAGCGCGCCCACGGCCTCAAAGCTCATCCCGCCGAGCCGCGCCAGCCGCAGGTCCAGCGCCTGGAACGCCTGCATGGCCCGACGCGCGCGCCAGTGCCGCCACGCCCGCTGCACCACGCCCACGGCCTCCCGCTGGCCCATCGCGCTCCTCCGCTGGGGTGCCGTCGTCGCCGCCGCCGCCGCCGCCACGCCCACCATCGCTGTTGTCGTCGTTGCCCCGCCCTTGCGCTCCGCCGAGCTAGTCCGCCGCGCACGCCGCCCCGGCGGCTGCTGCTGATACAAGCGGCGCCGGCGCTCGACCTCAGCGAACTTCTCCTGCTTCTCGAGGCGCAGGCGCGCATGCTCCGCAGCCCGACGCTCACGCATGGCCTCGGCCTTCTGCTTGGCACGGCGCACCTCCTCCTCGCCGCGCGCCGCGATGTCCGCCAGCAGCTTCTCGCGCGCCAGCTGCGCCGCCGCGGCGCGTTCCTGCTTGATCGTGCTGCGATGGCCGTCGGGACCGCCGCCCGCCGCCGCGGTTGCTGCTGCGGCGGCGGCGCGCAGCCGCACTCGCTCTACGTGCGCCGCCCGGTCGGCCAGGCGTGCTTTACGAGACTCGAGGATCGACGCCCGCCGCAGGTGCTGCACCAGCGGGTCGCGCGGCCGCGTGCCCCCCGCGGCAGTGCTGCCGTGGCCCGAGCGGCTGGAGTGCAGCGATGAGATGGAGCTGCGGCGCGAGGACGAGGATGCGGCCGAGGGCCGGCGGCGCGGGCGGTCGGCTGGGATGGGGTACAGCCGGGCGATCAGGTGTGGCGGCAGGCGGAGCGGGGCGGAGCTGGCCGGGTCGTCGGGAATCATGTCGATGTCGATGTCGGTATCCTGGTCGTTCTTGTTGTTGTCGTTGCTGTGGTCGTCGTGAGTATTGTGGTGCTGCTTGGCGGGGCCAGCTGCGGTGCTGCGATCCTCCGCGGCGGGCTCCTGGCCGGTCTCCCCGTCGGAGAACCGGCGGGTCAGCATGCCCTGCCGTGCCTAGGTTGGGAGGAGGATGGCGAGCAGGAGGAAGAGGAGAAAGAGGAGGAGGAGGTGGTGGTGGTGGTGGTGGTGGGCTCCACCCGGGAAGCGAGGGTCAAGCAAAATGTCTCGCGAGTGTAGTCAGGGTCGCAGTCGTGATGATGAAGGCGGATGGATGCCTGTCGACGATGCAGTAGCAGCGCCCGGGGGTAGAGGAGGTGGCCGAGTGTTTTGCAGCAGGTGGTGAGATGGCTGTTTCAGCTGAACAAACACGGTGGTGCTGGGCTGGGTGGCAGGCCTGGGCAGCGTCACCAGCCTTGGCTAGCATGCAGCAGCAAACAACAGCCAACGAACAGTCGAATCGAATCGCGAAGGCGGCTACGGAGTGCGCCGTCGGGGGTTGTGGATGAGGGGGAGAGAGGACGAAGGATGAAACCGGGCAAGGCCAGCAAGTTACGAAGCCCTTACTGAGTTACTTACTTGTTGGCTACCACCGACCCCGGCGCAAGCCTAGCCAGCTCGCTCGCTTACGTCACCCCCGCAGGCCCGCTCACGTGATGCTTCTCGCCGCTTTAGCGCTGCCCGCCGGCTGACATCAGCATCCCTCCGCCCTCCGCCCGCTCTCTCTCCCACGCCCGAGAGCCGCGCCCGCCTAAACGCTGTGCCGCCCACCACCACCACACTACTACTCCGTACTCCGTACTCCCATCCTTCCCGGGTAGCGGCCGCTCCTGGTCGCCGTGTCCGTTTCACATCGCCCTGGCCGATCGCGGCGATGGTTGCCCTTCATTTTTTAACCCCCTTCCTCCTCAATAATCATAATGTTCCCGCCGGCCCGTTGTCGAGCGTGAGCGTGAGGCGTTTTGGTGTGCCGATCCGAAGGAAGAAGGATCCTGACCACCGCCTATCAGTCTTCCATCACTACCTGCTCACTCTTATTACGGAGTACCTCTATGCAACTACGAACTAGCTAACTGCAGCATCTGCGTCATTCGACGTAACTAGCTAACGAGCTGGTTAGGTAGTTAGACCACCCCGGCCGGCCGAAACAACGCGGTCCCTGTCGTGACGTCGGGCGCTGTTTCAACCAAGCAGGTTCTGCGAGGAATCAGATCGTAATAACAAATACCTGTTGTCGTGCTTGTCCGGCGGAGTTTTTAAATAAGATCCCTACCTAGCTAGTACCGAGTCGACTAGGCCCTGGATAAATAACTAGCAGCCCATGCGGAGATCCAGACGGGCAAGGAAATCCTGAAAAGACAAAAAACCCGCCGATCCGCCAGAGTAATTAGCGGCAAACCTTCGACGGACGAGTGAGTTCGGCTGTTATTATCATTCGCACCGTGCCAAAAGTTGCATTTAGTATTGTTGTCCTGCACACGACGCTCGTTGCGGCCGGCCTGTGACAGACACCGCTGCTGCCCACCGGGTGTTGACTGCTGGCGCGGCCACGTCGTGTCGCCCACATGAAGAAGTCTCCCCTCGTCGTTGAAACCGGGTACTGAGTGGTACGAAGGATTCATTTTAAACGTCCGCCCCCCCTGGACATGTCAGCATTCTGGTCCGCGAATCCGTGCTTCTCCCACCCGAGTCCCATCATCCCCCCCCCCCCCCCCCCCCCCCGGCTGGCGGTTATCCAAAGCCGCAGCGCCTGGCCCTCTCCCGAATGAATTGCTTTTGCGATCTCGCCGTAGAATCACAAACCGCCGGCCTCTCATTGGCTCGCTGGCATTCTCTATAATTTTGTTATTTTGACCTACTTCACGGCCGTGCATGAGCGCCGATGTATAACTAACTACTCCGCAGGCCCCCCACGCCTGTCCGCCCAGTGGGGGTGCCGTTTGGCTTGGAGCTGCGTCGCCCAAGACCAAAGAAGCCCCCAAGTTGGTGCAGGTGCATACAGAGCCCTTGCGCGCGCATATGTATAAAATTGGCGATTATTCCTCCCAACGGCCTCCTCGCCGTGGCCCTGGCCACGCCATTCTTATTATTTCTGCCTTCTTCCTCCCAGCGGTGGAACCCGCGTCACAAGCTTCCCTGCCCTTGCTGCAGCTGCAGCATCACCACCACTCACTCACCCCTCGTGCCAAACCTCTGGGGGTAGCTACGCTGTCGGAGAAATTCATCCCAGCGCTGGCATATGCTGCCAACATCGCATCCCCTCCCCCCACCACTACTGGTAGTCAGTGGGACCTGCGCAGCCGGCCAAGGCCGCCAGAGCTGGTCGGTGCCCTGCCAACGACGCCCGCCCCCATGCCCGTAGTAGTAGTAGGTGAGTCGTAGCATCAAACTGACCCGCAAATAAAAATATCCGTGCCTTGCAAGCAGCCCTGCTCGAAACACCAAAGGCAGAGCAGGCAGGCATGGGAGAGGGTGTCAAGAGATCAAGGGAAGCGGAGATTAGGGCTTTAAACACTAACTACGTAGCTGTTAAGATTGTCGCCAGAGACAAGAAAAAAAAAGAGTATTCTAGCCAAACTCCGAGACACTTGCACATCGAGCAGCGTCTTCCCCGAAATCAAACCTTGTAGATTAATTCGATGCTATTATCATATGTGCGTGCGCGGAGATCGAAATTCCGATCGCAACCCCGATCGGCAACCTTCGTTCGCTAAACTAAACGCCTTGGGAGCACCGCCTCGCCCCCCTGTGTTGGGGATGCATAATTGATTTTGACAATAACATTCCTCTCTGGCATATCGCGTCAATAGCCTTTTTTTTTTTTTTCCAGTACTCCGTATTCCGTACTATCATCAAAGACTACGAACCATGGCCGGGAATCCTGCCCGGCTGTGAGCTTTCACGATCCGCGTCTTCGAGCAAGCACTCCATACGGCTGTGGCGAAACCCTCCCCCCAATCATCCGCTAGGAGGTTGACTTGAAGCCCGCATCTGGTACCCTAATAACAAGTCTCCTTGGACTCGGGTAGCTTTAAATTATGTTATTGCCCATCAGTCAGAAAAAGGAGAAGCAGATTTCCGCCAATCACGACGGCAAACCCTCGTCGGGCCCGGGATGGCGGCGGCGGCGGCGGCGGCCAGAAAACAGATTCAAACAAGGCAGAGAGAGAGCTCAGGCTGGCGGGTTTTCCCCTTTTTTTTTTTCTTTAAAACACCGGGTGGTTCCAATAAATCCAGATGCCCTATGGGAGTTAAAAAAAAAATGTTTAACTCAATGGGCAACCACCCGTCCAATGCAGGAACCCAGACCAAAAAAAAACGATAACAAAAAACGACCGAAGCAAAGCTTCTGCTCCGCCCTGCTGGCCAACTCTACCACTACCTCGGGTATAGTTAGCTGAGAGGCAAAAAGAAAAACAAAAAAAAAAAGCCGGTATTCGGGTCGTGTTCGGCTGGTTCGCCCACCCCGTGCGTGCGCAGCGCGCGTGCGTGTGGAGATTTTTGTGCCAGAGAAACCGGGATCCAGAAGAGCCTGGCTAAGACAACGGGCTCTCTTTTTTTTTTTTTTTTTTTTTTTGGCCAGAATCAGAGGCGCAAACCGAAAACTAACTAACTAACTAACTAACCGCTAGTTAGCTATCTTCAGCGGCGACAGCGAAAATTCTTTTACCAAAAGGGGGAGATAGCAGATGAAGCTCCCAAGCCAGAGCGGCAAAACCGAACCTCCTCGCTTCAATGAACTAGAAGAATAGGGTTGACACCATCCCTTACGCGCCCCGAGAAAAAAAAGGCTCCCGCGAAGCTCAGGCTGCGTCCCGAACTTCGCTCTAGGTGCGCTGGTTTCGCGCCCGTTCCAGCTGCTTGCGAACGTGGCGGTGCAATCTGTCTTGCAGGCAAACACAGACAGTGTACGGAGTAGTTAGGTAGTTAGTTAGTCGCCAGCGCGGGGTTTCAGCGTGCAAAGTCAAAGCCAGCGAGACGGTGTGTGGGCGTTTGGATATTCTCTCAGGAGGCGTTGCTGCGTGTGGGCAGAATGAGCACATTTCTATTTATTTTTTCTTCTCTGTGACTATTATTTGATTGCTGGAGTTAGTTATTTCTGCTCACCGTTGAGTCAACGTGAAACTACAGCACGTATCATCAATCCGCTCATCGAGAGAGGGGTCCGGGAGCACAGGACGCGCAACAGCAGCATATAAACCGCCTCCCCCAACCACCACCACCACCACCACCCCGCACCGGAAAAATCATCCCTGGGAAAAGAAGCCACCAGGCCAGCAAAGCAAGCAAGCAAGCAAGCAAGCATTCTGCAAGGCAAAAAGCACGCAACTCGCTCGCCACACCAATCAGCAAACCAGAACCCCCCGCGAAAAATGTCCGAGCACCAATACAAATTCGACGTCAAGATGAGCTGCGGCGGCTGCTCCGGCGCCATCGAGCGCGTCCTCAAGCGCCTCGAAGGTACGTCGTCGAGTCCTTCGTTCTACCTAGTTTCCCCCATCCAAGTCTCACCTTTGGACCAACAAACTAACCCTCCTCGGGCATAAATAGGTGTCAAATCGTTCGACGTCAGCCTGGAGTCGCAGACCGCCACCGTCGTCACCGAGCCCACGCTGCAGTACGACACCGTCCTCGGCACCATCAAGAAAACTGGCAAGACCGTGACCCGGGGCGAGGCCGATGGCGCCGAGATGGCTGTGTAGTGTGTAGCTACATACGGAGTAACTACTTACAACTCCCGGGTGCTGTCGGGGAGGGCGCCCCCGGTGTGAACCGATGGGCGGGCAGGCGGAAGGACTGACTGGGCTTCAATTTCATCGCATAAAAGGATAGCTAGGGCATTATTTTCATTCACTGAGTTTTTGAGCAACAATTACATCCATGTATATGCTTGGGATCATCACAACATCGCTCGTGCGGCGGTCATTACCATACACACACACATCCATTAACCAACTCAATAACACTCGAGCTAAAATGCTTCATAATGCACTCGGAATTTTTGGGGGGGTATCGAAGTAGGCTGGCGACAACCGCCACGCAGAACTATGTACAGTAAAAAGTACTTCCTCAAAATATTCCAAAACTGGTAGTCCTTCATAACACACAAGGCGACTCCATCTAGCAGCGATTCCACCCATTCGCTTCACAAACATGGTCGAGAGAAGAGAGAGAGAGAGAGCCCGGTTGTCTTAGCCTCCTCGAACGGGCATTGCGTCCCGCAAAATATGAGGTCTAGCTTGTGTACGTACACCACCAAAGGTGCTTCCAAAATCCGATGTGCGGTACCGTGGCGGGAGTTGCTCCATCGGATGATGCGGAGGGCTACAGTTAAGGAGTCAGCAATCAAGAAATGCAAGGTGGCCTGGATCTCGATGGCGAGTTGCTCATCAAGACAACGACTCCAGGACTGTGAACCATACCGGCTTCCGTTAGACAAAGCCTCGGGGCGAGAACCTTCCCCGCGGGTAAAATACGCTGCCTGGTGGCTGTTCAGTGGTGGTGAGTGCCGGGGTGGAGGTGCATAAACCGGCCGCGCCGGACCAGGGCCCAGTAGCCGGGGAGTAGGATGATGCATCGGAGGTGAATGAGATCGGTTGGGAGTAGGATCAAAAGTAACTCTATGTTCAGGTGGAAATCGGCCAACACTGGGAAGGGGTATAAAGTGCGTAGATTGTGAATAACGGTCTTCCACCTGTGCCTGGCGCTCATGCACCGGGGCACGAGGAAATCTATGGGGTTCCTGCCTTTCCGGTGAGTGTAAGGGTCGAACGAAATCGTGGGAATGGATACGCGGAAAATGCGTATCTTGACTAAAAGCTGGCATCCGTTCTAGAGAACGTTGCCTTAATGAAAGAGAACTAAGCGGGTTTGGTTTCTGCTGCCGGTAATCCTGGCTCTCACAGGCATCCAACCCCATCACACGTTGAGGGCGTGAAATACGTGCCATTTGGCTGGGTGCAACGGTATCTTTGTCATTTCTAGCCCTGTATAAAGAGCTATCGACGAAAAGAGCCTGTGTGCCTGTGGCCCCATGGGCCACCCGGCTGACATTGGGGACATAGTTCAGCCCCTGATTAGGCGCGCCATGTCTAATTGGATCTGAGTGATATATATTTGCAGGTTCCGCGAGCTGAGAGTCTCCAGCGGGTCTTCGTCTTGCATTCGAACCATCGCGCTCAATTGGTCTCAATATTGGGCGCGAAAAATTATCACTAGGAATGCTGGTATGTTGCAGAAAATTACCTTGCCTTTGACCTTGTTGAAGAAAACGCCCATCCTCTTCTAGCCTGCCTATTTTGCAAGGGGGTTGAGAGGAAGGGGGGTATTCTAATGGTTCTCGTTGGCAATCTGTCTGGGGCTCTTCAATGGAATTATGAAGTAAAACCCTATTTCTCTTGGGGGCCATATGGAATCTGCCACTGTCAATATCAATAGCATTTATCCTACCCGATACGTCCTCAAGTGGCGGTTGGTTGTGGTAGGGATCACCGGCTAACAGACCTGTGAAATCCCGCTTTCGTGGCATAAGCCGTCCAGAATCGGCCATGTATCCATGATTTTCATCGTCCAAGAAGTGGCCTCTAACCGAAGGGCGTCCGGGATGGCCAATATCATTATGGGCTGTTTTGGGCAGGGCAATGGGCTGTCTATTCCTGAAGGTGTGATACTTAACCTGCTCACTTGCTTTGTTTCCGGAATTACAGTATTGTGCTGGTATCATCGATCGCTCAATGGCACCAAGGCGTTCCTGCCTTAGCTCCTCATCTGCACGTTCAAATATTGAACCGTCAGCTAGGCGAATTATCTTGGGAGGATCAACACGTTTCGCCTACAGATAGAGACATTAGTAGACAATACAAAACGACAACGAAAAGTAGCTGATACGCTTGGTAGGTTTAGATAGGTTCTTACAGGCGCCCGAAGTCCGGGGTTTTCCACAGCTTGGTACGAGTGTTGACTGATATGCCCTGGTAGGTCGTCACCTGAACGTTTGGCAACCAAAGCCCGGGGTTGCGAGTCTCCGGTATATGGTATCTGCCTAGTTGGCTGTGGCTCCGGTAATGGAAACAGGGCAGGAACCGGCCGGTCATTATTTTCTGCTGGGTGAGGCTGTTCGTTAGATGCATGTAGAGTACCTCTATATCGATCCCTGGCCCTGTCCCAGGCTTGATATCTGCTAAAGCCGCGACGATCAAGCTTCTTTTTGTCCCCAAGCTTTCGTTTCCTTGGGAGAGGACGGATAAAACGAACACCAGGATGCCCTTCGTCCTCAGAAGGCTCAGGAACTCTGCTCCTGTCAATAGTGGCAGACGTTTCATGACTTAACGGCTGGGTCTGTAGCTCCTTAACCACTGTGTTGCTAGAAATTATCTCAACGCTGGAATCTCGATCGCCTTCGGGATGATCACCATCCTCGCTAAGGTCTTCATCCTCATCATCTGATATAACGATGACTTCCCGAAAAACATCTTCAAGAACAGTTTCTCCACTTTCATCATCCCCCCTCCACTGTACAAGCTTAGCAAGGCAGGGTTCTTCAACTGCAGCACGAGCTTCTTGAAAAGATGTAAGCTTCAGTAAATTGTCATATTTTGTATACACATGTCGTATGTGAGCAACAACAGCTAGCTGCGCACGTCGCGCCAAAGGAAGCTCAACTGCAGTGCCTACTTTGCGTTTACCCTAACAACTTGTCAGCAGAGCAATAAATTTTGTGATTCACATACCTTGCGGAAGGCAGTTTTAACAATCTGATTTAAGTCCTTGGCTGGTATATTTGGAAACAAATCTTTGATTGCATCACGAGCCTCTGTGTTAATTATGTTTTGCGATAATTCGGAATCCGCTTTTCGCTCGGTTATGGGCCCTCGAGCACCGCTGCGGGTGGGTAATTGGCGATATGGCATTACCTTTCCGGTAGATGACAGAAAAACACCTCGATCCATACATACAGTAGCCACTACGACACTGGGAAAGTGGTACCCGATTCTGTGTACTTGCTGCGATAGATTATGCATTCCTTGGTGGGGTGTTGTCTGGTAGAAAGGTGGTGAGACTCAAGGTAATCAAATTGTAAGTCACAAAGCACTTACTGAAACGGTAAAAACTTTAAGTCCATCTTTTCTGCAGATTTCTTTACATGAACTTGTGAATTTAGGATTACCTGCAGGAATAAAGGTATAACCAGGCGGCGCTTTGGCCTCGAATGAGATCTATTGACAATAGTCAGTAACTTCCCCAGCTGCTGCAAAAGCAGTGAACAGGATATATATGGTTTGAAAGTCGTACAACACTCCGAAGCTTCTTCTTTTCCTGAGTGACGGTTTCCAATATTATTTTGTGCTTGCGAGCTTTTGCCTTAGCAACTTTGCTGCGAGCACGAGTGGCATATGCCGACCCGGCTCGATGAATTATACGAGTCATCTTAATGACAAGTGCAATAAAAATTGCTAGTACCAAGTTGATATTGTAGGTGGACTTCCAAGGTCCTATTGGAACGTAGCGCGACACAAAGCCATGTCTCCAGGCCGAATCATTTGTGTCCCAGATGAAGTATTCTAGATGTTAACTGAGCAGCAATCCAGATAATAGACGCTGTCGCGAAATCAGCCAAAGGGCAAGTGTGCTTAGGTTATAAGCACACCGATATATTTGGGAACTCAAACAGGCTTAGCAGAAAACGGTCTAAGCACGGTCGCAAAAAAGGAAGGCCCGCATAAAAGGGAATGGATATACGGCAAAACAATCCAGTAACAGCTAGCAGGTAGCCGTGTAAGTCTGTATGCCAGGCGTTGGCGACGGTTGTGTTCTGTGGCGCTGTCTGGCGTGATGAGTCGAAGAGAGAAGGGAACGAGATGAAGTCGAAAAAGTTGCGACGTCAAGGTTCCCAATTTAAGGCGGGCGCACCTGATTAATCACGTGAAAGATAGCTTTAGCCCGAAATGGCCTTCACGTGAGTTGTCATGGAATAATAATTCTCCGACCTCCATTTTCGATGTCGCGTGTGGTCAAGGTTGCGGTTGATATTGCTTGGGTTCCATGAAAGCGGTTTAATAAGACCAATTCTTCCCTACTTTATATAATAATATGGAACCCTCAAATAGTTCATGATACTTATCATATGTTAAATAGCTAGAGCGCGCTCTGGGGAGGCTAGCTAGGTTAACGATCCAAGTTAAAATCATTAAAGAGTTATAACTACTCCGTGTGGAGTATATATTTATCACTCAAGACGACATTGAACTCTTTACAATCGATTGCGCTGCCATATATACACTATTGGCAGTCATTTTAGAGGATAAATACGGACAGCCGGGGCAGATGTCTCTTTCTATTGATTTCCTCAAATCTACAAGCCATCGCAATGCCGTTCTCCTTTCTTACAGACACTTGTACCGGGCCGCTTTGCGTACTGTTAGATACACGACGCCACAGCGCTTTAAGGTACGAAATATTCTTCGGTCATCTTTTAGGTCCGGTAAGCCTTCAGATTTCAGTCCACAGAGGGTTGTGAACACCATCCAGTTCATCGAGCGTGGCAAACAGCCGGGCACAACAGAACGCCGGATTTTACAAACTTTGACACACGTCCATTACTATCGAGGTCCAGACATAATATGGAATCCTCCCTTGTATGTGCCATGCCCCTCCACATTAGCGCAACTACTGACCATGTAGGAAGATTTGCAAAGAAAAGGAAAAATGCTGATTACAAGTTCCGGTCTTTACCGTATATCCACTTCGATAAAACTCTCCATCTCCTCAACGAAAGCCTTGGGTTGTGCCTGCGATGTTGACCAGGTAGAAATGGCAGATGCTTATAATAGGGAAGTCGGCAGATGCGGACATGGAAAGCCCGAAGAAAAACCACAGCTGGACCCGCCTTCGGGCCTCAACAGGGCTAGGAAGGCAGTCGCAAGCTTAACAATGATCTGAGCAAGAACAACGGGTTTCTGTGTGCAATGGGAGGTTTGGAGGAACAGTATTGCCCGCCTGGACCCGGGTCAACCAGCCCCCGCCCACTAACAGGCTTCAGTCATCAGTGGGCTGTAGAACCTCCCCATTGCGGGAGATTCAATAGATAACATAACTGCGGTTTTTTGCACACGAAAACCAAGTGAAATGACCTGTTCAGCGGCCGATTCAATCGTAGGGCTGCAGTAGAGTTACCTGGGACGGAAAGCACGTGTGTAGACGTCACCTCCAGTTGCGGAGTGGCAGTGCGACGCCGAATCCTCCGAGCGCACACACGACAGCCTCTCCCGCTGCGAGAAGCCGGCAAGCTAGCCCATCCAGCTACTGCTATCCGACGTGATCTTCCGTCTCATTGAGGAGCTCATCTCTTATGGAATTCTCCCTTTAAGTACCGAGAATGGAGTCGTTGGGGCCGCACCAGCCCCAGCCTGACTCCCAAGATCATACCCGACGAACACCTCAACCTACCACCAGCGATAATACCGATGATGAGAACAGAGACAGTGGCTCAGCTTTGGGTATTGGGGCTGCCGCTTTCAGCGTCGAGACGTCACAACAATCAGCGGTCGACCCTTGTGACACAGACTCGTTTACACACCATCTCGGCAGCACCAGTAACCTGCGGAGAACGTGGCATTTAGTACCTCCGAATGCAGATTCGGAGAGTGTTTCTACTGAAATACAGAACACTGGCTCTAGAGAAGCACCTGTACCCAATATTCTGGGCTCGTCAAGCAGTACGGTACCTACGGATGCCAATCCTGGAGCTACGAACAGGACGACCGACGATGACGACAATGAAGACCAGAAAGACAAGAAGGAGTCGCTCCCCCCTGATGATGGGATGCGTTCTTTGCGGCAGCGAATACATGCTATCCGAGCAAGCGATGCATCTGGTGAAGAAAAGGCCCAGCAGATCCATAAAATCATGAATGAGAGCCACAGTGCCCACACCAGGCACACTATAGGCTTTTGCGCAGAGGGTCCATCAACGCATCAATTCACATCAAGAGATGGCAGCCCCTCAGGCAAAGATTCTTTCTCACCTAGATCCTTGAGTGGCTTGAATACTTCTGGCCGCCCGTATTATCTGACAAAAGAGGACTATGCTCCGACATATGCACCTGTAGATGTTTTATCTGAAGATGACGATGGTCACCAAGGGGCAGGGAGGCCTAACCTGGAAAAAGCACCAGAGCTGGGGTGCAAACATTATAAACGAAATGTCAAACTACAATGCTATGCGTGCAAAAAATGGTACACTTGCAGACTTTGCCATGATGAAGTTTCAAACCACATTCTGCCCCGACAGAGAACAGAAAACATGCTATGCATGCAGTGTCAAACACCCCAGCCTGCAAGCCAGTGGTGTAAGTCGTGCCGTCAGCAAGCATCCTACTATTACTGTAGGATTTGTAAACTCTGGAATAATGATGTGTTAAAAAGTATGTACCACTGCAGTGAATGTGGTATTTGCCGCCTTGGCCAAGGCTTAGGGAAGGACTTCTTCCATTGCATGGTATGTTCTTGAGTAATTTTCCTTGGGGCACCTCGCATTTGACACTAATGGTATAACTACTAGAAATGTTGTGTCTGCTTGCCAATTCAATTCCAAGACAAGCACCATTGCGTTGAGCGGTCCACGAAAAGTGACTGCCCCATATGCGGTGAATACATGTTTTCGTCTCCTCGGCCGGTTGTTTTGATAGGCTGTGGCCACAGTATGCATCAAGATTGTCTATCCGAATACTCCAAGAGATCATACCGATGTCCGATTTGTAGCAAAAGCTTCACCAATATGAGCGCCAATTTCGTAAATCTCGACCATGCCATTAAAGCCCAACCAATGCCCCCAGAATACAGAAACACGATGGCTGTGGTGCGTTGTAATGATTGCCACGTAAAGGGTGCAACACCATACCACTGGCTGGGCAATAAATGTAGTCTGTACGCAAACTACACTTCATAACTAGCTGGGTAGAAGAAGCTGATTGTTTCTAGCTGCGATTCCTACAATACAACGGAAATACGAGTATATAACGAAAATTCGGACACTCTACCACCTAGTGGCGCTACTCTTTCCAACAGAAGTTTGGCGCGATCAATACCAGGAGTTGATGGACCGTCGGGTTCATTAACAGCAGGCACACAGCAATCACGGTCACTTAATGCACGATCAGTCTCTCCGACTGTCAGCAATTATTTCGGACTAAGTAGGCGTCGAGAATCTATATGGACTAACCCCTCACAACCCGGGGCCGGAAACTCAGCTGAAGATAATGAATATAGGGAAAATAGTGCCAATACATCATTTTGGCCAGTTTCAACCCTTAGACGCGCGACTTGGAATCTCCTAGGAAGCAGCTGGCGGAGCGAGAGTGGAGAAGATGAAGCTATTGATTTTGAAGAGGATGCCGATGACGAAAAGGAGGACGAGGATGAGGACGAGGAAACTGGCGATATCATTGATATTTTTGGCCACCGATGAAAGATTTCGGGGGCCAAGGGTTGAAACTATGCTCGTCTTTGCTTTTAATGATAACCCACACCCACATCACAGAGCTCTTCCTGAGAAGGGAATCCGAGCCTGCACTCTATTGTTATATACCCATACTCAACGCCCTAGAGTCCTGGATGCTCATTGAATCCAGACCGGCGAATGTACATGATGTATTCCGTACTGTTGGAAAACAGAGACGTAAAACGATTGCATTATTCTTAGGCGTTTTCGGATTCATGGCGTACTTATGATCTTTTCTGTGAGCGTTAACACTGGTCAAGTATGTACTCCGTACTGTTTCTGAATTAGCTACTGGATGCCATTTTAGACTTCCTCCAGCATCTTCTGTCACTCCTCCTCTCTCAACCGATTTTTTGGATCTTACTCCCCGTAGCACTATTATAAAACAAAAGGGTCTACTCCGTACAATCTAGAACATTACTGGTAGATATCAGCCGGACGCATTAAACACTAGATGGTACACGCAAATATCTGGCGCTGGCGCCATGCCCCTTACTCTTTTTCCCCGAATATATAGTTACCCATGAATTTTAATCTATTTGGGGCTCATCGGCCGGTTTTGATATGTAGGCTTTGAAGCTGGAGTTCGATACGCTAATATGCCGATAAAAGAAAGAGTAGATTCTATACACATGACAATCAACGAGGGAATTGAAAGCAGCTTCTTCAAGCAATAATAAAGAATTAAAATCCAGCCGCTCGCCGCTTCTTTCTTTCTTTAATTGCAAATTTTCGATTTGCATCCCTACTCCCAAATGCACCCCTTTCCGTTTGAGTGAGAGGTATTTCCTCCTCCCTGGCCTGACTGCTTGGGATCGTGATCTCTATTGAGGATGAAAGACCACCAGTTCCCACCGGCTGGCTTCCCCATAACCTTGTGTCCTCCACCATTTTGGGAGTTAGCGGCGGTAGTGATAATTGTTTTTCTCTCTTTTGCAGCTGAAGGCGCTTGCGCTCCTCACGTTTGCGACGTCTTTGGCTTCCTGAAAGATTCTCCGATCGAGATTCTTCGCTTTTCGCTTCTGTCCACCGGTACTTCGATGGATCAGCACCAGTTGTCCAATGGGAGATTGTTGATAGAACATGCTTCGTAGGCGTCGGCTGCGGATTAACAGTCGTATAACGTCGTAGAAAAGAATAAGGATCACTCGACTCGTATGATGTGTTGGAGTTGGGCAACTTATCCTGGCTTGATGATGGGGCTGCGTTCCACAATGACTCAGTGCTACTAGATGGAAACAAGCTGCCAGCCACTTTCATAGAAGGACCATCATCTTCGTTGGGCTCTATATTTTTAGGAACTTCACCTTTTGGAACAAGGCAAAGTCTTGAAAACGTCACATCCGCGGCAATGGAACGGATGATCCTTTCTTTATACGCCCGGACAATATTTGGAACCCGGTCGGATAATGGTGATAGCCAATCGAAAACAAGCGAGTCGTACAAAGCGGTAAGAGATGTTTCAACTAGTTGAGTAGGTATAGGAGTATTCAGTTGTGAACTGTGCGAAACCGGTAAAGGCAGCCCCCAAAGTCGAAATTGTTGGAGAGAGTTCGATCCTTCTCCTGCAATTCGTTGCAGAAATAGTTTGAAACTTTGTGCATTACTATCAATAGCATCCAGAGAGGGTGAAGAACTAAGACGTTCAAGCCTACAAGATATTAGAATCAAATAAAAGAACGGAGATAGGGTACCAACAGTGTCTGAACTATCATCGGGGTCGGCTCGTCTACTTTTTCGTCTTGGAGGCGCTGGAAAGCATCAATAGCCCAGTCATCAAATCCATGTAGCACGCTACTCCCCGGGTTATGTTGTAAAAATTCTCGATTCCAATCTGAAACGATTTTAGAGTAAATATGCTCCCAATTTTCAATTCTCTGTGACTGCGGAGGAGGATGGGTTTTTGAAGAAGAACCTCGAATATAAGTATTTTGATCAATTGGCATTTCATCCATGTCATTGACCACAAAGTCGAAATCGTCGACGTAAGGCAGACTCGTAATTTTATCAAAGCGTCTTTTCTTCACCACAATCGGAAAGGAACGGGAAAATCCAGCTTGTGGAGAGTCATACTCAAATGAAGCTGAATATACACCTTCAACTATCTCTAGATTCGGGCATTGCCCGATGAATTTGACAAAGGCCACGCGCTGGCCATTTTCCTCATTGAAGTCAGAGAGAGTTTCAATTTCTTTGAATAGCATGGACAAGAATCGAGGATCCTCTCCATTTTCAACTCCAGAAAGCGTAGTGGGGGCCAAAGGAATAGGAAGTATGAATGGGTCAAAGGTAGAAGCCGGAATCACTGAGTTTTCTGAGAACGAAAATTGAAAAACTTGGGCGAGGTTGTTGGCTCGTGAATATACGACGATCAGAAGCTCTACGTTTCGTTAGCTACATCTTTCCGTAAAGGGAAAGAGAGCAATACCATTTTGAGCAAGTATTTGGGTTATGCGGAGACTAGTATCTTCTATGTCCCGGAAATGCCTCCAACTAAGCAATGTGCGTATAGAATCCTTATTGAAAGAAATTTCGTCTGGTGGAATTTCCAACCAAAATAACTTCGTCGTTGTGAGAACAAAAAGGTGGGACGGATTGCATTTACTTCTGGAAATATCCATAATCCAATCAGAACCCCGGTGGAATTCGATGTCAACAGGATACTGTTCAGGAGGCTGAGTGCCAAGTCGACAAACAAGCAAATTTCGACGGTCACAGACCACAATCTGGTGTACACTTCCGATCCAAGAAACGGCAGCCCAGCCATCAAAGTTATCAGGATCTATAGCGTCAGAATCAACTGTTTGGATTGCATGTGATATGGATCCGCATGGTCCCCGATCGGCGGTCCAATCCACACCGCGTTGCTGTTTCCCATGTATATCCCAAACACTCCAGTTCCCACAACGATCGATAATTGCCAGTTGACGTTGATACCATGGGTTAAAGGTGACATCGGCATGGGGGTGTCCACCAGTCAATGAAGCTGGAATGTCAAGTAATGGATTTATATTAATACGAGATCTTGAACGTGTCTCTAAGGTGAAGCCTTTGACCTTGAATGCCGAAGACAACGGAAGTCGTTGGCAAACTGGGTAAAATATTGTCGTGATTTGCGAAAATCTAGCAGCAAAAAATACGTTTTCATCATCAATAGGCTCTGCAGAGCAGATTTGTCTCACAGTGCCGGAGGCGCACTTCCACCAAGCTCCAGTTTCTGAATTTAGAGCTGGGATAATTGACTGTTCGAGCTGTGCAGGTAACCCTTCAGTCTGGGCCTCAAACGGGATGAGCGCGATGGATGTAGGAGGGTCGCTATGGGCAATTGCAACTATGGCCACCGATCGCTCACTCGATCTTATCTCATCCACGGCTTTCCCAAGGGCCAAACGTGTGGAGACCGACGGGTCAAAATCGGTCACCGTCGCAGTTATAGTTTGAGAAGCTTTATCATGGAGGTGTACGAGGTCTAAACCTGGAGCGAGCTCTGGATACGCTTTTAAGATAGCACGTTCCTTTGTAGAGGCTGCAGGCACATGACGCAAAAAGTCACAGCTTGATCGAAAAGTATTGAGTCCAGTAACCGATGTGCCTTCTAAGAGAGCGAAACGGGGTCCTGGGTTGTTGGAAATAGATTAGCTTACTAAACGACAAACGACGGATGTGTTTCTAACTTTTCTTACAAAGACGTGTAAACTCCCAAACTTGCGTGTCTGGGAGGTAGAACGCCGTCCCTAGGTGGCCATACTGCAGGGCATGTTGGGAGAAATGGTCATCCATCTGGTTTGAATCTGAGCTGAGTACGCTCCAAACAAGTTTGACAAGAGCTGGAATTCATATCGGAGAATATCAATCCAAGAGAGAATCCCATTAGCTACAATAGCTGGTACTGAAATAGGTAGATCATAGATTAAAAGAAAGCTGCATTGTTGCAAAAGCTGAAATCTTGGAGCGCAGACTGTTCAGGGCTAAAAAGCTAACGGCCGCTAGTCTCTTTTCGATTTAGCGGCAGATTGTTGCTGAGCAACGATCTAGGTGCAAACCCCATCAACAGTTGACCATCTCACGCGCTGTTATCAATTAGCGTTCAGGGTACGCATTTGTAGCGGTTGCCCTTCCTTATTGAAAGCAAATACAACATCAGCTAACTATCGCTAAATTCCACTACATTTAATACGACACTCACTATGGCTTCTGCGACTTTCGACCCCACCATGTCGCTGTCCGGAATGCGGCCTCCTCTTGCATCCGCCGACGCGCCATCCATGGCAGACCAGCTCCCAGCGCTGAACTTTGGCTTCGAGGACTTACGCGCGCGAATGGCGCAGTTTACAACAAAATTTGACGCCTTTATTGAGAGAGGCAGGAAGCAGGTGCTTGAGGAAAGAAACCAATTCCGTGTGAATTTAGCTGAACTTCAAGGTATTCTAATCGGTCTAGCCGTGGCTGTGGAAATTGGTTCTAACTCGAAGAATAGAGGATCGGCGTATGAAACAGAAGGATATCGAGATTCTTGCTTTAAAAACACAGACTCATGCACAAACATTGCAGAAGGAAACAATGGAAGCTGCTGAAATGAACGAGGCAATTGCGATGATATCCCAGCAGTGCGATACGCAGCTGGTGACGCGGGACCGCTTAAAACAGCAGATTGAAGAGACACAAAAGACTATCAACCAACGATTAGAAGCCCAAAAAGCGCACGCGCGTCACCTAGAAAGCCAAGCACGATTGAATGTTCCCGAGCTAGAATTTTGGCAGGACTACCTTTGCTTAAGAATTGAAGGTGCAGGGAGAGAGGATCGATTAAAAGTGGTTTATAGTCACTTACTAGAAAAGGATTGGGAAAAAGAAGCTTGGTTTGAGCTTGGTACAAGTTCTAGAGAATACGAAGTGTTTCGGTGCCGACCGAAGCTGGAGAGAGGGGCAATAGAAAGGGAACTTGATATTATTAATGAAGACAGGGATTTCGGCGCATTTCTTAAAAGGATGCGGAAATTGTTTGTAGCCGCCATGAAGTAAAACATCTGTTGTTACCTATACCGTTCTTAAGAGATACCCACTTCATATTCTAGACGCCTTAACTTATCTACAAATATAGTATGGTCGGTGGTAGCCGTTTTAAACGGCTGTTTTAACCTCCTGTAGCCTCCCGATAAAATGCTATGCTCCTACTAGCACCAGCTGCAGCGAAGCCCTCAGCCTTTCCTGTTTTCGGCAGCCATTTAACGCTCCAAATCGCCTGGTCAGACTCGGAGAGAGTTGCAACACAAGCTTTTCGACTAATCGACCAGACCTTTACCTTCCCGTCGAAAGACCTGATCAATTTTAGCACGCACACAAATTCTATGACCACTCGGAATAATAACACTTACCCACTCAGAAGAAACTCACCAGTATGGCTCCAGTCTAGAGACATAACCCATGCTGAATGGCCAGTAAGATTTGCAACATGCTCGCCGGATGATGTCTCATAGAGTACGATCACTTTTGAGTCCCCCGCCGCAGCTAGCAATTTGCCTCCTGGTGAAAAGGCAACTGCACGAACAGGTTCAACGAGGCCTAGAAGCGTTAGTCGTCAGTAATTGACCCATGACATGGCATAAAAACACATACCTGATAGAGAATGAGGCATACGTCCGGTTCCATTATCAAAAAGGTAGACGCTGCCGTTTTGATGGCCAGATGCCGTAAAATTTCCGTCAGGTGACTGAAGTGATATTGTTAGAGTCTTAACGTACGCTGTAGTTTTTTAAGGCGTACAATATCTATACACATGCCAAAGCTGCCTTTTGTTTCGAAGTCCCGTATCCGTTCAGCACCGTTCTGCAGGTCCCAGACTTTGATATGGCCGTCATGCGTTGTGCCAGCAAGGTACTGTCCATCTGAAGATAATTTGATCGCCCAAACATCTGCTACCTTGCCATTATCTTCATAAAGAGTCCATAAGCATAGAAACATATAAGGCATTGGGGACTTAAAGATGAAGAATGCCCGGACGTACAGTCCACGCTGGTATCATCTCTCCACATTCCATCTTCAAATGTCCAAAGTTTGACCTCTCCATTGAAACCCGCACTGGCAGCCCTCAGCCCGTTTCCACTTATGACTATGTGGTGGCTGCCAATTTTATGTGCATTTTCAATGGACTGAGCAATGGGAAAATCCGATTCCGTGGTAGAATGCACCTTTAGAGATGCAGAACTTGAAGCAGATATGATCTGGCTGGGAGTGGCGGCTAAAGAGAAAACATCGCCAAAATGAGCTGAATATAATACATGTTTTAGTAATTGCCTTTATTGAGTGATTTTTGTGGTTTGTATGTACCATTTTCGAGTGTATGCAGGTTAAGGTACTGCTTCGACTGTACTTTAAAGTCAGCAAGTGGGCTGCAGCCCATGGCGGGGCTTTACGGGAATGCTTACCATTCTTTTAACTATATCGCAATTTATAACCTATGATCATTCAATGATCAAGTGTCCTTTGGTGGGGTGTAGTGATTACTTATGTATATGATGAATTGTGATGTCGAAAAGGTCATTGGGTTTGGAGTAAAAAAGAATGCCTGGCATTTATGTATGTATGTACATATGGAAAACGGGTGTCTATGTCACACTCACCCACGTTTACAGGCTGTGTACAATTAAATAGTAGAAACATCAATCTGGAAATGTAGCTAAAATTCAGATCGTTTTTAATCTGTTAAATTTCTTGTTATATAGTACAGCTGATAGACAGTTGAAATATTGTGTAACAAAAAGACCGTTTAACGCCAGTCCACACGCCATGCCTTCCCACGCTGTTTGTACATATGATCTCCTAGGATGAGCTGCTCGGATTTCCATAGCCAATTAAGCTGGTACCGCTGACTTCTCCTCTTCCCTCCAGCGCTGCTTAACTTCTAGATGGCGGAAGTCGGTCAGTACTAACACAACCCGGAAAAAAACAATACAGCTAAGGAAAATCCTTACCGGTAACACAAGTAGGACATAGTAGATGCGCTCGTTTGGGCTGGCCGCATCCTGGGCACTTGGTCACATTCTTCATATCTTTAAGAGCTTTCCCAGCCATTTGTCGATGTCTTTTCTTCATATGCGACGTTTTCTTCTTCGGGACAGCGCGTAGAATAGATTCCCAGAGACCTTCAAGTAGGGACGGTAGACCTAATATTATCGCGCTCGGGGAGTAGAAATTGCATGATAGCCCCAAAGGCCGTGAAAGAAGTAGCTGTACTTGCTGGGACGCGGGCGATTGAAAGGTCGTATGGAATGGTAGGGTCCGCGTAAAGGGTAGAGGGAAAGACAGAGTCCAGGCTGCCCGTATCGCCGCCATTTTCAGAAACTGACGGGCGTGTGCAATTAAGTAAAGCCGAAATGTTTTCCTGCTCAACATCAACATGCGGAAGCAAATTGAGGATATCGGTATTATATAATCGAGGATTTAACTACTCGCTTTCTGATTGGCCAACATCCGGACGGGTCTGTGAAATGGCGCTAAACCGCAACAGGGTTAATGTTGTGCCGTTAAGCCCCTGATCCACGATTTGGCTGTGAAGAGACGCAGCAACCGATTTGCCCAAAGCTGCCCGTCTGCGAGATTTGACTGATTTAAGGGGCGCCCTGACCGGCAGTTGCAACCTCCATCTTCTCGCTCTCTCCTCACTAAGCTCTTTTTCGCGCTCAACCGGAGTGCTTAATCAAAAAGAACCAAAAAGGTTCAACACAGCGAGCAAGCAGAATGGCCTCTCCCGCTCCTCCAACCGCTCAGCCAGCAAACAATGCGGTGTACCCTCGAAGCCATGTTGGTTTCGATAGTATTACTTCGCAAATCGAGAGGAAGTTGCTGAAGCGTGGTTTTCAGTTCAACGTCATGTGTGTTGGTAAGTTTGTCTCTGAGATGCGTGAAATTACCTTCGTCTGGGGGGGCGTGATCTGACAATTCGAACCTTTCGTTAGGCCAAACTGGACTCGGAAAATCGACCTTGATTAATACTATCTTTGCCTCGCATTTAATCGATTCCAAGGGTCGTTTGGCACCAGATGAGCCTGTCCGCTCCACCACGGAAATCCAAACCGTTTCGCATAGTACGTTTAGTTATGCGTTGATTTCCCCCCTATACAGTCTAACAACGACATAGTTATCGAGGAAAATGGCGTGCGATTGCGACTAAATATTGTCGATACCCCCGGCTATGGTGATCAAGTCAACAACGATAGATGGTATGTGCATTTTACTTGATATTGACGGAATCGCGGCTAATCGTTGACCATTGTAGCTGGGATCCAATTGTCAAGTACATCAAAGACCAACACTCTGCTTTCCTGCGAAAGGAGCTTACTGCACAGCGAGAACGCTACATTCAGGACACTCGGATTCATTGCTGCCTGTTTTTTATTCAACCCTCAGGACACGCGTACGTTGCTCAGACGATACGGAATGATATCATGTTCTGACCGGTTCTAGTTTGAAACCAATTGATATCGTCGTACTCAAGAAACTTTCAGATGTCGTCAACGTTGTTCCGGTTATTGCCAAATCAGACTCTCTGACCCTAGAAGAGCGCTCCGCGTTCAAAGAAAGAATCAAGGAAGAATTCGCATTCCACAACCTCAAGATGTACCCATATGACAATGACGAATTGGATGATGAAGAACGCGCAGTCAATGCTCAAATTAAGGTATATACACAGCAGCAGCTCCCCGCTGCACTTTCTCTGATCAATAGACTCACTGTCTCATAGGACATCATACCATTTGCCGTTGTTGGAAGCGAAAAATCAATCATCGTTAACGGCAAACAAGTCCGTGGCCGCCAGAATCGCTGGGGCGTGATTAACGTCGAGGACGAGAACCACTGCGAATTTGTCTACCTCCGCAATTTCCTTACCCGCACTCACCTCCAGGATTTGATCGAGACGACAAGCCAGATCCATTACGAGACATTCCGTGCTAAGCAATTGCTTGCGCTGAAGGAGAGCAGTGGAACTGGACACGGTAGCCGGCCGATAAGCCCCTCGGCGGAACGGGAGCTAAGCCGCAACTCACAAAGAATGACAATGAATGGTTACTAAGAGTCTCTTTGCGGGAGTTATGGCGCCTTTCCAAATAGAGCCTTCCGCCACCTAGCTCGCGCGCCGCTACAGGATTGACAATTGGATGTGCGTAGGCCGGATAGGCGAATATCACAGAAAGCGATTTTATTCCTTCGAGACAACTTGGTGCTCACCTTTTCAGATATCCTATTTTAGTTGTTCTTCTGTTATCGGTAACCATTTCTAATTACGCCGAATTAGTATTGTTTTATGTTTGCTACTTGATTCTCACCACAACGGAGCCAGATAGATCTGCGATACCTGGTTCATCCGTGGAAACACGCCTTCTTCATTTCCTAGGTTTGGACTATTTGGTTTAATTCAGAATTTTTTTCACGACCCGCTTCCCGATATGTTTCCTTGTAACCTGCCTATTATCCAAAAGCTAAAAGCATTTCCAGCATGTCTAATCGCTTGAATCTATGGCCGGACCCGTAAAAAGACTGCATCTCGAAATATAGATAGCTGCCGTATGTGATGAACAGCTTGTAATCAAAATATTTATGAGAGCGCACCAAAGGATCCATTATCCACTATCCAGTCCTTAACACTTTGATATGCAGTCTCCAAGTCATCATTGACGACAATTTTGTCATGAGCACCGGGCTCCTTAGCAAACTCCAATTCGTTTTTTGCCTGCGCTAATCTTTTGCTGAGGCTGTCTTCGGTTTCTGTGCCGCGACCGCGTAATCTGCGCTCCAGTTCTTCCATTGACGGGGGCGCAAGGAATATAAATCGGGCGTTTAGATCGGATCTTTTGACTTGTTTGACACCCTGCCCAATCCAATCATTAGTCAATGTCATTTTTGACATATCTCTCCACGGGAATCAGTATCATACCTCCATCTCAATATCCAGAATGCAAACTCTTCCCAGGTCACCAATGTCCTTCACTGCCTTTATGCTCGTTCCGTAATAGTTTCCACCAAACTGGGCATGTTCGATGAACCCTTTCTCATCGACTAGCTGCAAGAAAGAATCCTTGTTTGTGAAGTAGTACTCGCGACCATCCTGCTCGCCGCCGCGAGGAGACCGCGTGGTGTCTACACATCACTTAGTACCCAAAAATAAAAAAAAAAACACCGGCAAGATGACTTTTCTGTACTAACGAGACACAGAGAAGCTGAATCGGTCAGGGTATTCGGTAAACAGGCGTTTTAAAATCGTCGACTTCCCCGTCCCCGAGGGCCCGGAAATCACCACAGGGCGAAACTTGCGAACTGCATGAAGAAATCCATACGTCATGGTCAGCTACACGCCGCGCTTAGGGGAGTTGGAAGAGAGAAAAAAAATGGAAGGGCGTCTAACTCAAGGACCTACCTGCAGCGGCCATTGGGAAAAATCAACACCGCACGCGAGGCAGGCGACAAGCACTTGTTGGGCGATATGAGGGGTATGGGTGATTTGATAGTGAAGATGAGTGGAGAGAGTTCATGGCGGGAACAATTCTAGGGGGGAGCTCTTGGCGCCCGCAATTCAAATTCAATCCCACTCAAACCAACCAAATATCAGATAGAACGTATTAATGATGGAATAGTATTTTATGGGATGCAAGTAACTAAAAATAAATCTCGCTATCTTTGCTTCATAAGCAGAAGTATGGTAGAATACATAGATTTGTTGCAAGAGCCGGCCCGACAGAGAAAGCAGCATTGTGATAGATCATTATCAGGTGGCATCACTCGAGTCTTTGCTGTGCCCTTTGCTAGTCTGCGCCTCTTGCTCCAAGAAACTTGACCATAGCTCTGCCAAAGACTCTTTGCGCGAGGGCGCAGTGCCGGTAAAATAATCCGAAGCAAGCGCCGGCGAGCTGGGCGTTCGGTGAACAGGAGAACTGCCAGGAACTCTAAGGCCGAATGACGAGGTGCTTCCGGGTCTAGCAAGACCAGCTTGTTCACGTTGTTCTGCGTAAATGAAAGTGTTAGTATATTCCCACCTAGAAGGGTCAAGGGGTAAAACAGACCATCCGTCCATCCAAGGAGTGCCGATATGAGCTGCAAGACTTGGAATTTCTTCGGGTCTGAACGATCTAGAGCGAGAAAATGAAGGAAGTGGTTCGTAACGAGGTGTCTAAATAGCAGTTTAGTCTTAATAACGAAGTTTTTAACAATGGAGGGCGAATATACCTATCGACGTTATCCTCTGGTCGTCCCTTTTTCAGGAAGCGTAGCGCTTTCGTGAGATGTTCATTCAAAGTAACAGCCTCATGGCGAAGTTTGCCAATCAAAAGATTCTTCTCCTTTACTTCTTTCTCGAAAGGCAGAGCTCTCTCCAATTCTCCCTTCATCTTCTCCAGCTCGGCAGTCGCATCTGTAGCCGATCGTTCAGCAGACTGAAGTTTTCTGCGCAGGTCTTCGGTCTGGGCATCAGAGCTCTCGACCAACTCCCTCAATTCCTGCTTTCGAGCTAGCATGGGAGTCAGTACAAATATACAATATATATAAAGGGCCTCAGCCGCCTACCTGTCTGGATTTCCTGCAATGCTTTTTGCAGGCCTTCAACCGTAACTTCTTGAGTCCGACACTCACTCGAAGCTCGTTCGTAATCCGCCTTCAACGAGCTCAACTGCTCCTCTAGATCGACAACTTTCTCCCCGAGGCCTTCTCGAACAGATCGCTCCTCCATGGCGAGAATCTCCCAGTTGTGCATGGCCTGCTTGGCCTCCTCGAATTCCGCACGCAGGTACGACTCCTGTTCCAGGAATTCCTCTTTTTCCTTTTCCCAATTTTGTTGGGAAAGGTTCGTCCGATTCCGTAGGCTAGATATCTCCTTCGACCTCTGCTCGTCAGACTGCTCCAATGATTCGATACGGGCCGCTTTTGCTTCTGTTTCCGACTTGAGAGCGTCATTCTGCTCTTCTAGCTCCTCGATCTTACTCCTTGCCTTAGATAGCTCTTCCTATTTAATTGATCAGCAGGAATCCCAACAGAGCTTGCTAAAGCCACAGCAGGTAGACATTATAACAAAGGGGGCAGCATACCGCATCAGCCTTCAGCCTCTCTCCCAATTGCGACTTGATCGTGTTGACCTTGCCCAGCAGATTCCGAAACTGCGTCTCCGCATTATTCTTCTCCGCCCGCGTTTCCTCCAGCGTGCTGTTCAAATTCCCCAGCTCCTCGTCATGCTTGGACTGGATTTCCTCCAACGTCCTCCGCAGCTCCGCGACTTCCACCCGAAGCGAGTCGCGATCCCGCACCAGAGCGTCGAACCGCGAATTTGACTCGAGGTCCGTTGTGAAATGCCGCTTGACCGCGTTCTCCAGGGCGGTCTCCGTTCTCTTGGGGCGTTCGGGGAGGTCGCCGGGTTTCGAGGACGAATCTTCATCCGTCCCGTCGGGGTTGGCGGTGCCGCCAGAGTCGCCAGGTGCAGAGCTATTATTTGCCTAGATATCCAAAACGCCCCGTCAGCAAGCCGGTCTGGGAAAAGCTTTGATTTCAAATGCTACATTCAACAGGGCTTCAATAATTGTAGACCTTCGTGGATTGCTCGGCGCCATCGTCGTCTGCCATATCCTCCTTTGCATCCTCCTGGGGCTTGTCGGGCTCGCCATTGACAACCGCTTTGCCCTTTTTCTTCTTGTTCTTCTTCGATTTCCCCGTGCCTGTTTTTTTTTAAAGCTGCGTTGTTAACGAAACTAGTGTGTCGAGAGATTTGCTAAGGTGGCTGGATCAACGGGAACCCACCTTGGGGAGGGGCGGTAGCTGTAGCAGCAGCAGCGGAGACGCTGTCTGCTGGCATTGCGTGTATATTTGTTGCCGTAGGATTGGGGCCCAATGGCTACCAGCGTTACAACTGGTCGGAATGGCGGTTGTTTATTGGAGATTTCCCCCCTAGGGTGCAGCTTTCGAAGCGTGGGTGGTGGATAACTTCGACGATGCTTAGCCAAGCTGCGGTCGAACTGCTTAGAGCCACCTTTATATTTAGCAACCACCTCAGACAGTAGTTACACACTCACACACATACACACCAGAGAGAGCATTGGCTTTTCTCATCTGCAGTGTTTACTATGTGGAATAAATGTGAACTTTTGTTGAATAATCCATCAGCAGATAGGAGCAATCCGCTCTCCCCCATGGCCAGATGGAAGTCGCCATAGTTCATTCCATCTCATGAAAAAACTTACTACTACTACTACTACTACTGCTACGCTTCTTTCAATTGGACACGTCTAATACAAGCAAGCACCAAGAATAGAGCAAAGCCCGGCAACAGCCTCGCAGACAGACGTCGAACAGGCCATACGGAGTAACTACTCAAGTCCAGTCCAGCCGCGTGAGTGCCAACGCCTCTCCCCCCCCGGAAGAATAGGTCTCCGCACCCAATCATGAAGGTCAATTACATGGACAAAAACGGCACACATGATCTGGCGGTGTGACCGCAAGAAGTATTTACGCTGTTGACTTTTGACGGCTCGTGTTTCTGGCTGCCAGCATGAACTTAACTATCCTCCAGCCACCAAAGCAAGAAAAAAAAAAAAAAAAAAAACTAAAAGAGAGAAACAATGTCTCAAAACAAAGACCAGCTCTACGGCTAAAAAAGGGTAGGAGACTTCTGCCAAGAGCTAAGATCAGGTAAGATGCGAATTGATGTCAGTGAGAGAGCCATGATAAAGTAGAGTAGAAATCCCGTCTTCTTGGATTTGAAAAAAAGAAAACTGTCCAAAGCTATCTTATCATCGGCCATCCGAGAAAAATGGAAAAAAAAAAAAAAAATATGAAATAAAACGAAACAGCAAAGGAAAAGCAGAAATGAAAAAACAAAATGATAACACCAAGCAGCAGATATGGGGATATGTGCACACATGCAGTAGTCATCAATTAAAAACTCCATACATCGCACATAATTCATACACACAAACTGTCAGGGGACCAGCCCTCCCATAACAAAGGATTGAGGCGACAGTATTTGAGGCAGGGTCCTTTTGGGAACTGTGTGCAAATAAAAAAAAAATAAAAAAACTGAAAATCAAAACAGCAAGCAGGAGCTCAAGACAACAAAATAAACGGAAAAAAGGATGAGGAAAAGAGGCTGATAGATACAAATCGCACATCCCTCATTGATATCGATCTCTGTAAGGGAGAGAAAATAAAAGGAAGTCGCTGAAAACAAAGTCATCACAGCGCATCATGATTCCCTAAAATGTTTAGACGCCATGCCCCAACATTACTCTTGAACCAGGGCTTTTTATTTTTTGATTTTTTAGGGTGGGAAGATTCGGACAGGGAGGCAAGAGTCCAGATCTTTTGAACGTACACTCGTAATTTAGAGAAGAAGGGGAGGAAGAAAGCGCATAGTCCGAATGGGCCTGGGGTATATAATATAGGTATCGAAGAATCGTGAGGCCGTCACCGGTCCTCACGATCGAAGGAGTCACGGATAATTCGGCTTCAGTCCCTGAAAGCCGTACGGAAGGATCTGCGAGCGGACGATTTCGCCGGGGGCGATGTAGGCGCCTCTTCCGAGAGTCACGCCGGGCAAGATGGTGCATCCGGCACCGATCCAGCAGTCCTCGGCGATGACGACAGGTCGGCCCTGGTAGCGGCTCTGGGAGCCCTTGCGTTCCTGCATGCTGCCGATGGCCATGGAGCTGAGGATCGTGACGTTGGGGCCGATCCAGGTGTGCGCGCCGATCGTGATGGGGCAGTCGTCGGAGAAGAAGCAGTTTTCGGAAATGAGAACGTCTTCGCCGACGCTGATGTTGTATCCGTAGTGGCATTTGAACGGAGCCTCCACAACGGCGCCCGGGCCCAACTTTGTGGTGGTGGTGGTGGTGGTGGTGGGGGGCGGCGGAGGGATATTCTCTAGTTGTGTGTCTGGGGTGGGCATGAGGATTTCTTTCAAGAGTCTGGTGGACTCTGTCGCGCTAATGCCATAGATGGGATTTCCGGCATTCGTGTAGCGCCAGAGGGCTGTTTTACAACGCTCTCGCTCCTGGACAAGCTGGGGGTCAGAGGGCCGGTATGGCTCTCCACTGAGCATCTTCTCCTTTTCTGTCTTCGGGGGAGAGTCAAATGTGATATGCGGCTCCATGTTTAGCGCCATTCGCGCCTGGGCAGAGTAATTGGCTGGGTCGATACGTGGTGGAGGTCCTTGTCGCTGCTCCATGCCAGGTTGGAAAACAGGCATGCCTGGTTTGGGATGCGCGTTGTGGGTTAGGTCGCATGGCTGATGGACCATCTGGTAGTCCGGCTTTGGTTGTTCGGCACGCGACAGCTCCTTGAGGCCCTGGCTGTCTCTAAACTCTGGTTTCGGCGGGCCGTCAGGAAGGTAGGTGGTTGGGCCCTGGGAGCTCCAGGAATTTTTGCCCCATGGGCCCCTCGAGCCGGGGCCAGGAGGGCTGCTGATATATTGTGCTGCGGCTCGGTCAGCCTCGTCAACGGGTACTGGTCGTGGTTTGCTGTTGTCTGGGAGCACGGTGGGAGGGACTCTGGCGTCATGTTGCTGAGGACTCATTTCGTGGGTAAAGGGGTGCGAAACATCGCCAAAGTTGCCCTTTGATTGCAAGGGAACTGGACCCTTTGGATTAGAAGGCTTTTGCCAAGTGCTACGAACAGAGTATCCTTCACAGGGGAAATTACCGCGAATGCAATTATTGCCTAATGGTCCAATGAGATTAGCGCAAGTGGCAAACAGCAGGGAGTATAAAACTTACATGCAGGATGTTGCTCATCACATTTCTTCTTCCGCCTACGGCAGGTCATACAGCCGGTTTTGGTTCTGTTGCTGAACACTCTCTTGCGCTTGGGGCCGCCCTGGGAGTTCGAAGACGCCTGGGACTGGGGAGGCGTGTCGTTTTGCGATGGAGACTGGGACATGGGTTGGGGTTGCAGCTGGGGCTGGCTGTGGGATTTGCTGCGCATGTCGACCTGATTCTGGCTGTGGGGTGCCAGCTGAGCTAGGTGCTGGCTCATCGACTCACCCGGGATCCCGTTTGGCCCCATATTCCAGGAGGTTTGAGAATCATGGTTTTGCGCCTCGCGCTGGAGCGCTTCGGCGATTTGCGCGTCGGAGGAGTCCATGGGTTGGAGCATTCGATCGCCGTGAGCGGAGTGTTGCGAGTCCCATGCTGGGCGGTGCGACGACATTTGAGACTCTTCCATTCTGTCAGCCGGGGTGTATGGACGCTGGGAATGTCTCCCACCTATTTCAGACTCTGGAGTCATGGTCACCCTCGACATACCGTTTGTCTCTGACGGCTGCGGGTGAGGGGTTGCGCTGTCGTCCGCCTTCGAACTCGGGCTTATAGGCATGCTCTGGTTGGAGCTAGACGGCGAAGCTTGCGGATCATCCGAGTTTGATCTCTTCCGTTTGTGCCGGTGTAGACTGGGCGAGCGAACGGTCGAGTTTCTGCGAAGCTCAGCCTGACTTGCAGCGGCGGGTGGTTCATGGGGTTTCTGAGGACCACTTGCGCGTCGACTTTCGGCGGAGCTTTCGCGTTCATGGCGATGGGTTAAATGTGCGTCTGCAAGGCCGTTCATCAGTGACGCGGGCGGCTCTCTGCCATTGACGGCGGTAAAGCGGGAGGGGCTTTGGTCAATATTAGCATCCCGAGGATCTCTTGGCACGTCATGGGTCCCATTCGCGACGGGTGGAGCCGCAACAGCTGACATGGCGACCGTTCTCTTCAGCAACGGGGTCAGTAGGACCGGTAAGCACAGTTGTAACGGGCGTCTAGCTGCGAGGTGGGTAGTCAGCAGTGATGCGACGAGGGGACAAGGCGGCGCGACAATACTTTTGAATAAAGGCTGGCAAAGGTGTCTAGAAATGCTGACTGCGTCGCGCTTCGAAGAGGGCAGGTTAACAAAGTACGAGCTTGTTAGATGTTTAGAGGTTTAAGTAGCACAATCGATAGTCGTGTATCTTGCGGTCGTAAGCTTGGATGATGCGGGTCAAGAGAAGGCGTAAGGCAGCAAGACGAGGCGATCGAGGCAAAGCCACTCTCGAAACACGCCCTCTTTACGAAAGGCACTGTGAAGGAACGAAAGAGAAGAAAGGCGCTCACGCAGAGAGGTGTATAAATGGGGAGAGATAGCAGGAGACAATGTTGCGCTTGCTTTGCAAAGATGGGCAAGACTGGTCGCAGATAGGACGAGATGGCGAGACAAGCTTGAAAGGGAATGGAAAACAAGCAGCAGAAGCCTCGGGCCCTGGAAGAAGATGAAGAAGGGAGAGCAAGCACTCCAAGGAGGAGACGAGCACCAGGGCGGCAAGCGGATCTAGGCAGACGGGAGGGGCGTGTTGGCGCGGACGGGGAGCTATGGCTGGGGGGAGGGAGTGGCGAGGTTAACAAGAAAACAGAAAGGGGAGAGGCGTAGATAGGGAGAGTGCGGGGAGGGGTGAGGAAGAGGGAGAGGGAGAGGGAGATGAAGAAGAGAAGAGAAGGAGAGAAAGAGAGAGAGAGGGAGCGGGAGGAGGAGATGCAGCGGTTGGGTTGGGGGGGGGGGGGGGGGCGGGGCGGGGGGGGGGGGGGGGGGGGGGGGAGGGGGGGTTTGGGGTT